GCAGCACAATATATTTGTTGGTGGGTGAACTTACAAGTGCAAACTGTTTTGTCACTTCCGTTCGATGATGGGATGCAACAAGCCACCAAAAGTTATGGGATTCATACGTAACTTTTATCGCTGTATTATGTAAAGCATGGTCAAATCCCTCCTAAAAAATTGCACATTTTAATTACATACATACTAAAATTTCCAAACCTATTTTATTGCAACGAAAAAGTCTCATTCATCCTTTTTCCCCAAGTAAATAAAGTTATTTAAAAATATGGATTTCATTTTTGTGCGTAATGAAATGCACGAAGCAAACCTGGTACGTGTACCGTTACCGTGATCTGTTATCCAGAAAAGATAACGGTTCCTAATGTTTTTAAAGGGAGTGAATAAAACTGGATGAATATAAACGCCTGTACAAAAGTGGAGCTGATCTATTATGTCCGTCCATCCGATTGAAGGCCATGCATGCCACATGTGTTGTTCTCCCGTGGAAAAGGAAGCAACAGGTGACCTCAAACTAGGTCAGCAGCAGCAGCATCACTACAAGACTCACAATTTGGGAGGAAGAAGGGTTGCTGGCTTTGTGAAAAAATAAAAATATTAAAAATAAGTAACTGATAAAGGTGAGGAGAACCCTTTATAATAATTGAACGGGTGTCTCAAGTTAATTTTCTAAAAAAGTTTTACGGCAACACCGATGGAAAAAATCTATTTTCTTTAAAATAGGGGTATTTATTTAAGAGCATAGATATTTATTTATATATGTAGAACCGATGAGTTCCAAAATTGATAATTTTATAAAAAAAAACCCAAAAACTTTTCTGGGAGAAAAAATTTCGAAAAAGTGCTTCCTGAAAGGGCACCCCCCACAACCCTCAGGAATATGATTATAATGAGATCAGATCAAGAAGAAGCTTCAAATATTAGTTGTGCCAAAATATCAATGTTGACCGTTTTCCTCCATTCACCATTAAAATTTCGTAAAAACTGAGAACAATTTCTAAAAATCGTATAGCTATATTTTGAAATGCTTTTTACCGGATCCTTCCATGTAACTTAAAAGCGCTCGCTACACGGGCCATTAATTTAACATTGAGCGTTACCAACAACATACTACCCTTTTCACATATAGAAGTTCCACATCGCTTGGAAGTACATGAAAAAAATCTAAAAAGGGCGACTTGAACATCACCTTCTAATAGGCCTTACAAATGCATACCAAGACTTGATGATGACGCCTTTTAGCGTAGGAAACAAAGTTACGTAATAAGAGGAGAAAGACCCCATTCTCCTAAGAAGAGTAGCCCTTCTCGTTTTTATTGGAGATCCCTTAAAGCGATAAATCGAGATTGTGGATGTTGAGCAGGTCCGATAATAAATTGATAGGGTTGAAGAAGGAAAAAGTGAAATATCGCTCATTTTCCTCCTCGAATGGAAAAAGGGATGAAATGAAAATCATGAACCTCATCAGAAATGAAATGGAACCCTTTTACTTCATAACGTCTCCCCACTCGATCCTTCAATGGCTTGTACATAATAATAAAAGTGGTTCAATCCCTGTAACGGTTTAAGCATTGTTGTTGCCATCACTTTTATATCTGGGATGAGGGGACAGCGAGACTGGATAAAAATGTGAAGTTCCGTTAGTTTCGTTGTGATTTGGAGTGGCTGTAAATAATGAATCATGAATCACTCGCAGTGCAGTAAACGGTGTGTTCAATTAAAAATCTTATCTAGTTATTAGGTGGCTCAAATTTTTATGTAATTTGGGCAGACTTGCTAATTTCTGGTGCGGCGAACCACCACACCTAAGTTAAGCAAGTGAGCGCACCGGTTCGCCGAGCCAGAAACTAGCAAGTCTGAATTTGGGGGAAAATGTACTAAGGAAATTTAAGATTTTAAACTTTTACGTAATTTGAAGAGAAATTTCTCTGTAGAAATCTAAAATATTTTTTCATACGTAATCTTAACCGCGTTCGTAACGAAAATTGTCGTGATTGATGAGGAAGGAGTACCCTTGACGGAAGGAAATTGCAGACATGCACAAAACATAAACGATTGACGTACATCGTCACATTTTACGTCTCTTGATAAATATAAGAATCTAGGTATAAAACTGTGCTGGAAAAAGGGCGTCGTGCCGCATAAAATAAAAATTGACACGTACATATGCATTTCGAATGACGTAAATTGTCACAATTAACACAATCTCAATTAATAAATAACAATATTAATAATCACACTTAAATTTTGGTGTAAATATAAACGCTGCATACATAAAGTTGGAATGTTCATATGCGAAATTCTTGTGATGTAAAGCCGTAAAGCATTTAGTAATCGCGATATTCCATGTCGTCTCGCCAGCCAGCGTAGGTACATAGACATGCACGAACATATTTAAATCAAGAGCTGGATAGAAATGAAAGGGAAATTTGGTAAGTTTAATCCAAGGTGAAAGTCAAGGAAGGAAGGAGCCTACGAAAATTTGTGTAGCTGGAGAAATGTGCAGTCTTATGGAGAATAATAAGTATATAGTTAGTTAGTTAGTTGGTTATCCTTGGAGGTTAATGTCATTGTATAATGCTTAATTGTACAATAAAAGCTGGTTGGAAAACTAAGAGAAAGTCTGTGATTTGGTTTTTGGGGGTCGAGTTATTTCTGGACTGTTCTGGTCCGAAAGTAATTATGCTTTCACGACTGACCATAAAGTTATCCGGGAAATGAGGCAAAACCACTTTCTCAATCGTACTGCGTAAAGATATTCAGAGCAGCAGGGTGACATGCAAATTTGACGTCATACGTATGTATGTAGTAGGTGACGCGACATGCATGCATATTATTCAGACTGGACATAGTCATATAGCCACCGCCAATCGCTTGTATTGAGGACATTAATCTTGATCACCTCTCAAGGACAGAGGAGAGTTAGTCCTGTTTTGCTTTCCATGGACATGGACATGCACAACTTATAATTATGGATATTTCCTGCATGAATTATTTTAGGAAACTTATGTAATGTCGTCGCGTCTATCTAAAAGTTATGGAAGTTTCCTTGAAAGTATGGACATTTTGCGTAAAAGCCAATCTTAACAAGAACCACTTTGTCCCACACTTTTGGCATTGTTATTATTTATTTCTGCTGAAAGTGAGTGAATGTGAGTACGCTTCGAACTAATGAAATGAATCATCTCGGCATAAAAGGTGTAGAACTATGTTGACAGAACTGCTTGTAAAGGCGTCATATTAAGTACATATCATTGTGAATGTGAACCTTGGTCTTGCTTCCATTTTTGTAAGTACTTGATATACGGACAAGTGATGGCAAAGTAAAGGTAGGACGGGATGCAGGAATTTGGCCAAATGTATAAATGGCTTGTTAGATTAAGACTTAAGATTGCATTGTGCACTGGGCATTGTTGTCGTTTAGAGCTTGGATGATGGTGGATCGTTAAGAAATTCAAGGTGACTGACGGTAACTAAATCCGTCCGGTAAGTAAGTAAATGGCGTTTATCTATACATTAGTGCACGTATAAATGATCATCAGGAATCATCTTATGGATCTTGCTATCTAATTTAAACTGCTACGTACATTATGTAGTAAATATACACATTTTTTGACACAGTATGATTTATTATCCCTGCGCACCGATTAAAATTTTTATCGTTGTGCTACATATGCTGTGTGGTCTTAAATATAATTCGTCGTGTACTATTTTGTAGAATGGAATGAAATGCTGTACCAAAAAGGGAACCATGTAACAGACTATGGTCTGACCATTAAAAGAAAAGGATAATTTGGCATGCAAAGTAAGTTTAGAGGGATCTGTTTCTATTAATGTTCAGACCATGCATATTTGTACATATTTCTGAATGCAAGTAACGATGTGGATTTAAAGGTGGGATTAAACCCAGTGAAATATATACGCACTAGATTTGATCTGCCATTGATGAAAAACTTTTGCTGAAACAATGTTACTTAATACATCTACTTTTAACAGCAGGATTTCGCTATTAAATATTTGCACATGGACCGATCACACATCATTATGTGTCAGTTTTCGTAACAAGAACTCCTATCGTAACAGAATCGTATAATGATTTTATTTCACCTTCAACTCAGCAGCAGGCATGCATGGGAATATATGAACGTATGTATTACTGAATCGAATCATGAATTGGATTGAATATTACGAAACGAAATGAAATGAAAATTAGGTGACATGGCAAAAAATTCTACCAGTCGAGCAGTGTAATTAAACCTTAAAACCCATCAAGACCGACTCACATGTAAAATCACATTGTTATCACATTGAGGAAAAATCCACGCCATGTCAGAATGCAGCAAATGGCATGCTCATTTAATGGACCGATTTCATAAATCAACCAGAATTAAGATACAACCAGACCAAACTAGATAAACTCGTCGCGTGCAAAAAGTTGTATTGCAGTATTACTTCATTTTGGCAAAAAAAAATCCTGCAACTTGTAACCTTATCCCTAAAAGCTACACGTTTATATTCTGTGTATAAAAATGTTTTTTAGCTAATAAGGGACATGTGTAGCCTGCTGCCTCATTGGTCTCGTTTTTCAGTGGGGCTGTTTTGTTGATATTTTTTAAGGTGCTGGTGGTGAGTCATAAAAAAAGTTGCACTAAATTTGCTTGGCCGTTGTTCAATCAACAAACAACAACTGCCAAAACACTCTTCGACTCATGTTACAAGCTTCTTCGTCTTCTTGGAAGGAAGGTGTGCGTCCTGATGAAATGCAAGGTGATGGTTTCGTAGGTAGGTACGTGTTACTCACAGAATTTGTGAAGTCGTTAAAATTAAAATGGTAACCGTTGATGAGATGAAGTACCAAGCAGAAAATAATAATGCAGCTTCACCCCCAGACGAGCAGTATCACCACTTAACCGCTCATTATTATTAGTGACAGCTTCGTCGAAGCAAAGGTTAGCATACACATACATAGCTAATATTTACCGTCGCAATATGATGTATTTACCACTACTACGCTGAATAAGAGAGACCTTGGTAGTTAAAGTGGCGTTGTGATCTTTTTTCCCGTTGGTATCATACGTATTTGGCCAGAATGTCCATAATGTGTGTCCTCCTATAATAACTTGGAGTGGTGGTAGTGCTGGTAGTTATTCCCGCAGCAGTGTTGGTGGGGGTAGAACAATTTACCATTTAGCGACCCCATAGCCAGCAGCAGTGGTGGACGTGGACGAGTAAAGCACGCCCAAACGAAGCCGTACCCCACCACCACCACCAACTAATTTCTATTCATTTATTCCACATTTACTTTCATTTGTACGTGCACAAGGAGGAATAAAATCCAACCAACTACTCACACAAATTGTGAGGCATAATAAATATTCGCAAATAATAAGTGTTCAAGTGTGTTTGTCAAGTCATCTCATCCTCGCTGCTTGGATTACTTGGATTGGATTGATGAGTAGTTTACTTTGGTCTTTGGTTCGTCTTTTCGTCGACGTAGTTGTCGTCATCGCTGATTTTGTGCAGTATGAAAACCATTCACTGCTTGCTTCGTCCAGTTTGCAGTTTCAGTTAGTGACTCAGACAGTTTTGTTAAATGCAGTCGTGGTGCTATTGCAAGGTGTAAAAAGTGTGGCCTGATAGAACTCGAGGAGATTTGTGTGCCAATAATCTAGATATTTTTCGAAAGATAAGGGATAAAGAATCGAAAACTATATTTACTCGGAGTGAACTTAATCCTACGGATTTATTAATTTGCTGAATTGAAAGTGAAAGCGGAATCTCAACTTTTTCCTGATTTCAACGCCGAGGAGTAAAGTAAGGAAAATATGCAATAGTAAAAAGTGCTTGAAGGTTTCATATTGGTACAATTTTACATTGGTGAAATTTTGAAATACAAGTAACATAGTTAAAATCAGTTTTTTCTCCATTTTTGAAAGTTGTAATGATGAAAAAGTACGCTGAAATTCATAATATATTTATTTCATTTCACTATTTCACAATATATACAACGGCGTGACAATAAAGGTGACAACGTTTGTTTGGTTTATGTACAGCTCACCTATTTAAGTTTGTTTATACGATGTGCAACTATGTTTTGTGAGAATGAAGTACACAAGTAGAGAACACACATACGTGGATAGTGCTCATTGTCTTAATTTCTTTCTTTATTGAGAGGAGAGTTGTTGCACAATCTTTCCCTCTTCTTGCAAAGCCCAATCTAACCTGTAGATATTTACATAGATGCGCGAACAGAACATAAAATTCACCTAATAGAGGATCACTGATGATAAAATTTGTTTAGTAATAGGATTACAGATGTATGCATTACGCATAGGATGTGAGCCAAGCATAAACAAAGGAATCGAATCGACATCCTGTTTCCTCTAGAATTCCACTTTAGAATTGCACACGTTGTAAATTTATTGTATGTATTTATCTACGTGAAGTGTAAAATGGAACAAATTGTTAAATTACATTCTTGTGTTGTAGATACTACAGAAATCTCGAAATCTGCGAGTGCAAGAATTTAACTTTATTATTATTCCACTTCAAAATTATGGAAACCTTCGCTTCCACTTCGATGCCGGTTATGAACGATTCGGAGATTCAGGACCGCGTGTCCTCCTTGGCCGGTCCAAACGCAAGGATTTTGGATTGCGAGAAGAAAAGTAGTCTCATAACGGAAGAAGTCCTTCTACTCAACGGCGTCCCTGTCAGACTCGTCGGCGAGGCTGGGGAACGGATCAAAGCCGCGTTAAAAGCAGGACAACCACCACCACCAGAAATACTGTCAGAAATTCTGATCCGATCCGGAATTCAAACAGGTAAAATATAACGTAAAAACAAAAGTGAAATTTTTCTGAGCAAATTTCCATTTTAAAAATTCCGATTATAGTTCCAGTCCAAGTTGAAACGGTCACAACTGTAAAGTCCAACACGAAAACGAGTGAAATCTCCAGCCTCACAGACTCTCACGGAATCCTGGTGGACGAAAAGATGAAAGAATTCGAAGAGGATGACGAGTTTGAGAGTACAAATGTCGAAATTTGGGAGAAGGAGGCCGCCCCTCCAGGAATATTGGAACAGATGGAGGCAGAAAAGAACAAAATGTGGGATTTTTACACGAACGGTACAACCAGTCCGAAACCACCAGGCAAGAATAAAAAATCATCCTCCATCTTCACAAATGCAACCGAAAATTCCGACAAATTCAAAACCACAAGGACAACAACAAGGGAACCAAATTATTACGAAAATATGCACCAAGTTCCCAATATGACGACGTCATCTTCGCCCACGGGGTCGTCGTCCATCTCGTCACCGAGATCTTCTCCAAGTCCGACGCGTTTCTACCAACGGGTTGAGGAGCCATGTTACGCCAATGTGGAGAAGATCCTCCCACCCCCCACCCTGCCAAGGATGCGGGCGTCACCAGGTAAAATGCCCCCTCTCTCGATCCCATCCGACCCCAAACTGAGACCTCCAGTACCTCCCAAACCGGCCGGAATACGATTAGCAAAATCCGGCTACGTCGGGAATTTAAGGACGGATAAAAACATTAGTCTTCCCGTTAGAGTTGTGTACGAGACGTTCATTTAAGTCGATAAATAACTAAATACGAAATTATATATGTGTTTATATATATGTAAGCCATGAAAAATATAATTATGTAAATGTCTCATCTCTAATTACTTGTGCCACTAATAAAAAGAGTTGCAGCGCAAGCCGCCGCCGAGTTGCAGCGCAAGCTTTATCTTCTACAAGAGCTGAAAAATCCAGTCGAGATGCGAGTTTTCCTCGTACTTCTGGATATAACTGACATTACTAAACCGTATAAAATAATAAATATTCTTCTTCTATCAATTTTCAAACACCGATTACTCAAGTTGGATCGACATTTTAATAGTTTCGTTCAAGTTTAATTTTCTTTCCCATTTCCGGACATTGTTTGCCTCGTTGGGAGAATGGATCCTTGTCGTGTTGGCAAATATGTATGTACATATTCGTGTAAAATAGCGTAATTCAATTCCACGGATTTCGTCGTATTACGCCATCCTATGCATGCACCATCATAATTCAATTCATCATGCCTCTCTGGGACAGAAGGTAAGCGTGGCTGGGATGAAAGTCGACCAACGACCGAGAATAAACTTGAAACCTGACTTGACTTAAAAAGTAACGCTATCATCATCAAGCAACAAACTTGAAGTCGAGGCAAAACGCATGGGCAAATCCCGTTCCTTCAGAGAAAAGGGAATCCAATCGTCGTCCTCCGTCGGGTGTGTTTTTGGCGTATTGTGTGATAATGAAAGTAGGTAAAAGGATTATAACGGAATATTTCACACTCTATCTCAATCCGCGACTATGTATACACAGGAATGGAGATGCTTATTATTATGTATTCCTCGACGTGCTGCTGAGATTGCATCTCTGGTGCAATGCAACTTTTCTGAACAAACTCTCGTCTCATTAAAAAAGGAACAGTTTTTAATGTGGATGGATATGATGCTGTGCAATAAATAACCGGCTTGGAGGAAATTGCATAACTGTAGTCCATCTATATGTACGTAGCTGTGCTGCTATGTGAAATGCAAAAGAGTGTGAATAGGTAGGTAGGTGGTAGTGCTAAAAGATGAATGGTGGGTGCAAAACTCTGCCATATTATGCAAAAATAATATGGACAGACATGCAGTCACTTTTTGATGGTGGGTGGGGTTTTTTTACTGGAGAAAGTAAATAATTCATAGATGAAGATGCAAATTAGAAGTAAAAATAAACGTGATCCTTGTAACAGGATGAAAACTACTTGAAAAGAAAAAAAATACGTAGAATCACAAAAATATGAGAAAATTCATGCCAAAACTATCAAACTACACCTACCACAGTCTACGTGACTTGTACTACTTTATGCATGCATCTCTCCCTCTCTCTGTCTCCTGCTAAATGCGAAAGTTCACTAGAAACTAAAACCCCGGATTCGGGTAGTTCATCTACCACACAAACTATTTCTGTTATCCTCCTATTTATACCATTTCTACTATTACGATACTCTCACTGGATGCTAAACTGAAGAATTGCGACCCGAACTGGGTGAGCTTTCTCTTTCACTCTTTCGCGACTGCTGCCTGCCACCAGTCGTGCTATGGTGTCCTCTTCTTATATACGTCCCAGAATCACCAGGATGACCCTGAACACACACAACACACGGAGAGAAATACACTTCTCCGACGACGCAGAAAAATCGATATGTACGGTACCCAGCAAAACACCACGGATGGTGGTTTCCGTCCGTTGATGGGTCCTGCCTGGTTTCACAAATCCGAATCCTCCTCACCAGAAAATCAGAGTCAGTTGTGTGCTGCTTTTCCCCTCCTCGCCCAATCTCAAGGTCTTGGTCAACCACGACGACGACGACGACGATAAGGATGGAATTGTTTCGTTAAAAGGACGACTCGGTTGAGTTTGTTCAGAATTGACGATCAGCAGGATGGTGTTGCGATGTGCTATCCATTTGGAGGACGAAAGTCCGTACTACGTTGGAGGTGGAGTGGTTTCGGGGGTTCTAGTACTGAGCACGACATGGTCCGATAAGGTTTATGGTGAGTATGAGACTGAATACAATTTGATAAGCTTTCACCTAGCAAAAAATTGTAACAGTTAGTATGTACTCACTTGAATAATGTGTTTACAGGAATTAGCGTAAAACTCGCTTCAAAAGTGGAAGTGGATTGGGACGCGTCGAGACTCTTTAACCCATATCGGACATCGAGAAATGAAGACGTCGCGTTTCATAGTGATTGCCAAATTTTGATGAATAGAAATAATGATGGTGAGGAGTTGAAATTTAAACAAAAATTACTATTAAGATTTTGTCCCAAAAATATTTAGTTTTAAATTATTTGCATTATAAATTGCATGATTTTTAGGAGAACCATCCTGTCTGGCCAACCTCGTCTCGAAACGTACTATAATGATAACCCGTGGCGTTGTTCACCGTTACCCATTCCTCCTCAAATTGCCAAAAGATTTGCCCTGCTCCTTCAATGGAACGTTTGGCCACGTTTCATACAAATTGGTCGTTTTTATTAGAAAACCATTTCGAGAGATGTATATCGGTGCAACAAAATCGATCCAAGTGGCGCCCTTGTTGGATCTAAATGACCAAAGCGTCCACTTCCAACTTCCCGTGGTCGACGAGAGGAAATACTTTCTGAGCAGTGCACGTCCCGGATCTTCTTGTCGTAGTAGGACTCCAACTCCGATAAGCCCGAGTGCATCGGGAGGGTCATCGTTATATTCGCGTCGAAATTCCTCCCCTGCCGTCCCTTCGTCCTCCTCACTAAACGTTGACAGCGATCCACACAATGAAGTGGTCATACTGCGTGTACGACTCCCAAAAACAGCCTTTGTTCCAGATCAACTCATCCATTTCGAGGTGGATTTGGATAACAGATCCAGGCTGAGTTTAAATGGGGCGAGGGCGGTGCTAAATGCGGTAAGAGATTTATTACATTTTTAAATAAGAGAAATTGAAGATTTTAAAATTAACGACCCACTTTGATTACTGGATTTTACAGAATAGCTACTTTCAAATCGACCAAAGTTGTAAAGTTGATTGCCGAACGCTATTGAGATGTCTGGGTCCTGGCGTGGGGCCACATGGCAGAGAAATTTGGACGCACAGCTTCCCTTGTCCACACGTCCTACCAACCGGCTTGGGAACAGGGATTGTGGGGGCAATCGACCTCCAATACTTTGTTCAGGTGGGTCATAATCTGTTAATGATTTTGATGACGGTATAATATGTATGACCATTAAATTAAATTACCAATTTTCTATTCACTAGTTTGACGTCATCATTTCCGAGAATGTAACTTTATCTTCCATCGTGAAAGTGATAATTGGAACGGTGCCCTTTGTGGAGAGCAACCTGTCCAGCTTGATGGCATCCTCGTCAAGTTATTATTATCATCACCACGGGATCACGTCCTCGATGAGTGACGAGGACTATGCGATGAACTTTCTCCTCCTCCCTCCTCCCCCAGAGGCTGGGGGACGCGTGAGTGAGGAGGCGTTGAGGAGACGGCGTCGGTTGGAGGTCGAATCCGCAAAACCACCACCTTCCTACGATTTTCACATGAGGTCGGCAAAATTAGACGTGCGGACGGGAACGCCAGAGTTGGCCGAGACCCGTAAGTTAATTACATACAAATTAGTCAATTAATGTGACAAAAAAGCTTAAAATTTTATAATTTCTAGCCCCACCCAGTTACGAGGAAGCTGTTTCGATGAGTCTTTCCCTCCTGAGAATGAAGAAACATCATCATCACAGGAATAAAAAGAAGTGTCCAAAATTTGAAGATCGTTTTTAAATTGACTGAATGTGTAATAAGAAGAACGTGATCGAAATTATAATAACGAGATTTGTAAGATTATCAAAATACAAATATGTAATACATCAAAGCCAAAAATCAATAAGAAAGATGGATTTACATAAGAATAAGATTGAAAGTGAACTTTGTCACTTAATGATAACACCTAAAAACTTATAATAATAATAAATTGTAATAACAATTATGCGAATAATGAAGGGACAATTGATTGAATAAACAGATAATAAAGTAAGAATTCCCAAATTGTTGAATTGATGAGTAAAAGTAATTGCATATATTTTACTTGTATATGCAAACCGTAATTTAAAACAATGCATTTGTACATTTTGAAATTTTAATTTTATGAAACAGTTAACCTTTACTTTATGATTTTATGAAATTACGATGAAAGGTTGAGAAAATTTTGTTTGACAAAAAATTTTACAACTAATCAATTTAATGAATTAATTTTTATACATTTAAAACTGTTCCGAATTTAAAAATGTTATATTTAAATAATTTGGTCTTTCAAAAATCGGAACAAGTAAAAAATCTGACCACATGGGTGAAGACCCGCACTTCTGAATGGGAAAATAACTTCTCCATCCCGCTACCACATCCACCACGCCAGTTCTCGCAACGGAGCCCCCAAATTGATTCAACTGTCAAGAAAGTGGAGGCCAAACTCGCAGATGGCGACATTCGAGGAGCAATTCGTCTTGCCTGCTCTGATGACACCATAGCCCCAAACGACGATGACACTCTAAGCGTCCTCCGTGAGAAGCACCCGGTACACCCAGAGCCCACAAACTATCCACAACCACTAGCGGATGACTCCGTGATTGAAGCAGTACACGTTCCTGAAGTAGCTAAGGCCGTATCCACTTTCCCCCCAGGTTCGGCAGGAGGACTCGATGGTTTGAGACCCCAAATTCTAAAGGACCTACTCAGCTGCAATCAGGGGGAGACAGGAGAACACCTCGCCCAAGCAATCACAGATTTCTTCAACCATGTGATTGCTGGAAAAGTCCCTGCAAAGCTGTGCCCAATATTATACGGAGCATCTCTCACGGCGCTGAGGAAGAAGACTGGGGGTATCAGACCCATCGCGGTGGGAAATACGTGGCGCCGACTCGCCGCCAAGGTCATCCTCGCTAAGATTACCCCCCAACTTATCGACCACTTTTCACCTCATCAGTTAGGCGTTGGAATAAAAGGTGGCGCTGAGACCGGTGCCCATGCCGCCCGTGTATACTACAACTACCCTCACCACACCCCCAAAGCATTCCTTAAAATTGATTTTAGGAACGCATTTAATGAAGTGAGAAGAGACACTCTACTGCACACTGTTCGTGATAATTTTCCATCAATCTTCCCGTTCGTGTCCCAATGCTACGCTAACCCGTCATCACTTTTCTTCGGGACAACATCTCTCCCTTCGCTTCTGGGTTGTCATCAGGGCGACCCTTTGGGCCCTTCTCTGTTTTCTTTGGTCATCCACCCCATAATCAAGACTTTGGACACAGAGCTAAACGCATGGTATCTCGACGACGGGACTATCGCAGACACCCCGGAAACGGTACTAGCAGCCCTTGAGAAAGTTTCCAGAATGGGTGAAGAAGTGGGGCTTTATCTCAACCACAACAAGTATGAGGTTGGAGTATTGGGGGCGGACGACGACACCATCACCCAGATTTTTCAAGAATTTCAAAATTTTGCCCCAGGAATCCAACTGATAACTAGAGAAAATGCAACATTATTAGGTTCTCCTCTTACCAACGAAGCCATGGAGGCGGTTTTGGCTGCCAAAACGGAGCAATTGGCAACTTTCTCCAAACGTCTCAAGAAAATATCTGCCCACTCAGCTTTCTTCCTCCTCCGAGCTTCTATCTCCATACCTCGTTTAATATACTTTCTCCGATGCTCACCGTCGTGGAGAAAAATGGAGGCCCTCGCTCTCTATGACGCTACACTCAAGGACGCCCTGGAGGGGATCCTTAACTGCTCACTCTCGGAGGCTGCATGGATGCAGTCCTCTCTACCCGTGAAAGAAGGTGGCCTTGGGGTCAGACATGCTGAAGATGTAGCGATACCGTGCTTTCTTTCGTCAGTCTACAGCACCCAACCCCTAATGGAACAAATTCTTCCGGTTTACCTACATGGTTCCGATGCCGCCATTGCGGAAGGAGAGGAACGATGGACTTCTCTTGGCCCAACTAATCTTCCTCCCAACACAGTGAGAGGATTACAGACAGCATGGGAGCGCCCCATCATCGACATCACAGTGTCCCACTTAGTCGTCGCCGCAGCCACGTCTGAAGATACGGCTCGCCTATGTGCTCTTCGCGACAAATATGCAGGAATATGGCTCAACGCTCTCCCATCTCCTCAAATCGGCACCCTTCTCTCGAACGAGGCATTTCGCATCGCAATTTCCCTCCGTTTAGGTTGCGATGTTTGTCAACCCCACACTTGCCCGTGTGGAGCGCAAGTCAGTTCACGAGGATATCATGGTTTATCCTGCCGACGAAGTGCTGGTCGGTGGTCTCGCCACGCAGCCGCTAACGACGTAATCGCGAGGGCGCTTCGATCAGCTGATGTTCCCTGCATCCTTGAACCACCCGGATGTTCACACCAAGACGGAAAGCATCCAGACGGGATGACTCTCGTTCCGTGGGCAAGAGGAAGATCCCTTGTGTGGGATTTTACCTGCGCTGACACCTTCGCACCTAGTTATCTCCCCGAGACAGTCCGCCACCAAGGAGCAGCAGCAACAAAGGCAGAAGATAGAAAGAAAAAATTGTACGCCTTTCTCCTGGACCGATTAATCTTTATGCCCGTTGCAATTGAGACGACAGGTACATGGGGTCAGGAGGGCTTATCCTTCATTAAAGAGATTGGACAACGGATCGCTACCGCGACTGGAGAACCACGCTCCACAACTTTTCTCCTCCAGCGACTCGGCATTACAGTTCAACGTGGAAATGTAGCTTCAATCCTGGGGACACTTCCACCAGGAAAAAAGTTTAATGAAGTTTATTATATCTAAAACTACCATGTATTTTACAGACATTGTTACTCTGTACAGAAATAAGTGTATTTTATTAACAAATTAATTACACAACATTTGGTCTTTGAACTATAAATTTTGATTTCGAAATATTGGAAGACTTTTTTTTTGAAAGAACTGATAATCGAGGTCGAGAGAGTTCAATCGTGGCTGGATAAAGGGAGGGCATCGCTCCTCTTTTCATTTGCCCAGGTACTTTTAACACTCGACTCCAGCCGTACGCTCGCTCTCTTGGAAAATATAATTTTTAATTTACCAACTACAAAGTTTTTACCCCAAAGTGCAATGATAACATATAAAATATACTCAAGTTCTTAAAACCAAGAAGCCATGGCATTGATTTCAATTACCAAATCTCAGACCAATTTTGGTGAAGGGTAAGAAAAATGCGAGCAAATGTGTCTAGGACGAATCCTTCTTTAAAATATCTTTGGCCGACCCACACAAAGACGACTGACGAAATAACTTTGATTCTTTTTAGTTTTTAGAAACCCCCTTTTTACTTTGATAATTTTTCCAGAGATTCTGAAGAGGACAACAACATGCCCCCAAATCGTGGCGTACTTGCGAAGCGTGCCAAACAAGTAAAAAAGAAGGCAGGTCTGCCGATAAAAAAAGCACCACCACCTCCTAAAATCGGACGAAAGAAAGTGGGTGTGCTTGTTCGCTCGGCAGGTGGAAGACTCTACTATCCAAATAGTGGACGACAGTTAAGCAGCGAGTCAGAATATGAAAATAGCGAGTCGTCAACATGTAGCAGTAGTGGATCATCAACAAGTAAGCGTTTTAGACAGATTGGAATTGTCGTCAATTTTTGTATTGCTTGGCGACGATATCATATCAATGATGTCGCCGGTATCAACCGGCGACAATTTGTGTACTGAGATTATTCAAAATCACGCAGGTGTGAGCTCGGCCACCGACAGGGAGGAAGACCAAGAATCTGATTCTTCCAATACCGAGATGGAAAGCGTGGAACAAGGAAAAGGACAAGAAAATCGGATTGATAATAGTGACGATAACTCCATCACCAACACATATAATGATGATCTTAACAACAACAAGGTCGCGACAAAAGAGACAGAGGGAGACGATGATGGGGAAGAAGTTGAAATAAGGTATGCTTTTACTACAAATTAGCGACTAGACATAACATTTTAGAACTGGGTATAATACTAGTTTTGATGTCATAATTGTGCACAGTGAGACCGAAGAACACGAAGCCTCAGTTACCTCGGAAGAAGAAGAAGAAATCGAAGAGGAAGTTGAAGAGCAAGAATCGCCTGGAGATTATAGGAAGGGCGGTTATCACGTAGTTAAAATTGGCGACGTGTACAACAAGCGCTACCAAGTTATTAGAAAACTGGGATGGGGACATTTCTCAACAGTTTGGCTGTGTTCGGACAGTGTCGCGAAGGCGAAAGGACTTTCAGAGTATGTGGCGTTGAAGGTGAGATCCTTTTTTCAATATGCAAATATAACTTGAGGTTAATTATTCATTGGAAGCTACAATTTATTAATTGCTTCTGGCAGGTAGTCAAGAGTGAAGATACGTACACGGAAAGTGCCGAGGATGAAATTAAACTGTTAAGAAAAATCAACCAAGCTGACCCTGCTGATCCAAACAGGGATAAAATTGTTCAACTTTTAGATGACTTCAAAGTGGGTGGGATGCATGGGACACACGTCTGCATGGTACTCGAATAATTATTACAATTACAAAAAGTGTATTTTGATGTCTTAATATTATCCTCATGTGCACCAGGTCATGGAAGCAGTCGGCCCCAATCTCCTCAAATTAATCACCACGTCAAACTATAAAGGGATCCCAATTATGAATGTGCGTTCCATCATTCGTCAAATTTTGGAGGGGGCAGACTACCTCCACACCAAGAGTCTCATTATTCATACTGACCTCAAGCCGGAAAATATTCTTGTACAAGGTGACCAAGAAGATTTAAAACATCTTCACGACGAAGCTCGTTACTGGGAAAAACATGGATTGTCATACAGTCCAGATTCTCTCTGCAATCTTCCACCCGACTTTAATACTCATCCTACAAAGCCACTCTCAAAGAATATGAAGAAGAAATTAAAAAAGAAAGCTAAAAAACAGAATGAAGAATCAATGTCGGGAAAAGAAACGACAAATTCGGAAGAATTGCCTACTTCTTCTACTAGTGGTGAAGGTGCAGGTGGCGATAATCCGAATGCCATGGACCCTGCGTCCTCTGAAGGAGAATCGGCATCAGAAGCTCCACCCATCCCACCCTCCCTCTCAAAGCCTAACCCTGCCAAAGAAGTTTGTGACTTTGTGGTCAAAATTGCAGACTTTGGCAATGCTTGTGAGTTTCTATAATACGTCACAATCGTATACACCTTATTTAACTGCTACCCACCGCTCAGTAGTATTTCTGTACTTTATGATGAATTATTTTTCCCAAATTTTTAGGCCCCACTAGTCACCACTATACTGACGACATTCAAACCCGACAGTACCGCAGTGTGGAAGTGATTCTGGGTAACAAGTACAACACTTCGGCCGATATTTGGAGCATCGCTTGTATCGCATTCGAACTTGCAACGGGCGACTTTCTCTTTGAACCTCATGCTTGCAAAAATTTAAGCTACTCCAGGGATGAAGATCACCTCGCCTTGATGCAGGAACTATTGGGACTCATTCCCAAGAAGATGGCCCTCTCAGGAAAGTATTCCAAGGACTTTTTCGACTCGAAAGGAAAAATGAAGAATGTCAAGAATTATAAGCCTTGGAAGTTGGAAAATATTTTAATTGAAAAGTATTTCTGGGATGACCAATCAGCAAAAGAATTTGCATCATTTATTGAACCCATGTTGAAGTTTGATGTCAACAAGAGGGCCACGGCCAAACAATGTTTGAACCATCCGTGGATCAAGGCGACGAATGACATCATCTATTGGAACAAAATTGAGGAGGAGGATGAAGAGGAAGTTGACGGAGGTGACGACGATGGAGAACAATAGCAGGAGGGTAATGATCACTAAGATTTCCTAAAAAACTTGTAACTCGCGTTATCGTCGCAGCTATTTGTTTGTAGGTCACAAAATTTGAAATGAACTACATATTTTATTTGGATATACATATGTACAAACTAACTCTCACAAAAAAATAAATTGCTTTAATTTGACTCTTTCTTTACATACTATTCGTCCATTGCCTACTTGTTAATTTTTTGGGCCAATTCCACAATATTTTTAGCCTGTAACACTAAAGGCATGTCAATCATATTTCCACGGAAGGAAAATGCTCCCTTTCCCCCTTTCGAGTGTGCTTCAAACTCAGTGATCAATTCTCGTGCCCATTCAATTTTTTCGGGAGGGGGAGTGAATGCTTCTTGACATGGAAGGACTTGGCCGGGGTGGATTATCTGCTTTCCAGTGAATCCCATGTGGAATCCTGATATGGATTGGAGGCGAAGTCCGTCAATATCTATAGGACACCAGTGAGATGATTCTGTCTTTGTCAATATATAATTGAGAGGAATTAATGTCCACCTTTGTAATCTATGTACACGATATCAATAGCTTGGAGTTTAAACGCTTTGGCCACCATGACCAAATATTGGCGAGCGTATAATAGTTCATGACCTTCCTTTGATCTGATTGCGCCTAGATGAAAAAATTTTAAGTCTTTAAAACATCTTTTTGCATTAGAACATTTCAATATCCCAAAATATGATTATTTTTAAACTGCATACATACCGATATCTGCACAATAATCATCCGACCCAAACACTAATGCGTCCGGAATAAAGTAAGACTTGTCCACATTATCCCATGCAAACTGACATATCTTGGGCAGATTAAGAATGGCTTGGGCAGATTCGATGAATATAATGAGATTAATTTTCGTAGCATTCTGGTTACGTCCGGAGGATTTCAATATTTTCCCAGAAGTTTCCAAAAACTGAGATAATTGTTAGAATTTCAGAACTAAATCAATTCATGGTTAAACAGTTTTACGGTATGTTTGTGCACCCATTTGAGTTCGTCGACCGAATCCACTTTGGGAAGATGAATCCCACTCGGAAGATTCTCAGTTGGTAGGATACATTCCAAGTCTTCTTGACAGAGACCACTTTGTACCGAATTTACCCTTACCTAAGGGTAAATATTTTATAAGGTAATATAAGGGTATTTTTACTGAATTTACGGTTAGTTCTGTTGTGGATCCTTCCAAGGGAATTGACTTGTTGTCGAGAATCTGACGAATATTTTTTCGAGCGTCGACCTACAAGATTAATAATAATTATTATCTGCATGCATCTCATCAATTCCTACCTTCAACAACTTGCCAAATTCATAATGCATGCATGTAGTTACGTAGTAAATTATTTGTTGGTGACACCTTTTTACTAATGGCGACTCCATCCTCACAATCAAGCACGATACAGTCTGCCCTCAACGTAGGAATCTTTGCTATTTTGCGGACATCATTGCCTGGAACGTACATCACTGCGCGCCGTGGGGTATATTTCTTTCCAGTCTAATAATAGAAAAAAGCTTGACAATGAAGGCCAAACTAAAAATTGCAACATTTTCAAAAGACACTACTAATACTATAAGGCATACCATTACGGAAATCGGTGTGGTTGCAAATGTTCGATTTTTAACCCATGACAATGGTAACGATCCTCCTCCTCTTCCGACTGCGCTTATTACGGATGGACTGAAACATCGTGTCCTCCAAAATGTTCTGATAAGTAGAGTCTAAAAAAGAGTGTGAAATAAAATTATCTTTGCCATGAATTTTCGAATTTTTATGTATTTTTTCATGAATTAGACGCTACGCGCATACTCAATACGTGGTACGCAATACTGCACAATCTGCCTTCACCCCGAACACCGGCAGCCGTAAAACAGTGCGTCTCTCACTCACTCTTTGCACAAGAAAAGCAAAATTTCTTCCGGAAGGTAACCAGATTTACAAAAGTTTTGAAATGGAAACGATAATAGAGCAACAAAGACGCTACCATGAGGAACGGGAACGCTGTGTGGACACGATGGTGAAGGATTTCGTTCACAAGAAAAATTCGGTAAGTTTTGAAACACTTTTTCGTCCGTCGTTCAGTTGATCAGTTTTTGACACTGAAATAAAATCCCACGAAATGACTGGACAAGACAAGACTACAACGCCATGAAATTAGAATGAAGATGGAAATTTTAATTTTCGATGACCAATTTTTATGAAAAATTGAAAAGAAGTACAATAAAAAATATTTTTTCTGGTTTTAATATAGCATCGAGACCATATAAACTCTGAACACCGGGTGAGGATGTTGTTGGATGTGAGTATAACACAGTTTTTATTGATGAGACGATATGATAAATCTCAATATGATTTTATTTGGTATTTTTATGTTAAAAATAGCGATACATGGCATGCACCGATTCTCTCAAAGAACTCTATGAGGACAATGATATGCAAAGGAAAGAAGAAGTTCAAGCATTATCCGGCCCGAATGAGTTTGTTGAGTTTTACAACAGATTAAAAGGAATCAAAGAGTTTCATCGTCGTCACCCAAACGAAGTTTCTGTCCCAATGTCTGTAGAGTTTGAAGAATTTACAAAAATGAGGGATTCAAATGCCGAAGAGTACATGAATCTGGTCGAATTCACGGATGAAGAAGGATATGGAAAATATTTAGACTTGGTAGAACATCATGTAAAATTTGTCAATTTGAAAGGAGCCGAAAGGATGGATTATATTTCTTACGTGGAGAAATTTGATCGTCTATTTGAAATTGGGAGGGATAAGAAAGGATCAGTCGAATATAGGAAATACTTGGAAGGGTTGACAGAATATTTGTACGACTTTTTAACAAGGATTAATCCACTCTCGGATTTCGATGACATTATGGAAGACGTCAAGATGGAATTTGAAAGTCAGTGGGAAGCTGGTACATTTCCGGGGTGGCCGGTGAGTGGATTATATTATTTTTTATTTTGAATTGTAAAAAACGGAAGTAATTTTTGGTGGTTTTGTGGACAGAAAGAGACTCATACTGGAGCTTTGACACATACCGGGGCGCATCTTGACCTATCCGCGTTTTCAAGCTGGGAAGAATTAGCAACTTTGGGGTTGGACAGATTAAAATCTGGACTAATGGCATTGGACATGAAGTGTGGAGGGTAAGTTATTTTTTGGAGGATTTATTATTTGAAAAATTAATCATTATGCACCAATTAAGTATCAAATCACTGAATATGTAATTGTAGCACGCTGGAAGAACGAGCTCAAAGATTGTTTAGCACGAAAGGTAAATCTTTTGAAGAAATCGACCCAACCTTATTTGCCAAAGGAAAAGGCGGAAGGAATCGTAAAGGAGTAGAAAAACTGGATAAAGGAAAAGATTTTGAAAAACAGAAAGATATTGCAGCTCTAGAATCACAGATTTATAGGTGCATAAAATTAATAATTGTTTTGGTGGGAGAAAAGATGTCAATATATTTGAAATTGTATCTGTTTACAGGTTTGCGGAAATGTTATCTGAACAAAGGGCGGGTACAAAGGAAAATGTAACTCGGAAACAGGCTAGGACAGCGGGAGAGAAGGAGGACTCTGAGGAAGAAGATGAACCCGATCACTCTGATGAGGACGATGACGACGATATTCCATACAATCCAAAGAACCTTCCGTTAGGATGGGATGGAAAAGTATGACCCAATATTAATTGTTTACAATTATTGTGAATACATTAATTGGACTACTTGATTTATGTATTACTCTTGTTTCAGCCAATTCCATACTGGTTGTACAAATTGCATGGTCTCAATATCAGTTACAATTGTGAAATTTGTGGTAATTTTACGTACAAGGGGCCGAAAGCGTTTCAGCGTCATTTTGCCGTAAGTTGGTTGACTGCTAGATATTACTGCTTATTTAAAATGAATGCATTGTTTCTAAATTCTTGATATTTTATTCAACCAGGAATGGCGTCATGCTCATGGGATGCGATGTCTTGGTATTCCTAATACGGCCCATTTTGCTAATGTGACCATGATTGAGGATGCACTAGGATGTGAGTTTTGTCATGAAATTAGATATTACGAACGATACATAAATTGCATAACCGAATAATTAATTACCTGTGTTGCAGTGTGGGATAAAATTAAAAACCAGAAAACCTTAGAACGATGGCTACCGGAAGTGGAAGAAGAATTTGAAGACTCGATGGGGAACGTAGTTAATAAGAAAACGTTTGAAGATTTGAAACGACAGGGTCTTTTGTAAATACCGTTGTTAATATTATGCTATAATTTTGTAGATTTATGTTTTTATCAGAAATAATAAAAACTAAAATGACATTTTATAAATTCTGACACTTTTTATTGGTGGGAGAATCTGTAATTTACACATTTATGTATACATCAGATTCATCAAAAGTGCGAAGGGAAATTGCATTGCATAATTCTCTGCATCATATTGCATGTACATATGATAAAAAAATCAAGCAAAGAAAGGTTTGTTTTACAGATTTAATACGGGACGAAAAATGCATGTACAAATAAATATTACAAGGTTTTCGTTAAAAGATTATATGCTCAAGTTTCATCTAAATGACAGAAAACATTGCAACGGCATAGTCCAGTACTTATAAAATACTATATTAAAAACTATTATACGCATATAACAAAATCAACATAATATGCAACGAACGCAAATACAAATAACATTATAAAACTTAGTCTATTCGAAGATTTCATCTTTTTTTACATAATTAACACAATAAAATACTTCCAAAGGTTTGTTAAATCGCCAATATTTGTCACAAATTTGTCCCAACGTGAGACCATGAGGAATTCGGATAAAATTTCCATTGGGTGCGATCCACGTCGAACAAGCGATATGGCTCTTTTTGTCCTTGTCTGTATCAATGTCCAATTCTAAACCAAGTCGCATTCCTAAATACTTGTTGAGATGCTCAACCTAGTGAGTAATATAGAAAAGTTAGAAATTCAAATACAACAATTATAACGCATTAAATTGTAAATATATTTGTACCGATGCGTTGGCAGATGTTTTAATAAATCGTGTCTGAAGTTGGGAAACTTGTGGGAAATCTTGGCCTCCTCCCCCAGAGCTGGATGGAATCATGTCTGGATGAGGTTTGAAAACTAGCTCAACTTCAGTAACTTCATCTACATAAAGCAGAAACAAATAAGTACAAATGCATACATATACTTTTTTATTAGTAACTTGATTTATTTTACCGGAAGTATTTGAAGAATTGTCTCCAATCGAATTAGTCCTACTTGCTCCACTTTTTGGGGGAATAATTCCAGAACCACCCCCCATCCCATTATTGGAATTAGAAGGTGCCCCATGTGCCGCGCTCGCTCCATCCGACGGTTCAATGATAACATTATTCAGAAGAGTGAGACCGTCCAACGGCGTTGAATTTCCTACCCCTCCATTCCCGACTACCACTCCTCCAGTGGGTGAGTCGGTTATGGGAGGCAGAACGTCTCCGTTGTTATTATTATTTCCAGCCCCACCACAGTTTTTGGTTGCTTTTGCTATTTTCCGGTTGTGAGACTGTTGTGCTTTCATGCCTTCCTCAATTGATGTGGCGAGTGCGAGTTGGTTATGAGATTTGCCAAGCCGAGCGATAGCCTTTTGTTGCTGGGCTTCGTATTCCTCTCTACAATAAAATAATTGATAATCTGACCATCTTTAATAATCAATCATCCTCATTTGCACCCACCGTGACGGATATATTTTGGAGATTAACATGTCGAAATTTGGGTCCCGTCTGAGAGATCGTTTGGATACGAGTTTCTTGCGACAAGTTGGACACTCTTTGTTCCCAGAACGTAACGCAGTTATGATACACTCGGCGCAGAAACGGTGTAAACACTCTGGGACAGAAAAATAATTTACAATCTACTCAATCTAGACCAGTCAGTAGGCAATATCTACACACCTTTTGTCGTCATCGTCTCATGCAACATGTCCAAGCAAATTGGACACATAAGTTCCGAGTGTAAAGCGCGTGGCGAAACGGCAATCTCGCTCCCATCAGTGATGGCTTCCTGTGGGGTTCTATGCAACTCGTAGTCACTCAGCTCCCACGTTTTCGACAAGACGGGCGCCGTTACGGGCGTCGCGCCGCTGCCGCCGGTCGCAGCATTGGTTCCGGCGTTGGTGTTGGGTGTGGTGGCCTGAAATTGAGGGGACAATGTGTAAATAAACCAGATACACAAATTAACATTAATTATTATACAATGTCTATCTCTTGTAGTTATCTTTAAGGTAACCACTTACACCAGCCATGGGCATGCTGTTATTCCCTTCTTGTCTTTTCCTAGTATCTGGCGACAAGAAGGAAATGCACTCTTTTCTTCAACTGCGTCGAAATTAAGTGTACAATGTTTTGTAATTATATGAACAATCTAAAAAAAAGTAGATGTGTGTTGTGTTTGTTATTTTGTGAGAAGAGCGGAGAATTGTGGTGGTGGTGGTTTGGTTGCGTCTACTGGGGTGGAGTGCAAGTGAGTGGATCGGTACTACATTATTCTGTTGGATGGGCAATCTGATAAAATCTCAATCTGCCTCGTCTAAGTTACAGTCTCATCTTGCCTCAATAATAAGTATATCGTACAATCATGTCACTCTATTCCTAATTATCAAAACGGAGACTCCAATGAAGTGATAATCAATGCAGTTTAATGTTTAAGTACTTGAGTTTGTGCATCAGAAGATTGTAATTTTATATTCCTTCACTTAATTATGATAAGTGTTTTTCTGAAAAATGGACCACAAAAAACAACATGCAGGATGATAACTAGTTTCCCCTTACATACGTATGTTGTATGTTGTATATAGTTAGTTATCATCGTGTCGAGAATGCATGTTGGAAAACCTTGATAAAACTACCTAAATTAAAGCAAAAGTAACAAGCAGCCCGGGTTTCGGGGTTTTACTTGTTTGTATTCTCATGTCAGAATGAGTTGTAGCATGACATTTTTCAGGCCCAGTCTAGCGTTGCACTTTCTCCAGACCAGTCACACTCGCTCACGTCCGTCGGCCAAGTCTCATCATTACATTTATTTAGCTAGATTTGTTTCGGTGTACACAAATATTTAGCACTGTGATTACCAAGTGGCTTGTATACATGTGGTGCGATTTATTACCCAAATTGAACACTGGTCACAATTAGTAACGCTAAATTGGATAATGAGACGACCCGATAATAAATACATTTAACTTCGTAGTACCTCGCCAAACCAGAATTAATTAATTAAATATATCTATTGTCCAGTCTATTTTTCAGTTAAGGTTGTACCAGTGAAGGTTAGCAGGGTTGCGTGAATTATGGTGGGCTAGCCAGTCCAAAAAGCAAATTAATGGTGCTATTTAATTGGGTATCTAGAAATACAAGTAGAGCTACAAATTAGATTTGATCAAATTATACAATAAGTAGTGCTATACTTGACCTGGATCTAACATAATTGATACTTTGGTGCCGTATATGTGCTATTGCTGGTGAGATAAATAGCCTGATTTGGTTTGACATCCCTCCAGTCTGCGGGTGACAATGGTACGAGAAAAATAAAAACATTTTATCGCTCGACGGAGAAAGTGGAGCATAAATTTCTGCACTTGAACCACCACCAGCAGCAGTACACACAGTTTGTTGAGACCATATACCTCACAGTCGGAATAGAATAATACAAATGGTGAATTTGTCCGAGTAGAGAAATGAGCATGAAATGAGATCAAGTACAAAGAAAGAGTTTTTGTGGTGAAAGTGAACAATGGGAAAATCTAGGTTTTTAGGTGGCTGACGTTTCACCCATAAGTTCCGTCCTGGGAAAGTGAAAGTCGACCATAAACATGGATTGAAATAATAATATTTGTGGGGAAAACATATTTTTGTAAAATTTCGAAACAAATAAAATAGTTCGAGATGAGCGAGTGTGTCAAAGTGGTGGTGAGATGTCGGCCGATGAACAATCGGGAGAAGGATCTTCACTCCAAGGTGAGAATATTCCTACGATTGTATGCAAATATTGGTCTTAAATGAAAACTTCGACACACTTTGTTGCACGATGATGAGGGATTGAAAAGCGTGATACTTTATGACAAGGCGGAAGTGACATTTGCGAATTGTCTTCGCTCTCCAGCTCTTATTTATTAAACTGTTTTCTCAGGCTTGGTTTTACGAGCAAAAGTAACTATTGGAGAAAGTTGGGTTAATAGTGAAAGCTGAGACTACTAGTGACGATGGATGGCTTGATTACTTATTATTATGACTAGCACATATGTAGACTGGACTGCTCGTCTGGAAGAATGAACTCGTTGGAGCATTGACTCGCAAAAGTTATTATTATTGATAAAATGACACGGTAGACGGGGTGAAAGGAGGATGGGTGGATAGTGTGGAAAGCCAATCCATGTTTAAGTGAATGCAACCCCTCGATTGTAGGAAATGCAGGGAGAAAGTCTAAAATAATAATGAAGAAATTAAATTATATCATCAAACTTTGCTCGCTGTAATAATACGATTGCATTCACATTCAATTTGACATTTGACACAAGTCGGGCGCAATTCTTTCAGCTTTTTTAAGTAAGAAAGTAATTTAATGCATTTAACCAATTCTAGCCAAAGTTGGGAAAACTTTTACGTGAGATTTTCCGTGTTTTGGAAGCGTAAGCGCACTAAAGTGCCAATTATTTTTCGACATTCTAAACTCTGCGATTTTTATCTACATATTTTGTGCTTCGATGCAAATGTCATGCTAGGAAGGAATAATGAGTCAGTGGTTAAATGCATTAAATTGCCTTATGAAAGAAAACCTTTTACATAGATACAAAAACTTATAGGTACTGAATAACAGTGCCAATTTATTAAGGGGTGAAAACCCCTTTATGGAAATGTCTTGTCTTGTCATCTGTCTGTCCGTCCGTCCGTATCCACGATAACTTTGGAACGGATTCGAATTTCGACATCCGGTTTTCGCCAACGTGTTTCTAATTTTTAGGGACGGGATAAGTTCGAAGATGGGCGTTGTAGGTCGTAAGGTCACGGCGCCACGGTGATGACGCCAACGGTCAATCGTGTCGAATTTTTTTTTCCGCCGTTTTAGACGTATTTTTGGATGGGGATTTCAGAAATCGCCATCATTTCGATTTGCGATGACCGTGTGACCGTGTAGACGACGCCAAAGTCGAAAATTGTCAAATGTTTTGTGTCCACCGTTTTAGACGTATTTTGGGACGGGGATTTCAGAAATCGCCATAATTTCGACGTGCGACGACTCCATGACCGTGTGGGAGGTGTCAAATGTCGAAAAAATGACCTCATGTGGGGTGTCTATTGAAAGGTATTGTCGTGTACGTTTGAAGTACGCGGGTAGGGGTGTCAAAACGGGGCAAAATCAGACGTGGGGTAATTTGATAAAATGACAGGAAAGTGCAGAAACACGTTGTGGGCGTGCCACAAAGACAATTCTGTGTGTTTTCACCCCTTTGCTACATTTCGTTTGCAACGGTTTATTTATCAATCAGACAGGACATCGACTTTTGCTAGATACCTACTTGCATATTGCGTGGACTTTGTTTTACACTCTAATTTTTACGCCCATTTTGGTTTACATACATAGTTTATGACCAAATTTAATGTAATGAGATGAGATGCATTACGGCTTTGTTGAATTCAAATCATATAATGATAATATTTTCGGTTTTATTATAACCGAGAAAGTTATTCATCATAAAATGAAAGAAATCCATAGGTTGGATAAATGTGAACAATTATTTGTACTCGTAGGATAAGAATTTATTATTGAAGCTGACGTATGTACATAATATGTGAATTATGAAGGTGCATTATGCGAAGGTGCATTAACTGATTATTTAGCTGCTCATCCCTTCCATGGTACCATCCATGGACATAGGAAATACGACGGCCATAGCAAATACAACATAGTGCACCTCTAACGACGATGATATGTAATTAATTTGTCACATTAAATACAATCGTTAGACAGTGTTACAATAAAATGTTAGACGAAGTGGACTCAACAAAAGGCACATTAAAATCCACTCTGGACGAATTTCATTTCCACTCCTGTCCCAAAATTTCTACTATGATTCCTTCCTTCTTATAAAAAACACGCAAAATGCTCATTAATTCCGTGTGTCTATTCCATAATAATAATGAGAGCAGCAGACTGCACACAAAATCATGGGGAAATTGAGAACTTTGGTTCCACTTGCATACCAACTTTATATTTAACGAAACCGAATTGAAATGCACACAAGTTGAAGTTTGGGCTTTCTAACTTTCACCACCAGCACGAAATCCACTCCAACCCCTCCTCCTCCCCGCTTTGCCACTTTTTCATACTTGTGGTCGAACCCATGTATGGTCGTCACTATATAATAGCCAAGCAAACCAAACTACAACCAAGGTCATCGCCATATTCTGCACTTTATTTACCAAGTGGTTTAGCTACTACATTTACATACTTGTCAAATTGATGAAATTTCTTTTTATGCTAATTTTCCCAATATTTTCCTTCTACAGAGCGTCGTCTACATGGACTCGTCCCTGTGTCAGTGCAGCATTGTAAATCCAGGCGATGCTTCCGCACCACCAAAAACGTTCTCTTTTGACGGCGTTTACTTCACGGAGGTAGAAATTTCAGTAAACTTACTTATGGTGCCAACTAATAATAAAATATTATTTTTTGGCCCACTACAGTCGACCACAGAAGCGCTGTACAACGACGTGGCGTATCCGCTCGTGGAGGTGAGCAGTTTCTTTTGTCACGACCCAGATGAGATGAGCTTGAGAAGCATGTATTAATTCATGAGAGGACAAAATTTAGTCCTGCACGGAAACGTTATGAGGAATAATGAGTAAATGAACTTGATGTCGTTGACGGGATGGAGATTGATTTCGGTCGGATATCCATCCGGAGGTGTTCACATCGACAAGAATTGTGACGACGTGGCGACGTGTATAAACGAGGGGAATATAAAGTAATGCATTGTTGTCGTGTCGAGTGAAAGCTTCCTTCCTTCCGAAATTTGAATGACTCGCGACGACTTGAGGAAAGTTATTCGCAAGTAATGGACGAGAACAAATATTTTGCGAGGCAGAACGAGAACAATGAAGAACAGAGCCATTGTCCACTTATTCGAGTTGGTTTGCACGCCAAATTCTCTGATCGCCTGTACATACATAGGATTACATATTTTTACAAGTTTAGTTAGGTGCACTTGGCAGTGAAATATTGATTGAGTGATGGTGCGAGCATGTTTATGGTACGGGCATCGCGAAATTTGGTGCAAAAAAATATATTTCTGGGAATTTGCTTGTTTAGGAATGTGATGCATCTTTTTGAGGTGGCGAATTGCAATTTCGTACATAACTGAGGTAGATTTTTAGGCATGTGTACAAATATTTCGTGAGACAGGAGGAAGAGAGGTTTATCTTGGGAGATAAGGGTTTAGTGACCACGGCAAAGTCATTCCACTCGACGACAGAACGAGACAAAAGGACAGGGACGAAATGATACGTAAAGTTCAGAGGAGGAGGTGCCCACCACGACCACGCGTGCAGAACACAACAAATTCATGAATAAAATACCAACGCGGAAAAATGTTATGAATACATAAAGCTGATATAAAATTGGCATTTTGATTCAGTAAAACGCAAAAATATTGGCAAGGATATATACAAATTGGCGTAACTGCCCCATAAGCTTGTAGCAACCTTAATTAAACTGCAATAAGACGATCAATGTAAATATACATATAAATATCTCGATAAGCGAGTCAATATTCAATCTGAAATTGTGTAGATGGATTCATACGCATTCAGTATCCTAAATTGATATGACTTGACTATCCGTAGTATCGGTTACTTAATGGTGATTCGGTCTTTTTTGCGGGGAAATGTGAACCACAATTACAGACATTATTGGTAATGCATACATATGCATGTCCAAGCCACAAGGGGTAATAAATGTGAAGGGTGGATCACCACCACGAGAAAATTATTACTGGCAATGAAACAAACCCCGTACAAACAAACAAGAATAATGGAAAAGTTTGTCGATTTACTGCGACGACTTTCTCCAGGAAAGTTTTTCTTTCCCATCGTCCATCCACTCATGTAATCGAAGAGTCATTTGTGGCAGAATATGACGCGACCGACGCAAACTTACGTCAGTTTTTCTCCTTTCTCTGCGAAACCAAGCCACGTAGGCACAATCATTTTCTGAGGCGACGCAAATTCCAGAAAAAGGAAAGGAAACGATGAGCCGGGCAATTACCTACCAATTTATATGCTCATGATGTCAAATTCCAAAACTCAGGGACAATTCAAGGACGACACGCCAATGCCAATACCAACAAATACTCATAAATTGTATGCATTTTTTAAACCCACGCCATCCGCCGGATAAGAATGTATCTCCATGAATAAGTAATGCTTTCTCTCTACCTTGAATCAAATCTCATAAATAAAAATGCTAAAAATTCGCATATTGCAAATACATTTTGCACATATACTGAAAATATGGACACAATGTAGGGTACCATTTTTTAGGAAAATCTGACACATTTTTCTTCCCCAGGGCGTCCTGGAGGGTTACAACAGCACGGTGTTCGCCTATGGTCAGACGGGATGTGGGAAATCGTACACGATGCAAGGCGTTGTCAAACCCCCGTCGCAGAAGGGAATCATCCCACGCGCTTTCGAACACATCTTCGAAGCGATTGAAACTTCGGACGACTCGAAATTCCTCGTGCACGCGTCGTACCTCGAAATCTACAACGAAGGTGAATGTTAAATGCGGATGACCCATGTTTATCAATTTTGCCAATAATTGTTGACCATTTATTTATAGAGATCCGTGACCTGCTGGGGAAGGACTGCAAGAAGAAATTAGACCTAAAAGAACACCCAGACAGAGGGGTCTACATTCAAGGTGAGGCGTTGCATAAATATCTAAAATATTCGTCACAGTTGTTCTCGAACTTGTTGTTTGCGAAATATGGCGTTTTAAATTTCAAGGATAATTCCAACAACAAATAAAATAAAAGTAATACTTGCCATCGATCCATAAATATAAATTTTAAAGGTGGAGTTCATGGTCATGTTCATATTTTTCCTTCGCTCCGAATTTGCACAAACAGTAGGATCCAATAAGTAAATTGGCATTAAGCACGAAGTTGCGAAAACTGTGTGCACATGAGAAGAATGAGCAATTTACTTATTAAAGTGGTCGGTGGTTCATCGTTTAGTAAAATATGAGCAAACTTGAATCAATAGTAAAATTTATTGATTGATTCTCTCAAGTATACAGCGACAAGTTGAAGGTAAAGGGTAAAGGATAACCTATGAAATCGGGCGACGAGCAAGCCACCCATGCATTCCAAGAACTCTTATGTTCAAGTCCAGACCACTCGAAAAAGGAAGGACACGCTGCTAGATGACAAAATAAATGCCTACGACGCAACATGACACAGCATTATGTTCAAGTCAGACCTGACAGGATGGGAAGGATAAAAGGAATCGATTATCCATCCATTATTTAGCACACCGCAAAATGATAAAGTGCGAATGCGGTGCAGTATGTATCGCCGTTCATTTTGTCATTTTTATTGCAAATATCTACGTACTATCTTGCCTGACAAAATAAATGACAATGGCATGTTGGGAGGATGGCATGATTTTTTTTGAGTAGGGCTAAAGTACTTATTTCCATTGTGGGATTATTCTGCAAACACGCCATGTGCAAATATCTATCTACGTTTTTCGCAAGGATAAACAATTTTCTCTGATAATATGTAGTAAATACATAAAGTTCGAGAAGTTTGGACTTTTATGTTTATTTGTTTGTTTATGAAACGGTTGGAAATAGAATGTCGAATGTGTGTGTCATGGTGGGTGGGTGGGTGAGGGAGAAGTATGCAAATTGGCGAATAAATTGTGCGAGATGGACAGTTTGTTTTGCACGTACGGTTAGATAAATTGGTGACCACTTACATAAGTAGAATATGTGCAAATTGATAATGCTTTACGAAATTGCAATGTGGGTCGATACATGTGTACTTTTGTTAGCTTTGGCAGACTATGTACATGTTCACCACTTTGGAGAAAGTAGGCTAAAAAAAATGCATGAAAATCTCGAGTAATGGCATTTCTGTCCTAATTCTCAAATTCATACTGTGATGAAATTAATGTCAAATTTTGAAATTTGAAGGCTTATTAATTTTTGATTCCTTACTGATCTTAGAATTGAGTCAGCACGCTGTTCACAACGTGGAAGAATGCGAACAAATGATGGACAAAGGGTGGCGAAACCGTGCGACGGGGGCAACCTTAATGAATGCCGACAGTTCCAGGTAAATGGTTTACATGGTTTAAATGGTTTACATGGTTTAAATGGTTTACATGGTTTAAATGGTTTACATGGTTTAATAGTTTCAATTCCATTTAATTTCCACAAAAATGTCCTTGTTTCCACAAAAATGATAACAAAAATGATAACAAAAGACTATTAATTCACGATCACAACAATTTGGTTATTCAAATGGTGACTTGACCACTGTCACTTCAGACTTTGACATTTGGTATAATTTTCCAGATCTCACTCAATTTTCACAATAAATGTCGAAATGCTGGACGGATCGCAACACATTCGGAGGGGAAAGCTCAACCTAGTCGATCTTGTAAATAATTTTGATGTCTTCTTGTACCATTTTCACGATATGATGATATAGCACATCGACTCAAGAATATATTTCAATGAGTAAAATAAATATGTATGTATATTGTTATGTTTTCTAGGCCGGGTCAGAGAGACAAACCAAAACGGGTAGGTAACGTAACTGACATTCAAATGTCAAAGGCCAAAATTATAATTATCTGCTTTCCTAAACTGCCAGGCGCAACTGGTGACCGATTAAAGGAAGCGACCAAAATTAATTTAAGTTTGTCCGCACTGGGAAACGTTATTTCCGCCTTGGTCGATGGGAAATCGAAGCACATTCCGTACCGGGACTCAAAATTGACCAGACTTCTTCAAGTAATGATTTTTTGAAATCTATAATAATAATTTATTTTCAAAAAATTATGAGTGAAAGTTGTCCCAAACTTTCTCCAACCCTTCTCGCCTTCTCTTTACTCTAGGACTCGCTCGGCGGAAACACGAAGACGCTCATGGTCGCCTGCGTCTCCCCCGCGGATAACAACTACGACGAGACCTTGTCCACTTTACGGTACGCGAATCGAGCCAAGAACATAAAGAACAAACCAAGAATAAATCAGGATCCGAAGGACGCTCTGCTTTCTCAGTATCAGGACGAGATTCGTCAGCTCAAGGAACTCCTCGAAAATGGGGGTGGGGCAGGAGCTGGACAATTACAAGCCAACCTTATTCCGCTCGATTCTGTGGAAGCCGAGAAGGAAAAAATTCGCCAAGAGTACGAAAGTCAGTTGCACCAGTTGAGACTGAGTTACGAGTCGGAAAAACAGGGAAAGGCCAGGCTGCAGGCGGACGTGCAAAGTTTGAAGGACCAGTACGAGAAGGAGCTGAAGGAGAAGGGCAGCAGTGGGGCTGGGGCTGGAGAAAGCAAGGGAAAGCTTGCGCCACATCAAATTCCGATCAGAAGAAATTCAACCATTGCTCCCGACGTGAATCTTACGCCGCAACAGCATGAAGCGTTTGCAAGGTGTGTACACAATTACTTAAATTTTATAATGATCCAAAACTGAAATTAATACACTTTCACTTTGTTGCAGACTTCAAGAAATCGAGACCAACATGGTTGGAGGGGAGAAAGCGGATGATCTCGAATTGCTGGAAAAACGCCAAAAAAAGAAGAAAGCAGCAGAAAAGAGGTCCAAAGTGCTGGCTGAAACGTTAAATAGGAATGACGAAGATGACGCCTTGCTCATCAAAGCGTATGACAATATTCAAGAAGAACTTCGGGCTAAGACGGACGCGTTGAAGAAATCAAAGCAAAAGGTGAACCACGAAATTAATGATTTATTTTTTTCAATAAATAAATTGAATGCTAATTTTGATGATTGTTTCCTATTTTGACACGCTAATTAGATTCGAGCCCTTGAACGTGAGGTTTCCGACTTGTACTCAGAATTTCAAAGCGATCGTACCGATTATTTGGAAACGATACGCCGTCAAGACCAACAACTTAAACTGTTGCAGGCAATTTTGGACAAGATACATCCCACGGTTCGGAGGGATTGCAATTATGTGTGAGTACTATATTATATCGAAACAATTCTCTTCAATTTTCATCAATAAATTTATATTTATATTTACATCTAAAATTCCCCAGAAATATTGACAACATAAAATCCGAAGCTGTATGGTAAGTCAATTTTTATTTGTCTTCTAAAGAACGAAATTATAAATAATCACCACAAACGAAAACATTAGACAAATAGTAAGAAAAAATATAAAACTAGTTCCGAGCCTTGGACATTTTAATCTCCTTGCCAAGCTTGAATTTTGGGACTTGCTGAAGCAAAGAGTCATCAGGTAGAACTTGTTCTTCTTCACCATCGAAGTTAAAATAGTTAAATTTTGCTTTAGCAAGTTGTTCAGCATCCTTCTTATCCTCGGTGGAGACTGGTTCCGGGCGACTATTCATGAAATTGACTCGCATCCCCTCGAAATCTCGCTTATTTCTCTTCATGCCAAGTTTCTATAAATCACAAAACTGTTATATTGCTCAAGTAAATAAAACTTACAATTCCAAAACCTTCCAATCGATGGGCGTATGCATCCGACTCGATTACCGCTTGCTTTAGCAAATTTCCGGACAATGTAGAGAAGTCCGCCAGATTGCATCCGAAAATGTGCAATTCGAAGCATCGGAAGTCCTCGTCCAACATCTTCCACACCGTAGAAGAAGGAGAGCGTGGGTGATAGGTGGCGGAACGCTGACCACCGGAGAAATACCCCCAGTAGAGGTTGATGGAGAAGTCGGGGTCGTCTTTGTTGGCGAGGACGTGGGCCTCAACCTGGGCCGGGGTCATCTTATGGATTCCATCCCACTTGAATCCCCCGACCCAATAATTGCAATAAGACTTTTTCTGGAGAAATGCTTCCGAAACGAGGTCCGAATACTTCGAATCCAATAACTCGGCTGTGGAGAGGGTGGCCAGATGGTTGTTAAAGTTGCTGCAGCAAAAACAAGCATATTTTTGTAGTCGAATTATCATTAAAAACGTGAATGGGTCACTTACACAGCTGAATTATTGAACTGCGCGTAGGCAGGGAGACTTAACCAGGAGTTTAGGGTTGATTGGTCAATACGAAGTATTGCTCTAGCAAATAATAAAATAATATTTTGGTTTGGTTCGGAGAGAACAATGAATTACTTTAGCAAAAATGACAACTTACTTTCGACGAAGCTCGGCCAAGTCTTCCCCGACTAGGGCTTCTCGACGTTCCCTTTGTTTTTTATATTTTTTTTTACTACAGCAAAAGTTAAAAAATTAGTGAGAAGTATAATAATAAGTAATTTCCGACACGAAAAGTTTGTTCTTACTCAAAATCAGGATCCTTTTCTAACTGACGTAATCTATATTCTTTAAAGTATTTTTTTTGTTCAGCTCTATAATTAAAATGTAAATAACGTAAAATGAAAAATATGAATCATTTACCATTTTCTAAAGAAAAATTATTAATGACTACCTGAACTTTTCTTCGTTTTCTTCTAGTTTTTTATTTTTAAATGTCGAGCAATTATCTTTATTCTTCTTTCTACAATAAATTAAAGGATTCCATTTAAAAACTAGTAAACTATGCATACATTTTTGAAGACAAATATATCATTTCTAAAGAAAAATAAAAAATTCATACCTATATTCGTCTGCATTGTTTTTCCGCTGGCTATTTTTATATTTCTCATTTTGTGTCCTTTTCTTATTTCTTCAGAAATATTCGTTTTATATAAGACATGTGTTAATCTTACAATTTAGCACAAACCTTTCTGCAGGGTCCTTCATTGTACGATGGTAGAAGACTCTGTTTTGTTGATTTTTTCGCTCCCTATATAAAAGTTAAGTTTTCTTAAGAAATGATCAAATGATTCCTGCTTACAACAAATTTCCTTACCGTATTTGTTCCTTCGTCCATCCAGCCAAGCTGACACGCTTTGTATGCTTTAGATAGGGTCGCTTTTTCTTTGCTGGAGCAACAGTTTCTTCATCATCATCGTCACTTTCTGAAAAAGAAATAAACAACCACACTGTCGACTTTGTCACCCAAAGTCATGCTTTCTCAAGAAAAATAAACTTAAACCAACCATCCGGTTTAGATTCTTCTTCTTCTTCGTCCTCCCCCTCCTCATCAAGTGAGGGCCTCCAGTTAGGGTCACACTTCCCTTCTTTGATCAGGACGAAGGACGGTTTGATCTCAAATTGCTTGAGCAAATCGTCATCATCACTGCTTTGTGCAGGCGCCTTCCTCCTCGTAAGTGTCCTGAAATACTTGTCCTCTTCATCCTCCTCGCCTTCATCATGCGGCATGGGAGAATCTTCTTTCTCGTCGTCATTTCTAGAGAAAGAATAAACAAAATCAATTAATTGCTAAAGCAAAAGCATCTCAAAAAAATACCACTTACATTGAAGTACTGGGCAAGGGAAGCGATTCCTTGCCCAGACGAAGAGGAACCCGACCCACCTCCAGCGTCATTTCCTCGTCGTCCTCCTCACTAAAAACCACAAATAAATGTAAATTTATAAATAAAATAATTGAAACCCCATCAATTACTTACCTAGATGGGTACCACTCCGAAGAAGAAGAGTCTCCAGAGGAGGACGACGAGCTTGAGCTCGAACTCGAACTGCTGAAAAAACGATAAATTGATGGTTAAAATCTAATTGCTTTAGCAAAATATGAAAACACTTACCTCATTTTATAGTATTCTGTCGCCAAAACTTTTTAAATTGGACCAATTTTGATGCTATAATACTTAATTCGAATGTAAATAATGCAGGAATTGCAGATGTAGTTAAACAAAATGTATGCAAACGTTTGCTTAAGCAAAATCCACCACCACCGAGGTGGTCTCATTTTGCCTCATTCCCCTCCAACTTCATAACTCCGTCTCCATGTGCAGCATTTCCGGTTGAGTAATTAATTAATTGTACAAAAAATTAATTCACCACTTTCGAAATGGATTTTCCTGGCGTCTCATTCGATGATTATGCAAGTTTTCTTGTATTAATTTGCAAAAATGTAATTCTTAACGATTCACTATCGGAATCATAACTCTTTATTTCGTTTTATTTCTCGTGTTATTCACTACTTAAATTGTTTTCGTATTTTTAAGGAGAGGGTCCCTCTAAAATTTATAACTTCGAATTTTATAATTATACATACTTACATATGTAGACTGTATAAATCGTACAGTTTAATAATAACCTTATATGTACTTAATAAATTATTATTACACAAGCTTGATAAAATATTACAGTTGCTTAATTGAAACTAATGTGATCCTTATTGCATTGAATAATAATTAATTTGTTAATTTGATACAGCAAAAAGATCGAAACAAGATGAATAACATCGACTTTGCATTTGCATGATTATTAATTTTATTAATAATCATTTATTCTTAATTTAAGGGACGATTGTACTCAACGATGGAAACTGCCGGAGCTCCTCATCGTAAAGACAAAGCTACCCCCGGCTCTCACCAACGGAACAATTAATGGAAATCATAACCATTATCACACCAAATCAGACGGGGGAAGTGGGACCGGAAGTCATCTTCAACAAAATCTCGCAAATAACATGAATCGCGTCCCCTCAAAGACAGCTCCACCCAGTTTGTCATTTGACAATGAGGACGACGAGGATGAAAATCATCACAGCGTTCTTCTAAAAGTAGGCCGTTTAATTTTATTTTTAAGTTACAGAGAAAGTTTCAAAAAATACAATTATTATTTTTTCTTTAAATATAGAAATTCGAAAAGTGTGACAAGGACGACTTCACCGAGAACTATTTTAAACCAAAAAGAGCAAGTGAACTAATTATAAAAGCTCAACAGGACGCGAATCGCGTCTCCAGTAAGTGGGCCGGTAATAAATTGATAAACATTACACAAAAATACAATACATATTTATTTATTTACGACTACGATATAACACAACGCTAACATAACTAATAATTATTTTGTTATTTTGAAATCCAAACCACTAACAAATTTTTTATGATTTGTAAAAAAACTTGCTACACTATCAGTAATCTTGTAGCCTAGATTTTCCTTTTTCATGATTTTTTATGAAATTTTATTTGAAACTTTTACTAATTGGCTTGTTGCTTGTTTGCAGACATCGCTCATAAGCTCACTATTAATGGGAGCAATGGGAACAATATTTTATCCAGTTGGAATAATAATTACAACAATGGGAAGAATGCCACGTCCAATGGGGGAGCAAACCATCATTCTTGGGGGCCATCACCCGTGCAGAATGGGTGGGGTTCGGCAGGTATTTAAGACCACACTAATTATTATTCTAATATTCAATTAAATTACAATATGTAATTAACTTTTGGGGTTTGCAATTGACAGGTTTAACCGGATTTCTCTCCTCACCAGAAATGAACTCTCTCCGCCGCCCCACAAAATTAGAAGCACTTCCACTCGAAGCGACACAAAAAGGGTTTCGAAAACTGAAAACGGGCGCAGGTGGACAGGCAGAATTCGCTCAAGGATAGATACATTTATAATTAATATGCAAATTAAAATTTTTATAATTTTCGGATAATTAATTTGCAAAGGAAAATCAGATAATCGATTCAGTATTAAAAACTTGATGAATACCAAAATGCAACTATGCGTACAAAATTTTCAGCCCACCAACTCATTATATGTAAAATTAATAAAAGTAGTGCAACTAATTAATGTACTAAAATAGATATTTATGAATTGGGGAATATGTACTATTAAATAATTATCTAGTTATTTTACCTTATTGACTATGAATTTTGTCTTAATTTTATGCAAACATTAGTGATATGGTACCTGAACTAGAGAGACAACGACGATAGGGAATAATGATCACTTTACCTTTGTCAATAAACTTTAATTAAATTTAATAAATAAAAAATATTATATGCAATGCAAATAAAAACATGCGACATTTGAACATAATTAACTAATTTTTTAAAATAAATTGCGAGACTTCATTACTAATTCCAAATCCAGTGAGCAAATGACATGACTATTTATTTGCCAAAATATTGGTACACAAACGTTATACGCATAATAACGTTCGCAAAGCATATTTCATGAAATTCATCTGGCTTCATAAAAACTAATTATTTAGATAAATGACATTTAATGAAAAAGTGTCAGCATTTTGCCCTCGATTCGAGTGATTATCGATTCTCACTTTCACCTTGAAATAAATGCCAAGCATGAATCATACAACTCCATTCTTTTTATGCAGAATCGTCTTCTTACTCTCTTTGTAAACTTTCGTGGAGAAAGTTGTGATTTTTTAAAACCAATTCCATCATTTCCATTAAAAGCATATATGTATGTACATATATAAACAGTTCAAATTCAGTAATTTCACTTTTTTTCAAGCTAGATCTTTGGAAAAATTGATGCACAATAACGACGCCACTTTTATAAGACGCAAGTCGGGACTCCAAAATGACATCATTAGTTTTCGAAATAAGAATGAGGTGAATTCTGTAATGATGCAGATGACACTTTTATATACAAAGTTCATTCAATAAAAACATTTTTGATTGACGAATGAAATAAAAATGCACAAACAAATTGTATACGTATTATTTTCACTGATCATTTATTGAATTCTTTTTACTTTCTTCGGGTAATGTCATTTCATAAGATCATAAAATAAATCCCTTAAAGTCGATCTCACATAAGTTTCATATTACATGATAACAAATAATAATAACGATGTCTTTACGATGATATTTGTAACAATTCAATACTTACTAATTTGAGGTAATAAAATTGCTTTTAAAATTGAAATAACAATCAAAAATAAATTCAATCTAGTAAAAAATAAATATAACATGTATCAAAAAAGTAGGCAATTATTGTGATATTGAATAAATATTTTTCCTCTGCTGAGAATACAAACCTAATAGTATTTCGTATGACCTGACCTTTTCTAATAACAAAGTGACAACAAAGAGAGTACCAAGGCAAGTAAATTAATTAACAGCTACGTAGAATAAGGCAGCTCATTTTAAAATTAAAACTAACCTCGACGTTATACTTGAATGAAGGTGGATCAGAACAGAACTGCGTAGTATATTTGGTGCAATTGATACGATAATTTTTTCAAAACTTTAACATTATTTAAAAAATATGATTAATTAAACGGTGATGCAGCAACATGATATCGATACGATACCTGCAGTACGAAAATTATCGTACTGCAGCAGACAATGTGGACCAATGTTTCATAACGACGCGGACCAATGTTTAACGACGACGTGGACCAATGTTTAACAACAACCCGGAATGGGGGGTCATCTTACGGGAGTCGAGTCCCACCCCTCATCCCGGACAAACGGCAGAGCTATGGAAAGGCTTTTGCCGTCGCAGAGACTCTTATAAAACCTACATCGTCGTATTTTCTTTTATGTGAACATTGTGGAAGTCTGCTAAAATCGTATCAATAATATCGAATACTGTGCGACATTATTTCAGAGGGAGTGGAAAAAGTGCTGTGAAGATAGACGTGATTTTATAATACAAGAAAAATAGTGTTTAACGTGGGGTGACGCAATTTTGGGAATATGTATACCTAGAGTTATTTGACGTACGACCCCCCCCCCCCCATACCGTCTAGAGCTATGGAAAGGCTTTTGCCGTCGCAGATATAGTTGACAACCTGACAAGTAATATTTTATGTTGAGATACGTCTGATTTAATTCATTTTGCGGATGTAATGTCAATACCTAATGTCATCACATAATTATGGCTTCAGGTAAAACTGTTTGTATGTGATCATCATTTTAGGAGACTGAACTCCACATTTTTAATTGGAATTTAAATTACTCGTTTATACCCAATCTATACGTTAATACTTTTTTAACGTGGGCCGACCTCCTCCCTCCCTCATTAAATCAAGACCAGTTCAGAACGCTCTAGTTTGACCTGGCTATAAAACTGACATTTTTAAAACTAAAGATTGGGAGTACTCAATTTTATACCGTTAAATTGAACCGTAAAGTGTCGCTGCGTTTCTCCCTCATCAAATCAAGACCAGTTCAGAAGGCTCTGACTGGGCCTAGCTATCAAATTATGCAGTTTTACGAGAATTTTGGGTAGTCAATTTCATACAATAAAACTGCTACCCCTATTTACCTCTGCCTTTCTCCCTCATCAAATAAAGACCAGTTCAGAACGCTCTAACTGAACCTAGAAATCATGGAGTATTGAATGTTGCTAACAATTTATACCGTAAAATTGTAGCCCCATTTGTCATTTGTCGATGAAATAAATTACCTAACTAAAAGTGAAATACGCAGGGTTATCTGACGTTCGTGACTTTAAAAATGCAACAAGGTATTGCTAAGAATAAATTATTACAAATCAGTTCTGTTCTGTCCGCCCCTTTGATATGATATTGAATATCTCATTGGTCGAGGTCATATTGTCTAAATTAACCACTTAAAAAGAAAAAAAAATGAATGAAATAGATTTCAGAGATTATGAAAATTGATAAACCTAACTGAGTGAGAGTTCTTAATTAGTTGCATATTTAAATTACTAATTATTACTAGGAATGATGAAGATATCTGGTGTGGTGATTATTACTTTAAATGTTATTTTAGTATTGAAATTGTCCCGGTTTCAGTTGTAGTAGGAATCAATATAGAAGAACGTGATGATGACAATTTGTTGTGTAGAACTAATTAATTATTGCACCCAAGAAGCAGGCACCCAAAGTGACTCGTTCTCGACCTTCTTCACAATTTTTACCAAACGTTCAAACGCTTTGGGCAGGTCGTCGTTGATTAAGGTCTCGTCGAACCAGTGTCCATAGTGGAATTCAATCTTCTGAGCACTCTTTAGAATTTCGTGGAATTCGTCGTCCTGTTAATCAAAAATTAAAGAAAGCAACACAATTAGAATGACTTTTTTGAAATTTTCACTTTGACTGTTTTACACAGAAGGCGAGATTCATAAATTGTGCCTTAACACACAAGTTATGGAAATCGCCCAAAAGAAAAGAAAAGTTTGAATATTTTCTGAGAATTTTAAAAAGTCGGTTGAAACACTGATTTTAAATGTATGGTGAGAAGAAGAAACCTTTTTTTTTATACACGCACACCTGTTGACTGCGAATGAGAACAATTATGAAAAAGCAGCGAGTAGTCCATACATAATAAAACTGAATTGGTTTGGAATGGAACAAATTTGGTAAATGTTGTTAAAATTGCGAATTATTAAGCGCTACTAACATTCAATGTCTATTAAATTAATTTATTACGGATGGTTAAATTGATTGATTGGTAGACTAACTGTAAATTCATTATAGGCGCAGCTAAACTAGCAAGTTTTCAAAGCTGATTTTTCTTTCTAAACGCTTCTTAAAAGCTTGACCAATAAAACTGAGCAGCTCTACTAAACAATTGACTAGGTAAGAAATAGAGGGAGAATAACGTAAAAGAAAATAAGGGATAATAATTTCATACGTACGTTGAAAGCTCGAGAGTTGCTCTCGTCAAAGGTTGACTTGGCGTTATAATTATGACGGGATTGCTTGAGTACCTCGAATTCTGGAGGGGGTTTGACGTAGATTATGTAAGGTTTGAACTCAGGAGTGCGTAACATCTTGAGTGCTTGGGAGTGAGGGTTTAGAACGCAGACTTGACCCGCATTTATGACGGACCGCACCGTCTCGCACGCCGTTCCGTACAAGTTCCCCTTGTATTCGCCAAACTCGATGAAACGACCTGATTGGATATCCTCCTCCATTTTCTCTCTGGTCACGAAACAGTAGTCCTTTCCGTTAGTTTCTCCGGGACGTTGGGGTCGAGAGGTGACTATATCGAGTAATCAAAAATTATGTTATGATCATGTATTTTCAAAATTCAGAGTAGATTGTAGCAGTGTGGTTTTATATCGCAAAGATGATTTACATGGAATGGTGGTGTTGTATTTGTTATTATCCAAATCTGTGAGGCGTCGTTTCAGTTCGTTTCGGCCCACGCCAGGTGGTCTGCAGAATGGAGGAGAGAAAGATTAATTAGTTGTGGTGGTGGATGAAAGAATTCTAAAATTACAATTTATGCCTACCCGACTAAAACGATGGGGCGATGATGACCTGGGCGTGGATAGAGTTTTGCGACCTCTTCATATGTTGGGATATCCTCTCGATCGTAGTCGTCATGTTCTATAATGATAAGATAAATAAGAATTGCATTATTAGTTTAGTACAACATAAGACACAATTTATAAAAAGAAGTGAAAGAGACGAGAGTGGAGAGGCAGTAGAAGAACAGGAAGTGAGTCACAGCGAAAATGTTATAAAACTTACGTTGAATATCGTAGCCAATTTTTTTGCTATTTTTGTTAGAGCATTCCCCATTTCCAACTTCATTCAAGGGTTTGCAAGGCACGCAATTGGCTAGAAGTTAATAAAATCAATGAAAATAAAATAAATAAAATAGCCAAATAATTAATCATGCTGTTATTAATCGAATGCGTCATGTAGCAATTAATAAATTAACGGACAATACAATACGGTTTGACTAAATAAAACTACCAAGTACCAACCAACTCGCTACGGAAGATTACGGAATTATTACTACTGTGTACTAGCGAATGGGGTGGGTAACATCTGGACACAAAAATCGATAAGAGATCCGACAAAACAATACACAAAATACTACTGCTGATGGAAGTCAAAGTGAAAATGTAAAATTACGAATTTTGATCGCAACAGTAGAAAATTTAAAAACAAATTACAATTCTACATAACCAGAGGAGTCGAAAAATATACAAAAACTTTAAAATAATGTTTACCAGCAATAATGAATCATTATTAATGATCGCGACGCGTGGCATTTTCCTGCCATCATGGCGTCGTCATCGTGAAGTGCATTTTTGAAGAATTGAACAGCAGCACCCCTACCTAACTAACTACGTCGTCTTATCACAAAAAGCAGTACTTATCACAGAAACCCAACAACTACTTACTACGCCCCAGTCAGACTAAATATAGGTGACATAACTGTCGTTTCTTATTAAATAACCCAATTAAATGGAGGACGTCAATGACTAACGTCCTCCACCCTTCCTCCGCACTCTCAGCCTCGTACTGAAGCAGACAGTCCTAGGGAGAGCGTTTATATGGTAAAAGGAACAAGATGATGATGCTCGTCCAAACAGCCAATGGGGATAAGAGTGAGAAGAGCGTGGCAACTGAACTTCAAAGGTTCGAGTTATACGTGCAGTTATAGAAATAAGTAACGACTCTCATGCAAATGCAATGCAACAATTCGAAAAAAGATATAATGAGAAGGGGCTAGAAACTACTAACAGAATATAAATATTTCTTGGAAGGATGGAAGGGAGAAGGTTTAAAATATGAGTTTACGAGACCCTTCCTTTCTTTTCTTTGGGTCCCATTTTGTCGGCTTATAATTTGCTTCAGCTTCGTGTCAAAAAGGAACGAGGCAGAGAATTGAGATTTGGGGGTCATTCTCATTTATGAGAATGGGCTTGGGTTGGGAACGAAATTTTGCTTGAAGGGACGGTTATAAGCTGGACGAGACTAATTGAAGGACTCACCATATGCTTCTGGATTGTTGGTTCGCACCATCAGGATCCGTTTTTCTTGCAGGGATCTCGAAGGGATTAGTCCGGCACGCATGGTTCGATCACCCTCTCGGCGGGCTTGCCACCTGCAAAGGAACGTTGTTCACAAAATTTAGCCAGAACAATGGACTCCTCTTTGATATGGACAAACATATAAGGTTCAAGTTTCAGTTCAGGGCTCAAGGATAGCGGAAATTATTGTACAATTGCATGATGAACTTGGATTGTGAGATAAATTGTGAGATTATGTAAATGAGACTAATTGAAATTAATTTACATAGCTTCAACATACGTGTACCACAATTCTGATTTCTGAGTTATTTTTTTCAATTTAGGCTCAAATTTCTCAGGTAATTTTTAGAAATGGTTTGGGTATTGGTTTGCATGTTGGGGATCTTGTGACTTTTAAACAGGCATCCACAAGGGCAACGGAGTAAAGGTTTATCATGAACATGTCTGTTTATTTAGGATTATAAACAAATATTATTTACCAGAACCTAGCCCAACCCAACCAGATTTATTTTAGACATTTACATGAACCTAATAAATATTTTACATGAAGCCCTAATGAAACTACAGAATGAATCCTTGTGTTTCCCATGAGAATGTGTTTGTAATAATCCATGTAAAATTCCTACCATTTTGTCGTCCTATTGTTTTCTCACAAACCCAGAGAGTAAAAATAGTAGGGAAACAGGAACCTGACAAGTTATGCCTTTTGGGATTTAACTCGTCGAATTTAAGGGATTATCTGATCAAACTCAGGCCAGAATTATTTGCCTTCAAATCATAAATGAAATGTCAATATTGTCAACCCATCCTGGGCATGACCCCCAAAATAGGTATACAAACAAATAGAAATGAATTTTCAAGTTCAACCTTATACAAAATTAGCAACTGATAAATTCGCATTCTTACCAGTAGACATCATCCTGGCTAACGATGTGAAGAACGTCTCCCTTTTTAAAATCTAACCCGGCATCTTCACAAGGAATGTGGGGATCATCTTTTGACTGATAATCGAACAAACAACGGACTCGGACTTTGCTTTCACGCTACAAAAAGACACGAAATTATTTTGTTGCATTACAAAATAAGGAAGAATCTGTATAAAAAATTATGATTCAGTAATTCACCTTTAATCGACCCGAGTCGCAGGGTACCAATTTGAACGTGATGGTACCTTCGGATTGTTTAAGAATTTGAAGAACATCGTCTGGTGTTTTGCCCTCGGTTGTCAATCCGTTCACTTCAATGACCTCATCGCCAGGAAATATTAAACCGGAACGATCTTTAAGAAACAAAGTTAAAGTTATGCATGTAAGGATTTTCTATATTTTGCAAATTTTAGGCAATACTCACGTGCAGCACCACCGTGCATGACTCGGGCAATAAGAATTTTCCCCGTCTCGTCATCCTTTCTTATTGTAGCACCCTATAAAAATCAGATAAAATTGGATCAAAACTTATCGTAAAAGTATTCGAAAATATATTAATTGACACAATTGCACACACAAAAACTTTGTTATTAGCGATTTCCCCCTATGTAAAACAATATTAAGTAAGTCATTTTATTACAACATGCCCGAAAATGTTAATACGGAAAAACAAAAAATATGCAAAACATTAATACAGCTTATTTATTAGCGAAAATAAAGAAATTATGTGAGAAAAGGTTACATATGTACATTACACGTACGGAGAAAGTAAAGTGAAAACCACCCAGAAAATCATCTAAATTTTGCATTTATTCCTTACCACGATTGGCTCAGCAGTTCTGGCCCCATCCTATTTACGGAGTGGGTGGATCAGACAGAGGAGAAGAATGCAGCAATTTCAAGAAACAAATGCCTAAGTATTAATTAGTGAGTAACAACAACAATGGAAGTATTTTTCGTATTGCGCGTTCTTCTGGGGACATATTTTAAGTCACGACAATCGATTTACAGAGAAATGTGGTACACGTAGATGTTTTAAATATTTAACAGTGAGTCATTATTTACAACTTTCACCACCACAAAGTGGAAGATAAGTGCATATCTAGCAGTAAAGCAAAGAAGAATAAATTAACTTACCAAAGGTTCCGAAGATTTAACCAATTGAACAATTTTTATAGTTTCTTCTTCTTCATCCTCTTGTAGGACTTCGGTAGGAATTTCAGGGAGTTTCGGTAAATAATCTTTTTGTGCAATTATATCGTGCGAATAAAGTAATCCTTGAATGTGCGGATTTTGTAATAGTTCGAACACCTGCAGATATTCATTCAAAAATACGACAAAATCATATACGTATTCTTTCTCGGCTACCCGGATTCGGGCATTAAAAAAATTACTAGCTCTGCTCCACTCACCTCGGCAGCTTCGGGATTTTCTTCAGAATTTGATACTTCTCTTGCTAAAATTCCTAAGACTTCCTCCGTTACTTCGACCACATTTGAGAGCAGTGGGAAAAATCTGTCATCCTTTTGCAGTGGTTCGATCGAGTTGTGCACTTTGACGAGGGCGTGAAGTTCCCGTGATTGGAGTAAGTCACTGAGAAATGAGACCTCTTCCTCACATCCGGTCGGCAAGGAGCGGCGTGACTCCTCCAGAGAAACGAGAAGCTTGGACAGTACTGCAGCAAAAAATGTGGACAAAAATTAGGACGTAAAATCTAGTGTAAACCATTATTTTTTTGCGGTACCATTTGAAACTCATTACATAATTAAACATCAAGTTAAAGCACATTAATTTCAATAGAGCCGTCAATTAGGTATGCTTAACACTTAATTTAGATTAAATTTCGTCACGTCTCTCCATAAATTTACTGCCTGATTAAGCTAGTATTGGATGGAGCGGACCCTGTTTTATTTAACCAATCTAATGTCAAGTGGAACAAATCGTTTGACCTCAACGCCCATAATTTTATTTGTACATAAATTTATTTACAAAAGGTTGGTTTTTAGATTGATCCCCCTCTCTTTGGAATCCAAAGTTTAGACAAAGACGAAAAAACCATAAGTATTTAGTACTTATTTTTCTTCCTTTTATCCGAATTATGCAGAACTTGCAGTTTTAAACTGAAGAAAAAATTCGCAACTAAATAAATAAATTCAACTGAAGCCATGCATCCAATCCATCCATTAATATTTAAGTAGACGAACAAAGTTATCTCACTCAAGTAGTAAATGAACTTTCACCTACCCGGATCCCATCGACTATTGTCCAACATTTTGTCCCGTTCTGACAGCAACTTGTAATTGTTTCCTCTCTTCTTTTATCAAACTTACACGATTATTCTATTCTTTCTCTTTGTCCCAAATATAATATTTATATTGTTCTTGACACCGTTCTCGCCCCGTGTGTATCTACTACTTAACTTTTTACTCTGTCTGCAATGCGATCCATCCACTCTTATAAAATACTCTTTGTACTTAATATACGTCCTCTTTTTATTTGTTTAGCAGAGTGGTTTTGGATTGAGGTGTGGAACCGCATAAATTGGCACGCTGCTAATATTTTACTTTCTCCACGCTTCCATTTCAGTAAATTATTCTAAACGGAATGTTGGTCAGTTTTCTTTCCCTTTCTTTTTTTGTTCTCTGGTCGACGACGACGACGACTTCGACGACGGAGGAGCAAGGTGAATTAGGGTGGTGAATGTCATCCAAATATTAAAGTCAAGAAAACTGGGTCGATGCGGTAGACTCCACCCTCAACCTCGTAGTCTAGTCGAGAGAGAGAAAAAACTCCGAAATCCGGGTGGTGGGTTTCGCCCGTACAGTTTTACTCGCTACTTTCACTCCGAAAACGGAAAACCCAACCAAACTAACTAAACCTTCTTCGTAGTAGTAGTAGGAGTAAGTAAGTAAGAGAATGGAGGGTCTATGCTTCCTCTTGCGGGTATTATTGCGGAGATGGATTGGATTTTATGCTCAACTTGGTCGTATAAAAGAAGCAGATATATAGCAGCGTTTCGTTTCAAGGGTGGTGGTTTTCATGTTGAGTTTGTTAGTGCGGTGGTTTGGTCGTTTCTGTTGCTGTTTTATGCAGCACAGAACCAGAAGAGATGTTGTATGATATCCATTTTTCCTTTAACCGTGACATGTCTAACAAGGCACACAAGTAATAATAATAATATTGCATCAGAAGAGAGCTGTATAGCAGCAGTAACAGGACAAAATCGTACGGAATATGGAATAACGGTTGGGTGGTTGGATGTAGAAATGTCTGTATAAGGAAGGATATGATCTCTCTTTGTTCTATTCTTCTATCCCCGTCACCCGTCCTTTTCACACTCCTCGGGTAACAAACAATGTGCATAGCGGAACCATGAAGCAGTAAGGGTTAGGCATCCTCCTCTCTCGGCAATAAAGTTTTTCATGTACTGCATGCAGCAGAATTAAGAAATTTTGAGATCAGACAGAGATACGCGATTGTGTGTGGGTAATTAATTTATGGATTGGATTTCACAACAATAATGTGCTGCTTGGTAGATGAGATGACGACGGAGCATGAAATTCATGAGAGAACGACATCACAGTAAAACTTAGTCTAAATCCATTATGTGACATGGACATGAATTATTCAAAGTTTTACAAAGTCTTGGGCTGGATTAGATTAGCTGTGAGTTAAGAGGGGAATATAAGTGATCACATTTACGTATGTATAATTAATGATGAAAATGGAATTCAATTCAAATACGGTATGTTCGTATGTATGTAGGACTTTCTATCGATTACATTTCTCTCTACTGAACACGAACAAGGATTTCATATACCGTAATGAGAATGCAGACGGGACAAAAATTCAGATGGAATTCATTTCCATCAGTTGAATGTCTCACTTTATCTCTTCTGCTGAATATGCAAATAATATGCACATTTTTGTGACAAGAGTTTAGTCAGGTGAAATGAGACACAAAAGAAAGTACTCAAGGGGAACAAATATAAAACTTACAAAATGAACAATATTGCTGCCGGTGTTTTCAATAATTCTAAACAAAGCAATTATCTTAAGTTGCGATTTAAATTTAGAAAAATAAAATGAACACGACTTTTAATGTTTTTAATTCAATTTATTTCTTGAAATCCAACCATTCACACAGCGATGCAACATGATGATAAGCAAATTCATTAATTTAAGCTTATTCGCTGGCTATTTATTATACGTTATATTCGACTATTTAAGTTTTTAAATCACACGCAAACTTGTCGCCATTCCTACGTCTTATTATCCACTGCATCGACAGTGGCACACATTACATTAGAATTTAATTTCATGCCGCATGTTTCATGTTTAATCGTATTTATAAATGAACTAGTGTGTACTGTGTACAATAGGACCTGACTCATTCATAAGACGACACTAATTTTCTATATTTAATATCGGATCTGAGAATAGTTTTGCATATACTAAATTTTATAAATTAGTAATTCATGAAACACGACAGACACCTCCGAATTCAAACTCACTAATACATGAAGAATTCATTTATATCTACTCTTAATTAAGTCTCTCTAATTAACCTAGATTAATCTAAATCACACGAGATGGAGAAGATTGAGAATAGACGGTGGTTGAATTCAAAGATTAAATAATTGAGATGACGCGTTATGTAGTGACACATGTCATGACATAAATCGTTTTGGAATCATATTTAATTAAGGTTAATTACTAGAATAAATATCTAACTTTATCTGACGATAATCAATCGTATGCACGCGTATTTTTTCTACTTCTCTATCGTCGCTATTTTCTGCTCGTACATAAATTATTTCACTTTGTTGCATTTAGTTCGCTTCGTACCCTTTCGACTTTCTTGGTTTGCCTTAAATTATTGGTTTGTATCATATAATATGGCAGAAATTACATATTATTATAAACAAAACTGATGATAACGATACACAAAATCGATTTAGATGTAAAAAGTACAAAATTAAATTACAAACATTCCTTCCCACTTGGAGACTTGAGATGAAAACTTTGCGAAAGATTGACTCGGATAAATTTGATCAATTGACTTCTTTGAACACCACCAAGAGTAGTAAATATGAATGAGCAGATTTAATGAAAGTGAAATTGTAGCAAAAAGTTACTTCTTTGTATTTTTGTCACAACAAACATTGGATATTGTGAGCAAAGGGTGATGGAAATGTATCTATTCGTTTTATAAATGTTGAATTATTGTGGAAAATTTGTCAAATTAACAGTATAATTTTTGCAATAAATACGCATCCCAAAAAAAATATATAAATAAATAAGCGAAAGTGTTGGTCACACTAAATAACTATACAATCTATCGATGGCCAAAGTCTTTCTACTAATTTAATTTGCTGGCCCAGGGTAGTAGTATGGCGGTGGTCGTTCATATTCTCCACTTGCAGGTGGTGTATGATGATTGTTGAAGACGAGTTGAGATCCCCATGCCCTGTGGACAAACGAAATGAAATTTATATAATGTAGATACAATATCATAATTACAAAAATTGTAACAAAACAGCAGAGAAGAAAAGTTCCCAGGAATTTCTGTGTTTCTTTGTAGAAAGGTGATAAGGAAATGATACGAATAACAAAGATCTAAAACTATGGACGGAAAGCACGCATTTTTGTGTATCGTATCCAACCCTTCACTGGACAAAGTGACATCGTCATCATCATACATAGTAGAATCATCACCGCTCTCTGGTGCTATTGTTGTCTCTGCAGACGTCGTAGTGGGTGAAGTTGAGGATTGTAGAGGGATTTCCTCCTCGTGTTGAACTATTTTAGCGTACCGCACCGCCACCGAGTAGGAGGGTGGAGGCGGATAAGAGGTGTGGATCTCGTTGTCATCCTCCCCCAAAAATGCATTCCATGCCAGTAAGCCTCCTGCCCCAGCACTACAGTAACTGCGAGTGTTAGTAGTGCCAATAAGATATTAGAGTGTGCTATGCAGTAGTAAATAGTAGTAATAGTGTGGTAGCAAAATTATATAGAAATCTATAAAACCACCACCACAAAAATTAAAGAATATATGTATAAATAGAAATAAAATCATACTCATGCTGCGAATTATTAGTAGTAGGAGTATCAATAAAACGTAAATTAGTTGATCGTCGAGATGAAGAAGGGTGAAGTTGTTGTGAAGAAGAAGACCTTGTCGCATCGCGTCTTAATATAGATTCCAAACTGATAAATATATACATCCAAGTTAAATTAAAACGTTAAAAAATAAATGTTTGAAATAATTTTGGCAATGTAAATCGTCACGAGTTTTCTGGCCTAGCTAAAAATTAAGCAGGGAATTAAGGTGAAAAGGACCGTTATACCATTCGAGTACTTTCATTTTTATACAAAATTAATAAACAATAATGAGAGGAAGAGTTTAGGTCATTTTTTTAAAAGTCAGAGTTGCTCAGGGAAGCGTAGCGTGTGGCAATGACATACTTTTGGGACGTGTCTTCGAATCTGGAGGGGTGGTATCTGCTGTGAGCAGCAGCACTGGATGAATGCGAGGTTGGCTGATCACCGCTTCCCCCATTATTACCTCCAGCAGTGGCGTTACGTCCTCGCTTTTGTCGACGGCCGCTGCAAGAAGATTATGTTAGTTTATGAGTCCCACAAAACAAAACCATTTAGGAGTTTCAAAAATAGGTGGAAAGTTTTGTCCTTGTATATTGAAAGATTTCAAAATACAACAACATCCTCTATTGAAAGTTTAGAGTATTTGGTTGGTGTAAGTCACAATTTACATACATTTGTAAATAAGCAATTTTTGTTACTCAACTACTTTTGACAATAAGGATATATTAATAAGGGTTAAGAAGACATACTTATTCGCACTCATGGACAGTGGAATTGTGTCAGCGTCACCTCCATAGGCATTCGTGTAGTATGTTTCGCTGTAAAATACATTCACAAACACACCAATAAATTATTGTTAGTCAGTCATTCATACGACTCCGATCTAGAACTACTAATTGTATTAAACAAAATCCCAGAATATATATGTAAACTAAAGCATAACCTTTTAACTTTTTGATCTAACTACATTTTCCGATCCCCATGATTGACAATGTTTAAATACATAAATTAGATAATTTCAACCAAGGTAATTTACCTTTCATATCCGATATACTTGTACTTTCTGTACAGTCTGGCCAAAATCATACCGACGAGCAAGAGAGGGACGAATAGGATGAGGAGACAAGTCAAAGAAAACCAAAATGCGGAAAGGGGTGACCCAATCTTGAAAGTAAAAATAAAACATGAATGAGCGTTCGTGTGGTTTTGATAATGTAAGCGTTTGGTTTGTTTTTTATTTAGTTTCCACGAAACGATAGCAAAATTTATGTCACATAGACCTTTAAACTAACTTCAGGGATGCCCCTCTTCCATAGTCTACTTTTACGGTATACTATCATGAAAACCTCACCTTGTGGCAGAATGTGGTAGTCGTTGAATTTAGAGAATTGTAGAGTGGTTCACAATGACCAACACTGTCCCGGATCGAAATGTAGGTAAAGTTGGCATAGTCGTCAACATGCTTTACAAACTCTCCTTCAAATTCGTGTGCTAATTGGCGAACCTACAAAACGACAATTTTCAAAAAATATACATTGATAATTTGTTAAAAAAATATACTGTTTTTTTGTACGCCTACCTGCTGTCGCGCTCCAGAAGAGTGCAAACTACGCTGGGCTTTATCTGCCGAATCCGCAACGGATTTAATCCTTTGGGCTAGATCTTTCTGTTGATGGAATAAGAAACGGAGAGAGTCCGCCGCCTTCTTTACTTCGGCCACCATTGGTGTTAGTATCTTCTCCTGGAGAGATTCCAATATCAAAATTTCATTTTGGAGTCGAATCCTCACTTCTTGTGGCATGTCAAAATTTTCCTCGTCTTCAATTGTCTCATTGAAACGATTTATGACGTCGCGTAGATCAACAGAGACGATTGATTCTTCAAGCTAAACAAGATAAATTCATATACAACTCAATTGTGACCTTATCAAAAGTCAAAGTGTCCGAAGTATAAATTATCCTACAGCTTACATGATTTGCAAACTTGTTGAAATGAATCTTTGTAATTTTAGACTCGGAGAAATTTGCAAGTTGACGCTTTGCTTCCCCGCTCAGGAATACGATCCGTTCTGTAGCATCGTCTGGAAGGGTGACTTTATTTGCAAGTTGCTTCGCCTTCTTCTTAAATCGGTCCGACAGCATTGTTATGTCTTCAATGTTGTACACTGGTGCGAGACGGAAAGCAATGTATGCGCTGGCTCCATTCTTGCACTCCTTGACAATTTCATGATACGGCGGAACTTCATAGTTGTACTTGCTCTCAATGCGTAATGTTGGCAAGTTGAATGCAGTCTGGGTGCGGTTATCTTGGGCGTAGACGGCTTCACAGATTCCTTGTGTAAGGAGACCGGCCAGAACAAAGTGAACTAGCGCCACAGCCATGAGTATACCACCCGTTAGGAAGATAAAAAATATTCCGCTGGAAGTTACAAAAAAACTTAGTACACTATGCGAGTCCATCTTAATTTCAATTTGTGATTACCAATTTATGAAGGAAGAACCAGTCTTCCGGGAGCAACATTCATTTGAGTAGTCTGACCCAGGTTGTCTGCCACAAAATCCGACAAATATCCCCAACGTGAGTAAAGTAAAAATGAAGGATAGCGTAAGACACACACCCAGTACAGCGTAATATCTGTCAAATTAAGAAAAGTTATTAAAATTTCAAATCTATTATCCAACTTCAACTTGAAATACCTGTAGGGGGCATATTTCTTGATGATAATTTCACTTTCATGAACCTGGTCTCGTGCCGTATCGACCGGAATAGATTCCAATGCTTTTGTCAACGACTTGGAAATTTCGCCAAGTTCACTCCCAGTTTCAGAAATCATTCTTCTAATTTCTGGAAGCAACACATTAAAATCAAAATTTAAGAAAAGATTATACATATATTTGCTCAGTTTGATCAGAAGTCTCTCCATCCGTCTGACTCGGGCTAAAAATGCAGTTATTACCTGGAAGCACTGGTTCGATTTCATTTTTGATTGTTTGCCCAAGGGAGTTGAAAGCGCGCCGTCCTTCCTCGATACTTCTGCGAACGTCGGTACCCAACAGGAGGCCAAGGTCGCGAAGAATATCGGTCATATTGGGCAACTGTGGAATAAGGAAAATAAATATGTCAGATTCAACTGTTTCAGCAAAATATTATTGCGTCACGTTGCATATAGTAATTAATAAATTGCAATTAAAAAACATGCAAAACTGGAATACCGCATAATTATAAATCCCATGCAAATCATAATAGATTATGTAGTAACCAGCAAACAATACAGTTTAAGTGAGATTGCACATTTAACACGGAGTCTTGTAATTATGTTTATTCAAAGCAATATAAAGTTTCGAACTAGTGGTAAGTCCTTAAACGATGTAAACACCACACAATAAAACTTGATGACGAAATTGGATCCCATTTTATAAATGCCAAGCGTTTTTAGCACAGTTGATACTGTGACAATACCGTGACATAAATTGTAAGTCTGATTCTGAGTTAAGGAACATTGCAAAGTAGGTTTCCTTTGAGTGACGAATGTAAATGAACAAAACAAAATATCGTTTCTGCCACAAAGTAATACAACAAAAAGGACAATGCATGCACTCGATGCTCCATTTAAAAATTCAAACATTCTTAAATTCTCATTTGCATTCCGATAGCATGCTCTTGGAGGTGTCAACATCTCATTTTTATACCTTACCTTGGGATAGTACATTGCCAAAGCCTTTTTTAGAATCCGGCAGCATAATTTTAGTTGGAAGAATATTTTAGTTAAGTAATTAATGATTAGTTATATAGTTGTACAGAAGATGACATACAATTTAAACACCTTTATGCCATTTAAACACCCGGCTATGTAAATTGGGTACTCACGTTTTGGAAGTCATTCTGCACGCGCAAACTTCGTATTTCAGGCATATTCCGGAGATCCAAACATTTCTGAGATTGACATTGATCCAGAAGTAACAAGAGTCGGGATTTGCTGTCAGTAAGCCCATTTTTGAGACGGTCAACTTTGTCCTTGAGACTCTTCGAGGTGCGTTCAACATTGATCACGTTGTTCCGAACTTCTTCCACCGTGTCCACTATTTCTGTGAGATTATTCAGGGCCTGAGCACCTGCAAATTAAATGATCGTAATGTCAGACAGATTTTCTTTACAAGTTACATAATTATTTCCGGAACATTTAATAATAAATAACATGTAAATTGATTTTACCGGTGCGTTTCGAAAGCCCATTTTTGATTATCTCTCCGCTTTCTAAAATTAAGATAGCACATAAATTAGCAGAAAAATCATAATTGTGTTACAAGTAAATCGTATCGCTTTCATTTGATTTCGAGACACAGATTTAGAATTTGGACTCGAGTCGAGATCATGACACCAAACTGCATCACTACTGCAACGTCATCATCCTCCTAATTACTTTTCTCAGCTTTTATGAACCAACAATGCGGAAGTTTGTTATTTTCTTTGGATCGGAGTGACGACAGGTGTCAAATCTAAAGCTAAATTCAAATCCCACATTACATACACACATGTGTGCTTGCTTTCATTTCATCAAAGAGTGAGAGCTAAAAAATGTGCATTTGTCTGCAATCTGAGCGAGAAAAAAACAGGAGGATTATGATGATGCCCATTCATGATACCGTATACGCCGGTACGGTATTTCCTTTCCTATGCCTAATAATTTAGGCATACTCTGTTGGAGCAGGTGAAGAATGAAAACAAAACTGAGCAAGCCCTGATTACTAAATATGAGAATTGAAGTAAAGAAATTCACACACAATTAGACAAGATCATTCAACTTTAAACAATTTAAAGGTAAAGTTTAACGGAACGGGGATGATTCGCTGTCGCTCCACATAGACAGCAGGAGGGTAATGATTTGAATTGACACAATACGTGCAGTTTTAGTTCTGCAAAAAATAATGTTGACTTTGTCCTTTTAAAAACCAAACTACCTTAAAAACTTTCCACGATGCAATTTTCAAATAAAAGTAAATGATGTACTCACGATCTAGAATGTGATTAAGTGTGGTGGACAAAAGTTGGTAGTTATCAATGAAGAGAGTGCTGATTTGTCGTTCCTAAAAATAATTATTATACCCATCAAATATTGATTTTTTAAATAAAAATTTCCGTTTATTATGTTTATTTACCGTCGTGTTAAGATAAATGTCGACGTCGGCCAGTGAATTGTCCACCTCCTGCAGAATGAAACATAATTAAAAAATTGCTATCAAAAATACAGAAATCGGTTGTACTTTTTAAAGCTTTTCTAGTTTTACCTCGGGCATACGATCCACTGACATTCGCATTTGTTCATTTGTTACAAAGCAACAAACGAGGCCAAACCTGTGAATCAAAGTATCACGGCATAAATAAAGTAGTTCCAGTTTGATACTGACATTGCGGTTATTCGTGACGACCTCAACATTACTTATCAAACAACCTTCGTGTGCTTAATTTTCTATTCATTGGAAATTGTAGGATTCACACTAAAAAATTTTGTTCACAGGCAAAATCAATTATAAACAAAGTAAAAAAAGGAGGACCGGTCCATGAATAATATTTTGCATTTTCATTTCATAACGAGTCAAACAAAACAAAACGCAACTCTTATACAATCAAATCTAATCCACAAACTGGAACCAGTTTGCACGCCAAAAGGCAAGTGGCAAAAAAATACACCAGATGCAAAACTCGTATTAAGTCAAAACAAGAACCAAGTTAGTTAGTTCCATCTTCAGCTTCATAAATTCATTCTGAATCAAAAGATCTTCCTCGTCTCACAAGTTGAATAAAAATGCCATGTTTTCAATGGCAAGATCAAGGCGAATCCTCAAATTAAGGTAAAGATAAGTGTACAAGATAACGACACGAGTAAAGGAAATCAAGAGTGGTTATGATAATAATTACTACGAACGAAGAGCGAGTCACACAGACAGTAAAAATCATGCACTATAACATCCTAAGCTAGGATGTTATGTTGCATGTTAGGATTCCTAGCATGAACGAGACCAGATTTCCGTGCAAACGAACCAGGAACATATTAATTACTTAATTACTTTAACTAACTGATTTAAAATACATAAATCATCTCATCACTCACATAAAAACCACTATTATGCTGGCAAATAGAACTCCACAAAAGTTCCTCTTGCATTTGTCCCTTTTCTGTTCCAATTTGGCCGATATGAGATCATCCGAGTCCTTGGACCGCAAGCACGCCATGCAACATCCCTTGTCCCCACAACAGCACTTGCAGAAGATCCAGCCCACCCCCCAACACGTGAGGAGGAGGATGAAGAGGATGCAGCCCAAGACGAAGCCTAACACCCCCTTGTTTTCCAACACCACCCGCTCCCAATCCACCGTCGTGATGTTGAGGAGCTGCTCGTAGTTTTGGGCGTAATCAAGGAACTGGTCGTACGTGGGGAAGATTGCGTTCAGCGTCAAGTTTGAGATTTGATAAACGACTTGCATTCCGGCCGAGTTAAAGTCAGAGTTGGACCGCCACTCGGAGGAGGACATGTTGGGGAGGGCGAAAGAGATGGAGGGCTGGGTCAGGGGATTGGTCGCGTCGAGATCTTCGAGATTTGACTCCATTTTATTTGAAAAGGAAGAACTGGATCAGTTTTATTTTTTTAAGTTTCCTAAAATAATGTTATTCACAACGACTATTTTATTGATTTAGAAGAACACACACATGAAAGGAATCTGGGGGTTTCCTGTTATTCTTGATTCTCTTGCAGCAATGATATTATTATTGAAAAGCTCGGCAGGAATTGGAGCTTGATTACTTAAGTTCGTCTTCTGAATGGTTACGTAAATTAATTGTCCAGAGTTGTTGGGTTGGATTATTGAGCTTTTACTCTTTTGATAAAATAATCTTCTTCACCAAGTTCGTCACGCTATGCGATTAGTTCTAATAGAGGTTGTTGAGTCACGGGAGAGAATTATAGACCAAGCTTAGCTTATTTCCTTCCTCTCTGAAAGATTCGAGTTATTTTGCGAATTTTTTTTATCACTACGAACCCTAACTTATTTAGCTTTTTAACTTTTTAAAGTCAGTACACTCAAAATATTTATTGATTATTCCTCTTCTCCATTATTATGCATCTCTCTGATGTTTAACTTTGAACATTTGATGAGTCTTCTGGGTAGTCGATGATGTTAGGTTATGACATTTATCCTTGAGAAATTCAGGGAAAGAAAGACGTGTGGCATGGAATTAATAATTTTGTGGACAAGTTAGCTGAAAATCGGCAGCCAAGCTACTGCATACGATGCAGCGTTCTTGATTCTACTTCGTTCCCTTGCACCACGACAGAATTCATGAACTAAAAAAAGCTACATTATTCAATCTATTCAACAGTCACAATCAGTCCTCCGGTCCAGTCGTGCACTATTAAGTTAAACAACAACTACTCTTTCTCCTATTCATGCGCTTATTCGCTTCAGTAACTACACTTTTTTAGTCATCAAAGTTGTGAGCAGTTAGAGAAAATGTTGAATTATTTAATGTCACTCTACTAATTTTTTGTCATTTGCATTAAAAAATCATGAGCTGTTGAAGGATTATTCGACCGTCGTTTGTTCGTGAGTATCGTGAGAGGCAGGCGGAGAAGATGACGACGACGACGAAGAAAGAACGGTTTATTCTTCCTTGTATTTTTGATGTTGAGAATTTCTTATTCACTTCCCGAAAAGAAAGGAAGTGGGTCGATCTTCAGTTTTGCTTGTATAGTCAATTTTTAGTGAATAGCGTGCTGAAATTTGGCTTAATCTGTAAAAGAAAAAAACGTGTTGATTAGATGTCGATTATTATATAAGAATTTGCTATTATGCATTGTACAACCAACAAATAAATTGCAAAAACGGTTGACGCACTGCTTCAATTTCAAACTGAAATGGAATGACATCAAACCGCGAGGACTGCTTTATGTTAATGATTTAAATCAAATGACGAATAGTGACGATCCTATGTATTCGTAGTACCATGCTTGGTCTAGTCCCAATTTTTCTCAGCAGTAATCGAAATATCGAACAGCAAGTAGAACCACTCGACTCCGCCTGACCGCAAGGCAGCGAATAAATGAAATGAGTGGCATAAATGTGACAAATTTGCAACGGCTGTTTTGACAAGACCTTTAAAAATGTGGTGACTTAAAACCAAATCAAACCCACAAGACACCGATAAAAAAGTTGTAGCGTAACAATACTGATAAATGCAAGTAGTGAAATGCAAATATGCACACGCAAGGCAAACCAAGCTACAAAACAAGTCTTAACCACTAAATGGAAATGACATCAATACAACAAAACTAAACAAATGAAACATGTCCAGAGGTTGGCACAAACAAACCCTAACGTATGTACACAGTTCATTTTTTATGACATCAGTTTTTCAAACTATTATTCGTTACCCTCGCTAGAGGTGAGCGCGGGTCCAAATTTTAAAAACCCGACCCGAACCGTACCCGAAAATTTCCAAAACAAAAACCCGAACCAACCCGAAACCGCGGGTAACAAAACCCGAACCGAACTGAACCCGAAAATCATAAAAATGTAAAACCCGACCCGAACCCGAAACTGAAATTTTGTAATGACCGTGTATATATTATAACATGTCAAAATCTTAATATGACATTAACATTTGTGATAAAAATCAACGATGAATTTCCCATTAATACATCCTATTGGAGTTTTACTCCTAAATTTAAAACCTTGTAATAATTAATAAAGACTCAAACCTTTTGTCAAATAAGAAAAGTTAATAATTACCAACCAAAAACTGTTTAAAAGTTAATAAGCTTACAATAAAGTAACTCTTAAACAAATAAATTAAATACTCAAATGCAGTTAGATAAAGTGCAAATATATTTATGTACATACAGTATTTACTATATAAGTACACAATATAAGCACAACATAAGGACATAAGTACAAACATAAGTATATGCCTCCAAATTAAACAAATTTAGGGTTTTCGGGTTTTTAGGGCCCGAACCCGAAAACTCTTTTTAAAACCCGAACCGACCCGAAACCGTTTGTTAGGGTTTGTCAAAACCCGAACCGACCCGAAACCGTTATCGTTGAAACCCGCCCGACCCGAACCCGTTCGGGTTCGGGTTCGGGTCGGGTTTACAGGGTTGGACCCGAACCCGCGCTCACCTCTAACCCTCGCACGTACATAAAGGTTTTTCCTTCCTGGATTGGAACATATTTCGTCACGAACCCAGACAAGAAAGAGTCAACTTACCAATAAAATATTAATTATTCCCTTTTGTTGCTCTGTTCTTTCCTTGTATTCCATTCTACGCCAGAAGTTATGCCCTCGTTTAAATGTGATGTGATCAAAATCCTACCAGACTAAACCAGGCCCAGAAACTTTAATATGTATCAACCAACTCAGATATGAATTGTGAAAGCAGAAAAAATGAAAACTTTTAACAACTGTACGACAACAAGTTTTTCCCAATCCGAAAGCAAGTAAGAGTGAAGAAAATTAATTAATTTTTCTTGAATAAGAGAGGACAAGCTAAATAGATGATGCACAATGCAATGTAAGGAACCTTGTGAGCCATGCCTTCCATTCCAACCCATCCATGTAATATGACGGTGAAGTTTCAAAACCCAATTTGTATCACATTTCATTTTATGGAGAAGGAGCTCAGAATGCTTATGTATTTCCAAGTCGAATCTTCGTCGAGTCGAACCTGACTTATTATTGTCATTGCATGATTATAACTTTCGATCACACTTCGTTCCACTCGACTTTGCTTTGGCTTCAGCCCAAGTGTAATTTGGTGGTAGGAATTCAATTTCATTTCAAACTTCACAGAGTTGACGGTAACAATAATATCCACCAATATTATATTATTGTCGGCGACGTGACACTTTCACCTTTATACTCGCCACAGTAAATTCAATAAGGCTTCTCCGTTTCATGTTCTTCCATTATATTATGCCACAAAAGAGCCAGGGGCAGAGGAAATAGAAGGCATGATTAGTTCTATGTGACGAGAAAACTACGCCAAATTGAAGTACAAAACACTCCAAGTTATTTGGTTATTTCTTTCCTAGAATTTGCAGTTTGCTCATCTAAAAACAAAAAAGGCATAGCTGTCCAATGGTGAAATTAAAAACCACCGACGTGACCTAAACTTGATGTAAAAAAACGTGATTTTATGTACAATTTCATACCGCTGCGAAAGTGTACCAAAAATTATAGAAAATGTTTTTTTTAGCTCTGATCAATAAACAAGCAAAATTCTAATTACGTCAAAAACTGATCTAATCTCCAACACGTGCGTGTACACGAACGCCTGGATTGGATGGGTACAGTAAAAGAGTATTTATTATTGGTTTGGTCCGGTAATTTCAGTTTGAGGTGAAAGTGAGTGAAACCAGAAGTACTCGACTACCAACTGTTATTAAAAGGTTCATAAATAAAACGAAGATCCTTTCGCTTCCTTCAAAGCCATTCACATGCAAATTTAAGTATCCATCCCTCCAAATGCCAACCAACTAATCTAAACTGGATTACATACAGAAAGGGGTGTGGAGTACGTAATGTATAAATAACAAACGATAAGAGGAAAGAAAGGAGTTCTTTCATTCTTCATGGAGTTTATGGTTGAACACAGTTGTATGTATCCACATGCATACTCCGGCCTGCTTGGTCTGGCTCGTGTTGTATTGATTAAACAACTTTCTCTTTTCAACAGCAGCCGAAGCAGGAGTTTAACAGTCACAAACTATGTAAGCCAAATCCAGCCCAGAATATAGTCAGAGTTAGCACGAAGACTATGCACCCAACCAGATTAAAGCAGATACGATACTTATGTATGTATTCTGCTACGAGGAGAGAGTCCGGGATTGGCTTTTCTTCCTCCTTCGAGAAAAGAAGGAGGAAGAGAAAGGGTTGGGCAGGACTTAGGCAGCAGCTCAAGGCTATTTAGATCACGGGTGAGAAGTGGCAAGTAAGTATGTGGCACAGGACAAAATTCAGTTGGCGACAAGCGACATGAAAGAGATGAAGGAAGGCTGCAAAACAAATGGTTATTATTATCCAACCGAAAGTAATCCCACACCGGACCCCACTTGACGCTAGGTTGAAGATGATCCACTTTCTACTCCAAGTATCACTTTCACCACCGCAGGAAGGATTATAAATAAATGTCACCCATTTATCGATTTGTTTACTGGAACTGGAATTCATGGATTCTATATTTACCAGCAGTATATTTTGTATAAAAGAAAAATGAACCGTGCGTGAGACGACGAACCCACAAACTCCAATATCCTCCAGGTACCACCACGGGCAGGAGAATTAATCGAAAATCAATTATTTTTTGCATGTGAATAAACCTAACTGGTTGGTATTTAATAAAAAACGTTATAACTTGAACCCAAATTCCTAGTCGTATGGAGCATATAACCATTCATTCATTGATTTGCTAGTATCCCAGGTGTGCCATGTGTTATGTAATCAATACGACCAAACCAAACTGTGCTAAATCCTTTAACAGTTAATGTTCTGCGAGTCGAATATAAAGTGCGTGATTTATTGCCATTTTGGTTTAGTTGTAACTAAAGCAGAGATAGATAGGCAGGCATGAAAGCCAAGAAAGAAGAACCTCATGGTTTATATAATACAGCAAGAATTGGCATACGTTGAATAATGCTGTGGTGCTGGTGGTCAATGATCCATGAACAGTCATAACAATTATATCACCACCACCGAATACCGAAGAATTATATCTCGTTAAACCCTCTACTTTCCTTCCATATTCCTTTCCTGTGCAAAAGCTCCCATAGTTGAAGGAAGGTGAGGTCTTTTAGGTTGGTTTAGGTGACTATAAACCTCAAAATGACTATATACATATGAACAAGGCGAGAGCTCAGTAACCTGGAATTAATTTGCAACTCTCATGCCATACCATACCTAACACGGAAGGAGAGGAAAGGAAGCGTAGCACTACCTGCCTATACCTACCTGCAAAACATCATCATCATCATCCTGTTATCTAATCATCTTCTCCTTTTTACTACCCAAAACTCTGCTGTTCCTGGTCCGTATCTTCATAATCACCATATGCTCGTTACTTACGACTATGTATGTATGTTTCTCAACCAGCCGAGCAAAACCAAACTAAAGGCATAAAAAACCACCTGTCAAAGAGTTAAGTTATATTTATAGCTCGTATAAACATGCTCATCTTATCCTGAAATACACAATATTCATATCAGCAGCCACAAATTGAATAAATCTGGACATGGAGGAGGAAAATAAATTGAGATTTATTAGATCATCTCCCTCTAGATATCTAATCTAATATGAATAATGATAACAACAACATTCATCTCATTCATATCTCGGTATCGTTGAATAGAAAAGAACACGCTTCCTGCCTGTTGCTTCTTTATTTATCCAAGAACAGGACAGGTAAACAAAGAGATGAAACGATTCTGATTACAAATCAAAACTATTCAAATTCAGGAACGAAATTCATGTTAATACGCCCACAATTCACATACATGCATTTTTCTCTCATCATACATTCTCCTTATAAAGTAGCAACTCAAATAGAAATACTAATGGCAATTGCCATTAACAGATCTGAGCGGGTGGTTAAAAACATTTTGAGAATGACCAGTGAGTGACCAAAGTATTAACATTAACATAGCAAATTCACACAGATCAGATTTTCACCTACTCTCAACTTTCAACATAGCGCCTGCACAGGTGTGTATCTAAGCGGAAGCGGTACTGCCTTGTCTTTTTCATATTTATTTAACGGGACACTACTGCAAGCAAACTACATATGTAGGTGTGGATAGATCTGCCTATACATTTTTGGTCAGGGAAGTAGGCAAGCAAAAAATATTCCTTAATATTATTGCAAGCAGGGTACAACACCCGCCGGCTTTTGTACATACATACAAAGTATAATAAGTCACAATTGAACTGAATGCAGTGATGCACTTGTTTCGTCTGTGATGATTCAAAATCAAGCATGACGAATCGTTAACGACTCTCGAAGAATAACTTGGTTGGACTAAACTATAGCCAAAAATGAAGGCATATAGTTTAGCACCTCACCCGCAGTATTATTTTATACTTGCCCAACAACACAACAATCCCTTCTTTAAGAAGTGTTCCTATTCCTATGCAAAAGTGTGATGGGATTCGAAAAGCAGGCCAAATTTGAGTCATGAAGAATACATTCTATTCGACTCTGTCTTTCTGCCTTACCATCTCGACATCCTATCCACCTTCACCACATAATGAACACGTCCACCATACCACCAAGTCAAAGATGCAAGTAATTTAAGACGTGGAATGAAATCGGATTCATTATTGGATTGCGAATGCGATGGCGAAATGAAAAGCTCATTTGGGCTTCATTTCAATTCTCATGAGTCCATCGAATCTGTAATCTGATCTATGTAGCCACCATTTTCCTTCTCGTGGTCTTCGGTCCCACAAGTATTTGATGGTGTTAGATGAACCTCAACCAGATTCTAATATCATTTCACATGTGAAGAGATTTTGTGGTTAGTAAAAATTAAATGTTTACTGACTACACAGACTGATAAAGAATTATCTTTCACAATTCGTTATTCGTGCACAAGAAATAAAGTACAGAAAAAACTTTTTTTACAATTTGATCTTTATATGTACATGATTTTATGCGAAATTGGTCCCTCTTTTGCATTTTATTCTTGCAAATATTTCTTAAATTTAAAAATTATCTGTGTTTTACTTTGTGGGAGGAACCTGTTTGGTCTCAAACAAATAAACTATTTGAACAAAGTCTGAAAATGTGGAGCAATTAGCATTGAAATTTTACTTGAAGCTTGTTTACTTTAATCTAATTTAGTTTCGTCCAATTTCAAACCAGTTTGAAATACACATCAAGAATGAAACGAAAGAAATGGTCCAATTTATTTTTTACAGTATCAAAATGTCAATATTTAATGTGACAAGTAAATAATATGGTAAAAATTCTGTCTTTACTGGTGGGGTGGGCCAGGCCAAGACATAAAAGTTTGTTGGACATGCATATTTTATATAATGTTTCAACATCTTTTTCACTTTCTTTCGCCCTTGTCTTCAAGAAATACGAGTTTTACTTTACTTTAATTTTTACTTTTCACAGTTTATTTAGCAATTCAATTCACAAGTCAGTCGTCAAGATTGAAATAAAAATTATGACGCTTTGCTTGCTACTCAGTATGTAATTGGTAATGCGAGTGGCAACTTACTGACAATTGCAGTCAACTCTTGTACCACCAAGAACTACTACTGCTTGAGAAGAAATTAGGAAAGTATGCCAAGTCAAGAATAAGAAAAAGTGAGTTGTGAAGTGGTCTGTCTGCTACTATTAGTATTCGCGTGTCGTAAAAACGGGTGTGACCAAACTAAATTTTACGAAAAAGTTGACTGCAGCCGGTTGCAACTATAAGCGAAGTTTAATCTTGATTGAGGTTTAAGTATAAATCAATCTAGATGCAACTTAATTATTTTTTTACAAACTAGGCGCATGCTTGTGATAAAATCATCGCGGACTCAAAAGGAGAGTAATTTGTATTCAATTTTCTAGCTAGATTTTATTGTTACACTTTCCACTAAAAAGAAGTATGTATAACAATAAAACCAAAATAAATGCGACCCAAGGTTATTGTTTGATGATGCATATACCCGACCCAACCCACCCAGGCTAGTAAATGCATTATCGAATTAAACCCATGATTAAAACAAAAATGAGACCGGATGGATGAACTGAACTGATGACAGAAGAGATGGACAACAGGGCGGAGTGGTCAATGGATTGGATGTGGATGGATATGCAGACAGGCGAAGTGACCATCACCAGATGGACCATAAAATTAACATTGTATGCATTTCAACCAAAACTGAAACTGGTGGTGAAACGAAAGGTCGCCAAACCTCTGACACAAAAAAAACACTACAACAGAACGAAACGATAACAGAACTAACACACATTAAATAAATATGAATCATCAAATCCTTATCGTCATTAAAAGCCTCGACGAACCACTGCTTGAGAACAAAAGAGTAAACAAACTGAAATGAAATATGTTGCTGTATGGACGTACAAAAATACATCTCTCACTTTTATGTCTGTCTGGGTTATGATTCTATTATTGTCCAGAATAGTAATTAATTCATCTATCTATGTACCTATATACCACGCACTCTTGTTCTTTTAATAGAAGTGGAACATTATGCTATGTGATATCGTCACATCAAATCAATCAGCAACGACGATGCACAGTTAATAATTTACGATTTACGACAATGCACAATGGGTAATTAATTTAGTTTATAGTTTAGTTTAACTAAATAATTTGGTCTGAGCTAACGAACCCACTCAGGGTCGATGGAAAATTGACATGCTACGACAATTGAAATGGGCATCGTCGTCGACATGACGCCATGAAGCCAGAACAAATTGACGTGATATGAAACAACTTGAACGTAAAGGAAATTGAAAATGACTTACTAGCATTAATCGGATCCAACTCCAGAGTGGGAAGGATTAGCTTTCTTTAATCACTACACTGATTAAATATAATTAATCCACAATATACGAATGCACTTCCGTTCGGAACTATTTCAGCAGTAATGGTCAAATTAAGTTATGGTCTTCATCGATAATGTAAAAATTATATGTTCACACTTTTGTCCTAACAATTTAACTGAGCTCTGCAAACACGTCACGTCACATTGCGACACAATTTCATCCACCAAGAACGAAAGCTCGAACAACAATTAAACCTACGTAAAAACGAATACGAAATATTAAAATGAAATAAAAATTGATGACTAAGCTACACCGCGACCGACCACACACATTCATTATCTGATATGAATATTCATCACACTTCACGAAATGGACCACTTACCTATTTTATTGATTCTACTGGGCTATGATGATAGTCTCCACTTCCTGTCTGCCTGGTCGTCCGATAAGCCTCAACAGGAGAAGGCTTATCATCCTTTTGTTTACTTTCCTCCTAGTCCTCCTATCTCGAGCCGTGCGTGTGGTGCTGTTGTTGAGCTGGGACGAGCGACTGACTCTTTTGTTCAGCAAAGTGAAGGCTCAAGTAGCAAGTTTTCGTGGTGCGGTGGTGGTGGATCAGGGCCGGACTTTTGTCCCCACGCAATCCACCATCGTCCCCAAATGTGACGTTATTTTGATGATAAGCAAACTTACCAAAACTTGACTATGTTTCCACCAGAAATTTTGGACAATTTTATGCCTAATTTTGGAGCAGAGTTTCTTGTCCCGAGTTAAGCTCGGTGGTGCTACGAAAGGGAAAGATGTGCCATCTGATGTGTGTATGCTTAGGTAGGGATTTGACAGGCAGGCAGGCAGCCAACTTATTTCAACTGACTCACGCTATCATACTGCATAATATTCATTTTGCACATCTTTTTGCCGACAATTCACAGTTTGCTAAAAGAGTTAACTACCCGTACTTAATTTGTAGGGGGAGTAGATCTGGATAGGAAAGATAAGGTGAGGTTATTCGACAGTGTCGGGTTGACGCAATAATTTGCCCGTCCTCTATTAAAAATAGTATTATTTTATTTTATTTTTTACAGATTGGATTAATAAGGACGTTGACTTGACGTTGACGGTCATCGTCACACGTTCCCCGTCGTCGAAATGGCGACGACAGACGGGGAGCCAACTTCCATGGTGGTGGAATCCTCTGCCCCCACTCCGTCGCTGTCTGACCCCACCGCCATCGTAGCTTATATTCAGCGGGTAGCATCCAGTCTTTTGGAAGAGGATGATTCTTCTTCGTCATCCGGTGGTTCCAGCCTCGCCTCCGTTTTGCATGAACATGCCGACGTGGTTCGTAAATTTATCGCGGATCCCATGGCTAGGTCACTCTTTGTGCAAAAAATTTCCAACAAGGGTAATAATAATAGCTGGTGGATTTATTATTATGGATGAGATTTGGTCATTTTAATTGCAAGTTGTACTCCAATTTTTATAGATGAAGAGCGAGAGGACGAATATCTTGTAACTCTTGGTGCTGTCTTCACCTCCGTCCGAGCCGTGGGTGTGATCCTGATAAAACGGGGGAACTACATTGAAGGCGACAAATCATTCGGCTCTCAGATTCGTCTTGTCGTCCTCAACGAGGGATCTCCATATGAAACTCTGCACACCTACATTTCTTCCGGGGTGGCCCCGTTCTTCAAGTCATACCTTCAGGAGACAGGGAGATCCGCAGAGTCAAGTAGTGACAAACTCGCCCCCTCCGTGGAGAAGAAAATGGCCGAGTTGGAAATGGGGCTGCTCCACCTTCAGCAGAATATCGACATCCCAGAAATATCTCTGGCCCTCAATCCGATCGTGGCTGCGACAGTGTCGCAATGCGCAATGGAGAATAGACGACCAAAAGTGTCCGATTTTGGAGATCGGGTGGAGGACTCGAAATTTCTGAATGACTTGCAACATGGAGTGAATCGGTGGGTGAAGGAAATTCAGAAAGTGACCAAGTTGGATAGAGATCCGTCGAGTGGAACGACTTTGCAGGAGGTCAGTTTTTGGCTCAATTTGGAACGTGCTCTCCTCAAGTTGCAGGAAAAGAGGGAGTCGATCGACGTGGAGTTGACGTTAGAGATCTTGCGACATGGAAAGCGGTAAGGACAAATTGAATAGTTGCAATTTTAGAGTTTAAAAAAAAAAAAACATAATTACATGTGTCCCCAGATTTCACGCAACTGTTTCCTTCGACACTGACACCGGATTAAAACAAGCCCTCGCCACGGTGAACGACTATTCTCCTCTAATGAAAGACTTTCCCGTTCACGACTTACTCGCAGCTACCGATCTGGACAAAGTTAGGACTGCGTTGCAATATATTTTTGGACATTTGAGGAAGATACGGAACACAAAGTATCCAATTCAGAGAGCGTTGCGACTCGTTGAAGCTATTTCTAGAGATTTGGCGACACAGTTGCTCAAAATTTTGGGAACAAGAAGGTATACAATCTAATCTTTAAAAATAATTTCAAGTATGGGGTTTATTATATTTTTTAAAAACTCAAGATTGATGATGGTCCCTTATGACGAGTTTGAGCGGGTGATGGCCTCCTGTTTCGATATTTTCAACACATGGGATGAGGGTATGTACTTATTGAATTATATGAAGCATACAATATCAAGTCATAATAAATACTCTTTTCCCTCTCAGAGTACGAGAAACTTCAAGGATTACTAAGGTGAGTTGACTTTGAATACAATCTAATATGGATTTTTTGTCTAATTATAATATTTTTTATCTTCTGTAGAGACATCCTCAAGAAGAAACGGGACGAAATGAAACTAATGTGGAGAGTTAACTTTTCTCATAAAAAATTACATATTCGAATGGAACAAATCCGGAAATTCAGACGACAGCATGAGCAACTTCGCTCCGTGATTGAACGAGTTCTTCGTCCCGATCAGGAAACCATGGTCGATGGGAATGCACACGAGGTAATTAATATGCTTTCACAAATTACTAAGATATAATGAAGAGGTAAAAACTAGAAGCTGGATACATGATGATAGTGCAGGGGTCCTGAAATCAGTCTTACTGTGGGCTGAGGGGAGCAGAAGTTCGGAAAGTCTGAACACTGCGACCCGACAACGCACCAACTGAAAATATTAAACATAAAAATCTACATATGACCAACCTTTGTGTGAAATCACAATTATGAAAAAATAATCTAACCAATTCTATTTTAAAATATATTTTCAGGAAGTCTCCAATGCCTACTCGCTCCTCGAGCAGGTCGAGGCTCTCGAAATGTCTAAAGAAGGTCAAGATGTCTGGGACGGAGCTGTTCGTCGTTATAATGAACGGGTTGACACGGTCGAAGCAAAAATTACAGCTGCTCTACGAGAACAACTCGCCACGGCCAAGTCAGCGAATGAAATGTTTCGTATTTTCGCCAGATTCAACGCCCTCTTCGTCCGCCCCCAGGTAATTAATTATCAACACTATATATTATAAACTATATTTTTTTTTCAATAAGAAACATGATTTATTATCATAGATTCGAGGCGCCATCCGAGAGTACCAAACACAACTCATTCAACGCGTTAAGGACGATATTGAAGCACTCCACGAGAAGTTCAAAACGCAGTATTCTCTCAGCAAAGCGTACAGGATGAGTGAACTTCGCGACATTCCGCCTGTGTCAGGATCCATTATCTGGGGCAAGCGTCACATGAAACTAGATTTATTTTATAAATATGAATTACGAGAGATCCCAGTTTTGTTGAATTACGTCTTGCTCGTTTATATTATAAAATATTTTGTCTCTGTTTTTTTGTTTACAGCGAAACAGATTGATCGTCAACTCACCACTTACTTGAGGAGGGTTGAAGCCATTCTCGGATCTGGATGGGAGAATCACGTCGATGGTCAGCGATTAAAAAGTGACGGAGACAGCTTTCGCCTTAAGCTGAACACGCAACCAATTTTTGACGAGTGGGTGGCCAAAGTGCAACAGAAGGATGCAACCGTGACTGGACGGATTTTCGATATTGAGCAAACTCGAGGAAGGACGGGGGCAGGGAAGCAGATTTTGAGATTGAAGGTTAATTTCCTCCCCGAGATTATCACACTGTCGAAAGAGGTGCGAGAATAAAAAAAAATAATACAGAAAATAATGATTTTGTTATGCACAATCAATTCTATTCCTTTGAACTTTGACAATTATATAGGTTCGACACCTAAAGAATCTTGGCTATCGTGTCCCATTGGCCATCATGAACAAGGCACATCAGGCCAACCAAATGTACCCTTTCGCCATTTCCCTGATGGAGAGTGTGAGAACGTATGAAAGAAGTTGGGAAAAGGTATGTAGTTGGTATTGTTGTATTGAAATGTTGTGACGATTTATGGTTTTGTCCACTTTTTGGAAATTGTGAAAGTGTAAAAAGTTTGTGTCAGTCTGATTTTGATGTCGAGATTTTGCACTGTTTGAATTTTGGGGTGTACATTTTTTTCTATCGGGTTTTCTCCCTGTTTTTCAATTTTTATTCTCTCTCTACTTTATCTAATCCAGGTCCAATCCCGTGCATATAATTGTACAATTGCACAACTCTATTGTTACGACCACTATTTGTTGTATATTTGTTTAAAACCTCTTCTTTCTGGACCTGCTATATAGCTTGTGAACCGGAGTTCATCGACTTATACCTCGTACCAGGTGACCTATACCTAAAAGTAGCTTTTGTTCACCTATTTAGATACTTTAGACTTAGTTTTCTAGCCAATAGCGTATATACTTTGGTAAAATTGTTAAACAGCTTTAGCCTTACACATAGTTTATTTTTTGGTTTGGTCTTTGGGGGTAGTTGGTTATGGTTATTCGTTGGTCCTGTTCTATAGTCTTTAGTGGTGTCCTATATCCTATCCTTATTGTTTTAGTCGTTTCGTGACCATCGTAATTTTTTTCAGTCTCAGAAATCGATGCTAATGGTACTAATTCATGGAGGCAACTCGTTGCAAAGGCGTACCACACAAATTCATGAAAATTTCTGCAAATAAAAATAATGCCACTATATTTGTCGCTGTCACTGTGTTGGAAATTGGTAGTGCGTGCCACTAATTTTAACATAATTAAATTACTACACGAGTACACTGTACGGTGTTTGTGACATAACATTGGATATAATTTGCTGGCTGCTGATTAATTAACTGATGCTAATGTGTTATCGTGATTAATATTATATTTAACGTTTTTTTTGCTAAAAAACGTTACGTTTCTTTTGTTTTGCTAAATTTAGATTGAAGATAGAGCAAATGTGACTCTATTGGTGGCAGGAAGTCGTCAAGAGGTGCACATCATGATTCAAGAGGTGGGTGAATTAACCAGAATAATATTCATTCATGTTAAAATTGAAACGGAAAATTGAACTGAATTTAACTCCTTTGTTGTAGGGAATGGCACTCGTCTGGGAGTCGTATAAATTGGATCCATACGTTAAAAAGTTGTCCGAAGTCGTGTTTCAGTTTGCTGAAAAGGTGAGCTAATACGAAATTTAAAAAAATATATACACTTTTGTAGAAAGATTTGTTAATTTTATTATCTCAGGTTGACGAAGTGCTCAGCGTCGAAATGCAAGTCAGCGTGGACATTAAACTATTAGAAAGCTGTGCCTATTCTGCCAAAACCTTTGGTGATATTCTGGCCAAAATACAAAAGGCTGTCGATGACCTGTCCCTAAAACAGTACTCCAACCTGACCAAATGGGTCCAACATATTGACACCGAAGTGGAGAAACGGCTCGTCAAGCGGCTCGAGGCTGGAATCCAAGCCTGGACGAGTTGCTTGGAAGAGCGACGAGTAGAAGTTGAGGATCCTGATGACATGGAGGACAACAAGTTGACCCATAAACTGGGTGGTGATCCAGAGGTACATAGGTTTAACTGATCATTTGAAAGATTAATTATATAAGTATGATGACAACTCTGATGTTGATTTCCCATGATTGATTCGTCTACAGAGCTGAACAAATATAATTTGATCAATATAAATTCAATTTTTTCAATAAGTTTTTTTTTAATTGTGAGCTAATTTTGGGGTGATTTCTCTGCATATTTAGTTGGGCGAGCTCAAACTGGAGATGAGAATGACTCAACAAACCCTCTGGGTTTACCCCGCTGCGGAAGAAGTGCGTCAGCAACTCCTGCAAAAACTCTTCGCCTGGCAAGCCATCGCCACGTCTCACCCTCGTATTCAAAGTTCTCGGTATCAAGTCGGTCTGGAGAAAGGGTTCGCAATGAGTTACAAAGACCTGTTGGCAAAACTGCCCAGCAATTTGGGGACCTTAGCCTCTGCGTATGAAGCCATTGAGAAAAAGATGTTGGAAGTGACCAATTATGTAAACGAATGGCTGTGTTATCAATCATTGTGGGATTTGCAGCCAGATCAACTTTACGGAAAGTTGGGAGAAGATATGAATCTCTGGTTGAAGTGTTTGGCTGATATTAAGTAAGTTTGACGAAAAAAAAAATGATTAGTATAATCGCAGTACTTATTAAAATAATCATGTTCTCTACAGACAAACTAGAAGTACTTTTGATACAGCAGAAATAAAGCGAACCTTTGGTCCGGTTACTATCGAGTATGGCAAAGTACAGAGCAAAGTGTCCTTAAAGTATGATTCCTGGCATAAAGATGCCCTTGCCAAGTTCTCTGCATTATTGTCATCTCATATGATCATGTTTCATACGGAAGTGGCCAAGGTGAGAGCATACCCATGTTTTTACTTGTTTATCGTTTGTAAATGTTTAACTAATCGGTTATTATTCTGATTTATTATTTAGTCTCGCACCGACCTTGAAAACCAATCCATCGAAACTTCCTCCACTTCTGAAGCTGTTGGACTCATCACCTACGTGCAAAACTTGAAAAAGAAAATGCTCGAGTGGGAGGAAAAGGTCGGCGTGTATAAAGAAGGTCAGCGAATGTTGGAACGTCAACGCTTCCAACTTCCAAATAACTGGCTCCACATCGATTCGGTAGAAGGAGAATGGAGCTCCTTCTCGGAAATATTGAAGCGAAAAGATTCTTCCATCCAGACTCAAGTGGCCAGCTTGCAATCCAAGATTATGAGCGAGGATAAGGCTGTTGAGGTCAGAACAGCGACATTTTTACAAGATTGGGAGAAAGAAAAGCCGGTCAAGGCCGATTTCAAGCCAATGGAAGCTCTACGACAGTTACTCCTCTTCGAAACGCGGTACACCAAGTTGAAAGAAGAGCGTGGCAATGTGGCGAGGGCAAAGGAAGCCTTAGAAATGACGGGTGAGTTAAATAATCATTTTAATTCTAAGTATTATTGAAATATGATGACAACTTTGATGTTGATTAACCATGATTGATTCGTCTACAGACCTGATTTAATTATTTTGTACACTTAAATTTATTGATTTAAATTTGCATTATGCATTTATAAGGAATTCATTATTATGGTAGGCATTGGATCCGAAACTGACGACCGTTTCGCAATCTCTCTCGAAGAACTCCAAGACCTAAAAGGCGTTTGGAGTGAACTTTCCAGAGTTTGGGAGCAGATCGACCAAGTTAAAGAAACTCCCTGGCTTTCCGTTCAACCGAGGAAAATCCGAGGGCAAATAGACGCTTTGTTAACCCAACTGAAAGATCTTCCAGCCAAATTGAGACAATATGCATCCTACGAACATGTGAAGAAACTGATTCAAGGATATGCCAAAGTGAACACGCTCATCGTCGAATTGAAATCCGAAGCTCTGAAGGAACGTCACTGGAAGACACTGATGAAGTCTCTCCGCGTCAACTGGAATTTGAACGAGTTGACCCTCGGACAAGTGTGGGACGTTGATTTGCAAAAGAACGAAAAGACATTGAGGGATGTCATCATCGTGGCGCAGGGAGAAATGGCTCTGGAAGAATTCTTGAAGCAAGTTCGAGAATCATGGCAGAATTATGAGTTGGAGTTGATAAATTATCAAAATAAGTGCAAATTGATTAAAGGATGGGACGATTTATTTAACAAACTAAAGGAACATATCAATTCCGTCGCAGCGATGAAGTTGTCGCCTTATTATAAGGTGGGTGCCTCTAGAATATTAAGTATTACCGTATTAAATTTAAATTAGAAATTAATCTTTTATTAGATACAAATTGGTCATGATTTATATGTTTTAGGTCTTTGAAGAGGAGGCGACCTCATGGGAAGAGAAACTTAACCGCATCCTGGCCCTATTTGATGTTTGGATTGACGTACAACGTCGCTGGGTCTACCTCGAAGGAATTTTCCTGTCGTCTCAAGACATCAAGGCCCTCCTTCCAATGGAAACCTCTAGATTTCACTCCATTTCGGCTGAATTCCTCGGCCTCATGAAACGCGTCTCCAAATCTCCCAAGGTCCTCGATGTACTCAACATCCAAGGCGTGCAACGCAGTCTGGAAAGATTGGCCGACCTGTTAGGAAAAATCCAGAAGGCTCTTGGTGAATACTTGGAACGGGAGAGGTCATCCTTTCCTCGTTTCTACTTTGTCGGTGACGAAGATTTGTTGGAAATAATTGGAAATTCAAAGAATATTGCAAGACTGCAGAAACACTTTAAGAAAATGTTTGCTGGGGTTAGTTCAGTCATACTGAATGAGGATCAATCTACAATCATGGGAATTGCATCGCGAGAGGGAGAAGTCGTAATATTTTTGAATCCTGTGATAGTCACGGATCAGAAAGTTAATGAATGGTTAAGCGCGGTCGAGAGGGAAATGCGTCTCTCGCTTGCAACTTCCCTAGCCAAAGCCGTCAACGAGGTGGCCCAGTTCAATGAAAAGATCGATCCTAAACTATTCATGGAATGGGTGGATCGATTCCCTGCTCAATTAATCAACCTGGCGGCACAAATCTGGTGGTGTGACGGAGTCGAGGGTGCGATCGGGACGAAGGGCAAGGTGGAAGGGGTAGTTAAAAGGGTGGAGGCGACGTTGACAGTTTTAGCGGATTCAGTCCTCCATGAACAGCCGGCGTTAAGAAGGAAGAAGTTGGAACATTTGGTGAGCCAACATAGCTAGAAAGATTTATTGATAGATGTGTAGAGAATTGTACTTTACTTATTTACAACTTCATTTAATTGCTGCTTCTGTTTACTTGTAGATTAATGAATTTGTTCACAAGAGAACAGTCACTCGTCACTTGCTAACAAGTGGCGTCTCAAATAATAAAGCGTTCGAATGGCTTCGTCAAATGCGCTTCTACTTCGACCCGAATCAGCCTGATGTTCTAAAAAAGTTAAGCATTCACATGGCTGATGCAAAGTTTAATTATGGGTTTGAATATCTCGGAGTTCAAGAGAAACTGGTGCAGACTCCGCTAACCGACAAGTGTTATTTGACGATGACACAGGCATTGGAGGCGAGATTGGGAGGTTCCCCGTTTGGTGAGCAGCCGATATATTTTATTTTTTTGAAATCTTCTCATGTTAATCACTAAACTAAAATGGACAACAATTATAATTTTGTTTTGCTACCACAGGACCGGCTGGGACGGGAAAGACGGAGTCAGTAAAGGCCCTTGGTCATCAACTGGGACGTTTCGTTCTCGTGTTTAATTGTGATGAGACATTCGATTTTCAAGCGATGGGGAGGATTTTTGTTGGTCTTTGTCAAGTAGGGGCGTGGGGCTGTTTTGATGAGGTTCGTCGCTTATCCTGCAATGTTAAATAATTGACTGTGACAACACATTTAATATTTTAATTTTTCAGTTTAATCGACTAGAAGAACGCATGTTGAGTGCTGTAAGTCAGCAGATTCAGACGATTCAAGAAGCCTTAAAGTCACAAAAAGATGGTCAAAAGGAAGGAAGTGAGTAGATGCAGAGTTTTTCTGTTAATGTCGATCACATTTTTTTATGTGGAAAATTAAAATCATTTTCTTTACATTATTATAATAGTGCTGACTGTCGAACTGGTCGGAAAATCTGTCAAAGTCTCCTGTGAAATGGCAATTTTCGTCACCATGAATCCTGGTTATGCTGGTAGATCTAATCTGCCCGATAATTTGAAACAGCTCTTCCGTTCGCTGGCCATGACCACGCCGGATCGTCAACTTATCGCGGAAGTCATGTTATTCAGCCAAGGTTTCAGAACTGCAGAAACCCTTGCGGCGAAAGTAGTTCCATTCTTTAGACTTTGCGAACAGCAATTATCAGCCCAGTCTCACTATGATTTTGGACTTCGGTGAGTACACAAATTTTTAGTTTGGTAAATATTGGGCAACGTTTAAATAATTTAAATGAAAATTTGTAGTGCCTTAAAGTCCGTGCTCGTCTCTGCCGGAAATGTTAAACGTGACCGAATCCAGCGAATCAAGGAAACCTCTGTGCAAAGAGGGGAGACAATCGAGGAATCCAAAATTGCAGAGAATCTTCCCGAACAGGAAATCCTTATACAATCGATTTGCGAAACGATGGTGCCAAAATTGGTTGCGGAGGACATTCCTCTCTTGTTTTCACTGTTATCCGACGTCTTCCCTGGCATCAATTACACTCCAGCTCAAATGGATTCGCTAAAGGAGCAGATTAGAGCCATTTGCAAGGAAGAGTATCTCGTTTCTGGAGAAAATTCTTGGATGGAGAAGGTTGGTAGTTATTTTATATTTTGAATAGATAAATTGGTGTCGCTTTGGTTGGAAAATATCTACGTAGATGTGAAAAGTGAGTGGATGAAAGTTTGGTATGACTGATTGATCACAAAAATAAGACTTGTAACGTATGTAATTTTGTCTTAATTAATGCTGCGAATGAGAAGCAAGGAGTGTACGGAAAGTCATGGATTGAGAAGGCAAGTAGTCTGTAGTTTTCATACTAATAACCGTAAACCGTGACTTTGTCCAGCATGACTTATGTATCTGTAACTATTATATTTAATCTTTGTGTTGTAAAAATTGAAACGTTTTAATTTGTCATTTTAATTTAATTTGTTATTTATGTCCTTAATGTTCCCCTAATTTCTTTCAGGTCTTGCAACTATACCAAATTCAATCTCTCTCTCATGGAGTTATGCTCGTTGGTAATTCTGGAACTGGAAAATCTACGGCATGGCGAGTGCTTCTTCGCGCTCTGGAAAGATTGGAAGGCGTAGAAGGAGTTTGTCACGTAATTGACCCCAAAGCACTGTCTAAAGAGGCGTTGTACGGATTTATGGACCCAAATACAAGAGAGTGGACCGATGGATTGTTTACTCACATTTTAAGGTTTGAATTTGTAGAATGATGATTGTTTTTATGTTAAAATAATAATTTTGCATGTTTTAATAGGAAAATTATTGACAATGTCCGTGGAGAGAGAGGAAAACGGCAATGGATCGTATTTGACGGAGATGTCGACCCGGAATGGGTAATAATATAATAATTTAATACGAAAACTAATATATAAGCAACAAATATTAATTGACTATGGTATATTATTCAGGTTGAAAATTTAAATTCTGTTCTCGACGATAACAAATTGCTCACACTCCCGAACGGAGAACGATTAGCACTTCCACCCAATGTCAGATTGCTCTTTGAAGTACAGGATTTAAAACATGCGACATTGGCAACAGTCAGTAGATGTGGCATGGTCTGGTTTTCACACGACGTCCTCTCAACGGAAATGTTGTTTCATAATTTTCTCTCTCGATTGGAAAATATTTGCTTGGATGATTCCGAAGAGGGTGAATATTTCGGACAGAAATCACGACCGGCTGAAACCCCACAAACAGAAGGATTCGTCACACCGGCGCTAAAACTCCAGCGAGACATCTCCTCACTGTTACAACCACTCTTTGTCACCGACGGACTAGTTGACAAGTGTCTCGAATTTTCTTCGTCGTTGGAACACATCATGGACTTTACGAGAATGAGAGCACTCTCGTCTCTATTTTGCATGATGAATGAGGCCGTGCGACAAATTCACGGCTATAATGCCGGCCATGTCGACTTCCCACTCGAATCGGACGTTGTGGACAGATTTATGACAAAGAGTTTAGTCTACGGGATGCTCTGGTCGTTCACGGGGGATGCTAAACTGAAAACAAGACATGAACTGGGCGAATTTATTCGAAGTACGACAACAATCCCGTTGCCACCAGGGAATGCTCAGATGCCGATTGTAGATTACGAGGTGGGAAAAAATAAATTAGATGCGAAAACTAATCAAATAGTTGGTAGCCTTTAATAATATTTTGTGGGTCTGATGATTAGGTGACGATGCAAGGAGAATGGTCTCCATGGGCCGTGAAGGTGCCACGAACGGATGTCGAGACACACAAAGTTGCCTCACCGGACGCCGTCGTCCCAACAGTGGACACAGTCCGGCACGAATCTCTACTTGCAACGTGGTTGGCTGAACACAAACCGCTCGTGCTCTGTGGACCCCCAGGTTCTGGAAAGACTATGACTTTGCTGTCGGCTCTGCGTGCCTTGCCGGACATGGAAGTCGTCAGTTTGAATTTCTCCTCCGCAACCACACCCGAGCTCTTACTAAAGACTTTTGACCATTATTGCGAGTATAGGAAGACACCGAATGGGATCGTGTTGTCACCAGTTCAGGTGAGTATTGCGTTTACGGACTAATTATTTTTACATGGCAAGTTATACTTTGTAATTAATTACAGTTGGGAAAGTGGCTAATCTTATTTTGCGACGAGATAAATTTGCCCGACATGGACAAATACGGAACTCAACGGGTCATTTCATTCCTTCGTCAATTGGTCGAGCACGGCTGTTTCTTCAGAACCTCAGATCACAGTATTGTTCGCTTGGAGCGGATTCAATTTGTCGGCGCGTGCAATCCACCCACTGATCCGGGCAGAAAACCGCTATCGCACCGATTTTTGAGACACGTTCCAGTCGTATATGTTGATTACCCAGGAGAAACTTCATTAAAGCAGGTATGGTGTAGTAATAAAAATAGTAAAATTAACCAAAATAAAAAGAAATTTCACCAAACAATTAATTAATTTATCAATAACTTTAGATTTATGGAACTTTCAATCGAGCCATGTTAAAATTGGTCCCATCCTTAATGACCTACTCTGAACCTTTGACGAACGCCATGGTCGAATTCTTCCTTAAATCTCAGGAGCGATTCACTCAAGACATGCAACCCCACTATGTCTACTCTCCCCGGTAAGTGGATGTAAAGTTATTTATCTATGTAGTTCTGATCGATCGTAATAATTTAATAACGAAAACATTAATAATGACCGGTAATATAATCAAGTATTATTGTTCAGTAATAATATGAATAACAATAGCAAATACATAAGTTCATAATGGTAATGAATGACGAAACGAAGAATAATTACAAATTGTTCAAACTACCGGAATTTGTAACAGGGTCATACAAATAATCTCCAATAAGTGAGATGTACTTTTGCTCACACCTCTTTCTCTCAATTCTGGAGGGAAAATTTACATCAAGAATGGCGTAGCGTAGCTTTGAGTGAACCCACGCGACGCCAACAAACGAGTAGATAACTAAGATAACGAATGCTACCTATCTTATAAGACTAAAAACTATGGTCACATCCACGTTTTTTTAAACTTGAAGGGGTCGTATCTTCAAGGCTCTTTGACGTTCTTTTCTTTATTATCTTTTATATTATCTTGTTTACAGAGAAATGACCCGATGGGTGCGAGGAATTTATGAAGCGATTCGCCCCCTTGACGCACTAACAGTAGAAGGACTCGTCCGCCTTTGGGCACATGAAGCCCTTCGTCTTTTCCAAGATCGTTTGGTCTATGACGACGAGCGTGCTTGGACTAATGAAAATATTGATACCGTCGCCCTCCGCCACTTTCCCACTATCGATCGGAACGAAGCCCTCCAGAGACCAATCCTCTACTCCAACTGGCTCAGCAAGGACTACACGCCCGTGGATCGGGAAAGGTTGAGAGAATATGTCCGATTCCGGCTGCAAGTCTTTTACCAAGAAGAACTCGACGTCCCGCTCGTCCTCTTTGACGAAGTGTTGGAACATGTACTCAGAATGGATCGAATATTCCGACAGCCCCAAGGACACTTGTTACTCATTGGAGTGGCCGGCTCAGGGAAGACGACGCTGTCCAGATTCGTGGCTTGGATCAACGGGCTACAAGTCTTTCAAATCAAAGTGCACAATAAATATACGGGAAACGACTTTGATGAGGATTTGAGGTCGGTGTTGAGACGATCAGGGTGTAAAGGTGCGAATCTTAATTCTGCTCTGCTACTTACTACTACTAATTTCGTAACTTTAAATTAATTTGAATCAATTTCCAGGAGAGAAGATTTGTTTTATTCTTGACGAGGCAAACGTCCTCCAGAGTTCCTTCCTCGAGCGGATGAACACCCTCCTGGCAAACGGAGAGGTTCCTGGTCTTTTTGAAGGAGACGAGTTCACCACTCTCATGACCCAATGCAAAGAAGGGGCCGCCCGTGAGGGTCTCATGCTCGACACGGTAGAAGAACTTTATAAATGGTTTGCTGGACAAGTCATGCGAAATTTGCACGTCGTCTTCACCATGAATCCCTCAGAACAAGGATTGAAGGATCGTGCCGCCACTTCGCCCGCCCTCTTCAATCGCTGCGTCCTCGACTGGTTCGGTGACTGGACAAATACGGCCCTCTTCCAAGTCGCGAAAGAACTCACAATGAAGGTGGACCTTGAAAATGGTGCATGGAAGCTTCCGCTCGAATTTCCCATCGCATTCGACGAGCTAAATCCGGCCACGATCAATCATAGAGACGCCGTAATCAATGGGTTTGTCTTTGTTCATCTGACCCTCCACAAGGCTAACAGGAGGCTGGCCAAACGGGGCGGCACCACAATGTGAGAGTTAATTTAAATAGATGTTTAAAGAAGTCTTTTTAATTTCATAGTTGCAAGTATAACAAAAAAATTAATGTTAATTGCAGGGCCATCACACCCCGCCACTTCCTTGACTTTATCAACCACTTCGTCAAGCTTTACAATGAAAAGAGGTCTGACCTTGAGGAGCAACAACTCCACTTGAACATTGGTCTTAACAAGATCGCCGAAACGGTCGAACAAGTTGAAGAGATGAAGAAGAGTTTGGAACTGAAAAAGAAGGAGTTGAAAGAAAAGGATGAAATGGCAAACAACAAATTGAAAGAAATGATTTCTCAACAGCAACAAGCCGAACAGCGAAAAGTGCAGAGTAAGACGCTCCAAGCAAATCTTGAGGTGCAGACGAAGGAAATATCTAAAAAGCAGGAGGACGTAACAAGAGACCTGGAGCAGGTCGAACCCGCCGTGCGAGACGCACAACAAGCCGTATCTTCCATCAAGAAACAACAATTAGTCGAGGTGAGGTCTATGGCAAATCCTCCCGCCGTGGTAAAGTTGGCCTTAGAATCGATCTGCCTCCTCCTCGGAGAGAACGCCGCCGATTGGAAAGCTATAAGGACTGTCTTGATGAAAGAGAATTTCATCTCCACCATTGTCAACTTCCAGACAGAGTACATCACAGACGACGTGCGTGAAAAGATGCTCTCCAGATATGTATCAAACCCGGAATACACGTATGAAAAAGTCAACCGGGCTTCCCTCGCATGTGGACCTCTGGTCAAATGGGCCATTGCACAAATCAGCTACTCGGACGTATTAAGAAAGGTGGAACCTTTGCGCGAAGAATTACGAAATTTGGAAAGTGCAGCCTACACAAATCAGACGGAAGCGAGACAAGTGCAGGAAGACATTGATCGATTGGAGAAGCAAATTACAAGCTACAAAGAAGACTATGCTCGATTGATAGCACAAGCTCAGGCGATCAAGTCCGATTTGGAGAATGTTCAGAGCAAAGTAGAACGTTCAATGAGCCTTTTGAGGTCACTCGGCATGGAAAAAGATCGCTGGGAGGGAAGTTCAGAGGGATTCAAGACTCAGATGAATACGATTGTTGGGGATACTCTTCTATCGTCTGGATTCCTAGCCTATGCCGGGTACTTTGATCAGCACTATCGGCAAAACTTATTTACGGCTTGGTCCGAACATCTGGGGAAGGCAGCGATATCGTATAGACAAGACATGGCCCTCAGCGAGTATCTCAGCCATCCGGACGAGAGATTGAGATGGAAGGGGAACCTGCTACCCGATGATGATCTCTGTACCGAGAATGCCATCATGCTGAAAAGGTTCAATCGCTACCCGCTGATAATTGACCCATCCGGACAGGCGACAGAGTTTTTGGAGAGAGAGTATGCTGACCGAAAGTTGACCAAGACGTCATTCCTGGATGATTCCTTTAGGAAAAATTTGGAGAGTGCTTTAAGATTCGGAAACCCTTTGCTCGTTCAAGATGTTGAGAGTTACGATCCGATATTGAATCCGGTACTGAATAGGGAAGTGCGACGAACAGGGGGTCGTGTCCTCATTTCTCTGGGAGAGCAGGATATCGACTTGTCGCCTAGTTTCGTCATCTTTTTGTCCACGAGGGATCCCACGGTCGAATTTGCTCCAGATGTGTGCTCGAGAGTGACCTTTGTGAACTTTACCGTCACACGAGCATCCCTGCAGAGTCAGTGTCTGAACCAAGTCTTGCGAGCCGAGAGGCCAGACATTGACCAGAAAAGAAGTGACCTGCTCAAGTTGCAGGGTGAGTTCCAAGTGAGGCTGAGACACCTAGAAAAGTCGCTCCTCGGAGCTTTGAACGAGGCGAAAGGAAAGATTTTGGATGATGACAGTGTCATTACGACGTTAGAGAACTTGAAGCATGAAGCTGCCGAGATTTCAAAGAAGGTGGGTCGTCGTAGAACTAATTAGTTACTAATTTTAATTATCTGTAGAGGCGAATTTATTTATGGTATTAATTTATATCTCCTATGGTTCCAGGTTGAAGAGACAGACATTGTGATTCAAGAAATTGACCAAGTTTCTCAACAATACATGCCTATGGCGCAAGCATGTTCCGCTATTTACTTTATGCTCGACAACATGCACCAAATGCACTTCTTGTACCAATACTCCCTCCAGTTTTTCCTCGATATGTTCAACTCCGTGTTGAACGGTAACCCAAAACTCGGTTCTGTCAAGGACTACTCTGCCAGACTGGATATCATCACCAAAGACTTGTTCACCGTCTGTTCTCAGCGAGTGACTCGAGGAATGCTGCACGTGGATCGCCTCCCCTTCGCCATCCTGTTGGCAAGAATTTATACCAAAGGAATTTTCGAAGGAGGGTTTCAGTCATTTTTACGATTCCGCGAAGGTGTTTTCCCACAAGGGAAGGGAACGCCAGCGTTGCCCTTCCTATCTCAAGACCAGGCAGAAGGACTGTGTCGACTTCAAGCGAAGGTGGGAGCATTTAAGAATGTTTTGAAGAAGGTGGACTCTGCCGAGTTTAAGGACTGGGTGAGACAACCGACGCCAGAAAGTAATGTGCCAACGTTGTGGGATGAGGAGAAGGGGGGCGAGAATGTGGAGGAGTTTACACAGACGGCGAATCGACTACTCATAATTCAAGCCGTGAGACCAGATCGGGTCGTCGCGATGGGACATATTTTAGTCGACGAGGTGTTAGGGTCGGACTTTATTCCACCAGAGGATGTGAATTTGTCCAGCATCGTGGAGTCTGAAGTTACCTCGAGAACGCCAGTATTACTCTGCTCGGCACCAGGTTTCGATGCGAGTGGGAGGGTGGATGATTTGGCGGCACAAAAGAGCCAGACCCTGGTTAGCATTGCAATCGGAAGTGCAGAAGGGTTCACGCAAGCGGATGGAGCGATTGCTTCGGCAGTAAAGACTGGAAGGTTAGCAGATTACTTTTAGTGTAAAATATTTGGTTTGATAGTTATTCGATAGTATTGTAACGTAATAAAAATGTTTGATTGGGTACGTATTAGGTGGGTGCTCTTAAAGAACGTACATCTCGCTCCTCAATGGCTCCTCCAGTTGGAAAAGAAGCTACACTCGTTACAACCTCATCCACAATTTCGACTATTTTTGACGATGGACATCCATCCCAAAATCCCGGTTAATCTCCTCCGTGCAGGAAGAGTATTTGTCTTTGAACCACCGCCTGGAATCAAAGCAAATCTGCTTAGGACATTTAACAACATTCCGGCCTCGAGAATGATGAAAGCACCCAATGAACGAGCCCGCCTCTACTTTCTTGTGGCGTGGTTTCACGCTGTGGTGCAGGAACGCCTACGCTATGTTCCACTTGGATGGGCAAAATTTTACGAGTTTAACGAGGCTGACCTCCGTGTTGCGTGCGACACATTGGACGCCTGGATCGACTCGACGGCCATGGGGAGGACAAATCTTCCACCGGACAAGGTTCCCTGGGATGCACTGAAAACTCTGCTGTCCGAGACTATTTACGGTGGAAAGGTGGATAATGAATTCGATGCGAGACTACTCTCCTCATTCGTACATCGGTTGTTTACACCGAGGAGCTTTGAGCAGGATTTTCTCCTCGTGGCAAATGCAGATGGTGGTGATATATCGATGCCCGATGCGCTACGGAGGGATCAGTTCATGTCGTGGGCGAACACGTTGACTCATCGGTGAGGATAAATTAATTAACTAAACTAATTAAATGAATTACTGGTTGTCTAACTTTGTGTTGTGTTTTTAAGCCAAACTCCAGCTTGGTTGGGGCTCCCCACTCACGCAGAAAAAGTCCTTCTGACCAGCCGTGGTGCAGAAATGGCCTCGAAACTGTTAAAAATGCAGCTAATTGAAGATGACGAAGATCTCGGGATGAGTAAGGAATCCGTGGCTCAGGTCGGAATCGATGAAGGTCATGTGGGTGCACCCGCCTGGATGAGAACGCTCCACGTCTCTGCTGAGGAGTGGTTGAAAGTGTTGCCCGAAAAGTTGAACACGATGAAGAGAACAGCGGATAACATCAAGAGACCATTGTATCGCTTTTACGAGAGAGAGATCACCTCTGCAGCTAAAATGTTGGAGGCGGTGAGGAGTGACTTGATCGCAGTGAAGATGATTTGTCAGGTACATACATAAGCAAGCAGTGAATCCTGAGGGAGTAGATTATTCAAATAATTATTACTAACTGAATGTTAATTTTCTATTGCAGGGAGAGAAGAAGCAGACTTCCTACCACCGCAACTTAATATCCGAACTGGTCCGCGGCATTATTCCTGACAGTTGGAAAGGACGATATTCCATCCCGAGGGGGTGTACAGTAATCAACTGGATTAACGATTTAGCCTTGAGAATTGAACAGTTTATTGGGATTTCCCAAACTGTCAAACAAAAGGGCGCTGAGCAATTAGAGGTAGAAATAATATTTTATTATTAAAATTATATCTTTTTTTCGAAAATATTTTTGAAATTTTATTTGTTACTAAATGTTGCTTTATTTTGTCGTCTATAGTCAATTCCGGTGTGGTTGGGTGGTCTCATAATTCCGGAAGCCTACTTTACGGCAACGAGACAATGCGTGGCTCAAGCAAACGGCTGGTCTGTAGAGGAGCTCGTTCTTGACGTCGTCATTGGTGGGAAGAAGGGTCAGAATTTTGTTCTCAACGGACTAAAACTTCAAGGAGCCGTATGGAAGGATGGCGGTCTCCAGCTCTCCGCCGACGTATTGAGTGACCTTCCCGACGTTACGTTGACCTGGGTGAAACACGACCCCAAAGTTAATCTCCAAGAGGGGAAGATCCTCCTCCCCGTCTATCTCAACTCCACCCGAGACGACTTGCTGTTCACGGTGGACATGAAAATGGTCAAGCAACAGGACAAGTATAGCTTTTATGAGAGGGGTGTCGCTATCCTGGCCTCAACACTAACCTAACTAATAAGTGCTTTAATTAACTAATTATGCAACTAACCGCCGTTATCATCACTTGAGTACCTACTAAATGTAATATGTACGTGTTTCAATGTGGACTAAGTAAACTAATAATAAGTTATGCTACTCGGTAATTTTTTTGTTGGTTCCGGACTTGCTATCTATAAGTTTGCTAATTAAATTTAATTAAAAATGTAATTGTTCTGCCGATGTGATGATTTTGCAAAGTATTTATGCAAAAATAAAAAAATGCAAAACTATTATCTTGTCACATATTTATTAATCAGGATCAATTTATAAGAATTGGTGTGATGATTTGCATTAATTGATTCGTAGCAATGTTTAGCTTCATTTTAATAGCTGAACAAATTCACGCATTTTTCCAATTCATACCTGTTCAGATCTTATACAGGATGTTTACAGATTTTGTGGAAAGACAATTACATGTATTACTTTTGAACGCGTAATCCAATTTGCACCAAATTTGGCACACACAATCTCGAAGGTCACGACCACACCTGCCCAAAGTTTCAAATTTCTATCTTCAAAGATGGCCCCCAAAAGTTACCCGAAAGTGGACGAACCGTAAAAGCGGTTTCCGAAGCTAATTTGGCCGCGAAAAGTGCCCAAACGATAATCCAAAAATTTGGAACTCATCTTATCGTGTCCCCCACATATAATTGTATCAATTTTGTAAGAAAACGCCAGTAACTAGTTTCATCCGACCAACGTATGCGACGAAATGCATACCCCTCAAAACGATGAATTCTGCCACCCTGAAGAACATTGATCGCCACGATGGCAATCAGAATCCTGCAACCAAAAGACAGGTCACAATGCAGTCCCAGGTGTCTCCTGGACACGTTAATCGTATTGTATAGCACAATTTTAAAAAGGCCTTGCAGAGGAAGGCGAAAGTCCGCGCACTTAAATTTACCCATATGGTAAACAAAAAAACTAACAGCCGGAGGCTGTTTGAAGGTCATGTTGGGAATAAAAATTCCGAATTTGTCGTCACATTGGACGGGACACTCTACTGCCTTCAAAACATCAACAGGACAAAAATAATTTGCTGCAAAACCGACCGAAAGCAGATTTCAAAGCATGGGTCTGAAAAGAAGGAAAAGTTGTCTGACTGATTCCTGATGGCAGGTGCAATGACGGACCGTGGAGTGCGAACATTGATACCTGTTGGGTCTAATGCAAAAATAAACTCGAAGTACTTTATGGACAGTGTTTTACATAAGTTGTTGGAGGTCAAAATTGGAAAGAAGCAATTTGGGGAGCCTGACAAGGTTTGCATCCATCACGACGCTACATTTTCATATACGACCGTATTTACCCAACCGGACGCCCAAGATTTGAAGGCAAACCCCGGAATGACCTCGATATCTTTTTCCGGGGTACACATTAAGTAACCTGACACCAGTCCGATGGAATTTTTTGGGTTTGGATGCTTAGAACAAAGCTTGTTCAATGCAAGAGATAAAAAATGTCTGTTGTTTGGAAACCCCTTTCACCGATTCCTCCACTTTGAGGTTACTTTTTGCGCTCATTTTTGAAGATAGAAATTTGAAACTTGGTACATGTGTGACCGTGATCTTGGGGATTGCGTGTTCGAAATTTGGCGCCAAAACGGATAAAGGGTTCGCAGTTTACCCATAAAATTGTCTTTCCACAAAATCTGTAAACACCCTCTGTAATTATTGCGCAATTAATTATTACCAGATTAATTTTGTTAGCAAATTTAGAATTATTACACCAATATCACACAGCATATTATCAGATAGTCAGTCATCCATTTAAAGTTGGTTTAAATTTTACTGATTGGTTAGTGATTTTTTTCTAAACAATAATATCAAGACCCGCCGTAATCAGACTTTCTAATAGTTTAACTTCGATGCTTTTTATCCTTATCACCATATTTACTGCTGCTACTGGAATGATGCGAGTGATGTGAGGATGCGCGACGAGGTGACCTTGACCTGCTTCGACTTGGGGAAGGTGATGATGCTCGCATATGTGGGAGCGTTCGCTTTCCTGATGATGAGGACGAAGGGACAGGTGTTGTCTCTCGACGTGATGAAACAGTGACGCTGCTGCTGCTGTGTCCCTTTTTGGATGGCTGTGGTGGTGATGTGGATCGTGACTTGTTGTGGGACGAAGAATTAGACGATCTTCGCCTGTGTTTCTTTTTATTTTCGTGCAAACTTGCCTGTCCACTATCCTCGGAGGCGGAATCAGAAGAAGAATCAGAAGAGGAAGATGATGATGAGGACGAGCTGGAAGAACTTGAGGAAGATCCGGATGAGGAGTCGGAGAAAATGCCAGAGTGCTTTTTAAGATCAATGCTCTCGGTCAAGGCAGCAAGTTCAGGGAATTTAGACTAGAGGGTAAAGATTTATTAGATGGTTGATTTCAATTAAAAGATGAGTGATTATTTTTCAAAAAAGATTACCTTCAAAACCTTTTGCCACTTTGTAGATAACTTTGGTCTCCCTCGAACAGTTTTATGCCAGACGATTGGAAAATTCGTTTTGGAACAAAAGTTTTGTGTTACGGCGATTGTGGTGTCTAAGTTTAGCACGACATGCCACCAACCACCAGGAACGAACACTGTCTCTCCAGGCCGTTGTAGAATTTCGAGCTAAAAATAGGAAACGATCACAAACTTGTGTGAACAAATATTAAACTATAATTGCTAATTGTTAAAATTATATTGTTCACTCACAGGCTTGTATTCTGCCGGCCAGTCAGACATTTGAGTTCGAGGATAAATAATATCAAACCAAGTGATAGCCTACAAAAATTATTTGCAATAATCGATTTTTTTTTGCAAACCACAAAACAGCAATTAAGCTTATTTATTTAAAATTACCTCATCCTGCTGTTTGCCTCCTTCTTCTCGGGTAACTTTAATAAGTGACTTTGGAGTATTGGTTGGGAACAAGCACCATCTTTTGTGACCACGAATGAGCGAATTCCATGCCGATGTTCCTAACGGGTCAATATGAATTCCCGTTCCAGAGCGACACCCGCCCATGACAAACCAACGATAAGGTGGTCGCCGTTTTTCACCCGCATATTGAAACAAGTCATCTCGGAAGTATTTAGGAATATCGTAGTCTTCCAGAAGTCGTTTACGCCGTGGATGCTAAAATTTTGAAATACAATTATAAATTAAGAACGACATAGTTAGTCAGCATGTATAATATAATGGTTAGGTTACCTCGCCATAATTAGAGTCAAATATGTACAATGGGCTGTCATCGTTCGTGGTAAGCATATAGTCAACATAATACTTCATTTTCAATTTGACACTGTATCCTTCATTATCTTCGCCGCATTTAAACTTTTGATTTCTATATTTCTTGGCTAATCTCTACACAAATAAAGCACACATCAACAATAAATTACAATTGAATACAGATTAAATGATGAGTGGTTAAATTATCACAAATAATAGATTGAGACCTGTGGGGTCCATTTATCGTTTGCGACCCAATCGTCTGACGCACCAAGAATGACACAAGGTAAATACGGTTTTTCAAAGTGTTCGATAAATTGTTCCAAATCAACATCGTCCACATGAATTCGAGGAATTTCATCTACAGATTCTTTGACGGAAGACAGCGATGTGTCGAAATGTATAAAGTGCTGACGACTCGCCCAAGCCGCTCTTCCTTTCAGTTCTAAAGACAACAATTTTGCAATTTTATTAGTATAAATCTCAAAAGTATTTTCATCATTACAATATCAATTACGCACCTGGCCGGGCTTTAGATTTGGCTTCTTCAACCCTTTTTCTCGTCCGGTAATCCAAACTGGATTCTGCTGAGGGGAGGTGGTCTAAATCGCCAAAATGTTCTTGAGACACCTTCTTATCGCCGAATTCGGTGACGGTATCATGACGGTCATCGCCAGCATCGCCTTGACCGTCATGAGAATGATGATTGTGGCCGTTGGAGGTTGAAGATACTACTTTATCCTGGTCTGTTTGATTAAGAATCGAAATGTCACCCTCGCCTCGACCATCCATTCCTGTACCACAAAGATTTGTTGGCGACACGTCACACCACTCAATCACGTCAAAGACGAAGTAAAAGAAATTCTGCGCAATTATTGGAAGGAAGCATTGTTAGAATAATTAATACAATCGTGAATTTCGCAAACCTCAACAATTACCTTACTTTATCGAATACTTTAGTTTTCGGTCAGCTAGTCAATCAAAATCGAGAGATTCTTGTGTGCAACGAAATGTGATGATTTTTCAAAGACTGAGTGTGAATCTATTTTAACAATCAAGAGTTGTAAATTGGGTGGTTCAGTCGGCCAGGCTTATTTCTTGTCTTTGAGTTTAGTACTCTTTCTTTCTAGACTAATTACAATAATTAAATATTTAATTGTTGGGTTTAAAAAAATATTTATTATGCAAATGAATTTTACGTGAAAATATGAGTCGAGTGAGTTGAATTCCGCCGGTGCAATATCACTTCCTGAATTTTGCGTCTCTCTTCTACTTCTTCCTTTCTCTCTCTCTCGCAGAAAATAATATTAGTGCAGATTAAATTATTTGGATGAAATTAATTAATATAGATTCAACCTCATTAATTAAAATGCATAATAAGTACTCAAAGAACAGTTCGAGTCATGATGGTATGTGAAATTTTTGGTTTGATGCATATTTTGATCATATATTTATCGAAAATTTGTACATAAAAGTTGTCTGACGGACGAACTTCTGTAAAATATTTTATGAATATCTCGCCAACTATAAATTGTTTGCATAAATACTTTAGTTTGACCAAGACGAAATATGCATACCAAATTTGAAAAAAATTGAATATACTTGATTTGACATCTTTCTTCACAGAAAAACTAAAATATATTTCATTTACATAATATGCATAACGAATTTAACAAGAACTCATTTCATTACAACTAGAAAAAAATCTGCAAAACTGTTAGCCCACCATTCAAATTTTGGCATATAATTATCACTAGATTTAGCATAATCATAACAAGATAGTAGCTGAATTGAATTATATAAAACCGGAAAAAAACATGGCCGAGTGTTATGAATCGACGTAAAAAATAGAAATCTGCCCATCAGAATGTTCCCATCCGTCGGAACTTGGTGGACTTTTCCCCTCCTAAATGTTTTATTGCTTTCTCGATTTTTACGAGGGGTGGGGACCCCTTAAAAAATGGGACGGAACTGGGTTTTGACCGTTGATTTTCGGAGTTTTGTTAGCGTCGTGTTCGTAGAAGGAGAGACAAAGTGCGGCGATGATGATGATCAAATGGGGTGCGTGGATTGGATGGTTGTTCGTGGTAGCAAACTAAAGTTGGCTGTACTTTTTGGCTCCTTTTTCTCGTCCTTTTAGCAAGCAAAGCAAGCAAGTCGTTCGATCAATAGCGGACGCCAAACCAAATCCAAGCTCAGTCTCAAGCTGAACCTCGACCGGGCAGGAAGAAGGAAACTTGACGTGTCATTTTCAACGACATTTTACACAACCACTCCTCCACTCGATATCTTCTCGACACATCCTCACCTACTTTTCACTAAGGTAAGTCCTCACACCCCCTCAAACCCATACTTATTTCCCCCAACGCCGCAACGGGCACAATTTTTCCGGCCGGTTTCGAATCTTGAGACGAGAAAAAAGACGAAATTACGCACATGGCCACTCCCCCCATTTTTAATAGGGGAAGGAGTGGGGGTAAAAATTATTAAAAATATGCATCATGTAGGACAACTCTTGGAGAGTAGAGGGCTTTTTATCCGGAGTCGGTCCGATTTTTGGGTGGGGCAGGAAAAATTCGGAAAGTTTGAGTTTTTTGGGAGAGGAGAAGCGAGCGAGTGGAGGGAAGGCATTTTGGTTGTTTTTATTTTATGGGTGAGAGCAAGGCAGGCAGGAATAGCATTGAAGAGTGAAGCGAGAGAAGTAGTCGAGTAGCAGTCGGTCGGTTGTTGGAGCTTTTGGCTTCTCTCTCTCGCAAACTAAATGACGACTTCTTGTTCCGTCTTCTTTTACTTTGTCTCATGCATAAAATAAGTTCGAGTTGTCTCACATTGTCCCCACGATGGTAGTGTCCTGACATGCAGTAAAAACGTTGTATTAAGCGATGATATACGATAACCACACCCACCCTTAATGATATATTGATATGCATTCATCGTTAGCGCATTTTTTTAATTATTAATTTTATTTAATTTTTTGTCCATTAACAGAAACATGGCTGATGAAGCAGAGCCCAAGAAGCGAGGACGACCAGGTCGTGCCGCCGCAGTAACAAAGGAGGTGAAAGCAGCCGTACCCAAGGCGGAAAAGAGGAAGGCACCAGCCAAGGCTGATGGGGAAGGTGGTGGTTCTCCAGCAAAGAGGGGCAGAGGCCGACCAAAGGGGAAGAAAGGAAAGGGAAAGGCTAAGAAGGTAAAGACACTCACGCATTAAATTAATTTGTGATTTTTGAGTAATCAATAACTCGTTACTAATTATGTTGCTAATTGTTTGGGTACAGGCTTCCACCGGTGGGGGTCGCGGTCGAGGTCGCCCAGCCAAGAAGGCACCAGCTGAAGAGGAAAAGGACCAGTCCAGCGGGGCTGATGAGCCAGGCAGCGATTAAACTACTACTCGAGAAAACAAGTCCTTTACTTGACTTACCCCGTAGTTAATTTGTACTTTTTATTAATTATTACTGTTATTATTATTATTATTAGATGATAATTATAAACAACTTTACCGTCACTATTCTTTGAATTGTTAGTCGAACAAGAAGATGAAACGATTTTAGCCAAAAATGAACTAATTATTAGGTTGTTATTTTCAAACAACAACATTGTTACTACATTTTACAGTACAAGACGACACAACAACTAGTTCTTTATTATACGCGTTGATTATATACTTTGTTGTCTCAATTTAGAAAAAAAATATTTTACATCTTTTGAATGTGAACTTGAGATTTCATCTTGAATAAAAGAATGTGTGCCCTTTAAAATCCAAATTTTCTTAATTATCGATATTGCTATTATTTATTCTATGAATTTACTTAAAATTTTTGAAAATTACGTCAGCCCTCTAATTTTTATTGTATCGAAGCCTAACACCCATTACGTAAAATTGATTTATTATTATGATTGATTAAAAACACGAAATTATTATATTACCATTTCATCTGCAATAAAAGAATTTGTGTCGTGTGTGGAGGCTTGAAAAATTCTGGGTATGTATATTTTTTTACGACATGCATTATGAAATTGGTTGGTAATCATATATTTATGCCAAAAGTTCACAATCATAGTCATAAATGTCCTTTCTCATCATATTCATCATCAGTCTTTGCATTTATTTAATGTTTTCTGAATTGCCATCATTTTCAAGCAATTAACTAATTAAAAGTTAGTTGACTACATTTAAAAAATTCTTTACACGACTTTTACCTCTCAGGCGTAGCAATATGTGAGGCGGATGTATGTATCTCTGTGTGTGGCGAAGATGGCGACAAATTTTCACTTCGTTCTTTAGGAATATTTTTTAATAATTAATTATTCAAATCAATTAGATAATTAAATTAAACTAAACCAATGATAGCAATCTGGCGCCCAAAAAGCCACGTATACAAAATGTGTAAAGAAATTTTACATGGCATGATTATTATTTTTAAGGTAAATTAATCCATGCGAAGATAGCATTCTAGCATCACAAATGTCAAAGTGGACAAAGTTTTTTTAAAGAAATTAAATCATATTTAAAGATTTTACAATTATAAGATTTTGCATGTGTAAAATTATTAGGATAATAAGCTAAATATGTATCGAAATACTTAATAAAATGATAAGAATGAATCTAATTGATATTTGAAAATCATAATAAATAGTAAAATTCGAGATTCTTTTTCTTGCAGGCACGTAAATAATTGTTAAAGTAAATAGAATAATAATTAAATTCATGTGCATCACCAATTCCATGAAATGCACAAACATAATTTAAATTACGGCAATATTTTAAATGTAATTATACAATCAAGTAGGCATCACTGATATTATTAATAATTAGAGACTAGAGAGAGTATCGTAACGCAAGAAGCAATTCATTTACATACACACGTCCATGAATATATAGAAATTCAATCAATTGGCTAAATTATAATCATCAAACTAATTAAAATCATATTATATCGTAAAAATTTTCGTCACATGTACGATTTAACTTTTAAGTTCTCCGTGGTGTTCACCAATTGTTCGTACTTGAACATATACAATCCGTAAATGATATCAGTCGATAAGACGTTACTTTTTCTTAAAGTTACAAAAGTACTTTTTATAGTTTTTATCAGCAAACTGCACACAAACTTGCTTGGTTGGTCAATCGTACAACAATTATTAATACACATGGGTTGCTATAATTATGTGTAACATGCTTTGATTCGTTTTCATGATGGTGTAAAACGACTTTCTACTGAACACTATGTTTTCAACGTTTTCGAACTAATAAGCATTACTAAGTATAAGTTTAAAACTATGCAGCTTGTTTAGGGACACAGTAATTATTTTATAAATTATGTATTAGTTAGTAGCACAAAATATTTATCAAGATTCAATCCAGTCAGTTAGTCTTAGCTTTTTAGCTATCGATCGACGAAGCGAGTATGTCATAATTTTACAAGTTTCTTGCATGATTGAAATGCGATTTTATTTTATGCGCTGCGTTGCCGTCATCATAATAATTAGTTAACTGAATAAGTACTACTTAATTTGACAATGCAAATAGCTTTGATTCTGATTTGATCGTTCATTGAATTTCGTTCATTTTTTATGCAAACTAAAGTGCATGCAAATTAATTAGGCAAAAATGAACTGCTATACAAAAATTATGTAGTTCATCACAGGAAGTACAAATCTGCTGTCCAATTTAGCAAACTAAATATTTAGTACAACACTTATAACTGGCTTGACTAGGAGGAGGACCAAATACAATTATTAATGTACAATTATTATAGTATTAAAAGGCGAGCATAGGATAATGCGAGGACGATGGCCAGGTCTATTGTTGTTGCTGTTGTGGATTGTGAGAGGAAGGACTGCCACTCGCTGGCTGCTGCTGTTGTTGTAGGGGTGGCCCATAATTTAAATTCATAGAACTTCCAGCACTCCGTGGAGGATTATTTCCAAAAACCCATTGACCACCGGCGGGAGGAGGTCCAGGGAACATCATGCCGGCCGGAGTCACATACCTCATGCCCTGTTGCATGAATGGTTGCATGCCTAAAACACAAAAAGACAGATCCATGTTCAGAAATTCAAAATCAAGGCAAAATTAACTATTTTATTTTAACAAACCCATGAAAGTGTGGTGAGGCTGAAGGTAATAGCTTGCAAAGGCGGCAGGGTGATGATACTGAGGCATTTGATTGGAAGGATTCGAGGCAGAAATTACTGGTCTAAAAGCCCCATAGGGCGAAGAAACGAATCCGTACGGAGATCCGCCACCACCGCCGGATTGCATTTCCATTATTTGACCACCTCCTCCTCCTCCCAAATTTCTCGTCGGAGTATCTGGAGATGAACCGGGACCACTTTTAGCGCTAATTTCTGGACTGTCCATGACAACATTGGTAGTATGACCCTCCGGTTGTGTTGATATCTGTTGTCCTGTACTATTGGAATGTTCGTTATACGGTACGGGAGACATGGCTACGGGTCCAGGAGAGATGGAAGGGGATGGCGACACGCTGTGCCCACCAACCTCACCGCCACCACCGTAATTCACCATATTCTGCAAATGTTCCTGATAATTGACGGATAGGCCGAGGGGGAGGGTTAAATTAGGACCTGGTTGACCTTGTTGTTGCTGCATTGGATAATTCTGTTGTTGCTGCTGTTGCTGTAACGCCAACTGGGCCATGGCCGCATATCGAGCGAGATGTTGCTGAAACTGGTCGTTGTTTCCTTGCTGAGGTGGTTGCTGAACCTGCATCATTCCTGGTCCAGGAAGTCGAGGCCCACCACTACCGTATTGCTGTTGTTGTTGTTGAGCCATCAACTGTGCCGCAGCCATAGCGGCTTGTTGTTGTGCTTGGAAGTATTGTTGATGAGCCAGATAAGATTGTTGTTGTAATTGTTGCTGCTGTTGAACACTTGCTTGATTTTGCGATGCTGCAGCAGCTGCAGCCGCAGCTGCTATTCTCGCTTTACGTCGTTTTAAAAATATGTCAAATTCTACACGATGTTTTCGACGCATTTCTTCTTCTTCCAATTTATGCCTGAAACACGAGTAACAAAAATTATATCATAAAAATCATACGTACAATATCAAGTGAGTCATATACACACTGGATAAATAAATAAATAAATACTCACTTTCCCAACAATTCTTGGTACTCGGGATCATTTTCATACGATCTGCGTTTCGGTCTTCCAGTTCCTTCTCCAGATGGACCACCACCGGTTGGTGCAGAATTGTCGTCATCATACTGTAAATCCAATTCATTTAATGACACAAAATTTAGTCGACATTTTTTTACAGCTTAATGAGTATTATTATTAATAAATAGCATTAATTAAATTAAAATATATAAAGCCCGATTACAAGCTAATTCATATACTAAATACTACACTACCACAACATGAAAAGCGGAAATAATATGTATAAATATACATATAAATTGTCCAACAAAATAATAAAGAAGAACGAGAAGAATTTCAACCAACAAAAAAGAAAATACAAAAAGAAAGATAAGTTTTAAAATGTGATAAGTAGTAGTACATCATAATCAGAGGGGAAGAGGAACTTTGGCTGGGGCGACGAAGTTGACGATTACGACGTTGGTTCATTCTTTGCTACATGACTCGGTATTTTTGTTAAACGATGCATTTATTAAACTATTAATTAAAAGATCTACACAATGACCACTAAAGGTCACGACGATGACACTATCGCTAAATGCGACGGACCAAATAAGCTGTCGTCTTTATACATATTTTCGACAATTAATTATTCATCTGGCTACCCCCACCAATTTCTAGCCCGCCCATAGCTATATTGGTTAAAAGTAATCACTATCACCCCTTCAGTCTTTCTATCGCCTTACCATATTCTGGTAGTCCATTGTGGAGTACGAAACTCGCTCCCTGTCCCTTTCCTTAAGAAATTTCATCAGCCCTGGATCATTATACGCAGTGGAGGGGTACATGGTCTTATATCCGCTCGATGACCCAGAGGGAGAACCTGCCCTTCGACTATTGTTATTATTATTGTAATACGTCCCATATCCCGGAAACCCACGGAACCCTGGGTCAGCATTGTAATCCCCGTCATAACATCCCTCGTCAATCCCTCCAGTGCCATCAAAGTCATACTCCCACTCACTATTCATCATCGGCATCATTGTCATCATTCGAGAACTATTGCTATTATTATGACTAGAATATTGTTTTCCAAAGGGGCCAAAGTTCCCAGCACTACCACCACCACTTCGGGAAGGGGATGCCAATCCATGCACAGTGTGGTACACGGGGTCAATCCAAGGACCACTGCCTAACCCGAAATTAGCAGTCGAAGGTGTAGACGGTTGTTGTGGGGGAGACAATAATTTATTAACTGACGCTGCTTCTTTTTGCACATTAGCAGGGAGATTTACGAGTGAGTGGGTCTGTTTCAACTTGGTTTTTAGCAGAAGGGTGGGATCGTCTCGTAGGGCGGAGGACGGCAAGACAGGCGGCTTCGTGGGACTCGTTTTAATAGGAGACACTTTTAACTGGTGTTGGAAATACTCGTCGTCCGAATCGGACATGGAACTTTGGTCGTTTTTAGCAACGTACTGCGTCTCATTGGATTTCCTGCTCAAAAGTGGGGACGGTCTATTGCTTGGTTGAAACACGTTGTGACGGCGACGTGGTGGCGGAGACATGAGACTGGACCTATTTGGACTACTTGACATCGTCGCACAGCAGTGGATAGTTTGGTAATGTTGTTTCTCAAGGAGAATGTCATCCTCTTCTAAATAGTCGGGGGAAAGTGGGTACAGTTTCGGGTATCTGTCCGGTGCCGAGGTGCTCACAATGGAAGGCTCCCCTTTGGACGGAGATGACGAGGAGGAAGTGGGAACCGAGATGAACTGTGAGGCGGGTGGTGCCTTGCTCAAGGGCGAGGTTGGCAGAGAGGGGGACGAACTTGAATCCGTGCGGCGCAGATCGGCACACGACTTTGTGAGGGATTTCATCGCGGTGAGGTTTTGGGGTCGACGGTAGGCTCCGGAGGCGAAAATTTCACAAAGTTTAGAGGGGAGGTCGGAGGAGGCAGCATTCCGTCGTTTACTCTGCTCGAGAAGGAGGGAGGAGAATGAGCCGGAACGTTTCGCAGAGGGGAATCCATCGTCGTCAGTGATCTGTGAAGTGGGAGGTGCACTTGTAGTGGTGGATGACATATCGGGAGGTGCTTGTTGGTCAGGAGTCGGTTTTGTAGAATCATTATTGTCATCATTACCACCCGTAATGTTGCTCTCGTCATTTTTACGATTGTCGACAGCGAGTTGGAGTTGTAAAGCGTGGGGGCGTTGAATTACCGAGATTTTTCGGCGACGTGGTGTCGAAGAGTTGCTATTATTACTAGTATTAATAGTAGTGTCCGGTGCATAGTATGGGATGGATATTATTGTCCCACCACCACTACCGTAATAATTTTGTGGTCCCCCAGTGTTGTACATCATCGGGTGCGGAGGAGGGGGACGTGCAAAGTTTGTTGGCGATGACCAAGAAGAGCCCGTGGGCAGATAAGGTATTAGAGTAGGAGCAGGAAACATGAGAGGTGACGAAGAAGATGGCATCATGAAACCAGTAGTAGTGGTCTAATGAAGAATTGAATTGTTAGGTGAAAATGTCGACAATATTGTGGCTGATGCGACAAGTACGATAATAATAATATAAATTTTGAAATCTCTGATTTCTTTAAGAAAAGTCCGCGTCAACTTCAGAAATATTGTCAACATTTTCGTGTTTGTTAAAAATTGGAAAAATAAATTGGAAAATTAATAAACCATCAAACCAACTGCATGCAAAAGTGTTCACAGTAAAAAAAAATACTGCATTATAAATAAGATTGTGCGCAAATAAATGTCCAACAATAAGTTCAGGAATAGTGAAGGCGACACATAAATAATAATCGAGAGATCAACCATCCAATATTTTTCACAGGTATTACGTATAACATGTAATATGGATTTCGTCTGATGACCAGACTCTGACTGATCTCGTCTGAACACACAAACCAACAAGAGCCACACAAGTCTAATTAAATAGTTTGTTACCTGAGTGCTCGGAGCACCAGTTGAGAGGGAGGACGAAGGTCGATTCGACTCCAAGTACTGTAGTTCGGAGGAGGATGGTACACCCCCAGCCGCAGAATCTAGGTGGGGAGGTTGCTGGTCCGAGGAAGGACAGTACATATTCTGTTGCTGTTGCTGCTGCTGTTGTTGTTGTTGTTGCTGCTGTTGTTGCTGCTGCTGCTGGAGAAGTATGTCTTGATGGGCCGGATTCCGATTATCCAGCATTATCTGTAACACATACAACAAAATATGAAATCATCATGAAGACAACATGTGGAATTTCTAAACTATACGACCAGAGGTACATTGATAATAACTCATCGCACCTGTCCTTGAGGTGGCCCAGGCGAATAAGAGCCTGGCGGAAGATAACCCCCTTGCCCAAGTGGTGTCATGTACTGATGATGGGGATGAAAGTGGTGAGGTTGCTGGTGGAAATATTGTGGGTGGTTCAGATGGCCAAGATTGAGGTGTTGACCAAAATACATTTCACTCCCGGAGCCTCCTCCTCCTCCCATCGCGTTAGATTGGGTAGCATACGCCTCCTGACCAATCATATCTGGCAGGGGATGACCCATCTCAATGAGGGGAACGACCTCCTCGATCTCTTCCGGCTTGTGAGTCACAACGCTGAATCTGCCGCGACGAATAGATTTGACCTCGAGGAGTGGTTTGTTCTCGGCAACGCCACCACCACCAGCAGTGTTGTTATCTTCTGATGTGAGTCCACCCTGATTACTAGGAGAAGGTTCAGTCCCACCAACATTTACATTTGCAGGGTTATCTCCACCGGACGGGACGTTCGTGGATGCCGTGGAAGCTTGAGTAGGCGGATGTGTCACCATTTGCAGCTTTTGTTGAAGATCTTCAAAAGTGAAGGGACCGCTGTGCCACAAGAAATTAGAGTGTCAGCTATTTATGCTATCATAATTAGTCTAACCTAATATGCTAAATTATTGGCTCACCTATCCGGCTTATCCTTGTCGAGAGAAGCTTGCTGCAGCATTCCTCTTTTAGAATCACCTCCCGTAATCAGTGTCATTTCTGGCGTGCCTTGTAAAGAGTTTTCAAAATTTTCCAGGAAATGAGGGAAATTTTGAGGCATTGTTGGATGATAGTCGGACTGAGAGAAGCCAGGGTGTTGGTTTCTACCACTTTGAATTCCTTCAGATGGAATTTGATGTTGTTGGGTCTGCTGTTGTTGTTGTTGCAACTGCTGTGGTTGAGATTGAGATTGCTGTTCAATTTGAGGCTGCAATGATGATGGCCCATCTACCGCATTGTAAGGTTGTCCTTGGTTTTGACCGTAACTTGGGAATGGGGCATGTTCGTGGTGTTCCAAAGGAGCATTGTTCGGCTGATTAGTCATGAACTGGAGTTGAGAAGCTAGTGATGCGTCATCCGGTGCAGGAGACTCTTCTTTCACGGGAGTGACTTTGAATCGGGATCCAGAGGAAGCATTTGATGAAGAGATCACTGGCGCAGTGGCAGGTGCTTGTTGTAAAGGTTGAGGATGCTGCATAAACAGTTTACAATTATTTTAAGAAAATCTATCAAAAACTAAAATAGAAATTACATAAGGCTACAACTAATAATTCGAGTATAATAGAAAATAAACCAAAAAAACAAGGTACACCAAGTATGCAAGCACAGAACCAATAAGACATTTTCTGACAGAAATTTATTCAACCTGCAAACATAGGGACGAGTCGGGGGAGTCATTTTGGTCAAATGACATCTCGTACTCCTCTTCTCGCAGACAACCCAAAGGAATCCCTTCCGAAAGCTTGTGTTGCAATTTAGGGAGAAAAAGAGAGAAAAAGTGGCAATATATATAAACACCAGTTAGTCTTGCTTATCACACACCACGCTCATACATATCATCGTTATCATCACAATCAAATCAATTAAGTGTAAATCATTCACTCAGACCCAGTCGGAGAGCATATAAATATAACTTGTAAATATCAAATCTTAAATTTTTTGCTACCTTGAACTGCATTTCGCCACCGTCCAACCCTCCGTCGGAGTGGGCCAGTGCTTTGTCCATGGGATGTCTCACCACGGGCATGGTGCCAGGTTTCGCCCTCACTTGATGCATGATATCCTCCACCATTTCGACAAACGTTTCCAGGTGGGAGTCTGACAGTAGATTTTCCGCCACCAAATTTTTTGCCACGTCTGATGGAACGAGGTCCTCACAGTCGAACTTGAACGTGACAGTTTTCTGCTTTCCTGTCTCTAACTGACATTCAACCACAGTTCCGTTGACGCTGAGGAGCGTTAGTTTGGGACCTTTATCCCCAGTTTTGCGACGACGGACAAGCTTCTTCTTCTCGGCACGGCGTTCAGTTTCGGCAGGGTCGGTAGAGCTCAGGTCGGTCATCATGCTAATAACATGGATATTTTTAAGAATATTTAAAGTACAAATCTTGATGACTTTTGGTACTACCTTTCTGCATGGGGCATGGTTTGCTCTTGATTGAGCAGATGCTGTTGATCCCCCATGCACGGTGCGGATTGTGGTATTCCGGCCGGCATTCCAGATGCTATCATGGCATCAATTTGCTGTTGTTGAAATCTCTGGGCCGTTGCAATATCCAGCTGAAAAATATGGTTAGACAAAAAAAATCAAAATTAGAAAATCTTCTAATAAAATCTGTTATATATTTTTTAAACAGATAGTGTTACAAGAATTCTGCCTGCAAAAATGTGCATAATGAAATAAAGGAAAATAAAATGAGGAAAAATAAAACTGAAAAGATTAATATCGTGTGGTCGCAATACTTGTAGCTTGATTCCGGTTGGGGATGATTTTTCTCTGGGTTTTACAGCGGAGGGGGAAATATGACTACTCGTATGGGTCGACGAATTCGAGTTGGAATTGCTAAAGTCCTCCTCACTCAATCCGCCACCCATCCCACACCGATCACCACCACCTACGACGGATGTGGGTATGGAGACGACCGAGTCCCGTCTATTTCCGTCCAAAAATACAGAGACAAGTTCGCTGTTGAGACGTTGGGCGTCTTCACTGAGTTCGCCCAACATGATGGTTGAGGGACGACGACTATTTTCCGAGGAGGACGTTGAGGGAGGAACTAGTAGAGCGGCTGGAGTTTGTGAAGGGACCAAGGTGGGATCTTGTTCTTGGACTTGGATAGTGGGTGCAGAAGGAGGAAGAGGAGGGAGATCTTGTGGTGGTGTGGCTTCTTTTTGCTGGATTATGGTAGGGTCACAACTATTTGGCAATGTTCCTGGTTGTGGCGTTTTACTTCTTCCTTCTGGAGGTGCGGCAAGAAATGGAATCAAAGAGGAATCACTGGCGACGACGGTATTGGCAGACTGTTGTGGTCCTCCAAATAAGACAGGTACTGATGAGTTGCATGCGGGAGTTTGCGTAGGGACGGGAATGACTAAGTTGGTCGTAGGGGTCGTACCAGGAGGGTTGGTTAAGACGTTGGTGGGGGGTATGAACGTATTCTGACGAGGGGAAAGATGCGTAAGTGAGTGTGTCAGTCAGTCAATCAACAATGACAAGACAAATCCAAGACAAAACCGAGAACAAAAAATAAACAGAAACAAAATAAAAATCAAATCAACAGTATTAAATAAAATAACAAACTAATCCCCTCTTGCATAAAAGACATATATATTCCCACATGCAAATACCATTCCATATAACCCTTTGTAATTATTTTTTGTATATTATAAAAATTGTAAACCCCAGAAATGAAAGCTGACACAAATTCAAAGTAACACGACATATAATAATCAGATAATATCCAACAAACAGCAAATTAAAGCGTTACCTGTTGCAAATTTAGAACCAATGGCGGCAGTTGCTGCACTTCACTCGGTGTCTCCGACGATGTCGTAGCAATATCAGCAACATTAGCAGCGTTATTATTATCAGGATTATTATTATGATTAGTTATTGAAGCAGCAGTAGCAGCAACAGCAGGGACAACGGCAGATGGGTCACTTTCATTGTGTAGAGTTGATTGATGTTGTTGTTCAGAAAAAAATTGTGGTTGCGTCACGGATTCAGTCATGACTGGATAGTTCTTGGCATCAGAGGTGACTACCATGGTATCATTGGGGATTGGTGCCGTGACGGTGATGGGGCTAAAACTTTCTTGCAAGAGGAGGAACTGGCTAAGTGGAGAGACGAGGTCGAGATCTTTTTGTGAAATAGTTTCTGATGTGGGCGTATCGGCAGCGGAGGAAGTGCCCGTGAGTGGGAGGAGGGAAGGATGAGATGTCGACCCAAGTATCTAAATGGTGAGTGACATATAAAAACAAACAAATAGCGCGACACACACACATGACAAGACAATACAATTTCCTTAGCAAGCCAATAAATATATACCATCATAATATATCATTTCCTATTGTTTGTAGGAAAAAGTACGTTATTTTTAGTTGCAAGTATTGAGTTCAACATAAATGCATCGCATTCACAAAAATTTTGTCTCAAATTTCAAAACCATGAAACATTTGCCATTATATTTTTTGCACAAAATAGAAAACCAAGTTCCATTTATATTTATGTATATACCTGTTGTGGATGTATGGGGACAGCCATTGGCGTGGTTGTGACAATTTGCTGAGTCACATAAAGTTGGGGACTGTTCTGAAATGTGGCGAATTGGCCAGGGTCACCAACACTAATGTACGAAGGAGACGCGGTGGTAAAGACGGGAGTTCCATTGGGATTTGGCTGTGGAGAACCGAACGGTCCACCTGCAACGGGAAAGGCGGGGGTGAGATAGCCCTGATGCGTGTAGATTTGCTGTTGCTGTTACAAGTAACAATAAAATATGTAAATCAAGTACTTAGATTCATTTATTACTCTTTTACCATTACACGTGTGGAAAATGGATAAAACATTTATCTACCTGGGGCGGTTGGATATAAATGGCTTGACCTTGGTGGATCAAGTGTTGGTGGTCTCCTGTCTGCATTGTGACGTAGCCTGATTCCAGTTGGAGATCTGAAACAAAATAGGTAACGACATGATCATATTGGCAATTGCGCAGTCAAATTAAAATAAATGTGGAAAGACATTTAGTTTTTCATAAGTATATGGCTTGAGATGACAGATGAAGAGATATAAAGGAAAATGGATAGTCCCGATCCGAGGATCCAGAAAGCAATCATGAAATTGTAATACTACTGACCATGTAAATTATCCGGATGGAAATGAGTATCGGGAGGATTTAGGAGCGAATCCGTGGGGACTTGTAAATGTGTTACATTTACATGATGTGCTGATATATTTTGCACAAGGGAGGCATTTTTTGTCACCATGAATGATTTCAGAACAGTGCACACATGTGTGTGTACGTTCACTTAATAGCTTTTTAATAATGACATGTCCTAATTTCGTGTCTACTACAGAACAATGGTACCTTTTGAGAACAAATAATCTCACATTAATCATGGTGAAATACTCACATTTCTCCGAGTCACCCACGGTGGGAATTTACTACATACTTATGTAATCCTCTTTCTCTACTACTTCTCACACAGCAGCAGCAACAAGTTAATTTTTTGTGCACACACTTTGTACTTTAGTTTGGTTTGGCTAACAATGGAGGGGGACGAGTCATTTTCGGACGACGAGGATTTCGTCACAACGCAGAAGAGGACGAGGCGGAGGACGACACCGAAGGTGGTTGAAAAAAAGGCGAAATTAGTGAAAGCCGGTCCATCTACGCCTGCTGCTAAATCTAACCCGTTAGTTTTTAGTTTCTTCCTCCTCCTCTCCCCACTAACTTGTACTTAATATTTACTCTAATATTTTTATTTTGTGTTTTTAGTTCCACCGCAAAGACTGCTACAGCCGCCCCTGATCCTAGCAAACATTTGGCCGTGGAGACTACGAGAGCCCCCAACTGTGATGAAGGGGAATTAAATCCCCCTGGTTCGAAGGATAAGGAGAAGAGAAAGTCGGAAACCCCCGGAAGTCGTGCTCGTCAAGACCAGACTTTCCAACCCGTCCCATGGTCCTACATTGTTGATGAGGAGATGGAAGTGGAGGAGGAAGAGATGCGACTCAGGGATGGGAGGGGGATTATTTATAGAGATGGGGATTTGGCTGAAGAGTTCCAAATAAGATACGTGGCTTCGTCGGATGGAAGAATTGGCACAACGGTCAAAGGTAGTATAATAATTACCACTTGCATGATAATTATATTGGCGCACACACTATATAATAATATCATTACTATGTTGTACAGGGGAAGGGGGGGATAAAATCAGGAAGACGATTCTGCGGTTAGTTGGACTGGCTGAGACTGAAACCACTTCCCCTGACCTCGATGTTTATGAAGCCTCCCCACAACTTGTTTTGACCCAGGAGGAGCAGGGATTGACCGCTGCACAGAGGGAGGTTCTCTTTCAGGAGATTTTCCTTAGAGGAGGTCGTGTTGAACTTGATGATAAACCGGGATGGTTTTTAATTATTCATAAGGCCCCCACCACTGGGTTAATACATTTATGTTTGGAGAAGCCTCATATTCATTCTAGAGGAGTTTTGTTATATACAGCTGCAAGACTTTGTACGGAACCAAGTAAGCATAGTTAAGGTGGATATGTGTTCTATCTGTGATATATAGTTAAATAATGTGTCATTCTCATTAATCAGAATGTTACCAATACAACCAAACTCTCTCGAGTGATGCCCTCCCCAAATGTGTTCAACATAAATGCGATCCGATTTATACCGTGACGAAAGTAACTGATTACAATCGGACGGACGTGTTGGTGTTTCTTCACATTAAGTCAGCATTCTCTGTAGCATCGGATATGTCCAGTGAGAAGAAAGATGCGCAAATAGAATTGCATCTTCATTACGTATGTTCCAGTTACCCGCAGTGGACAAAGTATTGTGCCACGGAGGGCCTAGCAAGTCGACCAATCCCCAAATCCATATCGCGACACAATTTTAACAACGAAGGCGATGCTTTAAGGATGCTGTCGTTTGAATCGGTTAGTGAAATTGTCTCGAAACTAATATTTTGAGTAATGAGTTGTGATTTCATCATTACTATTATGCATTTCTAGACCATTGGCATGTTTATCAAACTCGCCTCTGGATCTCAACCCGTCATCAATTTGGATGATTTTATCCCCTTGTGTTATGGAATGGAGGGTGAGATCGACGCACGACTGAAAGAGTTGGGGATAGAGCTCAAGATTCGTCGCCATTTGACACTGGCGGAGAGGAAGAAGGTCAAGTACCCATTTCCGGGAGAGTATCTTCTTGGAACTGAAGCAGCAGCACAACAACATCCGGAGAAGGGGAAGACCTTTTTGTACACCATCATGAGTCGGAATATGTGGTACTTTGGGTGGAGCAACACCCCCGATTTCAAGGTCCGTCTGAACGAGAGGGGGACTGATGGTGCTACAGAGTACAAACGCATAACAGAAAAGAGACAGAAGGGTAGGGAGTTAGAGATAAAGGGACTGAAACAGAGAGATAGACAGTTAGGTAGAACAGAGGAGTTATGTATTTATCCACCCCCACTGAAAGCTCCCACCATGACGTGCTACCTACTCGCCAACTGTGAGGATGATGATGAGAAATCCATCAAGACCAAGACCATCGAAGCAAAAATGATAATTGCAGGCTATATTGCTTATTTGTTGGGATTGCGTAATCCTATTCGTCCTAATTCTGATGTAGGTTACTCTGTTAATAAGTGTGTGTTTATTAGTTTAGTTGATTCTAATTCGTGGGGTGAGATTTGTGAGTTTGTGAAGTTGCTCTGGGAGTTTGAGCCGATGTTGGGGAAATATAAGAGAAATTGAATTTTGTTGATATTTGTTGTGTACGTAAAACGACGATGAAATAAACTGAGTAACTCACTCAACAAAGCCGCCGATTTGCGACGATCTTCCCTCTCACGACTCAGCCCACCAACTTGAGATCGTAACATCTTCCCGACTAGTTTACTATCCTCTTCGACGAGGAGGCCAGTTTTCACCTAGAATTCAATTAAACAGTAACAACTAACTACACAAATATTTTTATTCATGTTCACGGACCATTTCTTGTGCCACTTCTTCTGGATTATCGTTAACAATGTCGAATTCGAACTGAATGGCTTCATTCTCCTTGTATTTATTACTCCTCTTCTTCGGATCAACGACGCGGAGACGAAATTCCACCTTCGTAGCGTCCAGATTTAAAGCGTCTTCTCGATTGACTAATTCTATCTTCAGTCCAGGGTCTTCTGCAATTTACGAAATGCCGTATTATCATTTACTTGTATTGTATGACATGCGTGGAATTAATTGACTATTATTAATCCTGTTCTCTTACCTTCGAAGAACTCATGACTTAGCAATTTTTTAACTGACGGACGCTCCTCTCTATTCAAGCGGATACATTGGTCAATTATTTCGCGAATTTCTGGTGTCTCGATTTTTTCAAAACTATTGGGACGGACTCCCTATACAAACAATACACGGAAATATAAAATCATTCACAAATTATAAAAGTCACATAAATTTTATTAAGTTTCAACTATCTAAAGATTTTTACACCCACCGATACGACCTTCTTGTAGATCTGAGCGGGTCCTGTGCACTCAGAATAAGGATATTCGGAAGTAGCCATCTCCAACATGCTGTCAAACGATAAATTAAGTTATCATAAGTTAGACTTTAAATACGAAATTTAAATATATGACACTATACTTTCAGATGGAAAGCATAAATCCAGGGAACTTACCACATGCCAAACGCGTACACGTCCACACTCTCGTCATAGTGCTCTTCGTACATCTCGGGCGCCATGAACTCTGGCGTGCCGATGATTGACTTGGCAAAGGAGCGATTTTTGAGGGTGGCGAGACCCAAATCACCAATCTTCACGGAACCAGTGGTCCCCGAAATGAAAATATTGTCACATTTCAAGTCTCTGGATAAATAAGTTAGTCATTAATTATTAGCCCAAATAATATTTAATATAAATTAGTCAGGTAGAAACACACCTGTGTATGATTGGGGGCGTTCTGGAGTGGAGGAAGTAAAGGCCTTTCAATATTTGGCGACACCAGGACTTTAGCACTTTTAAATTAATTTTCTTAAATCGACGCAGATACATTTTAAGTGTTCCGCTGAAAGCAATAATCAATGTATTATATTAGTAATTCATGTTAGTCCAATAGTACATCTTTTTCCTTTCCACAAAAGTAGAGGGGTTTATGCACCTAGTCATTAGCTCGGTTACGAGTACGATATATTTTCTTTTGGTGCCAGAAACCTCCCAATAGTCATAAAAACGGACAATGTTAGGGTGTTGAAGCCCTTTTAGCATTTCCGCCTCTTCGCGAAATCTCTGGCGTTCAGTCTTGCTCAATTTCTTCTCCTGACATAAAAGACCGAAAAGTTAGTTCAAATTTGTAATAATTCTAATTTTATTAAACTGTAACGGTCCATCAAGTGTTATCGATTAAGTAACGCACCTGTAACTCGCACCACGCCACTGAAACCCCGGTTTGCGTATCCAATCCGCGATACACCGTTTTAAAACTGCCTCTACCAATTTCCTCGTCGAATTTTAGATAGCGTCCGTCCGGGCTGACGTCGACGGCTTCATCCTCACCCTCCTCAGTGTCAGAGCGGACGCGTTGTTGGGCGGCCTGTTTCGTGGCAGAATCGATATCCAAAGTGGTAGTCGCAGTGGTGATGGTGGCAGCAGCATCTGTCGTGATGACACTACTGGGGACTATACTACCATCTTGTAGTGGAGTGGTGGTGGTGGTGGGATCGACTGGGTCTTTGTCGTCAGGTTCTTGTTTGGTCGTACTAGAGGAATCCTTTTCCTCGTCCACGTTCCCTTCAGCAGTCGTAGTTGTGGCCATTATAATATTAGTTTTGGAAGTGGACAAAGTCGTCGTTGTGGTGGTTAGAGAACTACCCCTAGAGGAAGTGCGTGGTTCTTCTTTAATACATTCCAACAATAATTCGTTCTTGAGGGTGCTGGTGACAAGATCGACATCGTCTGTTGGAGGTGGAACGTTATTATTTGCAACGTTGTTATCTTGTTCTTGACTTGTGGTATTAACAATGCGGGATGCAGGAATGGGTGTCGACGACTTGTTGGTGGCTCCTGGTGATTTTTTTCCTCCGCTAATGATGGAATGGGTCGTTGCACTACTTCCATCACCACCGACCTCAATGATGATCTTGTTATTTTTCCCTGCTCCACCTCCACTGTCGACATTCGTTCTTTTCCCCTCGGACGTGGTAGAGGAAGAGTGATGAAGATGGTCCGTTGTCGTGGTCGTCGTCACATTATGTTTGTGAGGAAGAAACGAGTCCAGCGACGTTTGACGACCGTTACCCCTGAGGGATGGTTGACGAATATCTCCTGTCGAACCACTACTCTCTTCAATTCCAGTCGTCGTGTTGTGTCTTCTCAACAGGAGGGAGTGAGGAGATGGCGACCTTATCCGGTTTTGTTGATGACGGACAGCCGTGGGCGCGATGTTTGTTGTACAGGAACTACTTGCCCGGTTGGATAGTGCTGGATTTCTGCAAAGAGAAAATAAAGTTTACAATCAGTTGATGAAATCCAATTATAAATAATATTTAGAATACTACATGCGATCCGTAGAAATTAAGATTGTCAGCTGGTGCGTGTACTGTATGGTTGGCGTCGTGGTACATGTATTGACGAAAACAATCTAATTGAAGGTTACACACACGGTGAGGTGATGCAGTGGTGCTACTAGATAGCAGTAAGTGAATGATGCTACTGCCATAACTAACTAGCGACTTAAACTCACTAAACAGACCAAAAACCATATCAAGTAAACCAACAACAACAACATTATAGTAATAATTACATTATACATATGGCATTGCTGGGGGCATGATATTATAGCAACAGACCATCAGATTCACGCCATTATTCCCAGACCAGACCAGACTCTCGCCAACTAACTAACTATAACCAACCATTAACTAACTATATCCTCTTCTAGCCAACTATAACTCTTCTTCTTTACGCAATAATCAACACAACAAATTGACAAAACTGCCTATTTCGCTTTTCCCATCCTTATTTATCCAATACCTTAGAGAACCATGTCCAACCGACCTCGTCGAATCCGCTGCACTGCACCTCTTGGCAGATTAAACTAGAATGAACCACTCAATTCCACAAATTAACAACCCAATTCTTGCAGAACGTGATAACAATTTGATCATCCTCAAAATTTGCAGCAGGATAATCCCAAAACCAATAAAATACAGTAGTATCCAAAGTAGAGAAGTGTAATAAATAAATCGACGCGATGCATCACATTCACATGCGACTCTGGAATGAGCGTTATTATTATGCAATTAAATAAACAGCTCTCCTCCTAAACTAATATAAATGCAAATCTGTGCTCTGTTATGATCAGTACTAATGACACTGTATTACACCACTTTATCTGACATCACGCCTCGCTTCGGTCTGATAACAATTGTTAACTAACTTACCACCACTTATCGACAACCTTGTCTTATCACGGTGGTGGGATCATTAATTTAAATATAGACATGCACTTATTACACACACTATTTACCACTCTTCAGTCTGATAAGACAGTAATAATGCGGTTGTTGGGAAGATTGATTTATTAGAATAGATTACTCGCGATTTTCGTGTGTGTGTGTGTAAATGAAATGCGGAAGACAACGACGACCAGATATCGTAAAGATGCGGAGAGAATCAACAGTGGTTCCTCTGCTCCTTAGTTAATTGGTCAACTAACTAACCAACCTAACATTGAATCATTATCATCATCAGCTCATATTATATCCAACTCCTCAAAGCACGCATAGATCCGAATGCATAAAAGAAGACAGAAAATATAAATAGCAAGTACTACACATATTGTGTCCTTCTTCCCACAGAAGAAGAGATGATACCGATTTGTATGCATAGTTGGCGGATGGATATGTATCTTAATATGCATTACGCCGCGTTGTTGCTAAAGTAAATCCTTTCAACTCCTCCTCAATGAATGTAAATCCATGCATTTGGATAGAGAGATGGATGGAGAACCATTTTATGAAAGAAAGAAAGAGTATTAAAGAACAGAGAAAATAAAAGACACTCACTCACTGACTGGCAGAGACGGATACTTAACCATGGTTCAAGTATACATTTTGCAGTGCTATTAATTATTCGTACAAGTTGAGGAGTACGACATGGAGTTCGACTTGTTGGAGGATATGTATCATTCTCTTTGATAACAAAACGACGGGCATATCTCTTATCAAATCACAATTACGTCGACTACCGTAGCGTGGGGAAGCTTCACTTTTTGGGCGTGAATGTACATATCATAACATAACAATAATTATAGCCGTATAAGAAGACAATGTCAAAGAAATGGTGGTAAATATAGATATTTACGTCAGAGAGTGTATATATCATCCCGGCTCATCATCTTACATACATTCGCGTATTGTATTTGCTACATTTTTTATGTTTGTTATGTTTTTTTATGCATGCGACATTGCTTTCCGGTGGCGTTTGATGGTGTTGGCAATTAGCGAAGTGAAACGACACGTAATAAGACGTACATACATACGTGGTCGTCATCACAAACAAATCGTATGACCAGAAGGAAGGAATTGGAGCAGGACGTCGCGGCGGCGACGTGTTTGCTGCGTTTCCGCGACCAATGTCGAATGTCAAGTCAATGAAGTTGTAAAAACGCACAGAAATAAATTTATACAAAAAAGTCGGATCACATTTTTACTCAGAAAATCCTCTCATCCTTTTTATTATTGCAAAAAAGCCGCTAACGAACGATACGTGATTTGGGCTGGAAATCATTATCGGATGTGACGACGATGAGTTCAAGGCGATCTCTGTATAGTCTGAGGCTGAGGGACTGACTGACGGGTAAAAAGAATCAACGACGCAAAAAATGTCTACAAGTTTTAGAGAGGGAGAGATGTTGCCAAAACGGTTTTTCTGGTGTTGCAGAAAAGAAATACGACAGACTGAACAAAGAACTCGTAGAAGAAGTAGTTTGTTGTACGGGAGCCAAGTATTTGTTTAATTGTGTTGTGTTGGGAAATTCCTTGACTCTTTTATTTCCACAATTTTGTTGTACGAATGACTTTTGACTCGGATATACTACGAAATGCCGGATACACGAAAAAGAAATTGCAACAATTCCCTTCGCATTAAAAAGAATAATACAAACATGCAAAGAAACTCAACTTACGTTCCTATTTCTAACAAAATCGTGTCTTCTACTGGCAGAATTTTGTGAAAACTATAACGCAGATGAGCATATGAGCGACAAGATTAATGGATTCAAAAATTACATTTTGTATGTAAAGATTACATACAGCCAAAATTTGCATAGTACTCACTCACTCACTCACTCACTAATAGTAGTAGTCACTACTCGATCGACCAGACCTTCATTATTACTGGAGTCAGGAAAAAGTACAGAACTGCGTATTTTTTTGCACGAAATCCAACATTCGACTGACATGGCATGAAATGATCAAATTGAAAATGGTTTGCATGCCACAGAAACAAAATGCTCACTGCTCACACTTGACAGTGCTCACTTTTAACAAAGCAGAACTTAATGATGGAATGGAATGCAAGTAATAATACAACTAAAAGGCTAACAAATAATGGAAAAGCACAGCCAGACATAAAATTTAGGATTTTTTGGTATATATGCACAATGCATGTAGACTGAACAAATAAGGTAAACTAGATTAATTGACGAGACCAACTGGGGCCCAATAAATACACATATTTATGTATATGCATCCTCTGGCTTGGCGTGTACTCAAAGTCATGGCTAAAATGACATCGGAGAAAAACTGTGAGTTCAGCTGGACTAGGACAAGAAAAAACAAAGTAAACGGATTTCTAAACAAACAGGAGCACATGACTAAAGAAAATTAAAACGTTAATGATGATGCGATTCAATCACGTTCAGGACGACCATGGCTAAAACTGCGACGTTGAATTATCTCCTCTTTTATATTTCTATTTTATATTCTGCTCTATTCGTAGAGTAATTGGTTTGGTCGTTTATAGTATTTCAAGTAATTGAATAGTCACTCACTATTAGTGAGTGAGGTGAGTTATTTAAAAGCAAAGTGAAATTTATTATGCATCGTCACGCCAAAAGAATGCAAGGTCGCTCATTTTGTGTCGTTGATGATGATGGGACCACCACTAACCAATCAAACGATAAACTCATCACGGATACCCCGATATCCAGGATTTTATATTTCAATAACAAAATTTCAATAATTTAGATTCTACCACGAACACGCTCGGCCCACCAAAGATGAATATTATATTAACTATTAATTAACCAATCGACAACAAGAGTTAATTTTCTTGTTTTTTACGCAGTATTAAAATTTGAAATTTGGAGAGGCAGTCTAAATTAATTAACTATGGAATAATTAAGAAAATAACGTAATGAGGATTATGATTGAAACTATTGTGACTATCATGATGCATAATTAATTTAGTAAAAAAAGGTAAGCTGTCTCTTACCGATTTCCCGATTGAGGTGAAGGAGCACTTATTTGATGATGGAGATGCTGACCACCACCACCACTTTGATGACCCTGTTGACAATTATGATGACGATTACTACTAGTGCTAGTTGTGGGTGGTGTAGCTACTCCTCCTACTCCAGTAGTGATGGCGGTAGTGGTGGAAGGAGAAAAAGTTGATCCTCCACCTCCTCCTTCAGTCGTCGTCGTCGTTGTCGTGGCGGCGTTGGCGTTGCTACTGTTTGCCCCCGTGGTTGGAGCGGAACGTCTCCGGTCGACGCAAGAATGTCTGGATGACGAGACTCCAGAAGTCGCAGATATCGAAGAGGAAGACGAAGAATTACTCCGTGTCGGACTTCTCCCTCCTCCTCCTCCACCACTGGCGGCACTCGCAGATCGTTTATTACTTGGTGTGAATACTCTCGTTCGCCGGATATTGGTTGGGGTAGCGGCAGGTGGTTTGTTTAAGGGAGGAGGAGCAGTATTAGTGGTAGTAGTACTAATTGAGCTGGGTGTAGTGGTTATGTGCTTTGCGGAAGTAGTATCTGCTGTTGCTGATGGACTCTTGCTCTTATTACTCTTGGAGTTATCCAGTGCGACTTCTACTCCATTATTGTTAGTGGTTCGGTTGGAAGATGGTGAATGATTTTTCAGCATTTCCTCAACCAGGAAATATTAATCAAGTCGCCACACACACTCTAATAGACACCACCGCACGGCACAGTTGATGTTTTAATTTCTTTGCTTTTTATGCGTGTCGCCTCTCCTGGACTCGAGCGAGGTGAAGACGTGCAACTTGGAATGCAAGACGTCTCTGTTCCTCTTGTAGGTGCTGGATTTGTTCGGTTTGAAAGGCTTGTTCTTTCCTTAACTCGCGCAACTCTCGAGTCAACTTGTTCAATTGGAATTTTGATCGGAGGATAAATATTGATATGCTTGTAACACAGATAATCAGAGCGAGGATGAGATCCATTGCCGCATATGGGATCTCCAATATTACGTCAGAGTTATAATCATAGTCATAATATGCGTCATCTTTATTTAGGGTGTAGGGCCGACTAGCTTTGTTTGAATTATCTGAAACTAAAACAAGCACATTAAAAGTTATAAGAAAAAAATGCCAATCCCTGCTCACCCATAATATTCATAATAACCTGTCTATTAGTCAATTAAATGCCCCACCCCCATTATTAATTAGGGTATAGGTATAACTAACTAACTTTTAAACAAATCGAGACATTCAAGTCCATCCACACACTAATAAGAACAGCAGAGAATAGAAGAATAAGAACACACACAAAAACCCGACAGGCATACAAGGACTACGAAAATATCGATTAAATCTCTTCCCAATCGGCTACTCTCGTTTCACGTCATTGTCACAAGTCGTGTATTTCACTTATCCTCCTCCTCCATCTCCCAATCCTGATAACCCTTACCTTATTTCCTCTCGTGTCTCGTCCCTACTGGTTACGTGACCCCCTCTTATCGTCAATCCAGATCCCTGTCTTATCAATTTTATTGTGTGTATTGTGGGTGTCTGACCAACTTTTTTGGTTTCGTCCTTCCAGAGACATGGGTTGAACTTCCCACGTCGCCTGTCTCACTTTGCCCTTTTGCGCTGGATGTCTTTGTTCGTATATTGCACTTTTATTGAAGAAATGCATGCATGCAAACAACCAAAATATTAAAATTTGGTCTTTCTTTATGTTATTAATTTATTATGCATTGATGTAGTAATAGTCGCTCCACGCCAATAATGTCATATCGACGGCGACGCCGTGAGTAAGAAAACTGTCAGCGCCGCGGCGCGCCCGGCGGCGGAGCGCCGAAATTGCCAACCTTAATTTTCAGTCAATGATAATGGTTGAATGATTCAAAAATGTTTGGAGTTTTTGGATTTTTATCGTGTTTCTGAGTTTGTAAAATTCCAAGACTAAAATGTAAAATTTTTGAAAAAATTCAATAATTTCGACATTTTAACTTGTTGTCATTGTATAAAATATTTTTTCCGGCGGCACGCTAAATATAAACAATACAATACTTTTGTAATTTGAAGATTAATTTATTATTTGAACTGAGCAAAACATTCGGATGCTGCAAAATGATGGCTCTGGTCTATCATGTATAAAAATAAAAATGGTCCATCATCTGATTGTTAATTGTTATAATAATAGTGTAGTGTACGAAAAAAAGTTGCTTAAAATCCAGTATGCGTTGTCCTCATTTCTAGTGTGGTTGAATCTTCTGAATTAGTGATGAATTCAAGATGTTGGCATCCTTAAGTGTGGCACCTTTCTCAGTTAGCGTCACGTTTGGGAATAGGGTCAAGATATATGTTGTGGAAGAGTACTCGGGTCGAGCCCTAAGAAAAATTTCACAAATTATTTTACAATTCTGCTGACCACTTATTATTTTAGTTATATTAAACAGTTAATTGTTAATTATTTACGTATTGATAAAAGTGTACAAATCCTGTACGGTGTGGGTGTGGTTAAACTGTGCCGCGAGTCGTGACCCATCCGTCAACCGGAATTGGATAGACGTTGTGGCCGCGCCGGGCGCAAGAGTGACCCCACTCCGCGCCGCCTCCTCGTTAACTTTCCTTTCATTCTCGCTTGGTGGTGCGGCATCAGTCATCATCGTTGGGACAGGACTTCCCAAAGTTTGTCCTTTTCCACTGAAAGCTTTTTTGGCTACTTTTCCAAAGTCTTGTTCGTTGGACCAGAGATGTAAAATGGCATTATGAATTTCTGGAGGCGAAGACACTTCAGAAGAAGCCCCTGTAGACGATCCAAGATTATACCCAGCTCCACCAAAGGAATCGTTGCTTTTCTTTTTAAACATTTGCGGTACAACTTCTTGAGCCCCCATTTCTCCAAAGTACCTGAAAATTAATATATGTTTTCCGTTATTATTAATCAAGAAATTAACTAATGCCCCTATACTTACTCTTTCGTCATCCTGAACATTTCCATAACCATCTCATTCCTGCTTTTCGGTGGACCTAAAACCTGCTGACCGCTAGATAATGATCCGCCGGCATAGAAAGCTTGGAGTTTATCGTCCTCGTCTTCATCTTCGTCTTCATCCTCGTCTTCATCCGACGAATCTGTCACGGCGTGAAGAAGTGCATCCATCGTCATGAGGCCACCACTAATCACCAGGCCAGCACCACCAGTCGCGACATCCGTTCCCCCTCCAGCAGCCACCGGAACTGGAACAGGCACACCTTCGTAGAGTTCACCTACTTCGTAAAATCCACCCATATCTTGGTGGTCATCCGCCATGATGACGATATTGCCTAGATCTGCTTTAAAGTAGGTGTAGTATAATTATTTTGAACAAAAAACCTGATTTTATTGTGATGTTATTGTATGTTGTGTCAAACAATCAATTAAAACTCAAACTCAAAAGTTTCTTACCTGATCGAATCGTAACACGAGGCACGATCGATAGAAAAATTACAGAAATATCTTAATTTTGAAATTTCGTTGTCGGTGCAATTGTGAATTGTCTGCCTGCATCTGCATCTGTGCTGCAGTTTGCCGCAAAGATTAGTTTGACAAATTTCAAATTCGGGAAATATGGGAAACTTGAGAACTTTGGGGAACTTTGAGGTTTTCAATTCCACATTCCAAAAGAAAATTTCTAAAAGCAACATTGTTTACACAAATTGTGTAACACAATCTTTTACTTTTAAATAGACTTGTAACGTTTAAGTGTTTGGAATAACATGGATTATGAGTTCAAAGCGAAGACGGCCGCGGAAAGGGTCAAAGTTGAAGATTGGTTCGACTACGAAGGATGTAAAGTCGGTCGAGGGACTTATGGACATGTTTACAAAGCAAGAAGGAAAGAAGGGTAAGCTAATTAATAATAAAGTTAAATAAAGTTGTTTGTTTTTATGAACTAAATCATTAGGTTAATTAGTTTATATATACGAGGGCTTAAATCTTCGCATTGGATGGTGAATGGAGCTGTCTATATTTAGTATTATTTAGTAGGATCAAAATTAATAGTTGATATGTTATTGTTAGGGTTGGACCTCCAACACTGGGAAGTCGTGGCGAGTTTAAGGAATATGCCCTCAAACAGATCGAAGGAACTGGGCTTTCCATGTCGGCTTGTCGTGAAATTGCGGTAAGGTTTAGCAAATTAGATAGAAATTTATGTAATTGTGTAAGTGTATTATATAAATCGACTATTTTTTTCAGCTCCTCCGTGAACTGAAACATCCTAACGTGATAAGCTTGCAACGAGTCTTCCTATCTCACAACGATCGGAAGGTGTGGCTTTTATTCGACTATGCGGAACACGATCTTTGGCATATTATCAAGTATCATCGGGCAGCAAAAGCAAGTAAAAAACCCGTCATGGTTCCAAAAGCTATGGTCAAGTCGTTACTATATCAGATTTTGGACGGAATTCATTATCTTCATGCTAACTGGGTGTTACATCGAGATCTGGTAAAGTATTTAAAACAAATGTGACCATCAAGTGTCATTACAGAGCTGTATGTGAATATATTGTGTTCGTTCTAGAAACCTGCCAATATTCTCGTCATGGGAGATGGAATTGAGAGAGGTCGGGTAAAAATTGCCGATATGGGATTCGCCCGTCTATTCAATTCTCCACTGAAACCACTGGCGGATTTGGACCCTGTCGTAGTAACATTTTGGTATCGAGCCCCTGAACTCCTCTTGGGAGCTCGGCATTATACTAAGGCTATCGGTTAGTTAACTACATTAATGCCCATTAAGTCTATTTATACATTTAGGAGAATATCGATTTTTGTTATAGATATTTGGGCCATTGGTTGCATTTTCGCCGAGTTATTGGTAATAATATTTACACTCTGCTTCGTTTTTACTTGTCTGATTAATGATATCATTATTTGTAATCGCATCTTAATTTCTATGATTAACTTTTCAGACCAGCGAACCCATCTTCCATTGTCGTCAAGAAGACATAAAAACCTCAAACCCATACCATCACGATCAACTCGACAGAATATTCAACGTTATGGGATTTCCGCAAGATAAAGAATGGGAGGATATTCGAAGAATGCCTGAACACAACACGTTACTTAAAGATTTCAAGAGGACAAATTATCAAAATTGTTCTCTAATTAAGTACATGGATCGACATAAGATTAAGCCAGAGTCGAAAGCATTTTGTCTGGTAATAAAAATACGCAAATGAGTTTTAAATTTCTTAATACTAATTGTAAGCATAGTTCATATACGTAATCTTAAATATTTATTCAATTACAGTTACAAAAGCTGCTACTGATGGACCCAACAAAACGAATAACGTCAGAAACTTCTCTTCAAGATCCATACTTTTCCGAGGAACCTTTACCAACAAAGGATGTATTTTCTGCGTGTCCAATTCCCTATCCAAAACGAGAGTTTTTGACAGATGATGATCAAGTGAAAGTCAGTTAAAGTAGTTTACAAACTGCTCTATTATCCTTGTATTAATGTGTTTTATTAATGTTCTACCTGTGCTTGCAGGAGGAGAAACCAGAAAACAAAATGCAACAGCGACCTCCACAACAGTCTCAGGTTCATCAACAAAGCCAACAACAGATTCACCAGCAACAAAATCCAGGTACATTAATGGACGGATGGATAAATAAAACAACATTTATTCTCGTTCGATGTATATATATGTTCTAAGTTAATAATTCTTAATTTATTCAGGTAATGGTGGTCCTGATGCGAAACGAGTCCGGCTAAACCATCCATCCGAGGGCCATGCAAATACTGGAGGTGGTTCTACTAATTCATCGGGTTACAATATTGGACAGAGCGGGGGTGGAGTACATTCCTCAGGAAATTCAATGCATGGAGTTAGCATGCACTACCAACAACACCAAAGTCAAAATCAACAACAGCAGCAGCAGCAACAACAACAGCAACAACAGCAAAGACAGCAAAATAATTATGGACAACGTTTTTAAAATATAATTTGTTTTTAGTTTTTTAATTATTGTTTTATTTTTATACATATATATGAATGACATACTGTTGGACTGGAAGTAAGGAACAAAATAAATTTTAAAAATTATCAAAGTTTATCCAAAGAAGTCACTACGCAAAAGTATTTTGTTTTATTGCACATTTGTTTTTAACCGGTCCAGGATTTTCTGAATAATAAATCTACACCGGTTTAAGTAAGGAATAAGTTATAATTAAATCACCAGGGCCTTTCCAAACTTGATTTTTAACCGTTCGCAAATCCGCATCAGGTGAAAGAGCTACATCCAAACAGAACAGCTTAACACGTTCTTCTGGATTCACGCTGGTCGAAGACGTCGTGTCAAGGGTAGGGGCATCTTCCTCCATCTTCTCAAGAACATGCTCCATTACTTTACGCATGGAAATAAAGTCATTCGCAAATAGTCGTTCCCTAAATAGAAGAAGGCAAATATATCCATTCAGATAAAGATAAAATGCATAGAGTCAACATTTTACAAATTAAGTTCGATTATTACTTTTTCAAACTTTTCCCATTCAACATTTGGGGAGTGAGAAAAAATAAAATTTTAATGAATTTTGGAGGTTGTCCATCATCCATGAGTTGTTCTGCTACCCATTGTGGGATTGCCTCGACGAGACAGGACCGTTCTGCATCACCACCAGCGTCACGAACGAGAAAGCGGTACATCGTCTTGCCACCTGCATCATGCATGTACAAAGTATTTATAACAATTGTGTGACGACTTCTCGTCACAAATATCTCGAAAGATTAGATATCTGCACCTTGCTCTCCGATGACACAAGGTGTGTGTCCAGGAACAGAAAAGAATCCATTCACCGGAGTTTCAACCGGAGATTGTTGCTGCTGCTCTGGGACAGAGTATCTTTTCCACTCTTCAAATAATGCTTGAAGAAGAAGTCGCCCATAGTTAACTGAAAAAAAAATCACGTCATTTTGTATACGACATTCGAATTAAAACGTTAAGACTTGATCCTTGTTTAATGTTCTAACCTTTTTGATCAACTTCTGCAGTAGCACTTAATAAACCGACTTCCTTCGCTGATACCCAAGCTCCTAAACAATCGTGACAGTCATTTTCATCCTGAGCCAAATGAATGGTGACCATCTGAAAGATACAAGGATTTTGGATTAAACATGCAATGAATAATTTTGTCGCTAATTACTTATTTTATTGCTTAATTAAATAATTACCGCAGTATGAAGACCAACACTAAACCAGCTGGGAACATAGACCTGTTTCGAACGTTCTTTGACAACGTCATCAAAATTAACTGGGCCTAAATCTTCAACTTTGACAGCCTGAAATACAATGTGATGTGTAATATAGATAATAAATCCATGAAATGAACTCAACTAAAAATATCAATAAAGATGTACGCACCTTGAGCGCATCGTAAATTTGGACGTAACCCTTTGTATCTTTGGTCAGAATGTGTCGCTTATCACTTAGCACAGCATATTGTCTAATAGCTGGGGCCCCTTCGATTTCCATGAGCGGTTGTCCAGCATACGCCTGATCTGAAACTAGACCACAAAATTGGTCTTGTAGATAAAATATTTTATTGCGAAAAAAATAGCCACACTGTGCTTACTATAATCGTCCCCGTGAGGCGAAACCTGTGGCACAGGCCAGGCACGAATAGTTGAATCCGCTGTCCCCACCCAAACCATAGTTAAGTCTGGGGATAGACACACACTGAGGATAGGATGGGGTTCTAACGCTAGTAGAATGGAGAGACAATTGCTATTTCGCAAGTCTGTGAATTGTAGACGACAATCTTTTCCACCAGATACAACGAAATGGAACGATTCAGGGGCTGCTAAGGCCCAGACACCTTGTGTGTGACATCTTATAGTCATGATGCACTGCTGCTGTCCTAGCGCCCAGAGTTTAATTGTTCCATCCGAGCTGCCGGACAGACATTGAGATCCGTCCCAATTCAGTACAAGGGCTTTTACGTTATCCATGTGTCCTAAACATATAAATCAATCCGTATATTAAAATAAATATTCTTTCCTCTAGTAATTAATATATCCTTGAATTTAGATGACGTACCCTTCAATTTCATAGTTTTTGTATATCTTCTGGTATCCCAAACTCTAAGTACCTTCTCCGTTGAGCCAGACACCAACGTGTTACCATCCGGACTCATGGCAAGACTATAAATACTGCTCTTTGATCCGGTCAAGGCCGCAGCTGTAAGAAACACCAATTCCGTTAGTTTGACACTACAAGTACTAGTTTAGTTTAGCTCTTCTTCAAACAAAATAATCCAACAATTACTTGTTACTGTATTCTTTGTGGCGGTCAAAGCCGTCAAAGTGTTCACGTCCCAAAGATAGATCGCTCTGTCGAAACCGGCGGACGCCACTGTTTCCTTTTCGCGAGAATGTGCCAGCGCTCTTACGTAATCTTTGTGCGTTCGCAGCGTCGACATGCAAAATCCTTTGTGGCCATTCCATAATTTAACAGTGCAATCGTTACTTCCGGACATGATATGCTTTCCTCCACACGTGAGAACAATATTATTCACCCAGTCGGTATGATGCTCCATACTGTGGATATAACGAATCTGTCCCTTTCCAACTGCTCAAAAACGAAAACACATTTATTAATATTAAGTAAGGTGATGATAAAACAAATATCTTGAATGCAACTAAACTAACCTGACCAAGTCCGGATAACGCCATCCCTCCCGGCGCTGTGTATCCTATCTAGTGTCGCGTCATACAAAATACTCGCGACACCGGAATGATGCCTGAAATTTAAATAGTCTTATTAATCTTATTTTAATCAAATTATAATGTTATTTATTCTTTCACCTCGTCTCCTTTTCCGAGCGAATTGTAAAACTTATCTGAGCTTTGCGTTTCACGCGTTCTTCGGTCATGTTTAACACCTAAATGTATTCACCTAATTAAACAATGCTTAGCACTATTTTCGTAATAAGTTTGGGTGAGCCATGAGTTAATTCGTTGTGCGCGTTAAGTAATTATTGCAAGATTCCAACTAAACAAACAAAATCTTTGTAATCTAAATTGTTCTAAATAAAGCCACGAATTAATTGTGCACTTTCGTCTTTCTATAAAGTACAAGCGAATAATTTGACATAATGGTTTGTTTTATTTATTTAGTTAAAGCTTCAAAATGAAGCAAAACCTGCCAATTATTTAGTTCGCTCAATGTCCTGTCTCATGTCTCACGTAAAAAGAGCATGCGACAACGCTTTACTTTATTTACGTTCGTTCACATCTGTTCTTTTGTTCTTCTTGCTAATCAAAATTGTTTTGTAAATTTTTATATTTATTATTCAACTACTCAGGATTCTCGTCTCTCTTTGCAGGATATGTGAAGTAGTAGACCTTGAACGTGTGTAAATCATTAATTAATCCCAATTCTGTACAGAAATGCTAATTTCGACTTTTAATTGCTAGATTCTTCAATTGTCTTCCAAAAATCAAAATGGATCACCCATGAAATTGTTTCTAATCAGAAACCTGCATGGTGAAATTGGTAAACAAAAATCGTAAAAATTCCTTATGTGCCTAACTTGACGCCAAAGCACAACGATGAAAAAGTACCAACAACTCCTTATCTTGTCGCTGGGCATCCTCTCATTCATTTCCTTCCTCATCTACAAACATGAATACGACAGACTTCGAAATGTCCTCTCAGTCATGGAAGTATTTGGGTCTCCGCCACCAATAAAAGTTCATGAACACCTACAAGTTGACGACAAAATTGACAAACTACACATTGCGGTTGCAGATCATCCCAATGAAGCCCTTGAAAACAACGAGATAAAAAACAGTGGCGAAGTTTTCGATCCTCCCTCAGAAAACAAGATAAAGCCGGTGCTAGATTTGCCAAGGGATGATGCCAAACTTCCGTAGAAAAAGATTTTCTACTGGACAAAGTCAGAATCAGAATATCCTACGACAAAACTGGAATATTTATATTATTTTTTAATTATTGCTTGTTCCTTATGGTTGTGCTTGTTGTACATACGTATTGACAATTGTAGTTTGTAGTAAATTAAGAGTGTGGATAAGTGCCTTAATAATCGCGTAATAAAGAACAGGGAATAAATGTTGCTCGCACCGGCCCATAGCTTGCTCGCACCGCTTATGGACGGGTGCGAGCAAGATTTATTCCCTGATAAAGAATACATATTATATGTATGTAAATCATGAGATTATATAATGAGAAACAGTAATTTTGTATTGTTTTCAGCTTTACATATGTGTACAAAACTGCTTGAATAATTAATTATTTAATAGTCTCATCATCTCATCATCGATCAATTAATTATTTAAATTGTCTAAACCATTCGGATGCTGCAATATGATGACACCGGACAAGAATAAAAATGGACTATCATGTGATTGCTAAAATAGTAATGTACCAAAAAAGTTGCTTAAAATCCAGTATGCGTATGCCGGTCCTATTTTCTAGTTCTGTGGTTGAATCTTCTGAATTAGTGATGAATTCAATATGTTGGCATCCTTAAGTGTGGCACCTTTCTCAGTTAGCGTCACGTTTGGGAATAGGGTCAAGATATATGTTGTGGAAGAGTACTCGGGTCGAGCCCTAAGAAAAATTCAACAAATTAGTTTACAATTCTGCTGACCACTTATTATCTTAGCAGTAGTAACCCCATTAATTATTAATTATTTACGTATTGATAAAAGTGTACAAATCCTGCACGGTGTGGGTGTGGTTAAACTGTGCCGCGAGTCGTGACCCATCCGTCAATCGGAATTGGATAGACGTTGTGGCCGCGCCGGGCGCAAGAGTGACCCCACTCCGCGCCGCCTCCTCGTTCACTTTCCTCTCATTCTCGGTTGGTGGTGCGGCATCAGTCACAATAGTTGGAGCTGGGCTTCCCAGAGTTTGTCCTTTTCCAGTGAAAGCTTTTGCACTTGTGTGTCCTTTTTCATAGTCTTGTCCTCGCTTATCCATAATGCTCAAAGTGCAATCTTGCCCTGTCAGCTTTTGTCGCAGCTCAGCAGGAACTTCGCCACGTTTTACGGAGTCGAGAAATGCTAGATTTGCTGGGTCTTGGTAGCTCCGAAGGGGTCCGTCGTCGACAGTAAAACCATTTGACCAGAGATGTAAAATGACGTCGTGAACTTCTGGAGGTGAAGACACTTCAGAGGAGGAGGAGGTTGCAGCTCCAGTAGACGATGACCCACCCTCTCCAAGTTTGTACCCAGCTCCACCAAAGGAATCGTTGCTTTTCTTTTTAAACATTTGGGGTGCAACTTCTTGAGCCCCCATCCTTTCAAATTAGATGAAAATTAATTTAATTTCATTATTTTTAGTCAAGAAATTAATAAATGCTTACTCTCTCGCCTTCTTGAACATATCCGCAATCATCTCATCCCTGCTTTTCGGTGGACCCAAAACCTGCTGACCACTAGATAATGATCCTCCGGCATAGAAAGCTTGGGGTTTATCATCCTCATCTTCATCCGACGAATCTGTCTCGGCGTGAAGAAGTGCATCCATCGTCATAAGGCCACCACTAATCATCAGATAATTAAAATACGGCTTTAGATTAAAATTGTTAAAATTACTGCAATTAATTCGTCAAAAATGGTTACCGCGGTGCCGTCGGACGTGCCCTTGGTGGAACCGTTGCAAAATTTTGCGGAGCCACGTTTGGCGTCGCTGCAGCACCACCAGTCGCAATATTCGTTCCCCCTCCAGCTGCCACCCGAACTGGAGCAGGCACACCTTCTTCGAGTTCCCCTCCTTCGTAAAATCCACCCATGGCAGCCTGTAATTGCCAGTTGGCCGCCTCCAGGTAAAATTTAGCTCTCTCTTCATCTACTCCGGTAACCTCTCGAAATTGTTGGAGAAGCTTAGCTTGGTCGTCGTCCGCCATAATGACGATTATCCGAGATTTGCTTTAGAGCAGTAAATAGTTGTAGAACAAAAAGCGGGGTAGGCAGGAACCTGCAATCAGGTTTTATCGTGACTTTATCTTCATTGTGTGTGATGTGAAACAATAAATTACAACTCAAACTCCTAAATTGCTTACCTGATTGACTCGCAACCACACACGACACACGATTGATAGAAGAATTACAAAATAGCTTTATTTTGAAATTTCGTTTGGATGACGATGCAAGAAGTAGACGTAGACGAATTTATGCTGTTTTTTGCCGCCCGACTTTTACAGCGTTGCCCATAGTCATGCATTTCCATGTTGTACAAATTCATAGAAATAAGACCATGAAAAATCAGATTCGATTCAGATCATCTCTAAATAATAATCTCTAAATAATTATAAATTATAAATGAATTTTTTATAATGCATGCGAGATTTTGTATACCGTTACGCAATTAGTAGCACATAATTTTATAGAAAACTACTGACAAACATGGGTTTACTAATCACTCCTGGTTCGGGCTAAGCAAAGCTGTACTGATAGGTTTTTGGCAAAGTTTTTGTATAAACTTTTCAGAAAAATTTTAATGCCAGCTATACTATATGGACATTTTTTTAATAAAGTAATTTGTAATTTGAAATGTAATCCAATTACTGTAATCGTAATTTGTAATTTAGGCAGTTCGATGTAATTTAATTGGAAAAGTAATCTAAGTACGGGATTTCGACTAATCGATAATTGGTAATCCAATTATATGAATAATTAATGTAATTGGCCCGTGTATGACAATTTGTTCGTTTTTATAAAAATAATACGTAAGTCAATTACTCGTATGGGTCGTGAGAGAATCTCAACTTGACCATAATTCTGTGCATTGTGTACGCACGAAGTAGTGTGCACGTCTGACAAATACTAAAAGTACAATAGCAAGTAAAAACTTTGTTTATTAATTTGAATCAAATTATTTGATGGTGTTATATCTGAGTGAACTTATAATTTTAAGTGATAAGTGTCCTATAAGGCTACAAGATGAGTAACATTTATATTCAAGAACCCCCGACGGAGGGGAAGGTATAAAAATTAAAATTATTGGATTCGTTTAATTATTGCTCATTGCTAATTGTTAATTAATGACTGTATAATTCGTAGGTCCTATTAGAGACGACGGTGGGTGATATCGATATAGAACTATGGTCTCGAGAATGTCCCAAAGCATGCCGAAATTTTGTCCAGTTGTGCATGGAAGGATATTACGATAAGACCATCTTTCATCGACTGGTCAAAGGATTCATTGTGCAGGGTGGGGATCCAACCGGGTCCGGAACTGGGGGAAATTCGGTGTGGGGGAAGCCATTCAAGGTAACACACAGTGTATCGACTTATACTTACAATTAATTAACCTCGTATACATATTATTCAGTAATATCTATATATTAGGATGAAATTCATTCCCGTCTTCGTTTCGTACGACGTGGGCTTGTGGCAATGGCGAATTCGGGTAGGGACGATAACGGCTCACAATTCTTCTTCACATTTGGTCCAACCCCAGAATTACAAAATAAACATACCATTTTTGGCAAGATTGGAGGCAATACGATTTATAACATGATTAAATTAGAAGAAGGAGAGATTGATGAGGCAAGAAACGAACATTATTGTTACAAATGTTAGATCAATTTCCAGGTTTAATTTGATTTTTGTTTCTATTTTGCCCTCAGAATGAAAAACCTCGTTATCCTCATAAAATTTTGAAAACAAGAATCCTGAGTAATCCGTTCAGTGATATTGTGCCTCGTGCCTCGATAAAGTCTTTATCTCGGGAGGACAAGAATAAGAAACAGTCTTCCGCCTCTGCAATTAAGTAAGGAAAACAAAATGCAGAATAATTTTTGAGTTTCTCATTCATTGTTTTTTAACTTGCACTTTTGTAGAAACTATTCACTCCTCTCATTTGGCGAAGAAGCAGAGGAGGAAGAAGAGGAGATCGATTCGTTAAATAAACAGTTATCAGAGAAGGGGATTAAAGGGAAATCGAGCCATGATTTAACCGCTGATCCAAAATTGAGTTCCAAGCCTGCTATCGATCAAATGGATGTTGGGACAACAGAAGAAAATACGAATAAACGGAAAATTGATAAAGATGATAATGCCGAATCTAAAAATGATGACGATGATAACGACGACGACGATGATGACATGTCTCTTGACCCTGGTCACAGTAGCATTAGGTTGGTAAATTTTGCAATGATTTATTAAACAAAGGATAATTTGTAAATGACGATTTTTTTCCCATTTTTATATAGCGACAAGCTGACCGTTTCTTCCGTTAAAGAGAAGCTTCAGAAAAGCAAATCGTCGTCTTCCTCCTCAAAAAAATCTAAACTCGATTCCTCCTCAAAGTCAAAGAAAAATGCTGGTGGCGACGCCTCCTCTGAGGAAGAGGAATATTATCTCGGCAAAGATGAAAAAGAAGCAGAGAAAAAGCGGGTAGAATCCATTAAAAAAGAATTCAGAGATTTAAAACGTACCATGAAAGCAGAAAGGGATGCGGATTTAAAATTAAAGTCAAAAGAAGCTGAAGTTGTTGCAGAAACACATAAAAGTAATCAAGTTCTCTCCTCCTATTTTGAAGAACAGAAAATTTACAAAGAAAAGAAAAAGACAGCGTCAAAAAAAGGAGAGGATCGAGAAGCTCAGACGCTCGCGTTGCTGGCAAAATTTAAAAACAAGATTGTATCTGCAAGGGATGCTGCTGAAGTTGAGCAAGAAGCGGCTGCCGCCACACTTGTCAGTGGGACTGGTGATGACCCCAAAAAGGATGACAAAGTTGTTGCAACTGGCAAACTTTACGAGGACAAGGATGACACTGAGTTCGACCCAAACGACACATCTTGGTTAGTGCAAACTTATATACTCTTGAATTAATTCTAGGACTAATTAAGATTGTATTAAAAAAAACTAAAAATTTGTCATTTTTTTTACCAGGCTTGCTAAGTCTTTGCACAACGAAGTCGAAGAATCTGTCCTTGCTAAGGATGCTAATAAAAAGGCGGACGACTGGTATGAAATATACGACCCGAAAAACCCCCTCAACCGACGACGCCGGGAAGAAAGTAAACGTGCAGAGGGAGAAAAGTGGAAAAAGCTCCGGCCCACGGACTAGGATCTTGTTATTTCTCAAATACTATTCTTTGTCTCCGTATTTATTTATCTATTTTTATAAGGACAAGTGTTTCACATAAAATCATTCTATTTTCTAAGTTACTAGCAATTTATTGCTGTTAATTTATTAATTTAATTTGAATGCACAATGAATCTACGCAATGATAAGCTTGGACGATTAAGTGTATAAAAAGACATTAACCTCAAAATCAATGAACTTGCTGAAATGCCTAAATTATATTTTTGCATATCTTTGTTTAGAAACGCAAGGGCCAAAAAGCTTAAAGCAGTGTAGAGCATCTTTGTCTCAACGGCGACATCGACCCTGGTAGGGATTTTAATTTATTAGAACAAACGGCAGTAAGCATGCCAAGAACAAGAACGGGACAATATTTTTCTTAATGAGTACAAGACCACGAAGTTCGACGCCTCAAGAAAATAGTAGATAGACACATGCTCCACCCTAACCAAAGTCTGATAAATAAGATCTCATCTCAACACCATCACACCAAACCAATCGTTGAACTCGATCTTCTTTATGCTTTCAGTGGATTGGATTACAACGCATCTCTCTACATTTTTTGCATGTTTTGTATTTCTAGTAAATAGTCTTCCTAGTTGGTTGATCTACACTGGTCTCGTCTCGTCTAGCATGTTTCGTCCATGTGATCATCTCGTATGCTTTGTTATGCACAGATGAGACCAGAACAAAACAACAACTTTTCACTATGTAGCTTTTTAACAGTTTGGGTCGACTCGTGCACATTTACAGATCAGCCAAGACGAGGTCGTGAAGCTGCCCTATTTTGTACGTATAAAACGGATAACACAATTCATTCTGGAACAGAAGATTTTCGAGAGGGATTAAACTAATTAAAATTTGTATAGTTTTCTTCGCAGTTTAACAATTTCTGGAACCATTTTAATGCAGTGTCCTTTTTTCCAAGCATTAGCTGAATTTATTGGGGGCAGAAGAGCTTTGTTTCCAGCACGTTATTATGGGAAGACCCAGCGTCATCTCAACTGCAAGCAATCGTGGCATAATAAGTGACCGATACCAATACCATATTCCTCCAGGTATACACATACATCCTCAGTTTTATATTTAAGTCTTGATTAAACAATAGAACTTAAACTTTTGGGGTCAAGAATGACCATACTGATTGTTCAATATCTAAAAACGTAGGTTGGTGTTTTATGCATGTAATACAAGATAAGATACTGATATTGCGAGATCAATTGAATAGAGACCAGACTTATGTAGTCGAATTACACAATTCAATCAGGGTTTACTTGTCGATAATTAATTGCATTGCACGTGCATGCTCGGTATATAAAGGGAGCAGGCTGGTTTTGATTTTTTGATTTATTTCAATTTATATCCTTGAAATAATGAGGGTCGAATATACATAAGTTGAACTTTTGTTACACATACTTACTAAAATTTAGAAAGCCAAATTTGCATTTATGCTAATTTGGATAGTATTGAAGGATCCCTCTTATAAAAGAATGCAGACAGAATTAAGAGATGCATCAATAAGTTACAGTTCATTACTTTCTTTTCCAAAGAAATCCTCAATTCAGATAAGCGATGATTATCATCGTGACCCTCTACTCGCCCCTAAGAAGTTGTCAACTGACTCATTTAATTTTTATCACTATTACAATTCTGGTGCAGTAGGTGTGTTTGATTTTCAAATGCATAATTGAGCATGTGACCGTCTAATAGACGGCGTCTATTAGCCAAATTTTCTTACTTTACATACTTATTTATTTTTAGAAAACAGTCGACGTCCCGGGTGGGGGAGTGGTCCTCGCAAAGTGTTCACGTTTTGCGTCCTCTCCGTATTTCTCCCCTGTGTCCTAGTCTCGGTATGTCTTTTCATGCGATTCGTCGTCCATGGTTCGTCGCTGTATCATTTGGCTCCATCAGATATGAGAATATTGGATCAACGCATTTCCACCATTTGGTGTCAGGTAAGTTAATAATACGGTTTAAACTAAAGTAAATATGTAAATTTAATCCGTCAAATTGTTTCATATAGAGCGAAAGTGTCAAAGGTAACACTACCTTCACAGCCTATCTCACGGATGGAGAACCAGAAATGTTCAAGTCTCCAGAAACTGTCGTAGTTGAGAGAAATGTCATAATTCCTGACGATCATAAGGGTGTGAAAAATACCGTCATTTATAAAATTCTCATAAATAATTTACTAAATCTTTAGTTATGTATTTGATTGTCCAGAATATTGGGGATTCTACCTTCTCCAAGGGTCAACTTTTCGGGTCCACACTTGTGCAAGGTAGGCAAAAAGTACGAGTACAAGTATTTCTTACAAATTATAACATGAAATCATCTCTTAGATTTAAGGGAGGCACACTGCTCATCGTACAAGGAAGGAACCATTTAGAACATTGTGCCTACATTGGCGAAGGTAATAATGTGTAAAAAAAAGTTGCGAATTTTTTTAACAAATTATTTCATACTTTCTCTCATTATATTTCAGCCGACTCTGCTGGAAACTCTGACGAATTCTCATCGTCCAATAGTGTCGAAATCAATAAACCATCCACCAACTCTACTTCTGGCAGTAGAGAAGAAATGGGTGCAATCTTGTCAAAAATTCGCCAATTTATACGATCACGTCCAAATAATTATGGCAAATTAAAGAAGAATTTGGCAGATTGGATGCTTGTTGACGATGAAGTTGTTGAGGACGATTACAATAGTACAATGAATGCGTCCTTAGAAGAAGAAACCACATCGTCATCTCCACCAGTAGAACAAGATTTTGCTCAAATAACTAATACAACTCAGACACATAACGAGTCGTCCATCGTAGTTGAACACGGCACGGTACTTCGACACCGACGCGGTACAGCAGAGATTCGAAAAATCTCAGAATCTGGAGAAAATGGTGCCTTCGAAGAAATCGACAGCGTTCGTCCCGACCCAAAGTCGTCCTCGCATCCGCATCCTAGTCATAATCAGCAAACTTCGTCTTCAATCTGGTCTCAAGAACATGGGGACGAACACGGAGTTTTAAATGACCACGTTAATCCAAACGATGGATCAAATTCGGAATCTGAGTCGAGTTGGTCGAGCAGCGAGGAAGCAATGGCCAAGTGCGAAGGCGTCGTGGCAAACTTTCCCCTCAAAGCAAACGATAGCTGCGGACTTGACGACGATCTTTGGAGCATTGATTCTCCCCCGTTTTACGAAGGTTACGTTAACACGAGTGGATATTATTATTTTATTTTTGGCTCAGAAAATGAAAAACGGGACAACATTATCAAGATGAAGTTTGAATTGGAGAAATTCGTCTACCATTTACCACCACCTATTGAAAACTGTACTGGAGTTAAAGACTGTCACGTTAATTTTACTTTCGCCTCGAACGAGAAGGTCTGAATATAATTTGCATACAACTAGTTTACATATTTAACTAAACGTATAATTTTTTCTCAGTTGGTGATCACCGTGCCACAACCCACAGTAAATTTAGAGTCAGCATGGAATGATATTTACGTCGCGGAATCAGATTGTCGTCCTAGGACGGCTGTATATCTACTTTTTGTAATACTTGTTCCAATCGTAATACTCATGTGCGCATTTCAATAAATTAGGTTACCCGGTTTTTACAATACGGGTTTTAACTTTATAATAAGACAAATGGAATGTAAATGTACATACATCAATGTAAATTACTTATAACATAATTTGCTTATTGTTTGTTTTACTAGGATAAAAATTTGTGATTAATCGTTGTGTTGTTAAAATTGTCAATTTAATTTAAACTTTTTTCTTAACTTTACACACAGTTTTAATTATATTTATCAAAACTGGAAATTTATACTCACTTGTGTACATTTTACAAGAAGATTATGATCCATGTATAAACACTTTCATGTCAGTAATAAAGTCAAGCTTATGTACATAATTACATAAATTACATACAAAAGTACATTGATATGTGTTCGATGCATGAAGTCATACAGCGTTAAAATTGCTTGGTGTCTAAATTTTTCTATAGTACTTCATACACCGACGTGTCCACATGTGCCGATGATTTGCTGAATGGCTTGTTCTTTTTTCTACTGGAATCTGCTTTTGCATGCATTTCTAACGTGAAAACACCGAACCGAGAGAGAAAAGTGAAACTCCACTTCTTCTTTTAGACATCGTATTTAAGCAGACTGCCAAATCCCAGCCCGATTCAGTTTGTGACTGGGGGCTCATCACTCTGGAGCTTTCTCCACTTTCACTCCAATCCACCACCACCACCACCACCGACCATAAACCGGATGGATCTTTCTCTCTCTTCTTGCAACGCCGGGGTTAAATAGTAACCTGCTTCATTCCACTTTCTTTATCCGTTCTGGATTTGCAGGAAGAAGGCGAGGTGGTGAGAACAATTGAGTGAAAGTGATACATTCTGAACTTATCAAGTGTCGTCGTGATGATCTCCACCGATAAGTGGTGACCGATAAGATTGTTTCTTTCTGGTGGAGGGTGCGGTTTTGCGGTAGTGTGACTGTGCCCCTCATATTGGGGAGTTTATGTCCCAGTTTTCCCCACCCCGTGCTTGGCGAAAGTTGATTAACTATGTAATATGCCAGGATTTTACTTTATGATTCAATATCATGGTGAAAGTGAAGTGAAAGCCGTGCCATCCCAAAAGTATGATTGAAAATCATTTCAATGCTTGCTAAAAATCAAAATTTTGGTCCAAATTGTTAAAAGAAACGTGCCACATTTGGGGGCTGAGGAGTTTATACAATTTTGTTTTCCCATGATTATACACAAAAATACAAAAATATATTCAAATCGATTCAAAAACCCAAAGTCAAAATTGAGACCTCTTTGATTTCTTTGTCCCTTAAACATTTCCCTCCCTTCCAGTCTTTCTCTCTCTTCTGGATAGATATTCTCGTTTGTTGGCGGATCACCAGCCATAAACCAAACAAGTAAAATTTACATATAATATAAAATTGGAACAAAATCTCCACCAAGGTTCCGATTCTGAAGGACTAAATCCAAGAAAAGAAATAAATTTTAGGGAAAAAATGTCAAATTCGTTCGACTGTTTTCCATCCCATCTCTTTTTTTAAACATTTAACATGACAAGATATTGGATTTGGTGGGTGGTTCTCGTGCAATTTACTCCATGTATAAAATTTGAATTAAAATCATTACCGTGGCCCAAAGCAGAACATACAAATCCCTAAAATTTCTATACTGGCCATTTTTTTGTTAAAAGAAAAAATACTTTTTTACCAAAATTGATAAAGAACTAGAAAATTTTTAACACATTTTACCCATAAATTTCTTATTTTTCCCACCCACTTGACATCTGGTTTGGTACGATTTGTTCGTATAAATAAATAAAATTGAGACTTTTCTCCACCAAATTTTTATGTGTCGAGCGAGAGACAACTTTCTGCCTAAATCTGTGTTGACATAAAGTGAAAGTATCCAAATCTTCTTTGAGAAGGATGTAACAAACCAATGTTGACACGACAGCACAACTGTCACCATCATCTCTCCGTCCGCCCGTCCTTCCTTCTTCTGTTGGTTTGTTTGTCGGTGAAAGTGTCTCAAGCTCAGAGTTAAAATTCATGAAGGAAACAAAACCACACTTTCTTTTTTGCTCCGAATTTGAGTCCACATTTAAGAAAAACTTTACTTTTTTACGAAAAATGGTACAATTTTAATCAGAATCAGGATAGTGATAAAGAAAGTAGGAAAAGAAAGTATGTGCCTGCATTCCATGCGGATCTGCACCTTCCAAACCGGGAAAAGGGAAGGAAACCGTGGTGGAAAAGGGAAGAATCGTCCCGCGATCTGAGTGACAGGCAGGTAGCAGACAGGATGCAATAAAATAGGTTTCATTTCCAAACAGAATCGAAAAAAAGGAACTTATTCTTTTGTGGATAGTAAATGTCTGTCTGTCAAAGTCAATACAAATAAGTGTGCTGTGTGGGATGTCCATTATTTAGAATATTCTGTAAGAAGTGTCCTCATAAATACGTAAAAATGGCCGGTTTTTTTTCAATTTTACGTAAACTTTTATGATAGAATATTTCCTAATTTGTAAAAGAAAATGAGATTGAAATTAAGCTTCACTAACTGAAAATTTTGAAACCCATTTCCTTAATCTTTCTACTTTCGAATTTTCTCCTAAAATTATCACCCCCCGATTTATCAGATTTATGTATCTCTTCTAAAAAAAATAGAGAAAGCAAGAAAATAAGCTTCTCGTTGTCTTTCTCACTTTCACTAAACTTTCACTAAACTGTGGTCTCTTCTTCCTCGTTCGCCCTTCCCTGTCAACAAATTGGTATAACTAACCTACCATTCTCCCTCTCCCAACTTTCCCTCTCTCTCTCTTTCGGATCCTGATCCTTTAAATGGGGCCAGAAAAAAATGTCCCCCCTTTTACCTCGCTCTCTTCTCCTTCTCCTTCACTATCTTCTCCCCATCCCAGAGACAAATTTCCCTGACAGAAATTACCAATTGTTCCTGATTTATTTGTCACAATCTTTCCCATTTTGTAAATCCAAGCACTCCATCGTATCCTTTCATTCTTTCCCTTTTTCTATCTCTCCTCCTTCGGCTAGGCGGTTGCCCTTGTCGTCGTCATTTTATTCAAGAAACCCATTTCATTACTACACGTGCCAGTCTTCCTCTCCCACTTTCTATTTATGTGTGTGCCTCGTATATTGGACCATGAATTAGATACGGCAATACTTTCTCCTTCTCGACGTATGTAACGAGCAGTATGGATGGATTGAAATTCATTTAGCGAGGCGATTAAGCTATGCGCACTACTTTCACCTACCTACCAAAGTTTAAAGAGGCAAATTCTTCACGCCGAGAGTGAAAGAAATGGAGGCTCGATTATTTTATTTTGCTTTCACTTTTTGTCCAACATTCCAATCCCAGCACGGAACAAGTATGAGGTTTTGTTTGGATGGATGGGTTGGTTGGATCAATAAAATAAAGTGATTCTTTTACCAAGGTGTATGGATGTAGAGACCGGTTGTCCACATATTCAGCCCGTCTGTCAAGGGAGAGAGACAGACAATGGGCAATTTGAGGCTTTTTCTTTCCCTTTCTTCCTGACAAATGATCTTTGACCGGGTGTTGTGGCATGGTTGCCGGGTCGGGTTGGGAAATTGATGACGACAAAAAAGCTCTCTGCAGAGTATAAAATCCCATCTCAAAAGCGAATACTAAACCAACCAGACCCGTGCATATTATTATTCGCAGATAAAACAGGAAAGAACTCTTTTACGACGTGATGTGTAATAATGGTGCTCTAATGAGACTTCAGAACTGCAGCGTTTTCTTCAGTTTATTTATATCTCGTGATACAAATCTCTACTTAAGTTAACTGCGCCACCGTGACACTGAGATTTAATCTCCTCAAATCCAATCAAATCTGCACAATTATTACGTAATAATACTCCAAACTAGCCCGATTCTATGTCATCTGAACCTGAACTGTTTTATTAAGAAGGCCAAGTCGAAAATCCAGATTAGAAATCCATGTTAAGAATGGATGGAGAAAGTTCTCTGCTCGATTATCCTGTCAAACTTTGTGTAAAGAAAATAAAGAATTTTCTCCTCCTTCTTATTCTTTGTCTGAATTGGACTGGTCTCCGCAAATTCTCTGAATGATGCACTCTTCACTTGAGCCAACACTCCTCGAGTCCAGTCATATTTTTACTTTAGTTACACAAATAAACACAATTTGTGGATGGGAGTGGAGTTCCAAGTACCAAGTACGTACGGGTCTCGGATCTGGATGGGTCATCTCATCACAAAGTAATAACAAACACGACTACGACCAGCTTTAGGTTGGCTTTCTCCCCTTGGTTGAGAGGAGAATCATCACCCTCACCAAAACCAGGCCGGGCCAGACGGGCAATAAAAGTTGGCAAAACTTGTGTTTTACTCGATTGGATTCTTCTTCTTGGAGACAAGGCAGGAGTAAAAGTGTTACTGGAATGGAATAGAATATCAACTAGGAAATTTCTTTCGCGTCGCGGTGTCCTTCCTTGTCTTACAAAAGAGTAAAAATGCAACCAGGGAACAAGTGCCGTGGTTACATAAGCACATTTTCCACACTTTTTTAAAACTCTGTCTTAGTTTGCTTAAAAGGAAGGTCGACCCTTCAAGTGCATCTTCTTTTATGCAAGAAATCATATCACAAATTAGTAAAAAGTATGAATTTTTTCTCCCCCAGATGCTGATCACCAACAGAAGAATGAAGTACTTGTGGATTCCTAACATGGAGAAAGTTGTCACTTTCACTCGCTTCCTTTCTCCGTCACGACGCTTTGTGTCGTTGCTCGTTAATTGTGAGAGTGGTTAATACTAATCATCTCCTAGTTGCTCATCATAATGTTATGTCATCACTTACTGAAAAAATGTGGCTCAGGCTGAACGTACGTATGGACTTTTTATCCCGGTGAAAGTGAAGGTGATGTGAATTCCGCCCGAATTTTTGTCCACCTTGTCCCTCGGACTCTTTGGTCACCCGTCTCCATCTCCCCTCTTCTGAACGCCTCGATTATTCGGTAGGACATGTTGACATCATGCATCTCAACCGTGCTACTAGTCCTAGTCGTGTTTTTTACTCGTCCAACCACACACACGCCACAACAAGCTGCATCCAAAAATGGTCGGCCCAGCAATCTCATCTTGGCCCCGTCTCTCCTCGAGTTGGAAGTCGTGGTGGTTCTGCCAAGGTAAAAATCAATGAAACTTATTGTTAGTAACTCGAAAATTGAAAATAATCTTTAACGACTTTCATGATTAAACTAAATTTAATTACTTTCCTGTATTGTTTTAGTCCGTCGAAACGATCGCTTTCACTCTCGCGAACCCTGTCACGAACTTTGAACGCTCAGGTGATAAACTTAACTTTATGATACAGTAGAAAAATCTGCCAAACGGAATCTAGACAATTTTCTACATGGATAGATCAGTTATTTTGTTAAGCTTAATGCAAAGACCTAATTGTCTCTTATCACTCATATTCTAAATTAACAATGAAGTACCACGAGGAAACGCGATTATTATCTTAAACTACACATCACAACGTTACCACCAAATAATAATCATGCAATTGAGTGAGACAAAGAGAGATCAGATTTGAACTGATTTCGGTTAATAATTTTTCATCCGTTCCGTCAACCAATGTTACCGGATAATTTAATATGGGTTTCAATTTTTTTTGCTACTCAATAGAACTAATTATATGGAATTTTGGAGAGAGATTGCAGCGATGATACATCCCATTTGCACGTTTTACTCAATTACAAATATCCGTCCCAAGCAAAACAAAGGAAAAAATGCCTGATTTGTTTTGGGTTAATGTTTAATTCGCATGTTGCGAATGAGCAATTTTGAGGTCACAGTCCGCACTCTTAATTTTTGCACCTCTCTCATCAACTCGAGAGAGGAATGTACTTAACTAATTTATACAGCATTATGTAACAAGTTGACGGGCTTTATAGGCGTTCTTATATATCTGAGTTTTCAAAATTTGTACGGTTAACCTCGATTTTTTAGACGGCCGCCGATCTCGTCTCCCAGCTGGACTTTCCGGAGAAAAATGTGACCTGGAAAGTGTCGAATTTTTACTTGACGGGCTCCCCACCCAGCGTGAAGGAGGCCTTGGTGGGTGGGCAAGATGACGAAGATGACGAGGACGACGATGACGACGACGTGGTGGAGGAGCAGAGCGGGTATTTTGGGGATGAGGCTGATTCCGTCCGGGTTCTTCCTCCAAAGGGAGGAGGGGGAGGCGGTAAAGTGGGTGAAAGTAGCTTACACTTCAGTCCACCCTCGCTTCCCGTCCTCTGCGACTTTCTCTCGGGTGGGAGAGCCTTGGCCATCGTAAGTCCGTCATTTATACTTCACTGTTTGTAACTTGCGCCATGGTTAAATTACAACATTGGCGCAAGTTAACTAGGAGTAGAGTATAAACCAACCTTAAGAATGATTGCTTATCATCATGCACTTTGTTCCCCATGATTTTTTCCACTCCGCAGGTCTCCCTGGTTCCGGAGAGGGTGGGTCATCAAAGGCTGCTTTCTCTCGTGACGTCTGCTATTCATGTACCTTTAGTGGCTCAGTCGGCCCTCACGACGCTCAAGGTGAGTTGCCATCCCATTCTCAATATTTCCGGTTGGTGGCACTCGGTGGCAGTGATCCGTACCATTCCCTTCCTATGAACTTTCACCCCGTTTAAATCCACTCATTATTCGGTAATTACTGCGCAATCTCATCAATTATTTTTTCCATCTAACTTAATTATTGTCCCCTTATGGTAATTACTAATGTATGTACAAGAGGTCCACCCACCCATCACTCACTCCACGTGACACGTCTCTTTATTAATGCACCATACAAAAACCCTTATTTCACTTCGAGAGGGAAGTCCACAATTGGCCGGTAGTATAAATCGAGGAGCTGTGTATGTATACCCCTTAATAAAATAATTATGACGTGACACACCGTAATTGTGTCATGCTTCCAATTAGTGTGCCCCACCATCCACCCAATTGTCCAATTTTGCCTGGGATGCCCACTCGAGTGTCATGTCATGTCAAGTCGTGTTAGTTAGTTCACCTTTACCCTCCTGCCTGCCTGATCCTCACTCATTTATTGGGTGGGTGCCACATCACGTCCACTTATACTTTCGGGACAAAGGTACACCCAAAATGGCTCAAATTCTCTATGCACCACTCCACTTTCACAAGTACGTATTCTGTCCTGTTGGTCTTTGTGTGGATGAATTTGGTGGCGTTGTCGGGGTGGAAATGGTCGTGGAGGTGATTCATGTCTCATCCTCGCTCTCGTCGTCTCCCCAAATAAAACGGAAACGGAAAGCTCAATACGTGCAATCAATCCAATCCAGGACACGATACAGTATCAAATTGAGAACATATCTCGACTCTAAATTGCCTGCATTTGTTTCTTTTCCGCCCCCCGACTTATTTTGTATCGATTTCTACCTCTCTCTCACTCTCTCTGCTTCCGTCCTTCGTTCGTTCGAATATCTAAAACGCAAAGACGGAGACATGTTTTCTTATTCAATTTCAATGTGTCAATTCAATCCGACAATATGGCAGATCAGGAATTTTGTCAAATTCAGGCAATGTAAATGATTTGATGAAAATCGAAACTAGATTTTTACAGTGTTCGAGATGAATGTCACACCTACACTAAAATGGGAACGCTTTTAAACTAGGAATCAAATTTTTTGGAGTAAAAATTTCCAAAATTTTATTATTCCAGGATGAAGAAGACCTTTTCATAAATTTATCGTAGATTTTTAGACAGTGTTCGATTCACTGATGACGAATCATTCGTCACGCATGGCACAAACTAAAAATTGTAACAATATAAACTGGGAATGAAATTTTTTGGAGTAAAACTTTTCAAAATTTTATTATTCCAGGATGAAGAAGACTTTTTCATAAATTTGTCCTCATCCGTGCGTGACATGGCTCGGGCGCTCGTGCTGTAAGTGACTTTGAAAAATGTACTTTTTGGAATGAAATAATTTTCTTTAATCACGGAAAAAATAGACTTTTGATCCACTGCCATTGGCACACGTTCACCCTGCTGTTGGATGACTCGCCACGAATCCGGGCGTCCCAGGTCATCTGGGAGACGGAGTTGCGAGCGAGGATTAAGCTGCCGAATAGACCGGGTGGGAGCAGGAATGGGACGTCGTCCTCGGACTACTACACCCCAGACATGGACTACCCGGAAGAAGAGGGTGGACAGTTCGATGACGCCGCCGAGTGGTCACTCCGTCCAAATACGATTATACTCCAGACTCGATTTCCAAACTCGGCGTTCAGAGCCTTGTCCGAAGTTACGAAGGCTACGCAGGGAGTTATACTGCTCGTTTTAACGCACAGGTGAAAAAATTTATTAGTAAATGATAAATTTTGAAAGTCTGCATGAAAATGCTAATTTTCATGCCATTGAATTTAAGGCCAAAAAAATTTTAAAAAAAATTAAGTTTAGATAATTCTTTCCCTTTTTTGTTAGTTTCTGCCTGCAAATTGTGGTGAAATTTGTATTAAACAAAAAATAATATCCAAAAATGAGGATAAAATTAGAAATCCTATCAAAGATAAATTTGAAAAGATAAATTCATTTAAGTAAAAAAAATAATTCACTAAATATATTTTTTACCGGTATAGATCCACCATGGCTGTGTTCCAAGCTGCGAAACAACTGAGAATGGTAAGAAAATTAATTTTCAAAAAGATATTCCAGAATAACTAACTAAAAATTGCGAATTTTGATTCAGATTAAAATTTATATTTCCCTTTTCATATTTCCAGCTCAATGGAGATTATATTTTTATAATGGTAGATCCACGTGCTCAGGTAATTAATACGCACTTTCCTGGCACTTAATTGGCTGTAATTAATTTCTGCTAATTTCCATCCCTTTTTACTCATTATTATCCTCACAATTCTCATTAAGATCAGACTGGCGACAATTATGTGAATAAAATAGCTTAATTAGTCAAGTCACACTTCTATTACAAATTAGACAATAGCATTTCATCCTTAGCGAAAAAAAGATCCGCAAAAATCCAGACATTTCATTCATTTTCGTGTAATTAAGAGCAGTCAAAACCACGAAAAAAATTCACTCCTTTACTTTCTAACTTTCTATACTTTTCCACTGAAAAGAATGAAACGACTTTGGCACCACCACCACCACCACCCGGCAGCAGCAGCTAAAGTGGTGAAAGTCATTTCCGGAAGTGAAAGTGCGGTTTAATCTCATAATGTAATAAGTAAGTAACTCAGCAGACCGAATTGTTCTGGACTTACATGAATGTGACCATTTATTTTCACCAACACAGAAATCAGACGAGAGAGAAAGTCGGCTCAAGTGGTTTGGTCGTTCGTCCATTATTAGAAAAAGTTTTGTCTCGAGCCACTCTTTGTGAAGTACTTTTTAATTAGTTTCCACTTTTTGCTCTTGTTTCTGACAAAATCTAAAAACCAAACTGAACCTCCACATCCACATCCTGTCGCTCGTTATAAAATCCATTCTTCATTTTCATTTCATAACCATGTCCATTTTACTCGATTGTTTTAGTTTGAGAGTATCCCAGACTGGATACCGCATGGCGTTTTGGCCCTCCAAAGTCCCCGGCTCCCTTGGATGAACAAGAGAAAGATGAAAATGACCGGCTCCCTGTTGGCCTCGGCTCTCCTCACCTTGAAGGATGAGCCTTTCTCCGGCAGAAAGAAGCAGTTCGTGAGCAGTGGCCACTCTCCGAAACGTGTCGGCGGAGGTGCCATGGCTGGCGGTGTTTTTAGTGGCTTTACCAATCGAGACTTCCAAACCGAGGGGGAGCTGGATTTTGCCGGGGAGCAAGAACCAGACGAGGATGTGACGAATAATAATAATAATAATGTAAATAATAAAGGCGACGAGGAATCCGGAGGTCCCACGTTTCTCGAAGTTTTAGAAAAATTACCAAATTTATCCTGTTATGAAAAAGACTATTCTCAAAGGAAATTACTTTCTGGCAGGATTACAACGTAAGTCGAATTGTATATTTTTTATTTACAGGAAACAAAAAATCGGCTTATTTTTACTATGAATGTGATACGCTTGACCACGAACTGTAACTAAAATCCATCATTCAGAATTAGCTTCTCCTCTAATTGATCTCATAATATTAGGACTTAAATTCGTTGGAAGATATTGGTTAACACATTTGGTGGAGAGATTAAAGGAGCACTTTCTCCATCATTTCCAGTCCACCATCCACTCCACTTTGGCTCTGATCTTACTTTCTCTTTCCTGCCCAGTGCTCCCGTGACACGTTCGGGTCGTGTTAAAATACTAATGTGCATACTACCACTACGGACCACCACCGCCGTCGTCACGGTGGCTACTTATCTATGTACGTACGTACGTCTCGATTTTAGAGAATGAATAAAACCAAGGGCATGCACGCTTGAATGGGCGGAACTTTTACTTTCACTTTTACTTTCTCCCGTCTCCTCTGAAGATGACAAATCTAATCGGATGAAGGGAACCAGTCGAAGAGGAAGAACACTTCTGACCTTACTTTTACTTATTTACTGTCGGTCTAGACGTAAAGTGTGTGGGATAAATGCGGTTGATGAAGGGAATTTTCTTTGCAAAAAAATGGAGCTTCTCATGTATTGCAATTTTTTGCACCTGATTTTTACGACGTTGGGTATTCCATAAGGCAAAATTCAGGCAATTATTAACTACGTCCTCCAAAATTATGATGATATAGTGATATTCTTTGAGTTATAAATAGAAAATTTCATTTTATCTTTTGAAAACTTTAAAAAATGGAAATTTGGAAATTTACAATACAGTAAATATGTATTCCCAACGGTTTTATCACGACATTTCTTCCCCTTAAACTTTCCTCACTCGTCATCTACTTAGGTACTTCTGTACACTGGTTACACATTTCTTGGCGACTGCTGCATTCTGCTTCTCTCACCAATCCACTCCAATTGGCAATCCAATCCAATCAATGCAACTGTATACGACCAGAGAGGCCAGAGATCCTTTCGGCTCTCGCTTCTTTCTTCTCCTCTTTGTGTCCTCCTTGTCCCTTGAGTGGCTCCAGTCAACCAAAGGGGAAAGATCCGCGGAGAATGCCCTGCCAAAAAGAAGTACCACACCACAATGCATCACGATATATTTACAATCATGCCCAAAAGTACATAAGAGTAGTGGTCGTTATGCTGGTGCTGGTGGTTTGGTTTCTGGTGTACGGTTTCCTTCTCCTCCGCTCTTCATACCGAGTTGTTTTCAGTGTCACTTTCACCAACCGAACTAAACCAACCAAAACAGAAGCCTGGTCGTGTCCATTTCAGTCTCCCCGTTCTTAATGGAACTTAACTTTAGAGTGGCCTTTCTGTCCGTCTAATAGCTATTGTGCATGACTGAGCTGGCTCTCCTGATCTCAGGCTTCGTGCCGTGGGCCTTGGCCTGCTGTGTGACCCTTCCAGAGGGTAACATTTCCCTACCAATATCCAAAACTTATGCAGTAGCTGGCTCACAAATATATATTCTTATACGTTTGTTAAGCATGTACTACGTAGAAGTAGGACAGCATTAGAGTCGTGATTTGCCCAGCATACATACACTGCTTTCTCCGCTACTTCTCCTAAGAAACCAGCCAGTCGTCCATGAATAACTCAATTATTCTCCAAGAAGAGAAAACTTGCAAAGAGAACAATAAAGAAAGTTTGCCCGAGTGGAGTGGACTGGATGGAGGAACGGATCCGATCTGATAGGGATATGGCTCTCCTTGAGGAAATATATTCGAACAAAAAAATGACGACAATTTTCCCTGAATTTTTGAAAACCTATCAAAATTTCTTGGAGAGAAAAATGCTCAATTATTTCTATCAAGTGACCCTCCTCTCAATTTTTTTCATGTAAAGTTAACTTTCTTCAGTATTTTATTTTTTGATCGGTTTAACTTTTCTTCTCCTCTCCAGGGAAATACGGCGTCAAATGCTACACCCGGATCAAGACTCGTCCACTTTTTCCTTCCTTTCTCCCCCAGTGCCATTAACGTATCAAGTGCTCAACCTGGTCAGAACGACGGCCGCCATGAATGCCACGATCCCCACGTGGAATAAGGTTGGTTCCGTCTCTTCGAACACCGGGGTCGTCCGCTTGGACACAATCAGGTGGCCGGGTGGTGGCATTTTTGGGCCTGGAGGGGACGAAAGGCCGTCAAAGTCGTACCGCGTCGTCACCATTGTTGCCCCACCGTTCGTGATGGAGTCGCAGGCGGAGGATAACAGGACTTGTGTGAGAGGCCTGCCCTGTCTGAAGGTCAAGACGCAGAGAAAGGTAGGAATTTTGAGAGTTGAAGTGAAAGCAGAAGTAAATTGTAATTTTTTTCACTATTTTTGATTTGATCCAACTCTATTTTAGGATGACCTGGCCGTTCTATTCGCCGAGTTTGAGTCTACTCGCGGACTTTCTCCGCCAGCTTATGAGCTGGCTTGTTGTGATGGGCTGGCCATGGATTTGTTGGCATCGGTTGCGAGAGAACTGAAATTCGAAATTGATTTATTTCTCGTGCCGGATGGATATTTTGGATCGAAAAATGTAAGAGCTTTCTCCATTTAAATAAACTAATATTGATGGCAGGCATTCAGCATGACGGGTTTTGCAGATATGAAAAGTTCAGCGTGAAGTGTATTATTATTGAACAAATTTTATTAAAATTTACAAAATTATTCTTCCGGAAATTTTGAGCGAGAACGACGGAATTTAAAAGTTCTAACAAGATTTGGTACGAGTACAATTTTTACTTAGAATTTCGTCCAATTTAATCCACTCCACTTTTTACTTGAGAATACAAAATAGCATTTTAAAAAATATATGAATATTTGCAGAGAGAAAGTCCAGTACAATCATTTTGCAATTTTTTTGAGTATACCTACATTTTTTAAATACAATTTTATTTCCAAATGTTTTCCACCCTTCGAGTGAAAGTCAGGGAGGTAGAAATCTATGTAGAATATCTCACTCTTGGACAAAAACAAATCCATCCGTCCATAACTATGAAAGAAGACTTTCTCCTCTGTACTTTTTCCCTCCTTGCGCCACGTTTTAGCTCAAGGGTTCGTATTCCTGCTTGATTCTAGACTCGAATGCAATTCCCCAATTCCCAGTCCAATTCTTATATAATACGAATCATCTCTCTCGTTTCTCGTCCTCCTGATCCTTATACCCGTCCGTCCGACATGCACGACAAGAAGCAGGAGGAGCAGAACAGAATCAAGAATGAGTAGGCAGCCAGCCAGCCAGCCTTCCACTGTTCTTCTGCTTCTTCTTCTATTATATGTGTAGTAGAGACCAACTTAATTTTAACTCTGCTCTTCCTCCTACAAGAGAATCATGGGCATGATGATCATCATGATGATTGTGGCGGTGGTGGTGGTGTCAAGATCGCGTCGCGTATCGTGCATGCAATAATGAGTGATCGCCGTGGAATTGGTTTCCGCATCGGTATCGTGTTATTAGATGAATCTACTGGAAGTCAGTCAAGTAGGAGTGAAGCTTTCTCCCTGCATTCCATTGTCCCACTTTCTCCTCGCTTAGTCGCCTCTCCTGGCCGGATGAAAGTTCGGTTTGATTTGGATAGCCAGCGAAAGTACGGGATGAAATTTGAGGTGGGTGGGTGGTGAGTACGTAACAGATACGAATGGATACAGACGGATACAGGATGATGACGAGGGCAAGCGAGCAGTTGTACACGATGAGTGGCAAGTTTTCCAGCACTTGGAATCAGATCGCTTAATATCCTTCCTGGTGACTCGGCACAAATTAGGACAAAAGTTTGAAAGGAGGAGGAGCAGGGTGAAAGTTGAGGCGGATGTAGCGTGTCGAGCTGATTTTGAATCTGAATTTGATGCCGTCGTGTTTATATCGTCCTGGTCTAACTTTCTGCAGAGTCATGCCGAGTAGACGGTCTTTACTTGACACGCAACAATCTGAATCTCCAGGTGCCCGTTAAATGAGACGATGGCTGGTCAAAGTTGGTGACTTTTGTCCATTTTATTTTGATTTGTCAGTATAGCTTGACGAGTGAATGATTAATACAATTTCTCAAACTTATGTAATTCCACGGCGAAATTACTATCCATGATCTCACCCTTTCCACAAATAAAATCAACGGAAAAAGAAAAAAATAAACAAATGCTATAAAAAGCAGAAATAAGCTGATCCTTCCTTTTCGTGCGTGGAGAGAAACTTTCTCGACTGCTTTCTTTCTCTCTTTTATTATTTCCATAAATGTTACTTTATTCTCCTTATGACGGATTCAATGGGGTGTGGAATCCTAGTTTTATGTCGAGTTTACACTTCTTTACTCTCCCGTCTCGACTTGTTCTTTCTCCTCGTCGGTCGCGGAGGTGAAAGTAGCTGAGTGGAGTTAAAGTGAGGTGTTATGCTCTGGTCTGGTCCAATCGGGGAGAAAAGAACTAACTACTAAACCAGGAAAGGGGAAGATGTTTTATTATCACGAAATGAACCCGGTGCTACCTATTTACAAGCATTTGTGTATTTATATGTTTAACGGAGAAGTGAAAGCAGCAGGCAACGTGTAACATCTCTTCCTCTTCTTGGTCGGACGTGGCTTGGCAGTTGGGACGATTTATTTCCCGCACGACTTTCTCTTTTCCCACCTGCCTCTCAGGAGAGGACTCCTTGTCCCGACTTACTCTTTTTTGGAAGGGGAAGAGTTATGCATTTTCGAGAGGAAGGGAAGCAAAAGAAAAACACCTTACTTGCAAAGCAAGTTGTCTAATGTCTGCTTACATAAATTTACTTTAAAAAAATATTTTGGGTGGAAATGATGAAATATGTTGTTTGTAATTTAATGTGCGTTTTTACCCTTCATTTTTAGCTGGATGGGAGTTGGAACGGTTTAATGAATCTAACCGTATCTGGAGCTGCACATTTGTGTTTCGCACCAATTTCGGTAAGTAATTACGTGTTGGTACATTTATTTAATTAATGGGTGCATGTATGTTAATGGGACGGCGATAAATCACAAATTTTAGTCATTAATTTTTTATGAACCTTCGTCACGTTCTTTAACACGCTATTAAATTCGAAGATAAACATGACTATGGTTGTTACCATTTGGGTGGTGGTATGCTTCCGCTTGGTGATAGAATGTCACCGAGGTAGTCGTGGGTGTTTTCACCTAGTGGTTATTCCGCTATAACCGAGCGGTGACGTATTATCACCATCCAGCAAAGTACACACCGGTCGATGATGATCCAGTATTAAAATTGCTTAGAGTGTATTTACCATCCCAAAAATCAAATTATTTTCAAATTATATAAAATTTACTTACAAATCCAGAATTATTACTTTTCCACTATCCTCTAAAACAAATAAATTTTGTACTTTGCCTTGATCCCAATGATTATTTATCATTCACTTTTCCCTTTATTTTCTCCCCGCAGATCTTATCCGTCCGTGCCACCGCTGTAGATTTTTCTACCCCCTTCTTCTTCTCGGGCGTTGGTCTTCTGGGCATTTCCAAGGAACGCGACGTGCCTCTTCTTGCCTTCCTTGCACCTTTCTCGCCCACACTTTGGGCCGCCATTTTCATCACGTACGTACTCCCGACAAGAGAGAACAGCAATTTTAATCTATTTTTAATGACGAATAATATAATTTCGGTATAACTTTCTCTCCCTCCTTGCAGACTCAATTTGACCGCACTTGTTGTCGCGATATACGAATGGTTTTCTCCCTTCGGTCTTAATCCGTGGGGAAGGCAACGTACCAAGAACTTTTCCATTTCTTCTGCCTTATGGGTCGTGTGGGGAAGGCTTTTCTCACATTTGGTCGCCTTCAAGGTAACATCACACCCGGGTTTTATTTCCTCATAAAATATTTTAATGAGCGAGGTTGCATCAGACACGTGGGCATAGTTTTGTTCATACTTTTACTGCTTTCTCTTTTTCCCCCCATGCAGGCTCCTAAATCCTGGCCAAACAAATTCCTCATCAATGTGTGGGGCGGATTCAGTGTGATATTTGTTGCATCGTACACAGCCAATATAGCTGCGCTCTTTGCTGGCATGTTTTTCGAACGCCATGTCGACGTGAATGACAGATCGGTAAGGAACGGAGTGGTAATTCATCTCGAGATAATCGATCGACTTGTTATTCTCTCCGAAATACAAATTCTCTATTCCATTCCATTCCGACACTTTTAAAGGAAAGGCCGAGCCAGAGAGGGAAACTGTTGAGAGGCAGAAAGTCGACTTTATCTCCGATAAATTATTGTGTTCGACTCTAATTTAATATTTCTCCCGACTTTCTCTTCCTTCACTTGCAGTTGTTATCTCAACGAGTGACAGCTATAAAACATTCAGCCACGGATTTTTACATCAAAAAAGAAAATCCGCACTTATGGGAACATATTCAGCGCTTCCCAGTCCATTCGTTTCAGGAAGGAGTTCAACGTCTCAAGTAAGCCAAACATTCCCTGCTTTCACTCTACAGACAAATTCCACATATCCGTTTGGCAAGGATCGACAGATACGGAGATATCAGGCCGGATGTTGATGATGATTTTCGTCATGATTCTCCAGCCAAATGCACCCTTTTTCCGTGAAAAAAAAAGAAATCCGGTCCGGTCCACCTTTCCTTTATCGATATCTGCATCTCGTTCTCTCTCCTTTCCTTCCGTCCCATTCCTATCGGGATGAGGTTGATTAATGGAAAGTTCAAATTCCACTCGACCGTCGAGACCGTCGAGTGGATAGCTCATTCCTTCCTACCTCCTGGGAAAAAATGATGGCTGATGTGGAGGGGACAGGACAATGCAATTCTTCTTCTTACCCCTACCGTAAAAATATGTTGCCACGAATGCATGTATTTCCTGGTATTTCCTTTCCTAAAAATGGAAGAGATCGATCGACGTTATCCCATCTGCTTTCACTACATGGAACGATTACATTGCATTCATTTTCGTGCGCTTTCTCTCACTCATTCACTCTCTCTTGCATAACAAATTAAATTGCTGGCAATGCGGAAAGCATACAAAACAAAGAGAGGAGAGGAGAGGGGAGAGATAAAGCTAAAAGGGAAAGCAGTGAATAGTGTGAAAGTAAAAGTGCCACCACCACCACATCTGTACAAATAGAGTCTCTATTCGTATGTGTACCCGATAAGTTTAAATAGTTGTTGTTGCAAATGGGAGACTTTCTCTCTGGCTGCTTTCTCCACAGGGAAAACACTACTGACACATTAAACACAACTCCATTCAGCAGCCGGGCCCCGACTCGTCGACTTTCTCTCTTTCGCGATGAGCTCCAGGCTCTGTGTTTGGATTACTACAAAAGCACTTTACTCCCTCAAGTGAAAGTCAAGTCAATAGCGAGTGTTATTACGCAAAATAAACCAGAAAGGGATGAGTGGATGGATGGAGCCAATGGGAACGGCAGAGTGGCATTAAATTGTGTAGAATTCAAGTTTATTATTTCACTTTCCCAGTTTTCTTGTCGAATTTTGATTCCTGCTTGGGAATTAGAGGAGTGAAAGCAATGGTGGTGGTGGTGGAGGCATTGTGATTATGTATTTTTAGCCTAGAGATACCTTGAGCCGAGTGACTATCTCTGACGGAGAAGTATTGCCCGAATGAGGGGACAAGAACCAAAATGAATAATAATTGATGAAGGTGTCACTCAAATACGGAGCCGTTTCTTTACCCGCCGCACTTTCACTCACTCAGTCACTTTCACTCGCAAGCAAGCCTTGGCTGTTGGCAGGGGATTGGTTTCGTTTGCGGTTCTCGGATTTTCAACCGGGTGGCTTGATAAATGAGACAGTTCTAATGCATTTTGTCAACCGAGTGGAGACGCCGACGAGAAAGTCAGGCAGACTGAAAGAACCAATTCAGAAAAATGATACTTGCCTTTTCAAAATGATCCACTCAACTGGAGAGGAAAAGTAGACAGGATATATATTTATGTATATAGTTCGATATTTATATTGCAAGGCTTCTTATCCGCCGCTGACTTTCTCCACAGTAAATTTTTCAACTTGGGAGAATTTTTATACCAGAAAAACGAATCGCATTTCATATTTTTTTTCGGCTAGATCTGTATGTACAGGAATATATAGTGTCACTCGGAAATTATGGTTATTGACGCCATTACGTATGGATGGATGATGATACTTTTACACCAAGGAACCAATTGGCAGAAGCTGAAAAGTTTGTAGGGCTACTTACTACTTTATTATAAGACAAGGAATTTAAGACCGAAGTAGATCTTATTTTAGGATTCAATCACATTCCGCCCTTTCTCCCATCCAATCCAATTCAGGAATCGGATAAATGATCACTTTTACAATATGGTTTGGTTTGAAGGGCATAAAACCGACTTTTTATTTTATGCGGGGAAAAATAGGTGATAAAAGTAGGATTGAAGTGCGAAAAGGTTACGAAAATACCCGACTTTTTAAAACTAGGACAATTTTACAGGAAATAAAACTGAATGAAAAACTGTTTCTGAGCAGATATGTGTACATAACGGTGAGCTGAACCACACTAATAAAAAAAGGTGGGTTGGAAAAAGATAAGGGAAGACAGGTCGGTCGTCTGCACAACCGGTGACAATTTTCATTCAGCTCTTTTTTCGATTTTCACCTCCAGAATTAAATATGGGGGACGAAATCATCATCATTTCCATTCCGTCGCTTTCTCTCATTTCGTAACGACCGCCCAGACACCAATTTGACACTGGTATCTATTATTGCACCTTAGGTTAGAGAGGTTTTAAGTTCTGGCAGTTCGTGATAGGATGGATCAGGTCTCATCGTGACAATGGGGAGAGCGATTATTTGATAATGGTGTCATTCTATTTGTCGGGGCTAAATTCGTATCAGAAGTGCGATGTGGTGTGAGATGACCCTAGAAGAGTTTCGACCTTCGAACTATTAATTATTTTGGAGGGGAGTATTGCACCATTGGAATAATGTATCCTTAAAAAAATCTCTTTACTTTTGTGCTTTTTCTCAAATTCTGGTCACGTAGTAATTCAAAATTAAACAATAAAAAGTCTTAGCCCAAGATCTGCCTCGGATGCGCCTTGTCCTTCTTCTCCAAACATTTCGACCCTACAAGACACAGATAGTTTGCAAAATAACAGTTTCCGCAAAAACTAAATAGCTTCTTACACAGACAAAACATTTACAAATACATCATTAAGAAACAAAAAATGCATCCCAACTTTCCCCACCAACTATTTTCCAAGACTCCACATATGCCATTCAGATGCTACTTTACGTAACGAAAAATTAATCCACCCTTGCAGTTCTGCTGTGCCACAAGAACACCCAGTAACACTCGACCCGACTTTAACAAGAATATCAAAAAGTGAAAGTAAAATAATACTTTACCTCCCCCCAAAAAAACAAGAAGAAACCCCGAAACTACCAATAAAGCTATCCCGTTACACATATTTCCAGACATTTTGCAAATCACTTATTTTCACTCGCCTTCCCTCTCGGACATGCTACACTACATTTGTTTCATCAAAACGGAATGGTGTCTTGAAACAATACAAGGAACGCCAACAAGGAAAAACTTGGTTATTCTCTCCCTCACAAAAAAACCAAACACTTCTTACTTTCACTCTCGAGTTTTTTATACTTTCGCTTCATGGGTGAATACATTTCATCTCAGAGCACAACCCAACAGTTGTGCAAGGAGAAAGTGAAAGCAAAATATTGCTCAATAGCAGCAGCAGCAGCCGGGCAAAGTAAAACCAAACCGCACCACTCGGACGACGTATCTGAGAAGAAGTGATGCCGTGGTTTGGTTTAGTTTTTGGGGAGAGAGACGAGATAAGATTTAACACATCGCAACTTTCTCTACTTTCTCCTGCAACATCCACTTGACTCTTCTCTCTCGGCATATCTGTGCTATCGTGCTCTTCACATTGGGCTGGTCGTGGAACGAGAGGCGCCCAGATTATGTCCCACACTTGACTTGACCACACATCCATTTTAGTCAAGTCAACCATCTGCATCACGATTATTGCTATACTTGTTTATCATCATTGTACTCGTTTTATTTTACTTGGCAGCGCTTTTGCACATGAAAAGTCAGCCACAGCCACGACCCAGTGAGGCGAGATAAATTTTTGTATTTCAGGGAAATAGAGAAAAAGAAAGTGAAAATGGAATTTATTTTAATACGGGTTGAACTCTGAAAGTTACGTGAGTTTTCAAATTTGTGAGAGTATTTGTGATTTTAGATAGTATGTAGTAGCATTACTTCATAAAATTTATACGAGTTTGTACTTATGTAAGGCTACGAAAAGCCAGTTCCCATTGCTTAATGAACCCTGTTAATAAAAAATTAACGAATCATTGCCCTAGTTTGCTCCGAACTCGTGCCTCTTTTACATTACGAAGCAATTCTTCCAGGCTTTTAAGTCTGCCGCATGACGTGCTTACGGCCATTAGAGGCGAAGAAGAAGAAGAAGAATACTGCCAAGATATGGATCCATTCCATCCGCTCTTTTAATTAATTAACCTGGCGGATAATCTGTGTCGAACGGAGAGGAGAACATTTCGTGGCATTCCATCTTTAAGAAAGTGCAGCAGAGAGGAGAAAGCGACCAGACCAGAACAGAGGGATTCATAAGATTCTTCTTGTTTCCCCTCACACACAGAACTTTGTGGGTTGCGAATCCATGTGTCAGTAAAGTAGCAGCAACGAACCCTGTCTGCCTCCACCACTTTCATCCACCGGGTTTTTGGGTAGGTTGGGTGAAAGCAGAATATTTCAGTAAAGTAAGAAAAGTATCGATCGGATCCAACCCTGCCTGCCTGGCGCTACATACGTACAACCAGCACCACCACCACGACTTTCACTAGCAGACAAGACCAGAAGAAGAAGACCAGCCAGAGCTAAACTGCATGTGCTTACATATTTTGGTGAAAACGCTACTTGGACTAGTTTCTCTCGTAACCGTTCCCTCAAATAAATCTCCATTCCACACTTTATCTCGGTGACTTGTTCCCTTATCTCGGCCTCTCCTGTCTGCCTCACCTCGCTCAAGTGGCTAGTCATCTCTGATCACATATCCATCCATTCACCATACTGCATTTTAAAGCAAGAAGAAGGCATCACCCGTTCCAAATTCAATTACGTACGTACACACATACATAGCGATACCTAGGAAAACTACCCCACGGAAAATGCCAGCCCATACTTATGTACTTATCCCTCCAGGTAGACGAGCAACGTGTGTTCCTCGATAGCCTGTAGCCATAATAATGACCCATTTTGAACAACATTTATGGTACTTTGATTCCATAATGTGTATGCACATGCCATTTGAAGGGGGATATTGGAGAGATGAGAGGCACTTGGGAAAGTGGGCATCCATCCAATCTATCTAGTTATCCATCCATCCATTATTATTATGAATACCTAAACTACTCGTAGAACATGACTACTAAACAACTTTTTTGCCAATATACATCACCATGAGGTACGATTTCCACTCGGGATGGCATCTTCTTGAGCACTTTAACTCGGGGAGAAAGCACCACTTGGCTGGTTGTCAAGGGGATCGTGGTCCTACGACGATGTACTTGGCTCGTATCCTCAAATATGCATGGATTGGCTTGAAAAACATTTTTAGAAAGTTGGGAGAAAGTCGCCCAATCGTGATTTCTCTTCTCTCCAATCATAAACTTTTCGCTATGACACGTCTCAAATTCTGGTATTATTATCGAGATATGAAATTGAAATTATGGACCTCCCGTGTATCTCTCATCATCGTCATCATCGTCATAACTACTCAGTCGTACGTCACCTGTTGCCCCGTATCAATTTCCCATTTCCTGTCTCGTTTTGAGATCCAATTTATCGTGCCAAATGTGATACTGCAACAACTTTCTCTCGACAACAATTCGTCTGTTTGTGTTGTGTTGTTTTGCGTGAACCGATTTTGTGTGGAGAAAATGGGAATGGATTATCTTTTCGTGTAGAGGAGAGAGAAAGTTCGCTCTATGTTGCGACCCCCACTGCCACTTCCGCAAGCAGCGCAACACATTAGCCCCATTAGCATACATTACATATATGACTTGTTGTGGCCCCTTATCCATAATCTAATACTGCTGATGCTGCACTGCGCCAATCACGCCGTTTCTGTACTGGTTGTAGAAGTAGTAGTGGAAACCACGTATTTAGCATAAATCGATGATACCACGCCACCCTTCTTGTTGGTTGTTGTCTAGTAAACGAAGATGAGTACACACCATGCAGAGTAAACAGAGTATGTGACGACGGGTATGGATCATGGTCTTAATCCGGATTGAATTTGATCTCGAGTAGGGTTCAGGTTCAGGTCGTGAGGGACGTGTTGATCCAATTTTGGCAGGATGGGGAGATGAGTGCAGATTCGGTACTTTTGGTTGTATTTTTAGTAAAAAAGAAAAAAAAAACTTGAAAATATACTCTTAAAACCCGGTGTTAATCATCACAGAACGGTGTGCATATGTGACTTAACCAGATGGTGATAATGTTTTTACCGCATGGTGACAAAGTGTCACTGGCTGATGTTAATTTTATCACCATCGGGTGAAAAACATTATCACCATTTGGTGAAGTCACATATGCACACCGTTCGGTGCCGATTACCACCGGGTGTTTAAGATTGTAGGCGTCTAATGATTTCAATAAATCTGATAAAATTCGATTTTTCCCATCATAAAATAAGTGTGGTTGGTAAATTATAAATCTTTTCGGACCTCGAAACCCTGTCCCTCAACCTCGTACGTAGTGTTTGTCGCGTCGTGCCGTACGAGTGACAGATGAAAAAGTGGAGTAGATTGAACTGAGTGCAGAGATTTAGGAAACACACCATGGAACAGATGTCAATTACAGAATTGTTTCTCTCTCTTCGTCGTCTCTGGGGAAAGTGGCTACTTGATCCCCTGTTGTAACCAAATCGAAACTTTCACTTACTTTCTCCGTATTTTTTTCCTCTTTCAGAAATGGTTCGCTCGACCTACTCATCGGAGACGGGCCGCTGCTGGACTATTTTCGAGGGACGGACTCCAGCTGTAACTTAATCGATGTCTCTGATCACGACAAGATAGGCGACGACTCGTACGCCGTGGCGATGACTAAAGGCTTTCCACTCAAAGTAAGAAAAACAAAAAAACTACTCCATTACATAACCGAGCTTTCTCCGCTTAACGAACCAAATCAAACCAAACCATTCCCAATTATAAGTTGGGACATACTGCAATAAATATTGTTATACCGGGGAGAAAGCGGTGCTGAATTTTCTCTCCAGATTATTTATTTCGATCGAGTAGTTAGCTCTCTACTTTTACTCGACCAAGTTTGTTTGTGGTGCGACCGTGTGTGGCCTTGGGACTCATAAATCCGTCCTCCACTTCTCAACTTGTTCTCCGTCTTTTCCTTAAGAGTTTTAGTTTTTGAGATGAGATTGAGCTTCCCTTTTTCCAACCCCTTCTACCAGCCAGCAAACGAAACCAGTTACGGGTATATGTGAAGCCCTTCAATGCTGTTACTTTCGCTGTATCAGAGTGTCGCTTGTCCCGTGTCGTCGTCATAAACGGTATGATGTGGTGCGACAGCTAGTGGTTTGGCTGGAGACAAATCTCCTTTTTTGATTACTTTGGGGCTAAGGAGACATTTTCCCTCAAGGGTTACGCGACTAAATTACAACCACTAAAACCACTTTTATTACGCTAACTTTGACAGGAGAGTCTTACCAAACCACAAACACACACGTACGTAGAGCTGAAACTAGCCGGAATTTGTGATGGTGTCGGAGTTAAGCTGCTGCTGCTACGATTTTTTTGCAAAAAAATACTTACTTGCACCCCAAAGTAGACGCCCTCATTCCATCACTTTCTTCAATCTGTCTCCACAAACCAAAGTACCAACTGGATGGGGTATGAGACGCTGAGAATTCGTAATTCGTACCCAGCCTGAGATTTAAGTCAAACTTTGGTGGTACCACTCGAGAGAAAGCTACAACAACAAGGTCCAACTTTCTCTTTTTTATATGCCTGTCAACCTAACCAACCAACCGACCGACCAAAGTGGAAAAGTGGAAAGAAATAAATAAACAAAAATAAAAACGGAAGGAAAGCGTAGGCGGCCGTGGAGGATTTTATTCTTGGACCGGATGTGCTTACAAATAAATTTATGCATGCAAAATACGAGACAAGCCTGGAGCAGTAGCATAAGGAGAAAATCCTGGATTTTTCTTCTATATACATTTGTTTGTCAAATTACGTCTTAAATTATTTAGCAAGTCGACCAATTACTACCAGATTTATGCACATCATTATCTCCAAATTTGGGATGAAGTACGGCAATAATTTTGTGTAAATTGTGCTATAAAAAACTAATGTAATTTATTAGGTGCTTATGTTCTTACAATGAATATAAAATTAGAAAAAAATAAATTACGTAATAGATAACTACTAATCCACAATTCTAACAAAAACTTTGTCAGACTTAAGTCTCACCCGTCTTTCTAAACCCTGTAAACTCCAACTTATCAAATATTCCTTACCTACATACTACACGTACCATCAATGTCAAAATCACTTATAAATACCTTACCCTCAAACTATATAACCCCTCACCACAAAATAACCCACACGTCTACCATAATAATCGTTACGATAATCAAGATTTTAGAGCAGGATAAACCCAACCTAAACGGAAAACCTTAACAAGCTCCGACTCCATATTAACGCAAACAAACCATCCATCCATCCATCCACTGTGTAATTCACTCATACACCGCAGCCACCACCACCAGCGAAACCTAGTCTCCAAGCCACCACGAATTAAGAGGAGCGAAGAGGAAGGAACAGATTTCCGCCAGAATATTATTAGTGCAAGAAGACTTCTTATAAACTTTTGTGTTCTGTACTATTCTGCGTCCCTCTCACCAGCATGCATGCCTCCTCCTTAAGAAGATTAAAGTTTAAGAGTTATGACCTAAACTGTTCCTCCTCTTCTCTTCTTTTGGTCGGAGACTCCTCTGTGTGTATTCCGCCCGTGAGTGAATTATGAGTTGAAGAGCGGCTCAGACTATCCCTCTCGTTAAATTAATCACTTTCATCTTGTTTTGTTTCATCTTGTTGAATCAAGAGGGAAAGAAACACGGCAACAAAAACAAGGAGATCAACACAAATAACAACAACAACAGCTTGGATGGACTCCTTTCTCTATTTTCTCGGGGAAAGTGGGCTAACCGGGAATATCTTAATTTTTCCCGCCTATAAAGACCACACCCCTTCGTTTTTTACAAGAGAGAAACTGTCACGTAATAAATTTGGTAAACATTACAAAAACTGCGACAAGTAGAAAGCCACCGAAAAAAAATCTACCAACTTTCTCTTTTTAATTCACCCCAAATTAAAATTTTTCGGCTTAAATTCTTCCTAAAAATTTAAGCGGACAATTCTTCCAAAAAAACGAGGGTTCCCAAGCAGAAGAAAAGTGAAAGTCAACAGGGAAACTTTTTCCGAGAAATAAAATGAAATGTGTCTACTACTAAAGTTGTGGATGGATTTCGTATGGTGGTTGAGAGAAAGTTTAAAGGATGAAAAGTAAGTAGATGCGGCCATGGCGACGAGAAAACTAGTTTCAGGTCGTCTCTCCTTACTTTCTTTACTTTACTGGCAGTGAAAGCAAAATGGTATCGTATCGTCGGGGTGTTTGGGAAGAAAGTGAGCCTCGAATAGAATGGAATGGTGTGGATGCTTTGGTTTTGCGCGGCTTGGCCTGACTTGAATTGTGGATTGTTGTCACGTGTAGGTGTTTGTGGTTTTAAATGATATTGGGTGTCTGGGGAGATGAAAGGGTGCGTGAGAAGAATAAACTAATTCTTATATACTCCTTCTCCTCCACTTTTATTAGGACAGTGTAAGCGGACTCATCGCTAAATACTTGGGGAACGGATATTTAGACTACTTGCAGGGAAAATGGTACGGACAAATGCCATGTTTCTCTAAAAGTCAGCAGGCCGGAGCCAGGGTAAGAAGATCAATGACCTTGTTACGTATATATAAATAGGAAAAGAAAGTAGACAAAATTTACGGGAAAGTAATGATACGGCGGGATTGTTTGTGGTTAATGTTTTTTCTATTTGGAGAAAGTTATCTCCTTAATGAGATTGTAGAGCAAGGGGAAAACACAAATTAATAATATTGTGACAAGGGTATTTTACTTTACCGCTTATGTCTTTGTCTTGCAGGCCTTAGGGGTGGACGCGGTGGCGGGATGTGTGATCATGCTCGGGGTAGCAATGGGACTCGGGATACTGATACTTTTTGTCGAGCATCTCATCTTTAAACACGCGTTGCCTTTCTGGCGAGCACAGCCCAAGGGGACGCTGTGGAGGTCGCCGAATCTTATGTTTTTCTCACAGGTAAGGAAGGAGTTTACTGGGATTTTTTATACCTGGTGAATTTTGTGCAGTGGGGTGAGAACGTGCGGAACAATAATGCTCACCGGTTACATGGAGAGGTCACGTTTCGGTGTTGGATTCTGTTTATTTTTGTTTTATTAAGAAAAGCAAATAGGTTCAATATTTGCTGTTGAAAAACAATTCAAAATTTAATGGATTAGTGAAAAGACGCAGTAATATACACGCTTGTAGTTTTAACTATTTGTATAGTTCATATAACCTGATTCATTAAATTCCCAGAATAAATTCCCGGATTTGTATCCTTATAATTTACCAAGGAAATTTTATTTCTTATCACGGACTACTCCGCTAACACTGTTTTAGTCATGAACGTTTTCAGGTACACACATATTATTTTTTGGATTACAACAACTTTCTCTGCACGACATTATTCTCTTTCTCTTCCAATTTCTAATCCTTGTCTCGTTTTTATTGACACAGACAAAAATAAACTTACACAATTGGATTCTACCAGAAATTTGTAGAGTTTACAATCTTGCCAGATTACGGGTGAAGGTCGTACAAATAAAGGAGCGACACGATAAAAATACTACTTTATCACTGGGAAACAATGAAACTTGGTTTCGACAATGTTTTTCCCCCACCCTCGTTTATTTTCTTTATTACCCTCGCCCAGCGTGAAAACTTTGAATCAGCAATATTTCCATTTTTCTCGTCGTCGTAACTTGGCAGCCTATCCTGTGGAAGGAATCTGTACATACATACCTTCATACTTAACGAGCAAGAGAAAACATGTCGACAAGACGCTCCACAATTTCAAAGCTTTTCATGTTCTTAATTTTAAGCGCTTTGTCTCCTTCTCTCCTTCGTTACGAAAGTAAAAACATTTTTAAGAAGATTTTAAAGAATTCCATGCATCATGCAAATCTTACTTATCTCTTTACTTCATCATTGTTTCATCCACTTATTTCATGAATTCGTTGAAGACCGGGATTCGAAATACCGGTTGAGCAGACGAAGCTTGAAGGAATTTCTTCTTCTCCTCCAAGAGAGAGAAAGGAATCCCGTGGCTACCTCTACACAGTCGCCACCATCACCGCTGCCGTCGCCGCTGCCCGTATCAAAAGTGCACATTCAGAGAGATGAATCGTTTCCCGAATAATAATTCTACTCCTCAAGTAGTACACAAAGACCAGACTAGAAACAGATAGTAATGAATGAAAGTGCGCAATTTGGTCGGCTTTCTCCTTTTCGTTTTTCTCTACAGATTCATACACCGAAATATTCTAACTGCTTTCTCCTCCTTCGTGAAGAAAGACCAAGTAATTGTGATGAGCTGGGCAGAGCTGTACGATTTTTGAACATAATCGCCCTCACTCTGTAAGGGAGAAAATAGGGGAAAGCATAACATTTCATCTCATCTCCTCCTCTCCAGTTGTCTGTCTTCAAGAGTAACACATTACAAGGAGGAGAGGAGAAGAACAGTTCATGGTTTAGCTGGGTAAAGAGAGAGAAATATAAGGAGGCGGAGGCAAGTCTAAGACTGAGAGTGAAAGTGTGGAGGATTAAGTTGAAGGTAAAACCGTCCCGTTTTACTTAAACTGATCCACTTAAGCGAGGAGTCTGGTCTGCTATGGATGGTGGTGTGTGTCTAGGCTGGAAAAATAGCGAATCATCTCCCTTTCCTTCTTATATTTCCACTTGTAAGTCTGTCTGGCTGAGCAGTGCACGTATCGATCCCATACTTTCTTTCTTTCTTTCCCGAATCTTTCTCCTTTCTTTCTTTCGCTTCTTTCTGGCCACAAAATTTTTCTACTTTCGCTTCTTGGACACGATTCACATAATATTTTAGAACAGAAACATTCCTCACTTTTCATTTTCAGGCGAGCCTGTCATTTTCTCTTCTTTCTTTTAAAAATAGGCGGATATGGCATAGCAGAAATGATTCCCTTCATTTCTCCGTGGTGGATATTTATTTAGGGCAAGCAGAGTGAAAGGAAGCTGGTGAAAAGAGTTGAAAATGCTACTCACTTATTGTTCGATAAAGAGAGAGAGAAAGTGGTGAGTGACAAGTAGACCTTCTTCCTTTTCTCTCACGATAATATTTTTATAGAGAGGCGAGATGCTTTCGAGGTGGAATTATAATTTTAAGCTTCGCTACCTTTGAGTGATCCCTTGTGGAACAGAGGTTTCAAATAATTGTCAATATAAGCCTCAACACGAACAAATTTTATCCACGCAACGTAAAAAAAATTCTATTTCTTTTTATTTCCTGGTTAAGCACACATCATTAAGTTTTATACTGTGGTATTAACGTCACCCTTTATTTTCAATATAAAAAGGGGACTACTTTCACCCTGCTTTTGACTACTTTCTTTTTCTCTACTGTCCCATTATCGCCAAAATAATCCAGTCTATTATATACGAATGATGATTAATTAGTCAAAAAAACTTTCACTCCCACTTTCACCCGCAGACTACTCTATTCAGGGTTTGATAATAAGAAAATTCAAGCATAATATTATTATTAGTTCAGCAGCAGCGGACAGAAGGGTTCACTCAGTCACTTTCTTAATGTCACTCAATATGATCCGGTAGGCAAACCAGGATTGATTAATTAGCCACTTGGATCGGATCAACTTCCAGTCAGATTCTTCTGTCTTGCTCCTCGCCTAGAGTCGTATGTTTGCATGCTGCTCTAGCGAAACGGGGAAATTAAGATGGGGCAAGGAAGAAGTGTAATCCGATCGAGTGAAAGTTGCAGCAGTTGTTCGTTCCCTTGCAGATGGTTGCATTCCATTAGATCTTGCATTTTTTGCACTTGGCTTGGGCAAAGTTCCACTTATTTTTTTATACCAGGGCTCATTAGTAGGGGAAAGAAATATTTCAAGCTTAGTCAAGTTGACACGTAGGGAAAAAAGTGGAAGAAACCGTGTCTATAAGATAAGCCCGATGATATGATTATCTACATGGGTTTCTTTCTCAAATAGAAATAAACACTGTATTTTGTCCACTTCATTTTGCACTATTGTGTTTTGCAAATAAAAAGTATGCATTTTTCTCTATTGAGAAAAAAGCAAATAAGTAAATGTGCAACTACTTTCAGCACCTCGTGTCTTTCATTCCTATATTTTATATTATTCTTCTTCTTCTTCTCGCATATCTCTCTCTCTCTTTCCTTTGATTTATTAGTGGAGAAAGTAAGAAGCTTCTTTCCCAGAAGAGAGAAAGCACATCATGATTTCCAAAAAGAAAATGGTAGCAAAGCCAGACAAATTCTTGACTTGACTCACTCAAATTCTCCATACAACTGCACATCCCGTTGTTATTCCAATCCAACAGGCTTTCATCTTTTGTATAAAGAGAGATTTAAATTTCAGTGGATTTCGACTCATGAATTCTTCTCCGTCTACTTGTAAAAACGTGGAAGCTTTTTCTTGCTTTCCCCTCCACTTTCTTCTGACTTTCTCTCTCTCTCCCTCATTTTTTCTCGACTTAGTTAAAGAATGATGATTTGATTACTAGGAAGCAGGACGAGATTGGCATATAAAGGGAAAAGTAGAGGAGAGAGAGAGAAAGTTGAAATCCAAACAGAAAAAAATTCTTCTTTCCAACACAAACTTAAACTTTTATTCGCGATGACATTTATTATTTTATGCTGAACATCCCGACGTTTAGCTGGAAAAGCGTGGTGCAAACTGCAGCCAACCAGCCAGGATGTTGTCCAAATCTCTTTTGACAAGACTTAAAAAATTCGTGGAAATAGTATTGAGGATTTAGCCACACAGTTATATTTTACGTCGAGCAATCACAACGAGACGTGGGCGTCGAAGACTACTGTGACGACATTGAAAAGTCAACACGAAGTCGTTTCGTAGTAGTGAAAGTAAAGCGTGTTCTTGGGCTAAATCCAAAATTTATGCGAAGGATATGCGAGATTTAAGAAAATAAGACTCGGAAGAAATTTGGTTCACAGTTTGTCAGCCGTTTTCACTGTTTCGTTATTTTGCTTTCTTGCACGGGTGAGATGAGCCGTCTCGCTGTCTCGGCGGCTGGCTGTTGTTAGCGTTAGACGTCGTCTCAGTCATGTGGCGTGACGTGATTTCATGCAAGATTACATAATAATCCGGTTCCTCTCCACTTTCACGACTGCTTTCTCCTCTCTAACGACAATGACTACACGGATTTCCACATCTTGTTTGCTTTGTATACTAATTTGAAATAATGGTGATGATGATTGTGTAAGTGATGCTATCGTAACTTTATGTCTTTCCTCTGTTTACAGAAATTGTATCGATTCATCAACTGTGTCGAGCTCGTGAGTCCACATCATGCGGCGAAGGAGCTGGCAAAAACCTTGAGACAAGGACAGATTACGTCGCTTTTTCAGAAGAGTGTCAAAAGGGTCAATTATTTTACGTTTACGTTTGCTTATATAAGTCGAGATTGAGATGAGGGTGCATTATTTTGATGCAAATATTCATTTCAATTTCGACTCGAAAAACCTGTCAAGTTTTTAACAGATAATTTTAATGTCTGATCTAAAACCAACATTGATAAGAAGATATGCAAACTTAACTGCCCCATAAAAAATTACTATTTTAAATTATTCATCCCTTAACATGCCTAGATTTCAATCTAAACTTGACAAGTTTCCACATGCATACATTTATTTTTGCGTAATCTTCCGATCGCAACGTTCAACGTGGTCTTGAATTTTTCCCAGAAGGAACATGAGCAAAGGCGGAGGAGGAAGAGCAAAGCCCAGTTTTACGAAATGATCCAAGAAATTAAGAGGTAAAGTAATACATGTTCTTCTTTTGCCGCATATATTTTTGCTAAATTTTCTGTGAGAGAAAGTTGAGATCCCTGTTTTAAAATAAAGCCAAACTACACTCTAAAATTTCTAATCAGACTAAACACAAGCCCATCTCGTAACTACAATTCATTCCTGACACCTAAGTAAAAAGCGACAGAATTTACAAATTGTGCAAAATTGTGTAGACTTTCTCCCTCAACCGCACCACACTCACACTCACTCACTCAATTCTATTCTATTAAGGGAAAACAAATTCATATCGCTGAAACGGTTGGTCCGTCCACTCCACTAATCACACTTCCTAATTGCCAGCCTGTCCATTATTTACGCCACAAAATTAGATTATGACTGAGTCCTGGGAAAGTTGAAAATGAAAATGCACAATTTTGTCACCCAACGTTACAGTATCTCACCGACGTATCTGCAAATATGCATGCACACATGTGTGTATTTAGGAGATAAAAGGTACGGATGTGAGAGAGACACAAATTCGGATGAAAAGTCAAAGTGCACCCACACCACACCAGAAAACCAGAGGATTGAAACAAAATGTGTCTCCTTCTACTACCTCACCCGAACATAAATATGAAACGGAGCAGGAACCCAACTATGGGGAATTTTGGGCCGAAATGGAAATAGAAACATTGTCATGCATAATTAATAACGCCCCCTGAGAGACCAGACCCTTACTGCTTCCTTCCTTCCTCTTTTCCCACATCCCACCACCACCACCACCGATCCCGTGTCATTACGGGCCAAGAAATATATACGCACTCCACTCCACTCCACCCAACTTTCTTTCTCGGTGGAGTACATTATTATAAAATAAAAACAAAAGAGCTTCTCCAAAACTTTACTCAGTATGTGTGCATAGGAATCCGCAGACATACATAAAACAAAATGTATGTCTACACTCTCTGGGGTAAAATGGAGACAGAATATTATATTTTGGCCGAGAAACTGGGACAAGTACCGATTTCGGGGTGGGTAATATAATGGCTTTTTAGATATATGTGGTATGTATGTACCTGGAGAAGAAAGAAAGTCAAAATCATCGGGGACATGAGAAATTTATGAATTAACAAGATCTGATTTTAAATTAGTAAACTTTCTCTATCTCAAATTGGATCGCGTTTTAAGGAAATTAATGAACTTTTCTTATCCGAAATGGAACAAAGCGCCGGGCATATAAATTTATGCTATTTGTTTGAGTAAAATGTGAAATTAATGCTGTTTCAATTTCCCTTTAGAGTGCAAATGGCGGAGAAAGCTGTGCCCCCCACGTTTGGAAATAAACGTCCCCCTGCAATCACATCTTCTGTCGGGAGTCGCGACGACGAGTCTTGTTCTTCCGCCGTGTACTCGATCCAAGGTCGTCTCGAACGTGAAGGGGGTGGTTCTTCGAGTTCATACCTCCCGCCACGACTCCTAAGTGCGGCGCCGGGCGGGGAAGAAATCCTAATCGCGGATTACCCCCCTTCCGGCGAGCGGATCGGACCTCAAGGAGCCGCCTCTTCGTTAGACGACCCTCCATCCACCTCCGCCTCTGACACTGGGGCGACACAACGACGACGAATTATTCAGTGGCGCCACCCCCGTCCGGGTATCGTTCCGTCGCCCATGAACCCCACGAGAGGAAGGGTCGGGGGCAACCTGAGCCAACAACAACCTCCCGGGATTCTACGGCGGGGTGGCGGCGGAAGTGGGGGCAGTTGCGGGGGTGGTCAAATGCTGGAAGTCTCCACCACCACGGCGGAGACGAGATTCAGCAGCAAGGCCAGCGGGACGGCAAGGTCGCCTCCTCCCCCGCAGAAAAGAAGGACGGACAACAACGACACGGAGGACGACGAGGACGACGACGATGGTGGATTGAGTGACGATGACGATGACGACGTGGGGGAGGGGGACGAGTATGAGTGGTACTCCCCGTTGGACAAGGCCGACTTGAAATCCTTGAGTAAAAACCAGATCATAGAAATGTGGCGAGCCTCGGAACTCGATTTACGGAGACAGCTCAGCCAGGCGTTGAAGGCGAAGGATGAACTCAGTGTGGCGTTGAGTAGGACGGACACGCCGGCCATGATGGTGGAATTTGATCAGGTCAAACTTTAGTGTTGGGCGGGTGACCGGAAGTCTAAGGCAACGTGGTCTGTGAGCGTATTTGCAGTGTGTGTGACGATCCCAGGAAGTGAAGTTAAACTCGTGGTCTGGTCTTTAACCGGAAGTGAAAGTTGAAACCTAAGACGACGAGGAGTAAAAGTTACAAGATTCCGAACGGCAGGAAATAAAAGTTAACACTACCGAGAAAAAAACGCAAAAAAGTCGAAACCCAAGCCGATAAATCCATTCCTTCAGCCTAAAATCTAATAAATCCACCAAAGAAAAACGACCAACTCACCACCAAAGTGAAAGCTGGCTCATCCTCCTCAGCAGAAGAAGAAATAATGAAAGTAAAAACTCTCACGACGACACAACCGTACCTTTTTTGGCTCAATCTAATTAATCGAACCTATATTATATAAAGGAACAATCAATCATTTACAAAGATACATAAGACGAGTCAAGTCAAAGTATTGTCCAATTAGTTAGGCTATAATCTGATTAATGTAATTAATTAATTAGTTAATCAATCGTCTCACATATTAACTTTTCGAGACTGCAGAACAATCATCAAAGCCTGGTCTGTTCTTAAATTGTGACTGCAGTATATAACAAAATCAATCCTGAACGTGCCCCACATTTGGAGTACGTTCAATTTATCTGTGCATTTATCCAAGAAATTAAATTATGTAAAATGTATTTCTTGCATAATAATTCTTAGACTTCCACTCTCTTCAACTTTATTAGTCAGTTAACTAACTCGTTCTTGCTGTTGATGCCAAAAAGGTAAAAAAAAGAAAGTAATTGGTGAAAGCAACTTTCCCAAATTGTAAGTAAGAATAACTCATCTAATTAAAACTGCCTGTGCTTTCTCCTCCAACTCTAACCCTGTAACCTTTGCCAATTCGATGGATTTTATTACATAATAGGGAAACTTGCATCATCCCCACTTTTATACTTTGTTGTTTGTTAATATTGCGTAATGCATCGTAGCCAAGAGCAATACTCTGCAGTACGTTTTGTGCGTAGTATGTAAGCATTTCTACTCCATTTTCTACACTGTTGGAGGGGAAACTGAGAAAATAGAGTAATAAATCGTCTCTAAATACAAATAGATAATACTTAAAATACGACGAAGAGATAGCAATTTGTGATAAAATAGTCGCCTACAACAGGAAACTGTTACTGTTACCTTTCAAATTGTTCATGTTTATAAAATTAGCATGTTTATCAAAATAATCTGTGTATCTATGTATGTATGTACAATTGTGTGCTGTAACTAATTACCAGGTACTTCCCCGAACAATCATAACAGCGAAAGTGAGACTTAATTAAATCAAAGGAGGAAGAAGAAGAAAGCAACAGTTTACACAGAATTTCCCTCAAATTTCTCTCTACAAATTTCCGACAGTGAGACCGACACCCAACAAAATAAATAATCATAATTTAACGTGTCACATCACACAGGGCGAAATGAAGGAAAAGAGTAAATAAATGAAAGTAGTGAAGAGAAAATAAATAATTTTCGTGTCGCTGGTTGTGTATTTTCTGTAGTCAAACTTGTGCGAAAATGAGACAGCTTTAACTTTCACTTAATTTTATACTACTTTACTTTCACTCTCTCGGCATGGGAGAGAAAGTAGAAAATCGAGTCGCTCTCTGTCTTGGATGATATATCTGTTTTATCCATATATTTCTCCAACCAGTATGAACACACACATGCAAACTCAAAATGTGCCCCCAAGTATATAAATAATTAAAGAAAGTAATTAAGATTTAACACAGTAATTAAACAAGTCATGGATGGGAGCATGTTGGTTATACGAGGAGGAGAAGAAGAGAAAGTAATAAATGGGCCTTGCCGTAAATTAGCCGACTATGAGGCTGAACTATGAGGCCGACTATTCTTCTTACTACTTCAAATAAGCACTTTCACTTGCAGAGTTGCATCATAAATCCGTAATACGAGACTGCAGTCGGCCTATCATATTCGCTTCGGTCGTTCGTTCCTTCCCTCTTCGACCAGCGGAATTGGGACGGGATTGGATTAAATACGAGTGAAGATGGGAATTTATTTTGAGAATTGTTAATCATCGTCGTCTCCTTCTTCCCGAGTTATGGTGGCCTCTCAGATTTATATTTTATGTAATGAATCCGATTTGGAATGGGTTGCTTTGGCAAGCGTGACCCGTCCTTCGGCTGCATGAGTCAGTTTGATGTAGTTGGAATAATAACTTTCTCTCCGGACCGGAAGGGACAAACCGTCAGAGAGAGGAGCATATCCTGGAAGACTCCTGATCCTGCTGCCATATAAATGGTTCTCCTCCCTCACTACAAATTTACTTGTTAACAAACTTTACTAGATGGGAGGGAGGAAATAATGCGGTCAAAGTTGAGCCATTACTCAAAAAACGGAGCTGCTGTATCCAGATTATAATGCAATAATATTCTGAATTGTTTTCTTTTTTGTGGGGGTCAATTTTTTTCCGTCGGCTCTTCCCGTCACATTATCCAGCATAATCACGTTGTGCAGACGATGACAAGTTAGTTGGTCTCTGCACAATATTATTTTTATTGTGATCTTGGCGTGTCATCTGAAGAAAGCGGTTCGATAAGAAGAAGAAGAGAGGAGAAAACTAAACTAAAATAATCTCTCATTCTTTTCTCCCCCGTGGACAAGGGAAAGAGAAAGTAAGTGAAAGTAGGGCTACTTTTGTGGTCTTGGCTGACCGGAAGTCAGACGACACACAACAGGACACATCAATCTTATCGGATAGTTGTTACTGGTCGGGGCCTTTTCGACAGAAATGTCTCCCAACGAGATAGATAAATCCAATATAAGTATATCAAATCCGTGGGGGACAATATTTATTTTTCTAACGAGACGACACGACCCCGACGCAATAATGGAACTCGATATTCCTTCCTCGTCCCGTAAGAAATCGTTGGGGGACTGGAGGATTTGTAAAGTGAAAGCGGTGTGTCGGTCAGGATAAAATAAAATCAAGTGATTCTCCCGTCAATTCAATATATTTCAATTACCACGGTAAACTAGATTCTTGTACACAGTAAAAGCCAAGCTCTGCTGCTATCAATCTGGTTAGGAATGAATTCAATCTGGCCATCCATCTCAGACGGCGAGGAGAAGAAGACGATCGACTTACTTTCACCGGCAGGTTTTCCTTCAACTCTTCTTCGAGTTAAGATGGATAGAAGAACGAGTCCCTCAAAAAAGTTGTGCGCTTTCACTCATTCATTTTACGAGAGGGAAAAGAAACCTCAATTCGATCAATGACTTTTGCAATGACGATGTTGTTACTGGTCAACCTGGCCGGCTCAGATTCAATTCCTGATAGACACCGAGTACAAAGGGTAATCCAAATAAGGAAAATTTGGAAAGTTTTCTTTCCAGGAAAATGAGAAAGCTTTACAAAATATAAATGTAAGAAACATTCGAAAATTCTAGGTTCTACGAAATAACGCGAAACAACCAAAATTTCCAGTTAAACATAAGCATAGCTTTCAGTTCCGTCGACTCGCTGTTCTCGAGTATCTGAAGAAAAAATAAGTAAGCCTCCGTTGGGCAGCTTCGTATACCCCGTGTCAGGTTTAGATTAAATCGCATGACGAATGAATGGATCGCTTTTGTTCAAAATTTTTGCTAGAAAATTGCATTATAAATTTGAGAAATGCAAGTCATTTTTCGCGTCTCTGATTTAATTACTAAAATCAATTAGGGTTTCCATTTAGATATCTCCTTGACATGTTTTTGTAAATAGCATCTTGATTATGCATAAATTTTCCTCTGCATGTAAAATTTCAGCTTACTCTACCAATTTATAATAGTTTAAGTAGATTGTTAAATGCATAAAAGCACATTCATACCGTGAAATTCAGAAAATACATGAATATCTTAGACAAGTTACATCATATCAAAACAGTTAATTACACAATTAATCGATGTTAAAATATAATCAGTTAACAAAAAAATCCAACGCCTGCATTGTGTCATTTTCTTGGATGCCTACGACAAGAACATTCTACTTATTTATTCTTAGGTCTGACGTGTACCTTTACCAATTCGCAAAATATGGTGCTTACCCCCGACTTAAATTACCCACGCTGGTCAACCTTGAAAACTTATCCAACATAAACAAGACGTATCGAAGACGAACATACAGACACGCTGGTCGCTACATTATCCCGCCTCGGGGTAAAAAACACTTGAAAAAAGTCCTCAAACTGCTGTGCATGCAGCACGAGTAAGTAAATGAAAGTAATGGGAGGGAGCCGAACTCTTTAATTTCCGGTCGAGACTAACTCATCTCTCGTCATTAGTTGAACATTGAACAACTTGCTTTGCAAGTCTGACTTTTCGGGCGACCTCGACGCCAAATACATAATAATAATGCTCCTCATCATTCCTGATTGCATTGTCGTCGTCGTCCTCGTCGTAATTTTGTCCCAATTATTGACACTTCTCTCTCTCTCTCGGCCGGAATACGGAGGCGTTCCTTTAATCGAATCCAATCCAATAATAAACGTCAAGCGGCACAGGGTGAGACGAAGTGCTAGTAAAATCGCGCCTCTTCCCAATGTTTAACCAAACAGCAAACAATTCAATTTCATTGTAACGCAGGCCACCCATCTCCTCAGGTCGTCGAGTTAGCAAGTAAATTGTAGCAAGTAAAGTTTTTCGGGTAGTTACTACTCGTGGCGAGGAAAATGTATGTATTCCTTAACTTTCCGCACTTTCACTCCTTCCACCATTTTACTTATCTGCCTATTTAATTCGCAAGTCTCGTCTCATTACAATTGGGCGGCCGTGGTGGTGGTGGTGGTGAAAGTAGAGGGAAAGTTAAGTCAATACTGGGACGAGATCAGCCTGGAAATTAGAATCTAACCGAATCCATCCTAAACCCCATTCTTCTTCTTCTTCTCCCGGATTCTTCTTCTCTCTCGATCAATTGAATTTCAAACGGGTCGAGAAAGACAAGAGAAAAAGGAAAATAAATGAGGAATTAGTGATAAAAAGAAAGCATTAATGCGTCCACACTGCTGTTTTTTTTCGTATACGAAATGAGTCCAGAAATCCGAGAGGAGAAAGTCTACATAAGTGGGAGCAAGTGTTTAAGTCTTTTTATTTCATTTTCATCCTATCAGTGACACGACGGAGAAGAAGAAGACGACGAGCAAAATCCGGAATCTCAAACTTTTCCGTTCCATTTAGAGAGCCAGCGAGAGGGAGAAAGTAGTGTCAAATCGAGCTCAAACACATACAGAAGAAGAAGGACTACTTGGTGATGATGAGGGTTTGAGTGAAGAACTTAATAGGATTCAAGGTAAAGATTAGACCCGACCCGGCTTATTGTCTCTCTCGTCCTACGTACCTACCTGCCTACCCACCTACCTACTTACACCTCGTATTTGAATCTACTTTACTGCGTACGACCAGCTTTAAGTAAGAGAAAGGACGACGACTAAATCCATCCCAGTCATTAATCTGTTGAACTAAAGTCTTAATTTATTCACGGCGGGACAACCAACATCTGTCCACCTTGACTCCGAGACGACTTTCTCCATCAGCACTTTCGTTCCCCAAACCTGACGAGGTTGCAACCCGGACGGAATTTTAAGTGGGGAGAGAGAAAAACTCGGAATGAATTCACGCATGGAGGCATCGCCCAGCTAAATTATTCTCGAGAGACTAATCTACAAGTTGAATGGATTCATTCAAGGAAGGTGCGGATTTTGAGTGCGGGTGAATTAGGGAGCGGAGGAGGAGGAGGAAAAGGTGTTACGAAATGTAATGACGTTATCGGATCGGATTAATAAAGGCTGAATGGAAAAGTTTCGAGATGGCTTATGAATCGACTGGGTGGTTGGTTGGTGAGGTTGGGTTGGGTTGGGATGAATATTTTAGGGGAGAAGAAGAAGGAGATGGAAAAATGACTGACTGCTATGCGGTTGGAGAAAGGAGAGTGTATTATTATGCCGTTTTTTTTATTTGCGCAGGTTTTATTACGCTTTTATTATTTTGTGCGGAATAACTTTCAACATTTTTGCGTATGCTGGGTGAAAGAGATTTATTATAGAATTTGGGATAAATGGATGGGGATGAGGATGAATTGCATAACTTTGCATAATATGTAGTGTTTGCCGTGTTAGAAACCACGTGCAAGAAATTAATGCATGAAATTGTTTTTTTTGCAAGGATAGTTTCTTGCAGTGGTGAAAGAAATGCAAGAAATAATGGCCACCTAGAGGAGGATCCATATAATTAAGTGTACTACTTAAAGGGTACTTATTTCTTGAATTTCTTGCATCTTATATTTCTTGCAACTTCCTCCCGTGCAAAAAATTCCGCAAACGCTCAAAAACTCAAACACTGCTAATACCTAATAAATTTAAGGATTTTTATATTCCCCACATAAATTTTGGACGTGTTTATTTCATTGAATTGTTTGCATTTCAATATTGCATTGGCGAATTCCTCGCCAAAAGTGTTCATGCATTAAACATAAAGTACATACATACGCTTAACTTCTCCTACCCATTCCATTTCGCATAAAAGAAAAACCACCAGCGATAATCAGAAAGATAAACGAAATCCTTTAAAGAGCAAATAATTCACGTTGCCCCAAACCGAAAAAAAAGAAGTTAAAGACTCGCAGAAGATAACGAGTCAGCCAGAAAATGGTTTACATAACGTGAATGGATAAATGAACAAGTGCTCCATAAAAGTGATGCAATTGCTCCCCATTCAACTTGTTGTTGCCTGCCTGCATTTACAAGTTGCACCACCACGATGAATAGCTTAATTCAAGCAGCACCAAACCAGCAGCAGCAGCAATGGTCTTAATGAACACACCCTTCTCGTCCGTCCGTTACAACTCCATTGTTCGTTTGTTGTCGCAATTTGAGCAGCAGTAGCGAACTCGTGTAAATAACTATTTCCCCGTAGTCAGTTATATTATTGCCAACATGACTACTTTGTTTGGACCATTTTCGCCCTTATTTACTGTTATGATTATGATACGGCATACATAAATACATCCATCCATACATACATACAACGCGAAAAGTAGTCGTAGTAGTAATAGGAAAGGCTGCTGGGGGTCCATTAGTCTCCGTCGTTTTGCTCCGTCCCACATCCACTGTAAGGAGACGACAAAGTAGACATTAAAGCCAACTTGGAGCTCATTATCATTTGCTCCTCAAGTAGCTCTCGACTCCTTTCACCCGACCTGAAGAGAGAGAAGGGGAGAGAGAGAGAGAGAGAGAGGGAGAAAGTGTGTCCAATAAGGGCCCCACCAGACCAGACCACCCAGAATTGCATAGGATCCGTCCGTACCCATGCAGGGTATCGATTACATTTACCCGATCCACAAGTAGGTCGACGTCAACCTCGACCCGATCCGGAATCCATGGGTCCGTTCTTGAATTGCAAACACTTTGGCACACTTGTGACCACACCGACTCGACTCTTGCTCCTCATTTTGGTCCTCCTTCAGCAAGAGGAGAAAGGAACAGCTCAGCAAATTGGACCAGGTGGAGAAATAATCAGCGGTGGTGGTAGTTGGTCGTCATCAGATTGTCCTTTCGGAATGTATGGAATGCCACGAGGAGGGAATGAGGAGGAAGCCTGCGTATGTTTGAGGCAAGGTTTGTGGGCCGTGATGACGGACTATTGCACAGTTCCGGTCGAGATGCACGGCGTGGGGGGAGTGGGCAGGAGGGTGTGCGTTCTGAAGGAGGGGAAGGGAAGGAGGAATACTAGCTCGGGTGGGGGGCAGGTTGGTTATGTAGAGATTTTTGGATGGGCTAAAGCTGCATTTTTGCAGGATTATGTAACTTTATCCAGATTATCCTAATCTGTGCTTATCTCGTGTTTTGCCATGAAAAAAATGTTATGCCCACAGATTCAACAACTCTCCAAACTTTTGACGTTAGCCGGTCCACCCGAAGCGGTCCAACTTTCGTCCTCCATGCACAAATTGATCGAACGCTTCGACCCACATCCTAGCGTCATTCTTCCCGACGACGTTTACCCAATGCGTCCACGCTCGTCACATTTGGAGGTAAAATGAGACTCTGTTCCTTCAAATATGAGACTCTGTTCCTTGTTCTGTCCAAATATAACTTTTAATTCCTCCTCCAGCTTCCGCATGGATCTGGACGACACCCGTGTACACGAAATTCTGCCTCCTCCACACCACCCCCTCGCCTACAACGCATTACTGCACCTTCCAACCCGTCCAACATCCAGCCGGATCTTTTCTCATCTTGTCTCACCTGACTCCTGCCCCCGCGACGGGATGCGACCCCGGAATGCCCGTCCTCCGCCCCACGAGCTGCGTCGCTCTCACCACCAAAGACCAAACTTGTGACCAAGCCGTCAAAAAGGGGAGGAAGTCGTCGTCCACGCCAAAGTTGAGAAACTCCTCACCGAGACGGCGGACGAGGACGATATCTTCTCCGTCGACAATTTGTTCAGCATGTACAAATTCTTGACGGAGGATGACGGCGGGGGAGATAATTCTGTGGTGGTGAAGAGGGCGGATGGTGGTGGTGGTGGTGGTGGCGATGGTGGAGGGGATAACAGCACCAAAACTGCTACCAGAGAAATAGGTAGGGTAATAAAACTATGGGGTTTGTATGTATTTTGTGTCAAGCTACTGAAATTCACGCTGTCTAAATTTGCAATAATTCACTGCTACATACATTTTATTTTTCTATGTTCATTTCGCTTTGTGATTCTGTCCCATAAATTTTGCACTTCGCTACAGTAATTTCTGCAATGTCAATAATAATGTAGTTGCAAAAAGTTGAGATATTGTCATCCTCTTGAAATCCTGTTTGAAAGTTTTTGGTTTCCAGCTTCCTCGTACAATGTATGCACGGTCATAAAAATGAAATACGTGTTACTTGTCTCTCGCATGCATGTACATATTTGTTCGAGAGACATTACAATAATCAAATAAATTTTATGAGGTATGAAAAGTGTTGCGAAAATGTGTTATGTACGTTACATTTTGCACTCTGGCAGTTTATCTTTGTTTGTTGGATGTGTATGTATTTATTTGTTACGCTTTCACCCGAACCGACCCACGACCCAAATCTTGTGCACCTTTTACTTTCACACCAAATCCGGTCACGTATTCGGGACCAAAGAAATAAGTCGTTTCTTGCTTTCTCTGCTGATATTGTGCGCGGTGTGAACCAGACCGGATGTGTGATTCAATACGTCAAATATTTCGTGCTGTTGGGTGGTTGGTATTATTTACATACGTAATAATTTTATTGTTCCGACGCCATAATCCGATCCAGATGGTCATGCTTCGAACAACAATTCGTCGAAATTACTTTTGCTGTTTGATGAGAATGAGGACAACGTAAAGTCAGCCCTGGACGAGATCGGGCACAAACTAATGAGGTACATACATAACTACATAAATGATGATTAATTCTTTTTGAGTACTGATGATTTTAATTGCACATACTTTTTGTATTTTTTGAGGGAGCAAATTGACCAATACGTCGATTTAGTAGTAGGTAAAACAGGCCAATTTTATGAAAATGTGTAAATAAAACCTACAAATTTCGTAATTTGTCATTTTTACGGTAGCCCAATTGACTGGAATGTTTGATCCTGGCGCAGCCTCTCCACAAACGCCCAAGGATCGCTATCCAGGTACTAGAATTACTTAATTTATAAACATCGTAATTAAGGAAAGTTATCTATAACCAGAATTAATTTCCAGTGCTCAAGATTCTGGATAGGATAAGACTCATTATGCAGGTGGGTTTGAGACGGAGTTTATTTTTTGTAGTATTGTTTTTCTGTATTTTCAAATTTCCAGAAAACGTGTAGCCCCGTGAAAGCAGAATTTTTTGAGCTCGCATTAAACTCCTTTCTGAAAGTGCAGCTAGAAAGTTTTCACGTAAAAGAGCCCTACATCAGCCACGCTGTCTTTGTCAGGATTGAGTATGCATTAAAGAACTGCTTGGCTGCGGCGAAGGCGCATGTATTTGGACAGGATACGAATTCTACGTCAACTTGTGATGCTGGGGGTCGGGTAGGGTCACAGTACATGATTTGACATTAATGACACGTCTTGCATTGAACAGATGTGTATGTAAATCTCACTTTACGCAATTCCAGAATGATAAAACAAGTAAAATGTTAGATGTTCACGGCGATGGGAAAGAGATCGTCAAGCTGCCGGAAACACCACCCTACGCGGTAGGGGTACTGGACTCTGGCGCTATTAGGGAGCCCTTAATTGGTATCTGTTGTCTGGTTTTAAATTTTAATTTTTTAAAAATTTAATTTTTCTAATGTGTAGAAACCGTTTGGAAAATGTTGATTAATGCTCACTCGTACTGTTACCCATACTTCAAAGCGTACTTCAATGATCACCACGCCCTCACCGTGACCCTGTTACCACTTTTCAATAATGCGATTCAAGATCTGTGGTGAGATCTTTCCATTATATGAGAAAATTCTGGAAATTTTAGAGATTCTGATACTTTGTTCAGGTTGAAGGAAGGCGGATATGATGTCGACCACCATCGCCTCTATGGAGGCATGTTGGGCGACGTGAAGCGCGTTTTGGAAGATGTCGACAAGTACTTAATACCAATAATCATTTGCTCAATACATATATTAATTAGTCTTCATAATTTTGTCCAAATTTTCAGCTGTGTTTCCGCATCTCGTCAAATCTCCCAATACCCGTGGTACATGTCTCGCCCGATGCGAGATTCTGGAAACAAGTGGAAAAGAAAACGTCGCCGTCGTCGAGACGCTGTCGACACTGGCCTTACAACTCGCTCAAAATACTTTGCTCCCTCCCCCGTCTGGATAAATGATGGCCACACGCTCTGCCTTTTCGACCCGGACGACCCCGTCGCCTTCTTGGGGAAACCAATCTGCACCTGAATTAAACACACACGATTGTAGGAAAGTACAAACCGCTCATTACAAACCCCGCATTACAAACCGCTCCTTTCAAGCCCGGCTCCTTACAAACCGCTTATTACAAACCCGCTCAATATAAACCCTACTCATTACAAACCCTGGACACTATAAACCCGAAAAGGTAATTGGTGAGTTGTAAAATAATCAAATATTTAAAAAATGTTTTTACAAATCTGATTGAATGAATTAATTTTTATATAAAACATGAAATTTTGCGCAAACTTTTTATCTCCGAACGCAAACTACATTAGCAGTGAGGGAGAAGGACAGAAATTTATTTGTGCCTAATTTCTGACTTGTAAAAAATGATCAATTTTTTAGTGCCCCAAGCTGTTTGCTTCAAATTTCCTATAAAAATCACTTCAATTCATTCACAAGATGGATGACTAGTATGTCCCAAAAATATAAAACAATGGAAGTACACTCTTAGGAAACTGAGATTAAATCATTACTGGCCGAAGTACATACATACATAGACCGGTATGGTATAGTAATAACGAACGTTACCGTTTGGAAATTTTAACATTCAGAAACAGACTATCACCAGCCACAGTAAATTACTACCAATCCAGTATGGAAGATAAACGTACATAGACTGTAAAACATATGGTAGCGTCATACACGTACTTCGGCCAGTGATGAGCCTATATGTGAATATCCAGGATTTTTTACAGTAGTTATATATTTTTAGCCCGAGTCAGGGCTTATGGAACCGTCATGTCCGTCCGTCTGTCTGTCTGTCCGTCTGTCTGTCCGGCACGATAGAGCCAAAACGGCTGAACCGATTGACTTGAAATTTTTACCATATGCATATTGGACAAAGTTAGGAAACGAGTTCGAAGATGGGCGAAATCGGTCCAGTGGTTGACCGGTGGGGGTCATCGGAGTGGGTGGGGTCTTATGCACCAAAATTTCAAAATTGTTGTAGAGAGCTGAAATTTGGTACAGAGGTTGCTAATGGCTCCTAATAGAAAAAAATAACTTCAGGTTGGAAAAATTTTCATCATGAGTGACCCTATGGGGTGACCCATACCGATTTTTAGAAATTGTTTTAAAAAGATGAAATCCGGCACAATGATACTTAATGACTGCTAATTAAAGAATATGAAGTTAAAAGTGAACAAAGTGCAACCAGACCAAAGTGACCAGAGTGCAATCAGTATGGGGTGACCCATACTGATTTTTAAAAATCGTTATATCGAGCTGAAATTTGATTTGGAGGCTGAATAGCACATACATACAGCTTAGAACTTCAGGTTGTTAAAGAAGCCACTGGTCATGGTGGTCAAGGCACATGATTTGTAACTAATTCAAAAATTTGGTACCAAATAATAGAAACTATCTAACAAACTTTTAACCATCCACAACACGGAAGTTGGTGATATTATGTCGGTCAGTTCGGAAAAGAATTTAGAAGCGGGCTCTGACTTATTGAGTCAGGGACTATGTCCCTGACTCGGGCTATATGGAGTCTGCACTGTAGGTTTTTAAGGACTTAATTTGTACTTGAAATCACAAGAATCACGAAAATATGAAGAGTGTATAGTGTAAGGTATATTGTTATTCCCTAATCTATTTATCTCCATGTCCGTAACGCTTCATTTCATTTGCGAGTTCGCTCCTTTGAGAAGTCTAAAATCGAATTTTTAAAATGAAATGAAATCCTATTTTTAAAAAAAACATTGGGAAAACTTGTTTGAATATTTAGACATTTTACGAACTTAATTTTTGGGATTATGTGCCCTGGGTTTATAATGAGCGGGGTTTGTAATGATCCGGGTTTATATTGAGCGGGTTTGTAATAAGCGGTTTGTAAGGAGCCGGGTTTGTAATGAGCGGTTTGAAACGAGGGGTTTGTAACGAGCGGTTTGTACTTTCCGCCGACCAAACACACACGATACGCATTTTTATACATACGTCAATCATGCCATCCTCAAATTCGTCTCGTCGCCGTCGTCGTCATCAACATCATGTCCTTTTTACTGTATGAAATAAGTCGTAAAAATAAAGTAAAAATACAATATGTCATCTTTTCCTGGGTCTCATCGCATCATCACAAACGAAATGCAACACACAGTTCACGAAGATAACCAAATCCATCCGTATCGTCGAAGGGAAGGGAAATCTACGTATAAAATGTTCTAGACATCCGAAATAAAATTCATTCACAAACAAGGAGTAAAAAGGATGGATGGGGTTGGTTCTACATACAGGATTCCGTTTAGTCCCAGAGTCGGTGGGATAGTAGAATTTTATTTTACGAGTCATAAATCTGGATTAGAAAATCCTCACAAAAAATAACGACCTTTACTGACATCGCGTACTCGAAAAGGAAGCTCCTTGGCCGACTTGGCTTGCTTTGTGTATGGGGTTTTTTTCGGGTTCTGAGCTTTTTTTGGGGATTTAGTGCTGATTCAATTACTTAGCAGATGAGGAGGAAGATGTTTGAATTGGGTGTGAATAGAAAGGAATTAGAGGAGGGGGAGGAGGTGGAGGATCTGCATGGAAATGATATCCTGTATCATGGTGGGTGCTAATAATCCTTAATATTAGATGCGGATTAAAATAAATGCATAAGTTGGAGGATAAAATGTCATATGAATGTTGATGAAATCCTGAATAAATCCGTAAAAGTGAAAAATATTGGTAAACCCAAAAATTACAAAAATTACAAACCGAGACAAAGCATCACAAATTTACAAATTTTTAGTTTGTAATTTTGTAATTAAAAATTTTATGAATTTAGTCCTTTATTTGGACTTTACATGATCATGTATTCAATAAATCCTGAAATTCTAAGGTCGTTATATTATAATTTCATAAAACTTGCGAATTTTTTCACTTTCATCATGCCAAAATATAATTTTGGTAAAAATTTTCGGGTAAAATGCCCGAATCTGTACCCGGGGCAAGTCTACAACTGGGATATTTTCCGGGAATCGGCCAAACTTTGCCAGGGGAACGTGAAAGCCAATCAGCATCAGCCAAATATATTTTTCGTACCGTGGACTCGTCTCAGTGGCCACTCTGCTTACTACTTACATTTTTACATTACAAAATCCGGCGATTGAATTGCATTTCGCACTCGGAGACGAAGACGTTGACATCGTGTCAAAAAAAGTGAGGTGTTGTTTCCTATAGTCAAAGGAAATTGAAATCGGGTGGAAATTTTCTATCAAGATGGATAAGTCATGGGTCGTTTTCGGCCTTCTCCTTATCGTGGGTGAGTAAAATAATAGTTACCTACTGTAATTCTGAAAATTACTTTGTAGGTACTTCGACTGAATTGGAATTTTGACTATATTTTTTTTCTGCAGGCCTCCACAGCGTATCTGCCGACTTAAAGTTTGATCCAGATTCTGGCGACTCGGCGACTGTAAATCTTGACCTCGGCGCAGGAAGAGAAGGATCTCGAACGGATGATGAGTTAGTAAAACGTGAAGAAGAAGCAATAAAGTTGGATGGACTTTCGGTAGCTCAACTAAAAGAAATACGGGAGAAGGCGGATAAATTTCAGTTTCAAGTAAGTTCATTGTTTTTGTATATAATTTCATGAATAATTAATGCGAGATTGACTACAATAAATTGTTTCTTTGCTACTTTTAGGCGGAGGTTAGCCGTATGATGAAACTTATCATTAACTCGCTCTACCGGAATAAGGAGATTTTCCTTCGAGAATTAATTTCCAATGCGTCCGATGCCCTTGATAAGATTCGTCTCCTCTCCGTCACTGATAGCTCTGTTCTTGACGCCGAGAAAGAATTAAGTATACGGATTCGTGTTGATAAGGAAGGTAAACTACTTCACATCACGGATACAGGGATTGGTATGACTAGACAGGAGTTGGTCGGCAATTTGGGAACAATTGCTAAATCCGGAACAAGTGAATTTCTCAGTAAGATGCAGGAAGCGGCGGATACGCAACAGTTATCCGACTTGATTGGTCAATTTGGGGTTGGATTTTATTCCTCATTCTTGGGTGAGCTGAGTTCATTTAATTTTTTTAATATTTTGTAAAAAGTTGTTTTAAAAGTTACCTTACAATTTTTTCATCTAGTTGCGGACAAAGTTATCGTCACTAGCAAATCGAACGATGACAAACAATACATCTGGGAGTCGGACGCTGCCCAATTCTCTGTTGCCGAAGATCCACGAGGACCAACTTTGAAACGTGGGTCGCAAGTTAGGTGCGACAAATACAAGTTTAATGTCCACGTTTTACAATAATTTATATTGCCTTTCACTATCCTGTCATGGTTGAATCGTTTTCAGTCTGCAAATGAAACCAGAAGCCTCCACCTATCTCGACCAATCCACCATCCGCGAACTTGTCAAGAAATACTCGCAATTTATCAATTTCCCAATTTATCTCTGGACCGAGAAGACGGTCGAAGAGGAAGTTCCCCTAGATGACGACGACGCCACATCGGAAAAGAAAGAGGACGCCATTGAGGAAGACGAGGCACAAGTCGAGTCTAAAGATGTGGATGAGGACAAGCCAAAAACAAAGAAAGTCTCTAAAACCATCCATGACTGGGAACTTCTCAACAACGCGAAACCCATTTGGACACGAAAACCAGCTCAAGTTGAAGAGTCCGAGTATGAAGAGTTTTACAAGAGTTTGACCAAAGATACTCAAAAGGCTCTCGCACACACGCATTTCATCGCGGAGGGTGAAGTCACGTTTAAGGCTCTGTTGTTCCTCCCTACCGTCCAACCAGCGGAATCCTTCAACAAATATGGAACCCGAACTGATAACATCAAATTGTACGTGCGACGTGTCTTTATCACTGATGATTTCCAGGAAATGATGCCAAACTACTTGGCCTTTGTTCGTGGTGTTGTCGATTCCGATGATTTACCTCTCAACGTGTCACGAGAGAATTTACAACAAAGCAAACTTATCAAGGTATAGTTATTTGTTAGTGCTGCTAAATATTTATCCAAGTGAAACTTTAATTCATAAAAATTAATTTAATATTTGATGTTCAGGTCATTAGGAAAAAACTTATCCGTAAAACACTCGACATGCTTAAAAAATTGGAGGGTGAAGACTATGAAAAGTTTTGGAAGGAGTATTCCACTAACATCAAGCTCGGCGTTGTAGAAGACACAGCAAACAAGTCTCGCCTCGCCAAGTTGCTCCGATTCGCCACATCCGCCTCACCCACAGGAACTTCCTCGTTGACGGACTATGTGTCGAGGATGAAGGACAAACAGGACGCGATTTACTACGTGGCAGGGTCATCTCGAGAGGAGGTGGAGAAATCTCCTTTTGTGGAGCGACTTCAAAAAAAGGGCTACGAAGTGATCTATCTCACCGAGGCAATTGACGAGTATTGCATCGGCGCCCTGCCCGAGTTCGAGGGAAAGAAGTTCCAGAACGTGGCCAAGGAGGGATTGACGCTGAACGAGAGCAAGGAAAAGATTGCCGAGACCCAAAAGGTCTTCGAACCATTGACAAAATGGCTGGGAGAAAATGCATTGAAGGATCAGGTAGTTAATTATTTATTTATCTGGTTTCATTTTGTTTGTGTTCAACTGAGTTTGCTAAATTCGTATCAATTTCATTTCCATTTTTTTGGTTCGATTACAAATCCATTATATTTTCATTCCAACATATTAAAATCCTTCGGCGTAAGTTGTTTTATCCTAATACTCGTGCTATCAGATATTAAAGGCCGTCGTGTCCAATCGCCTCGAAATCTCGCCGTGTGCCCTGGTCGCAGGAACTCATTCCTGGACAGGTCACATGGAACGAATGGCTCTCTCAAACACACATCAAAAGCAGGACGAACAAGCGAAATCGTAAGAAACTTAGTCATTTATTAACCACATTCTGCACTTGTTTTTCCAGATTCTCAAAGCCACAGTCAGTGAACGTCTTGACAAAAGTCCCTGCGCACTTGTCACCTCCCAATTTGGATGGACAGGGAACATGGAGCGAATTATTGTTTCACAAACGCACTCCAAACAAAACGATATTAGTCGAGAGTAGGAGAACATACACTTTTTATTTAGTTATATTTTAGTGATTAACTAGTAGATAACAAAATAGAAGTAACCTGCACGTTTTGCATGCAATTTTATAATTAAATGTGAATTAGGTTCTAATCCGTAATTTGCTAATTATTTTGCAGATATTATTTGAATCAGAAAAAAACGCTGGAGGTCAATCCACGCCATCCCTTGATTAAAGAACTCCTCCGCCGAATCAACGACGATCCTACTGACGCTGTTGCGAAAGAGACGGCACTCACCTTGTTCAGAACAGCAACTCTCCGATCGGGTTACATGCTCAAGGACACGGTCGACTTTGCCGAGACAGTAGAGAAAATGATGCGTCAAAGCTTAGGAGTTCCGATGGATGAAGAGGTAGACAATTAATTATAATTTTTAGTCTTTGTCACTTAATACAAATTAACTAACGTTAAAACAATTTACTTTGTCAGATCGATGAGGAAGAGCCCGACACTCCAGAGGAAGATTTAGTTCCAGAAGAGGACGCGGAAGAAGATGACTCCTCGTCGTCCAGGTCTGACCGGAATGACGATGGCGATTCTGTCGATTCGGAACACGACGAATTGTGAAAAGAGTTTACTTAAAAACATAAATTCCAGTGAAATTAAGTCATTACCACGTTATAAATAGTAATATTAGGAGGAACAAGGAGAACAGTAATTATTTATTCGTGTTTATTATGTAATTTATACAAAATCTACTGATCAAATAAGGAGGGGTTTGTTTGTAAAGGAACAAAATTGTAATTTCTTGAACGTGTACTCTCTTTTGTCTTAAGTATTGGGGTTTTGTGTCGGGATGGTTCTCATTATTATTATTATTTTATAAGTAAGTTCCGTGAGATTATTATTCAACCATAATTACATTGTTAAGTTCCCAATAAAACTAAACCGACCAACGACTTCAATTGTATTTATCCAGCATTCATTTCTTTGATTTCTTTTTAATACATTTTGTGCACGGGAAATAAATATGTATAATTATTGTAAAATAATTATATACTTATCAAATTTTATTATTCTACAATTCTCATTATTGAGCATGAAAAATATAATCGATTTGGATTTTTACATCTTACATTCAAACAGAAATTCCAACATATTTCCGGATGATCTTTATATTTTTTTTACTATTTTTATCTATTTTAGCAATAGACTTTTTGGCGTGGAAAATTTGCATTTTAAAAAATATTACAAAAATGGTTTGAAGTAGAATTATTACTTATCCGCGATTTTCTACTATGTGCGACATAGTTCCCCACTTTTGTCGTGCCTGTTGAGCAACGTACATGCAGTCGAAAATAAAACAATACAAACTACTGTCAATTTGAACGGTTTGTAGAATTTGCGTTGCAGAGAATAGTTGGTTAACGGGTACATGGACTGCTCTCGTTGATGGCGTCACAAGCACTTTTTTGACAATATGGTCACCTCCGAGTACGACTGATGGCGACAAAATGGCCACGGTCGGTTGTTGAGGGTTGAAATAAAATCTCAGGGTTACGTTGCTGTCAAATGTTTCTACTTCGGGCACTCCCCCTCTTTCCGTGCATCTGGTCGGCTTTGTCCTAAAAGCGTTCGTAACCTGTATATCCTGCACAAGGACCTAAAAAATGCACACATATACGTATTATATAGTTATCATTGATAGCTTATCAAATGGTTTAATTTAGATGTAAAATTTAGCGAACAGTCTGCACGCAGGAACTGAATGCAAAACGATTTATAAAATATAGAGAATGGTACATATATGCAAAAGGACTAATCAGTAGTAGATCATGTCAGAATTATGTAGTATTTTAATACTGGAATTAATATGGACTAACAAATATAAAGCGTGGTGTAAGCACTAGCTGCTGGATGACCCAAATGTTACTTATCTGTCATAACCGGTCAATGCATTGCAATTTTCTCAGAAATACACAGGGTCTAAAAGTCATCACTTACACCAGTATGCAAAGTTACCTTTTCGTCTTTGCATTGTACCACTGGCTGCTGACCCTGAAAGTCTTCCTGTAGGTCAGTCTTAATAAAATATGTAGTATTTTGTCCCCCATTGATATCCATCGTTGTAGATTTGTTATATGTTTGACAAGTACATTAGATTTAATAACGGAGAAAGTTTACAAACTGTACACGCTGTGTTTGACAATGAAATGAGTTATACAGTAGTTATCTACATAGATATTATGTAACTATTTGATTAATACATTTATTATGTGATGAATGTGGAATATAAAGTACGAAAAAGTTGAACCAGTTTAGACTAAATATGTTTATGTATAATATGCTCATACTTTCACTTCTATTTTTGGGTTGCATTTTTGGAATATACTTAATACAGATTAATATTGTGAAAGGGTTGATGTACGGTCTCAAGCTAGGAGACTGTAAAATTCATTCTTTTATGTCGGTGTCTCATGTTTTCATACCTGTCATCCACAGACATTAATTTAACGTTATCAAAGAGATTTTATCATTTAGGAAAATCAGAATTGATAAGGAAATGTTCTAAATTTTTTTTTCATTTTTCCCAAATCGTCGGCAAAAAATCTATATGAAATTTAGTAAATAAACTGTGACTTCTTTAACAAATAAATAAAACCAATACATAGCCAAGCGCAATTGTTATGTAGAAATGCATAAAATACTTTAAAAATAGTTGAGTCCATGATAGTCTTATTTTCTCATAAAAAATGTATCTATTTGTATTTGTTATTAAACTCATTTCACACACCAACACAAACCACAGACAGTTATCAAAATTGTACAAAATTACAGATTCATAAAAAAGTTTCCTCTTTCTTAGTAAGAAATTCTTACCGTGTCATGGAATAAAATTATCAAAATATAAATATTACAACATCCAATCTCTCAAATTCTTTGATGCAAGATATAGAAAAGTAAAATCCATAAAAATCATTCCCTTGTAATTTATGAAAGTAAGCGGAATACAATTTTTAGTAGAATTAAGCTAAAAAATGGCAATGTTTCTTGATTCATCAGAGACGTGGCAGAGTTTCCTTTAAAAAATGTGATAATTCTTTCCTCTTCCTCTTTATATGGGTTGGCACCGTCGTCAAAGAACATGGGACATTGATCTCCTGTGTACCGCAAAAAGAAAAATCGTGACCGAGTGAATTATCCTTCGAATTTTGAAATATTTCAAAATTTCATAAAAATTTAAATAGTAACTCACGTTCTCTCTCGTACTCTTCCATGACCAGGGCGACGGCTGCGCCATGCTTGTTGTCGTAACTGTCGACGTCCTGGATGAGGGAGCAAAAAGGTCCGAGTGAGAGTGACATAAGGACACGATTGAGGTCGGAGCGTTGATACACCCAGCAGCGATATCGGGAAAACGCGTCCAGCTCGTCGTACGTGATGAGGTACGACTTCAAGTTCTCTTTCCAGTATCCGATACATTTCATTTTGTAGTCGGGATCACCTTTCGGAGAAATAAATGATTTAGTTCTGATCAAATTTTTGAAGTTGGAAAGTTAAGAGAGCTGGTAGCATTTTATATGTGGCAGCAAAGCGTAAAAATTATAAAGTTTCGAAATGGGGGAATAAACGAGATAAGAATGGAAAAGTAGGAAAAACATATTTAAATGATGAAAAGTAAAGAAACTTGTACTCGTAAACTAAAATTATAGAAAAGTTAAATTATTATACCCAAAATTACTACATATTTCACTAAAATTACCAACTTAACACACAAGGCGAATAATTATTATGCTACTTAATTTATTTAGAAATTCAGCAACCTGCTTTAATTATTTATACGGATGTAAATAATATGCTTGATGCTACTGACCAAAACCAATGCTCGTTTTCAAATTCGACTATAAGCAAATTAATTAAATGCCACACCCAAACTAAACTAAACTATAAATACCACGACAAATTAACCAAAAGGCAACCAAACCCAATCCGAACCACCCACCCACCAAAATTATTAAGAAACATGGAAATATTGAATTACTGTAAATATCGACCGGCCTTCCCAAGTAGTCAACAGTTAGACAATAATTTTCATCAATCGTGATCTCCTTTTGATCCTGATCACACACGGAAAAGTCGGAAATATTGACCTTGCAGTATGTCCCCGGTCTAGGAGAGTGTGTTACACCACCTAAAATTCGAGTTTCGAAGGGCACTTCACCCGTCTGAGTGAAGTTGAACTTTCCTGCGACCGGGCATCGGATTGGTACCGGATTCTTGGCTAAAGTAGAGAAGTTTACAAGAATTTTAAAATTCCTTAAAGGTGAATATACGTTAGGTTATGAATTAGTTTGAATTTTATGCAATATGTGAAACTACTTTACGGACACAAAAATCTACACTAATTATTAACGATACATCTACGTCTACGTAATTGTCTGTAAATGCAATTAAAATTATAAATTATGACACATACGTAAATGCCACTGATATGTACGGGTAAGTACTTCGCTGTTTTTAGGTTTTTCGCAATTATTATTTTTCGCACATTATTAATCATAAAGCAGTTGAGATGATGTAGTAGCAAGTAAGTAAAACAAATTGAGATAGGAATCGAGTCGCGGTGAAAGTCGGAGAAAGTTGAGGGAGAAGAAATTATGTATTTTTCAGTGATTATGTATTATTTACTGTAAATGTCGAGGGGTCTGCCTAAATAGTCGACGCACACATTTTCCTCCACATCCACAACAATTTCCTTCCTCTCAGCGTCACACACTTTGAAGGAGGAAATGTTCCTGTTGCAGCTTAATCGAGGTCGAGGCGAGTCCGTGATTCCGTTCATTATCCGCGACACCATGGGGTTACTTCCGGTCTGATGGAATTGATAATAGCCGGATATTGGACAAGGAATGTTGTCCGGATTCTTGACTGGATTTCGTAATTGGGTGACAATTTTTAGTTGTGAGTGAGTAAAATCAGAGTCATAATTTTGCATGTAAAATAATTTAGGATTTGAGAGTATGTAGAGAGTGAAAGCTTGCATGCTTGGTCAATATAGTGAAAGAAGAATTATACCAAGTTGTGGGAATTGTGTGCAAAATATTTGTGAAATTACTTATTTAGTGTTATTTTGCAAATTAAATCAGAATTTTTCTTAGATTTGTAAGTTACGTGACGCCGTTTTGTTAATATTTTTCATGCGTTATTATTTTTAACACAAGATCATGCAATTTATGTGAGTTTTCATGCTTCATGCATTTTTGTTGAATATGCATTTCATTTTTCATTGAATATCATGAAATTTGATAAGGAAAAGACAAGAAAAAATTAAACTGACCCAGTAAAAGATCATATTTCCATTGATCCGCGTTCTTAAACTGTACCCAGGAACAAACCGTAGAAAATTGTTCCGTAATCAGGGCAGTGCTTTTCCTGAAACGGATTATGTTGTGATGTCTGAAAAAAATGAATTGGTACAATTTAGCTTTTATTTAATTTTAATTATTTAGTTATAGAATTAAGAAAGAAAATTATATACCTCGGAACAAAGTCAAAGCAGACGTAATCCTTTTGGCTGGAAGTCAATTAGGAAAATTTAATTTTCTAAAATTTTAAGGGCACAAAATTCTTACCATCCATCCACCGTCAACCTGGCCATCAGATATCTCGATCCTCTCTTCTCCTTGCAGACGTAGACCGTTTTACGATAACGACCCTCGTCAGGCCACCACGTTTCGACAATGTGGGTCGAATTAATTACTACGTCACCATCAAGATTGGCAGTGTTGATCCAATCTCCAGTATAATTTTGGGGCAGTTTACATGATGGTGTGACAATTTCGGATTTGACTGGAATTTACACAATTTACTTAATTAACTAGTGTTTAAATTAATTATAAACCAATTTTTGTCCACCTGGCGTCATTCGTAACCGTTCAGGTGCACTTTCAGACCCTTTAATCGTGTTACATTCGGCTGTGATGGATGCAGCAAGAAATAAATCATCGTCCCGATTTCGCAGGAAACATCGATACTTTTCATCCTTTCGGGATTCTTTTGTGTTGACGACGGCAAAAAAGTGATTCTTTCCGATAAACCAGTCCCCCAGGCAGCTGTACTCCACGGCTAGAAAGGTCAGAGTTCATGGTCAGTTATGATATTAAAAGCATAAAGTTACATGACAAAAATATTGGTACAAAAAATAGCATTATAATTGAGAGCTTGATTTCTATCTATCAATTTTTTGCAAAGATTTACTACTTACTCCCATCAAACGTGCCCGTCATTCCCTCACATGCCTTGTATGTAATATTAAACTTTTGATTCGTGATCAAAAATTGGGTCCCAGGCGTTTGGCAGGATTGAATCGACGCTTCAGGGTTGTCACACTCGCCGGTGAACCGAAACCTGTGTTTTTGAGGACATGTTGTTGAGAGTGAATATTTAAAAATATTTAATGTGCCTATTGCTATTTCATTTTGCCATACCTATTTTGATACGCGAACTGCCAAACGCCTTCCAAACTGGAACGGCAATTTACGGGGACGGGATTTTCAGAAAAAAGTGTAATCAAATTTTGATCTGGGTTCAGATTCTGACAAACTTCCTCCATCGTGGGGGGATCTCGGTTAGTGGGAAAGTTGATACATCCGGCTAAAAAAATGATGATGACGACGATAATTTAAGTATTATTTAAGCATTAATACCACATTTATTGAATTTTGGTTATAACGTACTCTCGATTTTCTCCAATATGTTGACCGTCCTCACGTTGATGCGGACACAATGGAAACAGTTTTCAGATTTGAAAATTAGGGTGTAATTGACATGAAATTCTTCTTTAAGATCGACCAGAATGCCGCGGCTGGACATTGATTTGTCGTCAAATTCGGTGAAAGTGTTGACATTTTTTTCTCGAGAGAACCACGCCCCTCGGATGACGATGGGTACAACGTGTTCGGGCTTGAGCCGCTCTCCGGGGGCGTACTGACGATAAGTGGGGACTTCGAAGGGGGACTGCGAATTTGTGGGGTGATATGGCAGTAAGGTCAAGGCTGCAATTAGATAAGTTGCTAGAATTAGTGCTTCTCGAAATTATCATCAATTTAGATCTTGAGATTTTTTACCAGTGATGATGAGATGCCATAATTTACGATGTCTAGAGTGAAACTGAGATCTTGATCCGCTCATCTTAATGATTTTATTTCGTAGCTCTAAGCGTTTCTAGATTTCGCATGAGTTAAATGTCGGAAAAACTTTTATTTTGCAGACTTTGTTTTACCGATAGATAGAAAGATATGTCTTGGATTCATTAGGCAGTAATTTTGATTAATTTAGACTAATTAATTTAGACGATATTTGCAAAACTTAGATTTTTGGCTACTGAATATATACAAATTCCACTCCACAACAATCCAGTAACAGTTTTTTTTCGCGAAACCAAACCACACCTTCGCTGCGTACGCTTTTAAAAGAAAAGCTATTTGACTCTTCGTTTTTGCTAGTTATCTAATGCAATGGAGGTGATATTATTATGATTCAACTTTTTAAGCATACACCATTGTAGTTTACATATATACTATGTGTACATACATACAGTTCTAGTACATAGTCCAGGCCAGGCATCTTATTCCACCCTCGGATCCAATGTTACCTCATAATAACTAACGACAACGCTGGCACAACACTGCAGAGCTATGGAACACGGTGCTAAAAAACATAGGAACACAATGGCCATGCACCTGTCCATGGTTTACACAGGTTTGTCCGTATCCATCCATACCTGTCGTGATAGTTTCTCTTCTTGTCTTATTACTAGAAACGTATAAGGAGAGAGATTGAATTGAAGTTTGTGTACATAAAAAATGAGAAGGGTTGGTTTTTGGAGTTTGAAGTGGTTCCGTTCCATCCATTGCTTTTGCTCTCTTGTAGTATAAAAAATATGCAATTTGAAATGCGAAAGAGTTTTGAAATAATATTCTACTCCAATAGAGGACAAATAAGAATTTGAGCCTGTATCTTCTGTCATGTATGCTAAATGAACAGTATGCAATATGAGATTAAATATATTATGGGTCTACAGACTACATAACTAATACGTCAATTCGATCCGATATGATTTTCACTTTGGACTTTCTGAGAACGATTTATGTTTCACAGTCAATGCTGAAATTCGATCCTGGCAGATTGTTGAAAAGTTTGTCATGATCTTATATGACTCATAAAGTTATGAGCTTCTATTTTTTTTACTTATATGTGTTGCATGCAATTCATGCAATTCATGTCGCGTACCTTGTAAAATTTTTAAGTTTTAAATGACATTAAAATGATGGTAAGGGCAAGTTAAATTGAACGTAATTTTCAAGCATGAAACTTGATGAAACCTTAAAATTCAAGATGTCTTTGGAATGTTATAAAGTATAACGAAAATTCTCCAGATGAAAAAATTACATGGTTGTACATCTTATTGTACAGCATGAAGTTAGAATACTTGAAAGCTAGCGCACATAATTTTCCATGCTATTTGTAATTGTTACACATTAAAAATTCATATACCCCACAATAGAACTATTGTACGTAATTGGTATAATTGTCATGTTTTCGCAGTTACAATAATAATAATTATTAAATGAAGGTGATATAATTTATGCAAAATAATTATACTCCATGACATGACCGTAAGTTAAAAGGAAGGAAACGTCCTTTTCATAATTATTGTTCCTCAAGGAAAATGTAAGTGTGGTTCCATGACTTGTAATTTATTATATCGTAGGAATTTTGGTAAAAACTTGCAACTGAGCTCAGATTTAGTTCTTTTTTACCATTCATTATTTACACAAATTTTAGTCAAATGAGTTATTTCATTAACTATTGGTGGTTAACCACAAAGTTCAGAAACCTACTAAATTTGCGAATTTGTTGATACTGATTGGATAAAATTTATTTTTTAACAATTTTCGAAATTCTAAAAAGTTTCTTAATTCCAGATAGATTAGATTTTTCCTTGTCTCAAATCCACCCTCCCGATCTTGTTATGGGAGGTTGAGCCATATATTTAGAAACTGGGTGTAGATGCAACAAGTGCCTGTTGCTTATGTTTTGAGTTGGTGAATTATTTGTATCATCTCTATTCTTCGATCCGGTAAAAGTAATTGTTCGGTAAGTGACGTGGTTATCATCGTTTATTGCCGTGTTATCTTTATCTTATCGCGGCTGTGATTATTGAGTCATAATAAAATCCTTGGAGAAAGGACTGCCCTGTACACAAAAATATGTTTTATGTATGTAATACTTGGGTTGGGTCGGTCCGGGTGTTATTGTTAATTAACGATTGTCCAAGTAAATTAGAGTGAGTAAGTTAAATTAACTTAGTTAATCATAAATGAAATCTGGACTTGTCGGAGAAAAAATTTAAGAAGTGTAAAGTGAATGTGTGATGTGAAGAGAATTGTTTGCAGATGAGTCATTAATTAATTGGTTGTAAATATGTAATTGCAGGTCCAGTCATAAAATAATCTATGTAATGTAAAATCGTCATCATAACTTACTTCGACTGGATAGAGATCACATCACAACACCTGTGACTGATTTGTCATAGCCACCCTGACCGTTTGATGAACAATTAGTGGGTTCAGTTACTTTTTAGTTTTAAGTACACTCTAAGAATTGGATTGGATTAATTAAAGGTTCGACTACAACAGAGGTAAATGAAACTGGTTTATTTTTACTGCAATTTTGTGATCTTAATGTTTATTCAGTGATTAGCATGTCTTTGCTGAAATAATAATTGTTTGTTTGATCAGATTGTACAAACTTTGCGGAAAAGTGAAGACGGAATGCTAGTCAATAATTATTATCAGTCAGCCGGAAATGTAAGGACTGCATAGTAAATTGAGTCCGTCAAATTCATCGTCGTCGTTTTAGCAGTGAAAGTTTTTGCAATACAAGAATCATAATGACAAGGGACAGATTAGCCGAATTGCGGAAAAGGGTAAAGTTTACCCCACCATAATATTAATCAGCAAGGATAAGAACATGACTTGTGTGATGTGATCTTTATTAGGCACACATTTCACCGGATGTGGACGGTGATGGTGATGCCACAGGGGGCGACAGTAACAATTTCGAAGGAAACAATGGTACAGCTTCCTACACAAGAACGGATGGGACGGTCGTATTGCAAATTGAGATGGCGAGATTGCATGGGATGGACCAATTTTTTGGACAGGTAGATGATTCGTTTACCATTCGCAAATAATTTTTTGGCATTCCATGTTGAAATTTATGGAATTTTGGCAGGTTGAGGATCTCCGCAAATTAATAGAAGAACTTAAAACCGATGTGAAAAGCGTTAGAACGCATCACAGCGATATTTTATCCAAACCAATTCCAGATGAAAGTTAGTAATTAAAAAAAAATGTGGATGTCTTATGATTGTTGTCAGTATGTAATTCTGAATTTTTTAACTTTTCAACTTTCAGAAAAGAAACAGGAACTTGACGCCTTGATGTCCACAATTAAAACTAGCTCTCAAGTCATACGAGCAAAATTGAAAGGTATGAGTTAATAATTACTGTAATCATGCGTACATGTGTATTATTCATTATTTCATGTTATAGACCTTGAGAAAGGAATAAAACAAGAGGAGGAAGAAATCGAGAACGACGAAACGCCAGCCAGTCTCCGAATTCGAAAAACACAACATGCATCCATCCTTCGTGAATTTGTCGACGTGATGAATGACTACCAAAAAGCGCAGGTTGATTACCGAGATAGGTGCAAGGCGAGGATAAAACGGCAGTTGAATATTAGTAAGATTAATTAGTGATTGTGTGTATTATGTCGAGTCGAGTCCAAATTTTATCTTCTCTTTTAGCCGAAGCCAGTTTCAGTGATGACGAAATCGAAAATATGATTGAAGAAGGAAATTTTTCAGTATTTACGCAGGGTGTGAGTACTTATTGCTTTGTATTTGGCAGGATTTTCCATGAACTAAAATCGTGCATGTTTTTGATTAATGATTTATTTATCAGATTCTCGTCCAGGCTGAAGAAGCTCGACAAATGTTAGCAGATGTTACTGCCCGTCACAACGATATTATTAAACTTGAAAAGTCGTTAAAAGATTTGCACGATTTGTTCCTAGAAATGGCTCTGTTGGTAGAAAGTCAAGTAAGTCAAATAAAACTAAAATTTAATGAAATCCTTTATTTCTTGACCATTGATATATACTTGTTTCCTATTCTTACCCAGGGTGAAGTCGTCGACAGGATAGAAACCCAAGTAACTTCTACGAGAGACTACACGGAGAAAGCAAGAGAACAGCTAAAACAAGCCGAAGTATTACAGACCAAAGCAAGAAAGGTACACCGTTGGAGATTTACAAATTAATATTTTGTAGTTAATCCTTGCTGAAAACTAATCTTTTTTAATTATTTTAATTTTCAGAAAAAAATATGGATTATTATCATTGTCATAATAATTTTGATAGTGCTCGGCCTAATCATTTATTTCTCACTGCCTTAAGTTTTATCTATCTTTTTGAACTGAAGAAATCGGTGCAACCAACCTGACCAACTATAACAATCAATTAAATTATTACTACTTAAATACTGCAAGAAAAGATTTATAAATACCTACATAAATATAATCATATCATGCTATGTTCTACTTTTAGGTAAAAGTTGCCAATTAATAATTTGTATTTTGTCCTGCATAAATGAACTGTTCAAAACTAATGTAAAATTTATTACATTTTAAATTATTAATTATAACTTAGATGGAAGAGAGTTAAAATGTAAAATATTGTGTATAATAACAACATATAAACTAATTATTTAAATTGTAGCATTTCCAGCCTCAGCACATTTCATTGTCATCCATTCATTTTATTAAAATGATGCAGATAACAAACAAACTTCAACGCTCTCTAAAAAATCGTTCCAGAAATGTAGCACAAACTTTCATTTGAAGAATTGTTTAAAATGTGTATGACATCTTAATTTCTAATAGGGCATATTTCCATATCACCAGCTAAACAAGTTATCATTTGGCTGATGGTCCCCATGTTCGGTCGTTTTGTGAGAATAAGCCTTAAATTGTGACGGGAAGCATGTTTCACTCTCCGATTGACATATACTGCCGAATTATATGAGTTTATGTCGACTTTTAAATTTCTAATTTATTCACACTACAAAATCCAGCCTTATAATTGTAACTTTATAATTTTGTGTCCTCAAGTGAGTTGCGGAATCTCGCACAAATAACGTCAATTGTGTGCCATCAATTTCAATACATCATTCAGATATGTAATTACTAGCGTAGATGCTCGTCAATCGACGCTCAACAAAGGCCCATCGCCCCTAGCAGAGAATGTATGTATTATAGAATCAGAATATATTGGTATCAGATTGAATACTGATTTAATGAGGAATTTTAGCAAAATTGTTTGGCCATGTGCCCTTTCCTACGATATTCCAATCGAAAAACTGACCTCAGATTAAAAATCAGCGACCAAAAAACATAAGAATCGACATTTACCCAACGATAACGACGTCGAAATAATTGTATTATTTAATTAATAATTTTATTCGTAACAATTGTGAGATAAGCCGCTATAACACATGTAGGTGTACCTGTATGGTTATAACGTATGTAGGTATGTCTACATGTATATAACTACTAAAAAGTAGCTAAACTACTCGTAAAGTAAATATAAAAAGGACATACATAGTTGGATAACAAACCATTAGTAAATTTGGAAAATAAAAACATTATCATTCATAAGTACTAAAAAACAAACGCATTTTTAGTTTTACTTTAATTTTTCAATGGAATAATTGGGGTTGGAAAGATCAGCATGACGAGGGGATTCTTACTCTCAATCAAAGATGTTGTAAGCATTTTGTCCATACACATGATCCAAGCATAAATTAAGTTATCCATAGTTTTGAGATACACGGTAAGCTCTTGTTCCTCTGTAAACTTTTCAACATAGTGATACACCTCGTCTTCACTTACACCGGGGAGTACTTTGATTGGGATTGAGGCTTTAAGAGCAAACGCTTTGTCCTTGCAAAAGTAAGACGGGAGGGGTTTTATCATTGCAGAAGTAACGACATCATAATTTCCATAATCCAGAAAAACGACTTTGTACGCATCTTTGTCTGGACAAGCCTCCAAAATTTTAGCTCTATAGTAGCGTAAATCATCTTCAATGTTTTGCCTGGCCGCGACGTAAGTTCCATTGATCAGAGATGAAGGATTCAGTTGAGGGACATTTTTCCAATTATTCAAAAATTGTGTCAGTTCTTCACTTAGTCCATCCGCTCGATGGTCGTCACCTTCTAGCTGAATGCAAATCGAGTCATAATTTTCTATGAAAGACACAACTCCTTCATATTGAACTCCCGACATGTATGCTGAGGGGCCACTAAATAATTCCTTTGCAAGACCCTGGTCGATCATGGGAAATTCGTGGTCAACGTTTGTATAATACTTGCAGAGGTTTGGCTTTCTTAGGCCAAAATCATCAAGCAGTGGTGTCCCTTCTTCTGAGGCAAGGGTCACTACGCACCTGGTGGAGGGAGAGATACGAGTGTAAAGGTTAAAACTCAGTTTAAATAATTAAAAATCTCTACTTCATAGTTCATTATCTTACTTTCGAATTTCTCGGGGATCCACGTCATCAATGAAATTTGCATGGCTAATGTAACATTCCAGATTTTTTTCAATAATCAACTCCATCAATTTGCCCTTGGTGGTTTCATCTGAAGGAAGTTTGCTCGGGTCCGCTGCCAATAGTTCAATTAAGTAGCAGGGTGTGGCTGCTTCAGGAATCTCAACGAGTTCTTTCGAAATCTTGAGCATCTAAAACATAATTCATGACGATACGATTTAATGCGACATGAACTATTAGAGTAATTAGTTTGTACAATTAAAGCTTACGTCTTTTTCCTGAACATTGACAAAGTCTCCATAATCTACCAGTTTTACCAAGTACCCAACCCTTGACTTTTGAAAAATGGTAGCTCGATAATTCATTTTGTCCTCGCCATACGCAACAAGAACAGCATCACCAATATCCTTTGAAAAGTCCTTGGCCTTTAAGAACAGTACACATTATTAATAGCACAAATAATTGAGTGATAAGAAGGTACGAATAGAATAACTTTATGTTTGTATAGTGTAAGTTAAGTGTAGTCTTGACTTCGTACTACGAAGTGAAGACTACAAGTTCGTAGTGACTGAGGAGTAATATTACTTACGTCTTTGGAAGTAGAGTCATACTTCAACAATCCAGCATCAACAGCCTCCATTATAGTCGGATGAAGTTGAAGATGCACTTTGAAATTCGATCCCACTTTTGAAACCTTCGTCCCAAAGACTCCGATTTTCTGTCCAATCCAATCACTGTAATCATATCGAGGATACTTTCCAAGCATTTGTGGCCCTAAATTATGTAAAAAAAAAAATAAATTACAATATATTAATATATATATATATATCTAATCTAATAGTAACATCGAACGATCTGATTTATTAGCAATATTAATTGAGGTCGATAAATATTATGTAAATGAATTGGGAATTAGAAATCTTTACCTTCATCATTGGTCCCATGAGTACTTAGCGGAACAAAATCAGCTAAACCCAAATTCATAACCATTTCGAAGCCAACATCCTTCTTGTCACACGTGAGCCAAACTTCAGAGACTCCACGGTCAATTAGAGAAATTGAGAACACTGATGTATTCTTTCCTTGGAACAGCGACTTGTAGTCATACTTTTTCCACTTTTCCTGTTCCTCAAATGGGACAACTTGAGCAAGACGACACATTAACGAAAGCTTTGGAAGTCTCAAAAGTTCTGTTGACGACGGATATATGGAATCAGCCGAGATCAAAATATCCACTCCTGAATCCACCATATACACATTCACGCCCTTCTCTTCAACTAAATTGACCTCTGCTCGGTGAAATTTCCTATGAAATATACAAAAATAGATTTATTATGTTCGTAATCGTATGCTTGTTAGCAATGACATAAATCCCATACCCATCCTCAAATTTGACAGTTACAGGAAGTCTATCCTTCAGACAAGCAACGTCAACCGGTGCACAACCGGCAATGTTGTGCAAATGAAGATCCATTGCCTCCTTAATCTGCCTTTGAATAACCACGGAAGTCTGATCCACCACGATGATTGAAAAATTGTCAGGGCTGTGCATATTGAGCAATTTGTACGAGTACTTCCTATTGATCATCAATGGACGGTCCGGATAGCACCAGCCCTCGAGGCTGCCCAAATCCTTATCAAGCAACATTTCGGCGTAATCAGTCGTCGTACTTGTTCCTAAAACAAGACTCCAGTTACAAACTGAAGAATTATTTTTTAGTATTATGATAAAAAAAGTGTTAGATTATCAAAGACAACTTGATCTTTGACCCACTTACCGAGTATTATTTTCTTTCTTCTCTAGCAAATCTTCTTTCAAGTTTTATGTTCCTTCAATCTTTTGTCGACAGGCTCGTAAAAAGATAACCAACCCTTCGATATCTTTTTTTTTACTAGAGGCAGTTTTATCTTCTTCAGTGAGGAGAAAAGACCAAAATTAAAATGGTGACTAACTTTGAGTGACGAAGAGACGAAGTTGGCATGAAGATTATTACAAAAGTTATCACAAGGTGGCAGTAGTGATGGGAAGCACTCTCCGATTGACAAAGTTTGTTAACTTCTAATTTATTCATAAATTACCACCAAACCCAGCCTTATATTTGCAGCTTTATAATTTTATGTTATTTTAACATAATTAATTGGCCCTGTGCCCCTTCCCATGATGTCGCAATCAAAAAACTGACCTCAGATTCGAAATCAGCGACCAAAAAACTATAAGAATCGATATTTTCCCACCTCCAACAACGTTGATATAATTAATTGAATTATTTGTAACAATTGTAAACACGGAACATGTGAGATGTTCCTATACGCATGTTAGCCATACCCCACCCCCTCGTTTTGAAAACCCTCACTGACCTTTTTGAAACTTTTAATGCACAAAATGCAAGATCATACTGCCCTACTACCAAAAATAGGATGATTTGACCAGTTTCAAGTCCCGTCATTGAACCATTTTCTTGCAAAAGTGACCACAGTTTGTGGTTGGGGGGACAAAGTTGCCTAGTACAAGTCTCGTTCCGCAATTTTTTTAGTCTGCGGGAGGAGCTCGTGGGGGACGAATCCCTGGGTGAGCTCCCCATTGCAGCTGCGCCCTTGGGCCGCCCTGCCTCTCTGGGGAGTCGGGTCCACCCGTGGTTTGTCCCACAGCCCCGACTCTCTTCCCGTTGGAGGGGTGGTCCGGGGGAGCAACGCTGCAAGGGGAGAGCCTTACGGGAAGGTCCCCCCTCCAATGCTCCTCCCACCAAGCAGGCTCACCGGGTGGGGAGCCGGCGGGGCTTGCCAAAAGTGCGGGTGGCGCTTGGCAAGTGAGAGGGGCTCTCTACCTCCAACCCTTGGGTGACGCCGCTCTTTAGCGATACCTCCCCTTGGGGCCGACCGGGTTCCCGAGTTCGAAGTCTTAATGGGGGCCGATTTACAGGTGCGCTCCCACCTCGTAAGGCGAGGGTCAGACGGGCCCCCTAGGGGAACGCGGTTGCAGAGGCGGCGACGTGGGCAGGGCTTTCCCGGTCGGTGGAGGTAGACCCCCCTTGCGTCTCAAAGGGCGCAAGTGGGGGCCCGCCCGCGTGGAGCACGAGGGAGCGACGTCCTCGTCGTGTGCTCTGGAAACGCCCTTCTTAGGGCGGCCAACAGCTCCCCCCCTTATAAATGCATGGCATGGCGACAACCTTTGTCGCCATGCCATAGTTTCGCCATTTCTCGTCCGATTCCCATCTAATTTCGACAGAGACTTCTTATTGGTGTAGTCACATGTCGCAATGCTCCACCTATCGCCACCACCTTGTTTTCGCCAAATTTCGTCGCCATGCCATAATTTCGCCATTTCTCGTCCGATTTCCATCAAATTTCGACAGAGACTTCTTATTGGTGTAGTCGACATGTCGCAAGGTCCCACCCGCCTCCACCCCCTTGTTTTCGCCAAATTTCGTCGCCATGCCATAATTTCGCAATTTCTCGGCCGATTTGTATGAAATTGAGCACAATGCTCCTTATTGGTATTGTTGACATGTCGCAATGTCCCACCCGTCGCCACCCCCTTGTTTTCGCCAAATTTCGTCGCCATGCCATAACTTCGCCATTTTTCGTCCGATTTCCATCAAACTTCGACGGAGACTTCTTTTTGGTGTTATCGACATGTCGCAATGTCCCACCCGTCGCCACCCCCTTGTTTTCGCCAAATTTCGTCGCCATGCCATAACTTCGCCATTTTTCGTCCGATTTCCATCAAACTTCGACGGACACTTCTTTTTGGTGTTATCGACATGTCGCAAGATCATACTCATCGCCACCACCATGTTTTCGCCAAATTTTGTCGCCAGGCCATAACTTCGCCATTTTTCGTCCGATTTCCATCAAACTTCGACGGAGACTTCTTTTTAGTGTTATCGACATGTCGTAAGGTCACACCCACCGCCACCACCTTGTGTTCGACAAATTTCATCGCCATGCCATAATTTCGCCATTTCTCATCCGATTTTCACGAAATTTAGACAGACATTTCTTATTGGTGTTGTCGACATGTCGCAATGTCCCACCCACCGCCACCTCCTTGTTTTCGACAGACTTCGTCGCCTTACCTTATTCCGCCATTTATCATTTGTTTTGCCCGACTTATCATTTTAAAACAATAGTGGCTGAATTTTAGTCACAAATTTAAATGCTCAAAACTAGCAAAAACATTTCGACTTGTATCGCGTAAAAAATCAGACGACCCACTAATATTATTACAAATTCTTTTTGTACATAAAGTTAGGGAAATTTAAAGCTATCGTACGTCAAAATCGTTGAATGCTGGAAAAACATTACTATTTGTAAAAAAGGCTAAAAAACTGTGCGAAAAGTTAGTATAGATATATATAAATGATGTCCAACTCTAGATAAATCAGCGAGAAGCATTTATGCATGCATGTACAATGTGAATATGTGTGGCAATAATAAGTGAATGGTATTAATTTCTTGTGGTTTGATATCTTTGTGGTCGTGAAACACAGTAATTTGTTTACTGCATGGAATACTTGCAAATCATACAACACTAATTTGTGTATAGGGAAATTATTTGAGTCATCGTCATCATTAAGCTTGATAATTTTATTAATTTTAAAACTTTATTGCATAAGAATGGAAAGAATTCATCAATTTAGAAAGCGGAGTCGAGCAATATCTGAAGTCGGAAAATTTTTTATAACTGTAATTTAAACAGTTATATATACTTTACAATAAGTCTCTACTAACTTTCCAACTATTTTGTGCAGATTGAACAAGTTCGAGTTTTATTGGAAGATTTAAAGAAATGGGTTGACCTACTGAATGCGAAGCATGGGGAAATTTTAGCTATTCCACTTTCTAACGATGGTAAAATATGCATGAATGTGTACACTATACCCTTTGAAAGCTTGTACATAATTTTCTCATTTCATTGAAACAGATAGAAACCAGCAATTAGAAGAAATTAATGCGAAAATAAAATCACTGGGACAAGTCACAAAATCCAAGTTGAAAGGTACATTTATAAGCATCACAGCGCGTCGATTTACATCATTTTTAAGCAAGTCCAATTTTTTCATACACATTTAAATAATTTTGAAGTATATGTTTTACAGGAATAGAAAAAACAATTCATGACCCCACCCCAGACGCTGCTGATGTTGTCGACGAATTTCATGAAATGCAAGAAGGTTTTACTAATTTTTTATGTACTTACAATTGTTTGGTTTCTATCTGATCATGAAATTAAGAAACAATAAATTGAAGGGGTGGCAAGACGCGGATCAAGCTCAATCCAGTTGTACACTCCGGCTACGACACGGATTCGCAAAGTGCAGTTTGCCTCCTTGGCGAAACAATTTAGAGAAATTATGACCAACTATCAACTATCGCAAGTAAACTATCGTGACCAGTTAAGGTCAAGGCTAAAGAGACAGCTTGAAATTAGTAAGTGCTTACGATGTAGATATGTAATAAATAAGTAGTGAATAAAGTTCTTTTTCAGCAAACGCCTCAATCTCGGAGGACGCTATAGAGGAGTGGATTGATCAAGGAAAAATGACCATTTTTACTAAATCTGTAATGTTTTAATATTTTTTTAAAGGAAATTCCAATTTTTAGACTTGATAAAATTTGAAATCTAGATAATTTTTGATCCGAAAATAGTCCGCGATGTGGAAGCTCGTCATAATGATTTACTCAAGTTAGAAAAATCTATAAGGGATTTAAACGAATTATTCAAGGAATTAGGGCAACATGTCGAATCACAAGTATTTCAAGTTTCAAGAATTTCACGAGTCGGATTCACATGACTCGTGAATTCCAAGAATTTCATCTGGGGAAATTTTTCTTACGTTTTTTTTGTGTTGGGCAGGGATTTGTGATCGACAATATTGAGCACACGGTGGCAAGAACGGTGTCCTTCGTGGAAAATGGGAGACAAAATGTTACTCAGGCACGAATTTATCGGGACAGTTTTCGAAAAGTAAATACAAATAGTGATTTATTAAATGAAAGATGTAACATAAGCACGAATTGGATTTACATATGCCTAATTTTATTTTTTTTAAGAAAAAGGCATGCTTGCTGACTACTGGGGGCGTGATATTTGTTCTAATACTCCTCGGCACTCTCATATATTTAAGTACGGCTCAAATTTTTTGACGCAAAAATCAAAAGAGGCCTTGCGACTTTCAGATATACTTTTATGAACATACACAAACGTATTAAAATTATTTATTTATGAAATTCAAAAGTTTACATATAATTTGTAGTAAAACTAAAATAAACTTTACGAAACTATGTAATTTGTCACTTCAAGTTCCATTTGTATCGCATTTTTGTCGCACCATACAAAAAAAATCAATTTGACTTTACCCACCTCATTTCTTAACTAGTAATTTTTTATAGCTTGTCCATAAAATATTTTTCGTCCAACCTACACTTAACTATTTGAACGCTGTCATTCCAAACGGATTGGATGGGCTCGGTCCCTTGAAACACTTTAATTCCAGACCGACCGTTTATATGATTGTTATAATGACGGCTAAATTCGGGCCAAACTATGTTATCGAAGTATCCCGGACAATCTGGTGGATTGTAGGACCGTGTCGACCTCCTCGTGCGACACTCATCTTTCGATAAGGTCAGAAAAAATCTGGCGTCACAGGCATCAAAGATAACTTGGGATTCAAATATGATAAAACCTTCAATTATTAGGACTGGAATGTTGCGGTATTTTGACGAGTCGAATTCTGAAAATAATTAGTTCATAAGTTTAATACTTTGAATGAAATTAATATTGTTGAATTTACATTTACCTAAATTCTGCACCGTTTTTAATAATTCGATCCCAGTATCAAAGTTTGGAATGGGGTCAGCTTCCGTAAGCGTGGCGTCCTGATGGGGATTCTTACTCCTCGACAGAGACCTGTCATCAAAAAACTCTCCCGGACCTTGTAATATTGCAGAGATGTCTTTATGCATGCGAGCCATGTCCATCGACCCCAAGATTTCATAGTTGACGTGATTCTCTACTTCCGGTACGCGAACGTGGGACGAGTGGTCATCGTCGTAAAAGTAGGAATCCTGGTGAACTATCCGACTCCAAGGGAAGGAACGTTGGAGTAGTTTAGTCAGAGTCGTTTTGCCTCCGCAGGTGACGCCAGAAACGCCTGAAAATTTAAGTATGGATTTTTAATTAGTAAAATATTTCTTAGATTCGTTATTAACAACTCACTCACCTATCAGAAAATACGACATATTTTGTCTCTTCTGATAATTGTTTCGTTTAAAATTCTTGCTAAATGATGATCCCGAAGAGTAATAATGATATCCTGCAAACTTATTGTTCGTCGAACCGGAAACAGCAGCGGAGATGGCTGTTGGATAAAAAGTGTAATATTTAGGTCAAGTTTTTATTACCTTCTGGTTTAAAGTGTAAAAATATGATATGAATGCCGCTGTTCTGACTTTCATGCAAATGATATGAATTTAGTTGAGAAAGTGTCTCATTTTATGAAGATTACGTGTATCTCGTGTTATGCATTTATGATTATGAGATGCGCATTTCTCCTTTCTTAAGATTTCTTCAGAATTTTAGTTTTGCTTACCTCTGCTGCCGATTATGAATTTGTTCCGGATTTTGTATGCAATGATTTTGTTTAGATGACCAGAAAGGAACGTTAAAGATAATAGCAATCTTGGCATTATTGATGAGTTGACATTTGATAAATTTTCACATGAAAACGCTGGATTGAGTATGTATGTAGGTGTAGAGTTTGTCTGAAAATGAGATAATTTTGTAATTTTTGTACAACGCAATTATTTATCTGTTAATAAACAATTGCTTGAATACATTTACTGATTTCTAGGGAACTTCTGCAAGGTGATAAATTGATTGTTATACCAAAACTTTAAATTCAGAACAATCAGAACGTGTAATGTTTTTGTGCAAGCTGAATGCTTCTCATTCCTCCGAGTTAACAATTTCAGAGACAAGAGATGATTATGAAACCCGAAAAAGTCCGAGGGAATGCCTATGTTGAATTAAACCCGAATCCGGGTATTACAAGGAACGGATATGTGTGCTATAGAGGTTGTGCATGTGCAAGCAAATCTGAATCGATTCACAGGAATAGCGTTATTTGTACTGGGACAAGAAAATAAATACAAATAGAAATCTTCTTTAAATAGCGTTATTTTTTGCAATAATTTCACGCCGGGTAAGATTTTGGCGTACAATTTATACATGTATACATATACAATTTATACAATGTATATAATTGTTGCTATCCACAGATTGGTAAACTTCTGATGTTCTTTACTAAATTTTTTCGATTTTCGCAGGAATGTCCTCAGCTTTATCGAGCATCCGGTCTTCGCCAATTCCAGATTTGGCGTATGATTCATATCGCAGCTTGTCCCTCCGGGACCAAACTTTGATTCGGCGACAGTTGGCGAGTGCTGAGGGGGTTCAACCACCGCCACCACCAATGCTCTCATCAATGTCACACCACCAACCACTCAACAATGGACATGGAAATGGGAACACTTTTTCTTCTCAACAACAACCAAGCAGCAGCAGCAACAGCAATATTCCTGGCGTGAGAAATTTTCAATCTTTCATTTTCCCCCGAATTAAATTTCATAAATTTAAGCCCTTTGGTATATTTTTGAAACTTTTAGATTAATTATCGCCAAAACATTTCCTCTCTTGATGAGCCTACACCTCCAAATCTTATTCGATCAAGATCAACAGCGACGTCGCATCGCGAGCCGCAATCCACGACTGCCAACGCCCCTCAAGTAAAGCGTCGCCCATCCTCGTTCTTCGTCACGAATGGCAAAGCCTACAACTTGGACAACTATGGTGGCGAAAGTCTCGCATTTTGGATACTCCTCGGAATCCTGTGTCTCTTAGTGGTTGGAAACTCAATCTTAACTTTTCTCGTCTTTGGCGTCATCAGAGTGGGAGTTGGAATGGAAAGTATCGAGGTGTGTGGCGTTAATACATTTTTTCATAAAAAATAAATAACCTAAGAAATTTTCCATTTTTTCTCCCCCAGTTTTTGCCTGGCAAATTAAAATTCTATGGCGAAACCGATCTCGGCGAGATTTACAAACGCGACGGAATTTTGCAAGGTTTTGACTCTGACCCGATCGAAATCACGGGTCACGACGGGGGCGAAGTTCACCTCTGGACTCATGCCGGATCTCAGCCATCCCTTTCCGTGGAGAGGACGGCGATCAACATTTCCTCCGTGACCGAATTTCGCATCGTTGACCGGAAGGGGAGAGAAGTCTTTTCGACAAACACACCAACGTTGGGATTGCCCAGAGGAGTACAAAAATTGGATGTTCGGGTCGCAAAAGTAAATCGGATTACGAGTGCGGTCAACGCGTCTTTGCAACTGGTCTCAACCACGTTTACGTATCTGAAAGGGAGCGAAGGAACGCATTTGGAAGGGAGACAAATCACTTTTAAAGCGGACCAGGACATTTTGTTAAAAGTAAATACGTACACAATTAAGTGTGAAATTTATTAATTCATGATTTTGCTTTAAAAATGCCTCTAAATTGCGCACTATTTTGCATTTCAGAGCGTCACGGGAAGCATAATCTTGTCTGGAGGAAAGGATGGAATTTATCTCAACGTGCATGACCTCCCCTTAGTTCGGGAAACTGCAGTGACGCGGAAAAGCCATACCGTTCCGACCTTGGGAAAGAAAGAGTCGCAATATCAATTATGTGCTTGCATGCCTTCTGGAAAATTGTATAGAGTGGAAATTCCTCTGAATAATGCGATACGACCGGACAAGCAGAGGGTTGGATGTCACACGCCGAAAAATCCTCCGTGTTAATTTTATCATAGTAATAATCCAATATCATGATTAAATAACAAACAATATCAGGATGAGAGTGTGTAGTTTGTTTTGGTAATTTTGAATTTTACAGTAAGTTTGCAAAGAGCAATGAAATTATGTGCAACATTTGAGTAAATAAAAATTGTTCTGACTTGAAATGCATGCAAAATGAATAAGACACAAATTGTTGTAATGAGATTTATGCAGTTTCAACTTCTTCGGTTTCTATCATTAAAAAAACATGGAGAAAGTTTATTAAATAAAATAATACAACGTTTTTGGAAATAAAAGTAAAGGCTTGATTGAATAAATAAATGAACAATCCTTTGTCTCAAAATTATTTCAACGTCTTTTCTTCCATGATCATAAACCAGCTTGATGAACAAAACTTACATTAATCATTGCTATTCATCTCGACGGCAAAATTGATGGATTCGTACTTTCTCCGGTTGTTATTAATCTCGATATATGAACATGTGCATACATACAAAATACACTTACTTTTCTCACCTCGTTTGCATAAACTTATATTACATACAATAATTGGGCATGTTTTTGTTCTTAACAATCCATAATTTCATTTATTTTCATAAAATAACAGCATTTGATTCGCATACGTTCGATTAAAATGATAATTTTATCGAAGCAGTCATGAAATTTTACATTAAAATATTGTTTGACATTTGTGGACCAAAGATTAAATCGTATGACTTAATTTTTCATCAATACATTCGATGAAAACGACTTATTTTCTAAAATATTGTTTGACATTTGTGGACCAAAGATTAAATCGTATACATGCGATTTATGTTATAATTTCATCGATACAATGATGAAAGATTTTAAAAAATATTGTTTGACATTTGTGGACCAAAGACTAAATCGTATAAATTAAATTATTTCATCGACACCATGATGAAGTTCTTTTAAAATATTGTTTGACATTTGTGGACCAAAGATTAAATCGTAGATCTAACTATTTTCATCGATACCTTTGATGAAAGTTTCCTCTTCTAAAATATTGTTTGACATTTGTGGACCAAAGAATAAAACGTATTTGATTAGCTAAAAATATTGTTTGACATTTGTGGACCAAAGATTAAAACGTGTTTCACAACATAGTACTAGTACATAACTAGTGCATTAACTAATTTCATCAATACCTTGATGAAAGATTTTCTAAATTAAACTCAGATCGTTTAGAAGGGAACACTATTTCAAAAGCTAATTCAAGAGAACTATTCGATATTATGTAATGGTAAAGAGTTGTATGGGTACCGACACTCGGAGAAGCAACTAAATTTAAATTAACGACGTATAATTTTAAAAAGTTGATGCTAAGATGACACATGCCGGCAGTCGTCGCAGGATCAGGTGAATCTGTAAAAAATTAAGAAAACAAAACCTTAAAATCAAATTAAATAATGTTAAGTCCAAAACTTAAATATTACTGAAGGATTTTGTAGAAATTTCAAGTTATGATAACATCAAATGCAAATATCAATCACAAACAATAGTACAAAATCGACAATGCTTGCAAAATATTATGGCAAATCTTGCAAGGTTTCTAAAAGTTAACTTACAATTAATATCAAATGAGAAGACTAATTTGGCCAAGTCAGAATGTGAAGGCTGGGTCATGTTTGTTGAGTTGCAGAATCCCGTCTCCAGAATCTGTACAAATTATGAACCACATTTTAAAAAACGTTCAAAAACGAATCAAAAAGCACATAAACAGTTAGAACTGCAAAAATCTTATCAAATAAGTCTCAGTCGTTTCTCTTAGATAAGGCCAAACTTCAAAGCAAATTCAAGTTTGAGTAAAATATCCAACTTGTGAAACTGACCTAAACTCAAAGCCGATTAAAAATCACGTCCTCGCCTCCACCAACTTCATCACCCCCATCCCATCTTGGTCTACAAATCCTGTTAAAAAACAAAACAAAGCCTTATTTAGGAAACGTAAAAATAAGAATACAAAATTTCCTCATGTCACATGAAGCATTATGACATAATTGCGTCCCATAAAAACAATGCTAACTGCACTTGTCTACGTCAACACTTACATTTTCTTTAAACTTCCTTAAATTCACGTCTCATCAGGTCTCCACCTCCTCCCACTACGACAAAATCCTAAGTTAAAAAACCTTTCATTAAAAAATTGTGTAATAAACAATCCAACAAAAAACGTCGTCACTCGTCACAATTCTCATAATTTTAATTACGCCACAAATTAAATAAACATTAAGCACTTACCTTAACTCAAACTATGTTAACTTCCACCTCCTCCCACAGTTAGTTAGTCGACGAAATTAACAAATTAAAAAAATGTCGGCTGGCCATGCCTCCAGCCAAAATTTGGAGATGGCATCAACTCGGCCGCCTCCTTCGCACTGAACGAAATCATTTCTGTCCGTGAGAAAGAGACCTCGGGCTGAAAATGGAAATGCGTTTTAAGCCACGCTTTTTATAACAAAGAACGAGAGCGGGTTTAGCATCTCGGCAGTGCAGATACGACGAGACTTGTTTATAAACTTGGTAAAACGTTGCAGGATAAATTCATACGAGACAAAATTTACTCAGTTCACGAAAATTGGCGTGAATATTTATAGAAATGGATGACCTACATTATGTCAAAGGCATTATAAATTTATGCAAATTAATGGTGACAGCAATTCTCGTTCGTAAATCGGTGTTTGAGCTTTCAATTGTTAAGAATCTACTGTAACTTATGAAAGGTATTATTTAATTTTGTAAAATTCAAAATTTAGAAATACAGAAATTAGATTATAAATTAAAGTAATTTGAATGAAACATACAGTTTTTACATAAATTGTTAAACTTCGGAGCTAATTTATTCCTGTGTTCACGACGTTTTAGGTGGACAACCCCAGGGATGGAATTATGCAAAAGAAATTGTGGAGACTTATTTAGGTTTTTGGAGAAAGGTCGCACCGCATGGGTATTTTTAACAAAGGTTGAAGAACTTTCTGGAAGGGACGACGATGTCTTTGTTTAACTCTGGTCAATGAATGAAACCTTAAATATTTTAAGTAAGGGTCTCCTTCCACGAATTTTAGCCCACAAGGGTTCCTTAAAGTTTGAGTTAGGGAACAGTCTGGGCATCCTAGTGAGCGAGTTGACTTTTTCTCCTCGCCACTTACCAGTAATGTAAATGATTTTTGTCACTAAGACTTCTAATTTGCAGCTAATACAAAATGGATTGATTTCGTTTTGGTGGCAATAAATTCCCAAGTTTGTGCTTTACAATTGCCATGTTGCATAAATTCCATAATAAATCTCGGTGAAAAGTATTGGACTGAAACATGATATGAGTCCATGTTTCAGTTCAATACTTTTCTCTGAGATTTATTATGGAATTTATGCAACATGGCAATTGTAAAGCACAAACTTGGGAATTTATTGCCACCAAAACGAAATCAATCCATTTTGTATTAGCTGCAAATTAGAAGTTTTAGTCGAAATTTTTCTCCTTTTCTGGTTCGCGATGCCCCGTTTGGAGAGTGGGAACGGTCACTCTCAAAACCCAAAGCAACTTTTTACATGCAACTGCCTGCATTGTTTACATGAAAATCAGCTGCTCTCTTCGCCCCGCCCCCCCCCTCATTAGCAAAAAATCTCTCGGCACACAAGGAGACGCAACCGTCGTCTCTGTCTTTTAGTTATGAGATTTTTTCAACGTATATGCCTTCTTAAATGCAATTTTAAGGAAACTAAAAGGTGGAAATCTAAATGATTCTATTAAAATTGTATACACTTAATTTTTGGGTTAACATATTTCTGACAATGCAAAGATTTGGTTATTGTTGTAAAGCTTACATGTAAAAATATAATTTATTTAGGTTTGGATTATAAAGTACTTCGATTTTAAAACTTGTGGCTTTCAAAGGTTTGAAAATAGACTTTGCATCCATGTAAGTTCGCTTGTTGCGTTTCAGTGCCAAATATTTATTATTATGATTTTCTTACCGTTTAAGTAAGTTAAATTAACCATAATTAAATGAATGGATAACCACATGCATATTATTTATTATTAAAGGTCATGCACAAACAAACTTGCAATGAATTGTCAACCCTGTCTGTAATGATATGTCATCGTAGTCTCGATCGTCGTGTCATGATTTCATTATTCCTTTTTAATCATCATCATCTTCGACTTTTTTGACGCTGTGATTTTTTGTTCTTTAGGAAAGGATCATCAAATCGCGTATCGTAATCATTTCGACAAGCTACTACTTGCCAACCGATTAATTAATGAGCCTTCAAAACTGATTGTAATTGGAATTTGATATTATAAAAGAAAACTCGTTATGTGCAAAAATTTGCCAAATAGGGAGACTCAGGGATATGACGATATTATGTATGTCGTTTAATTCATTTGTGAACAGACTTAGCAAAAAAAAAGCTTTGAATATGTAGAGAAGAGCTATGCCAATTTTTTAGATGTCACAATGCCCGTCAGGTTTTAGGTTTCAAGTTTACGAAAAATTATGGGTTGGGAGAGTTTTTGAGAAAATAAAAATGTTTTTTTCTAAATTATTGAACAAGGAAAAGTTTAGGGTCCTGCAAATTAATCCAGTGAAATAATGAGAGCAGACTTTGCACCATATTTTTGTCCAGCCAAAATTTTGACCCATTTCCTTAATAAATTTCAAACAAAACCATAATAGTTGGAAATAAAGTTTGCAATTTACGAGCAGATTTCTCATTAACTTTGCCAAATCCGTCTGGTAGCCAGCAGAAAATTAAGGAAACTTAATCCAATCATGCAATTCATCAATCCCAATCTCAAAATCCAATCCAGACAAAGAATGAAATTGAAATCCCACTATTTTTAAGTCTTCCATCGTCATCATCATGAGCTCAGCATCACTATAAACACACATAATAATGGCCAACTTTACATACATACTGCTTGATAAGAATATTATCTAATACTTATTTTATGAAATGTGAAATGTATCGTAAACGTGGCTGTGAGTGAGTACGGTGCCTGCATAAACCAACAACAATGTCAGAGTCACTTCCTAAAAAGGAGCTAACTCTGACTTGAACATTCAAAGTCGAATGTATTTAAATTTTGCATAGGACACGATAATCTTAAATACAGCAGCAGCATCACAATGAATGATATGCCAAATGCCTTGAAGTTAAACTTGTCACATTTTCACAGCAACCTTTCCTTTTTTGGAGGAATTTATTCTGGTGGTCAGAACCTCAAAATGAACACATGATGATAGATGCCTTAATATCGGCTTAGTTTTTTAACGTTGGGAAAGAAGAAGTGAATTAACGGCCATTTATTTGGTTAAACTTGGGTGTAAAATTTACACTGGAAATGGATGAAGAACATAAATATCAATTATAAGTTGAGTATGAATTATTTGAAAAGTTTCCTTATCAAACCTGAGAAATTCTCAAGATGTGGAAACTTTCATGAATTTCTGGTTTTCTGAAATCCACAATTGCTAAATTATTTTAAATTAGTGGGTAGAATTTAATTACCTATTTTTTAAAACTAAATTATGTGAAATTAGACTCATTTCTCCTTCCTGCAATGTAATAATGCAGCTTAAAAGGAGCAAATATATGTCCTAATGAGAAATGTCCAAAAAATTACAATAAAAAACAATTTATGCAAATCCTTTCTCATATTTGTATTGTGTTTTGATGGGATTTACTTCATGGCATGAAATAGTTGGACCAAGTTAAGTGTGAAGTCCAGTCCATTAAAGATTAAAATATGAGTTATGGTCAAAATAACAAAGAAAGAATTTTCTGGAGTTGAAATTTGGATCATGTACAAAAAAGGGGTGGGAATGTTTACGGTTAAAATTAATGTAATTTATTAATAACTGCGACATTAAACCTGTCCGTACTTGGAGATATACTACTAAAGCTTTGTAGAAAAGAATACTGAATTTTTTACCGGCATTTATAAAACCCCCCCACCCCCACCCCCACCTAAATCCACCCCCACCCCCATCAAATCCACCCCACCCCCATACCCCAACCACCCCCACCCCCACCCTCGTCCACCCCCACCCCCGACCCCCATCCACCCCCACCCCCACCCCCATCCACCCCCACAATTTTTATGGGGCAACGTGAGATACCTTGGGGCAAAGTGAGATTCTATTTCATATTGGGGTATCGTTCGTAATTAGCGAGCGAAGCGAGCAGGTTAGGTTAGATCAACTAGGTACGCGGAAAGCCTGGAAGGCTGAGCTAGCAAACCTAGCTAGCTAGGCTAGATAGAACCTAGGTAGCTAGGCTAGATAGAACCTAGGTAAAAATTCTAGCTAGCTAACCTAGGTAGCTCTGCTAGCTAGCAAGGCTACCTAGGTTAGCTAGCAAGGCTACCTAGGTTAGCTAGCTAGAAGTGCTACCTAGGTTCTATCTAGCCTAGCTAGCTAGGTTAGCTACCCTAGCTACCTAGGTTCTATCTAGCCTAGCTACCTAGGTTCTGGCTACCCTAGCTACCTAGGTTCTATCTAGCCTAGCTGGCTAGATTTGCTAGCTCAGCCTTCCAGGCTTTCCGCGTACCTAGTTGATCTAACCTAACCTGCTCGCTTCGCTCGCTAATTACGAACGATACCCCAATATGAAATAGAATCTCACTTTTCCCCAAGGTATCTCACGTTGCCCCATAAAAATTGTGGGGTGGATGGGGGTGGGGGTGGATGGGGGTGTGGGGGTGGATTTGATGGGGGTGGGGGTGGTTTTATAAATGCCGATTTTTTACTCCATAAATCTACAATGAAAAATAAAATCAAACTGAAATTTTTGAAATGTTTGAGAATTTTACAATTATTTTTAATTACAAGATTTTTCATAAGAAACTTTCTTTTATTTGGATTTCGAATCTTTTTTGCTTTAGGTTTTGTTTGCATCCTATATTTCCACACTTGGTGTTAAACTTTAACTTGGCCCAAAGCTACGTATATTGGCAACCGATGAGCATCGGAGTCACCTCAGCCAACACGACGACAAACATAACAAGTCCAAATTGGATAAAGTGTGATTATTAATTTCGTGGGGTTTATCAAGTGACAACTTTGGACTTGAGAAGAAAGAATACTTTATCATCTTAATTTTGGTCGCATAGTAAACACGTCACGTCAATTTAAACAAGTCGCTGGCTAGCAGAAGAAGAAGGAGTAAAAGTTACGTCTGCATAAGCATTCATACATTTAAGACCACGACGACTTGGTTGGTTGGCAATTGACATGGTCAAGTTGACTTTGGTCAAAGTGGTTGGGGTCGCAATTACGTATTTAGTTTGGCTTGGTTGGTTGGCTAGTTTGGTATTCTGGGAGATGTAGCGTCTCTTGTTGGCTGAGATGCCTTCACTCAAAAAGTTTCCAATACTGAGGTTGATTAAACATCCTGTTTAATCACTTTTACCAAAAATTTTAACCCCATATTTGTACACATTTTGGTGTAAATTTTAATAAGGTGCGAGTCTTTTTAAGTATATTTGCGTGAGATTTGCAGACAGAGAATTATATTTTGCAAGGAAAAAAAGGTTACCTTTGGTCAGTTAGTTTGACGGGGTGGAAGGCTTGGTCAAGTAATAAGACGGCATTACGTATTCGTGTGGTGTTTTCTGGTGATAAATTTGTGACATTTTCGGTAATGAAAAGAGATCAGTATTCCGTTTGAGAAGATGTACAATGTGAAAGTGAATGTGAGGAGAACTTGAGATTTTGAGACTTTTTGTCTCAGTTTGTCATTTAATTTTTTGACTACCCGAACACTTCATTTCGACAGGATTTATGGAAATTAAAAGTTGGTAAGTTATCGAACTATCGCTTATCGTTGAAAAATGTGAAATCTTCTCCTAAAAAAAAACTGTAAAATTTTATAAATGAGTCTACACCTCCAAAATCAGCGGATATCCAATCACTACAAATCAATACAACCAAATGAACAAACTCATGTCAAGTCAAAGTGTCATGTCATTTCCAAAACTGGCTCAGATTCATTAATCACACAAGCAGAACCAAAATTAAAATTAATTGTCCCAAAAAACAAAACAAGATTGAAATTGGTCTAAAAATCCTGATAGCGAAATTATTGATTGATTGATTATTTATCCAAGAATAGTTTTACATAATTATGACACTGAAATGGACAGACAACAACACACGAAATTGGCATGAAATTATTCTGATAATCTTGAAAATCTTGGCTTGATGATCAAAATATAATCGTGCTTTAAAACCTTATGCTGTACATAATTATGCGATAACCATAAACTGAAGGACCCATCAATACGGCAAATAATTGCAAACTGCAACCTTAATATTTTAGATGGTGTGAATTGATTGAGATCAATAATCTTTGCAAAATTGCTACATAATTGGGTGGTGTGTGAGCTGATTAGATGGATGGATTGCCCACCACCACGATTCCTATCTCGAAAGACGTTGATTTTGACGTGGGGTTCATATATTTGGTAAATCTGGTGGATTAGTTGGTTGGTGGGTGGGTGGGTCTTCTGTCTCGACTTAAATCAAGTGAAGGATGCCCACAGGGAGGGAGGAGGGCATGCATGGAGTGAATTTAATTAAGAATTGATAACCCTAAAGTTTCAGAGGAGAGGACATTTCATGATTTTGTTTAATTATCATAAACTTTTTAAAGTTAATACGGATGTGATTTCCTTAACTTTATGTAAATCAGGGAGGAGTTTAAGGTTTGTTTGTTTGGATGAGACGTAAATATTTACATGTGCAAGTGATACGGTGCATAATTTGGTGAAATATGAGTACACGAACGAGGGCACATGTATTTTCAACGCAATTTTAGTGATACATAAACGGAATTGGTGAAATGAAAATACGACACCAGCACAATTTGCCTATCTCTATTTTCCTTTAAAGACTTGTAAACCTTAATTTACTAAAAAATAAGAGACCCTTTTCGCAAGGACTTTTCACTTCACAAAGATAATGATGATGTATTGTAATGTCGACTTTGACTTTTGACTAGTACACCAAATCGATTAGTTTTACTTGTGACAATTCCTTTGTTTTTATTATTATGCAATTTGTTGGATAATTCAATTTCAAGGTTTTTTATCTTTCAAAAGAGCTTACAAAAGGTTCGGGGTGACAAAATATGCTATATTTCATTATAACAGTTTTAGGCAATTTATTCATTGTGAAATCTGACACAGACAGTGAATACGGAATTATTTAATTATTCTTCACTTATTGTTAGCTAGCGAAAAATATAAATAATTAATTGTCTCCAGTTTTGCGAGTAGAATTCAGAATTCAGCCATGAAATATTAATTCTATTACCACCGCCCACCACAATTGATGATACGTACCATAAACCCATTAAAAAAACAACCATAAACCTTTCATCACCAATTTATTGAATTATTTATTAATTTGCAACCACCACCCAGCCAGATGCCATGCACCACGAACCAATAATATTCTCACCTCACGGGACGTCTCAATAAATTTTGTGCCCAGAATCCCTAATGAATTTAAACAAAGCGAGGCACAAAGGATCCTTTTAATTGTAAATTTTAGTCCTAGGTCAGCATTATTGAACAGAAGAAGAAGATAAGTCACACATAAATATTTTTGGTAGACTTATATATGGTATATGACCAGTGTGTCACCAGTGGTAGACCATTGTTGTTGTACTTGTACGATAAATGCAATGAATTGGGAAAGACACAGTAATAAAGATATACATACATACATACATACATACATACATACTTCACTTTTCATTACGTAACGCAGAATTTCTCTTAAGAGCAAGTATCATAACTCATAATTCATCCCAACGCCGCAATGGAGTCGATGTAAACATAATCTTAAATGGATATTGACATTTTGATCATGATATCACGACGAGAATGAGTATGACGACGACGATAATAATGAAACTACAGACTCTCGATTAAAATGTCGATTGGAAATGAATACGAAATTTAATGCAACTCATGTGCCACAAGAATTCCCATGGTCGAAGTGAAGTGAACACGTATTTATTTTACGTCCAAGATCAAAGGGAAGAATAGAATGGAATTGTTCAACGTTGGCTTCAACGGAACACTAAAATTTCATTCATGACCATTTCCATTTTCGGATGTGAAAAACAAAATTGAGAAAAATAGTCAATATGTTACCGTGAGCAAACACTTCTTTAATCGAAGGCGAATTAATAAGAAATTATAGTGCGTCTCAAAATGTAAAGATAATCATACAAATGACCAAAATTAAATGATTTTATTCGTACTATTCGATTCGTACTATTTATTTACAAATTCCAAATTATTTTAAAAGGAAAATATACACTTCTTAACTTGAATTAATAATTGCGAAATATCTATCGCCCTTAATTTTGGAGACACTGCTTGATTTTTTTTGTCATCCATTGTTACAAAGAAAAACATGTATAGTACTTATTCCGATTCATTTATTTACAAGATGTGGACTGTGAACCTTTAGTTGTACTTTCTTAGTAAATTATTAAAAGTGTGTGTAAAGGTACACGTATTATGCATGACCTTTCTTTGTTTGACTTGACTTTGGCTGCTTTGTTGTACAAAACTGATTCTTCTTATGCCAGAGAGAAAAAGAATAATAAAAAAGAGAGACAAAGAAAGAAGGAATGGAATGGAATAAAGTAAATTAAGGGCATTGGGACAAAGACGCGATACACTGATTTTAAGAGGACATGTGTCCATTGTTGAACAATTTGCATCACTCACTTCATAGGTGCAAAAGTTAGCAAATTAATGTCATATTTCTTTAACACGAGCAGAAAATTTAATGTCGGGAAAAAATTATGTACATAAATATTTTCTTCATTTTAGTGAATATTTACATATGTATTTGTGGGGATTCTTAAATTATATTTTTTACGAAAATTGTAAAAAATTGATGTAAAATAACCTCATCAATTCACAATTAGTTGCTCTTAATCCTGATTCATCATCATAAATAAATGGGTCAAGGTTACTTTATTTTCTTCCTTCCGATTCAAAGAATACATAGTTAGTCGTTTGGGTGGAATGAGTCATGCAAATTTTTTTGCAATGCTAACTAAATATAACAGTTAACAGGCATGTCAGTCAAGTATTTATAATACCATTTTGTAACTATTGCCTGTAACGTATCATAAACCCAACCTCCTCCCAAAATGTATGCATGTGAATGACATGACAGTCAACAAGCTGTAAGATTAGCTCACTTGTTTAAAAGTTTAGCTTTCCTTTAGTCATCCCATTTCTTCACTGGCTTCATTTGAAATTCTAATTGTTTGTCAAAAACGAAATTAGATTTGCCACTGGTAAAAGTTTCAATGATGAAATTTGTTATCGTTACTAGATCAGGATATGTATCATAATAATACATCTGCAACGTACTCCTATCTTACTCGTGTGATGATGATGATGAAGATATAATATGCAGAAGTAGAATCGATCTTGTTTTTACATGGTCTTTTTAATGGCAACTGATTCGAGGGGTGAATGAAAATGCATGTAAATACTGCTCAACAGTCAACAACTTAACTTTAATCCAGGTCTAGCCTGAACAATGACTTGTGCTTTTCGAATGCATGCATTTTGCAACTCCTTTATTTTGGAGGTAAGATTTAGTATAATTTGCAATCTGCAGAAGACTAGATTAGACACAGTATGGAATAGGTTAACGAAACGTCTCAAATTATCAGGAAGTATTTAGCATGGAAATTTTGCAAATCGTAATTAATATCTGATAACTGTGCAAATAAATATTTTACGGTAAATGACCAGCCTATACAACCACTTAGAGAAATTTAACAGTTAAATAATAATAAATAATAATAACAAAAGTAATTTATGGGTAAATCATTGAATTTGCCAATTGTTCATTCTTTGTTAACAGATCCAAAATTCAACCAATCATCTTTAAGAAAGTCATCATAAATTAACAGGGCGTTTCATATTAAAACGGAGTTGAAGATGTGCAAAATTAATTCATCAACAACAAAATCTTGATCTTAATAAAATCAGTTTGATGAGTTTGGTTTATAAATAAAATTACGACTGACGCCCAAACGTTACTTCCAAATATGGAGTAAAAATATCAGGATAAAACAACGCATCTTTCAACAGTGTGTGTAGTACATGTGTATGTACATAATACATAAGTATGTACTACAACTTTAGACTGAATTAATTGACGGATCTTTGTTGAAGAGTTTAGTTATGAAAGTGAGAATTGTGCGTCTTGGCAAAGTTGTGAGACTTCTTGACAAAAAAATTAATTTTGTGCAAATATATTTCGTGCGTTTGGCATGTGAGACATTTTCAAGAATTTTGACATTTGAGCAAAAAATTGAGCATAAATTGAACATGCATACATACCTATTATAACACAATATTTTCGCCTATAGGTATTTATTGCAAAACAACTGGACAAATTCTAGAAATAAATAACACCAAGCAGGAAGAAGGAAGCACCAGATACGATAGTGCATCGAATTAGCGTAAATAGAACGCTGTATGCGCAAATTTTCCCTATTTTCTGTTGTGAAAATTTTCATACCATAATTTTTATACATACATATTTTTCTATATATTTTTTGGACAGATCGATCTACAAATGGAAAAGCCATAAAAAACGGAAACTAATTCCAACATGTTGATCACACCAGTAGCGAAGGCTTCTACTCCGCTGCACTTGAAACAGACAAAGTCATCCAGTTTCAAAATAAGGACGGAAATAAGGTCGACAACTTCTGCACCTGTGGTACCCCCAGCGCCACAGAAAAACAAGAAAATTGCAGATATTTATCAAACAAAGAATCACACCAATAACCGATCTTGTTCTCGAGTGCTTCAGCGACAGGATGCCTTCAACTATCAGAATTCTAAAGAGTCGTTAAACAGTGAGGGATCCAGGGAGGAGTGGATCCAGAAGAAGCAAAGTACCAATGGAACCACCACCACCGGAAGTGACACCAACGAGACAAAAATGACAGGAAAAGGAATTCTTGATGAGTTTGGTAGTGGGAAGTTTATAAATAATCAGAGAGGTGATCCGGACGGGTGTGACGACGATGAGGAGGACTACAGTTCAAATAATAGTGGTAGTAAGAAAATAAGTGGCAGTGTTAATACCGCGATGAAAAAGAGCAACGCTAATTTTAGCGTAGATTCAACTACAAAAGTTAATGGACATCGCAAAGCTGATTGGAATGTGGATTTATCCTCATCTTCCAGGTAATTTGAAACATTTTCTATGAATTTTTATAAAAAAAATTTACAAATAAATTGACCCTGCTTCCTCCATACTTTTTCATGACGATAAAAAAGTCAATAAACTTCATGCATAAATAAATATCGAATGTCAACTTAAAGTTGACATTCAGCGAGACACCATTGAACTTGCCATTAGTGTTTAACTACGCAAATGGTTGTATGTAACTCGAGTCATTATTACGTAATAAGACGGAGATATTATTGCTTTTAGCAGACCTTGAATTGAAAAAGGGTTCGAATTTCGTGTACCCACAAAGTGTTAATTCTGCTCAAGCTATTGTTTAGAAAAGCAAAAAGTAATTAGTCAGTATGTGTTATAGATAAACATTTGCAAATATTTTCAAAACATTTATTGCATAATTGTGCAAAAATATTGGCATTTCCTGCCCTTTCATGAGTTATACAACGAATTCCAATCCATAACTGCCATGAACTGATTGTATGCATAATAATAATTATTGCTCATTTTTTGAACAAGTGTTTCATTTTACAGGCGACAAGATTCCTGTCCTGTTAACAAATTTGCGAAATCGTGCCACAACAGAAAACAAGAAGGGTTGTTTCTAAAAACAAAAGATGTGCCTGCTGCTGGTGGGGATAAAGCTGTTAAAACCAACAGCGGTCATTACAGTCCTGGTAGTAGAACTGGTGGTCATAAAATAAAGTCAGTCGTCCCATCGCCCCTCGTCCTTCTTGAAGCTCCCCTGCTAACAAAGAAAAAGAAGAAGAATAACAATATTTCATTAAGTGCTACTACAATGAACAACAAATTGATTAAGAGTGACGCAAATAGCAAAAGCCATGATTTTCATGGTAAAAATCTGAATGGCACGACGAATAAAAAGTCTGTGTCAGGAATAATTGCTCTTTTTAATGGACATTCAAAAATTAAACATGAAGAATTAAATATTAACAATAATAATAATAATAAATTCAAAAACTTGGAAGAATTAAAAAAAATAAGGGCGAAGAAGACTAAAACTGAAACTAGTATCAGGGTGGAAGCTGGAGTTGAAAAAGAGACAAAGTGTCACACTCCCCTTGTTTTTGGGAGGACATCGTCATCGTCACCTCGACCTGGACCAGTGACGACGAGACCGGAAGTGTCGCCATCAGAGGGTGTGGGACCAAGTAGTGAAGCTTGTTTTAAGGACAGAATGGGCAATGGTCAATCTGGTTGTGGTGGTAGATTAGGAGGAGGTGCGTCATTAATGAGATCTTGTTTCGGTTCGAAAGTGAAGGATGACACGGAGGGGAAAGGGGGCAAAGAGGTCGACGTTTTGGAATTTATAGTACCGCTGGAGCCTCACGTTGAAGTTGTGGAGGGATCCATGCTCGAGTTGTGGGTCAAAGTTAAAGGTAAAATGATACAACTAGTCATAATAATCATGTACTTCCTGTTGTAACTGCATGCATATGTAACTTAAATTAAGATCACTCAAATTCGGTTTATTAAATTAGAATGACAAAAACATCTGACTTTTATAAACTGGGCTCAATTCACGGTTACAAAATAAATTTAAGGTACATTGAGGCGTTGATGCGTCCTAAATTTTTTATCTCACTCTACTCTAATATCTTTAAATGAAAGATATTGTGAAAATGCCAAACAAATTAAATAGGTTTTTAAAATAATTTTGTACTATAGAAAATTAACTTTAGATTAAAATATCAAAAGTTACATGTATCTCAAAACTCATGAAATTGATGCCATTTTAGAAATTTCCATGTAAAGACATTGAATATGGGTAGAATACGATTAAAAATTTACGACGCACCAACGCATCATCCCATATAACCTTAAACTGACACCCATTTATAACTAACTAATGGTATGAATTTGTCTAAAATTAGCTGAATTGAAAGTTAATCTTGTTCTTTTTTGCATACGACTCAATAGCATAAAATAAGTTTTTATTTTGTTATTGAAAACGAAACTGAATCTGTTGAATGAAATTTATCACCATTTTTATTTATTTATTATGCAATATCGTTATTACTACTTTGAGTTTCGGCTTATATTTTTTTAACAAATATCCACACCACATCAGGACGATGACAAAGTGGTACGGATAATAATAACATGCATGATGATATTGTTTGTTAAATATGCATACATGATTGATAGATTCGTGCCTTGGAATAAATTTCATGAAAACTAACCAGACCACAACTACACCACTAATACAGGAATACCAATTACTAATGATATGATACTGCTGACTGTGTACATACGAAAAAGGATAAGCAGGCAGCAGGGAGAAATAATAAATGAGATACGACGACGTCAATGACGAAATGACGAAATGACGACGCTTAAATAATAAAAGGTGTACACCAGTGGAATTGGATGCATGATTATGAAGTGGATTTATTTAGTGGCAGAGAAATAGAACTGAAGGGAAGGCAGTAAATTATCTGGGTTGAATTATTAATCGCATCTCAATTTTTAACCCAGCAAAATAAAAACGTTGAGGCAACCGTTACATAAAACGAAGAGTGAAGATTTAAATTAATTCTCTCAGGTGCCCGAAGAGTGACTTGGGTCAAGAGCGACAAAACTATTCGCAACGCCCCACCCGATTTTGTAGTAAATTGCAACGTTTTGGATGGGATTTTCTCGTTGAGAATCAAGGACGTGTTTCTACAAGATTCCGGAGTTTATATTTGCGAAGCGTACGGATTTCGGGGAGAGGAAGGGGCAGACAAGGCAGATTTAATTTGTTGGTGTAACGTGGAAGTAATTGGTGAGTGTTTTTACATGATTTTTAATAAGCATTTCGAAAAAGATTTTCGAAAAAACGTGTTCATAAATTTGCATATTTCTTTCTGATTAGAAGAAGACGTAGGTGGCGAAGATGAGGATGAGGACACATTGGAGGAATTAATACCGGAATTAGTACCTCTACCACCTCAAAGGAGGAAATTAATAGTTCCTCTGATAATTACGACCCCATCGTCTGACGTGATCATGGATGGGGACGATCCTCTTGGTCATCGCCATCCCATCGTACCCGACGAATTAGACGGTCGTCGTTCATTCTTCGCAAATTCGTCATCCAGTTCTCAAGAATTTTATGGGGATGCGTTGGAAGATATTTGTGAAGTTGGAGAGGAAGAGGGTGACGACGAAGTCATAGCGAGTGCACCGCCAGAGGAGGAAGAAGCACGACCATGTCAAGCTCCAAGTGTTGAAAATAACCAAAATGTTGGCGTTGCTGTAGTAGTGGACATGTCGGGAAACGAGGAGGTCTCAATTGGAGGAGGAGCTCCAATTACTTCCAGTGATAATGGTGCCAAGTTTTCCCCCTCGAAAGCAGAAAGCACCACCGTCGAAACGTCTATATCGTCCCCACGAGAAACGACTGACTGCAGGAATTCTCCTGATCCCAGCGTTGTTTCAGGGTCACGAGACGAAGAACTAAATGTCCACAAAGAAACCAATTCAACAGGAGGCCTTATAAATTCTTCCCTGGAAGACGACTCCACCACAGCGATGATAAATCAACACGAATCAACTTTTCCAGAACATGATCACGAAATCCCCACCCGTACCAACGTATCATCTCTTCAATCCCAATACAGCACCGAATCTGAGGAAGTCTTCCCCTCATCTCCGTTATCATCCTCGCTGGACGAAGAGGACAAAGAGTTTGATCTGAGTGCTGCAAGTTCCGTGAACAGTGGTGCCGGTGGTGGGGCTGGTTCAAGTGGGGCGTATACAGGAACGTTTCGCGATTCCCTGAGTGATAATCCACTAGCACCAAAATTTCTTATGGGTCCTTCCAACCTGATCGTTATGTTGGGCGAAACGGTGCATCTTCGAGTCAAGATTTGGACGCCGGATGACTCCATGACGGACATTGGATGGTGCAAATTGGTCAGGGTGAGTGGTTTCGGGATATAATTGGAAGTTAAACTATTTGGTGAGAAAATCAGGTCTGATTTTATTTATTTATTTGCCAGGGCGTTTATCAACGTTTATTGGATGGGACGGAAAGTCATTCCACTTCCGAATCCGGAAAATCATCCCGAATCAAGATTACTCAACCAACCAATGATCTCGTCATGTTAACCATTCCTCACGTTACGTATGAAGATTGTGGAAAGTACAGGGTTAAAATTAGCAATGCTAACGGGGCTGATTACCACCATTGCTTAGTATCCGTAGAAGGTACGGTAAATTCGTGGTAATGATTTCTGAATACAAATTCACAAAATTCATGGGACACGTTTTCATATTTTAGGACCACCCGAACCACCCTCGTCCGCCCCAACGGCATCGTACGATCCAGTCCTGGGACAGATGGAGATTTCCTGGCCGTGCTGTCCATTCGATGGAGGTTCCGCCATTTCAGGATACATTTTAGAACTAAAGATGAAACCAAGTCCCATTTCGACGTGTGAACAGGCCGAAATTTGGACGGTTATTACAACGCCGAGGTGCACCATTTGCATATTTATAAATAATTTGACAAGAAAATTTTACTATAAAAAATCTACTATTTTTATTTGCGTAGCTCCAAAGGCCTCTGTTACACGTTAAAAAATCCAAAACCAGGCCACACTTTTTATTTCCGCGTTTGTGTGGAAAATTCTCATGGAAAGGGAAAGTATTCCAAAACGAGTGATGGCGTCAACGTGACTGAGAAAGCAGTTCAACAACAAAGTAATGGTCAGTTAGGCAGTTTTAAGTTTATTTACTTCAAAATTACAGTATTCATAAAATATGTAAATCATGTTTTCAGACGTTACTTCATCGTCGTCTGCTGTTGTTAGTTCTTCTGCGCCCAGAAAAATTAGCAGCAGTGGGAAATCTTCGTCTTTCTATGACGGCGACTACGAGTATCACAACGTAACTTTGCAACACTCTGACTTTCTCCAGTATTATGAGAAACACGAGCAATTAGGGAAGGGCAGATTCGGGGTGGTGTTCAAGGTGAGAGGTGAAAAACAAAAAGTAAATAAATCTTACTAACTATGATTATCTGTAATTAAAACTTCAGGTCACCAACAAATCCACGGGTAATTCTTACGCCGGAAAATTTGTAAAATGCAGAAAATCATCCGACAAAGAGAGAGCTGAACTGGAATATAAAATCATGAATGACTTAAAATATCATCCAAAATTGATCTGCTTAGGTACACATGAAAAATGCCAAAGTTGCCATTTTCACAAATATAAATGCATTGTTTATTTTTACCGTTTAGTGGACTGTTTCGAAATGCCGAGAGAAATGGTTTTCGTGACGGAAATGTGAGTGGAATTAAAATAATCTATAGGCGAAAATGGATAAATTGAACCATAATTTTTTAGGATAAATGGTGGTGAACTTTTCGAACGGGTGGTGGCTGACGACTTCACACTGACGGAGAGAGATTGCGTCACCTTCCTTCGACAAATTTGCGACGGGGCGAAATATATCCATGAAAAAAATATTATGCATCTGGATTTGAAGGTACATATTTCTTTAGCATGTTAAAATTATGATAAAATAATTTCAAAATATGTATTTTATTTTTTCAGCCCGAAAACATCCTTTGCACTCAGAAGACGTCCAACCAAATAAAAATCATAGACTTTGGTCTCGCCCAATACTACAATCCGACCGAACCCATCCGCGTGCTTTTTGGGACAGCGGAATTTGTTTCGCCAGAAATTATAAACTACGAGACCATTTGTCCAGCCACGGACATGTGGAGCGTTGGCGTCATCACGTACATTTTATTGTCAGGCTTATCTCCATTTCTGGGGGACGATGATAACGAGACTTTTAGCAACATTACGCGAGGAGAGTTTGATTTTGATGACGAAGCCTTCGAAAAAGTTTCTGACGATGCGAAAGATTTCATTTCTTCCGTTATCGTCAAGAGGAAAGAGTGAGTGGGAATAATTCGTAAAAAAATACGGGAAATTTGTATAATTTTGCATTAAAAAATTACAGAAAACGTCTCACCGCTGAAGAATGCTTAGTCCACAAATGGTTAGCTTTATCCGAGTCGGAAAAGAAGGATATTGTCTTATCGACAGATAAGTTAAAGAGGTTCTTACTGAGGAGGAAATGGCAGGTAAATGCATACACATTAAAGTTTATAATTTATTAGCTCGATTTCATATAATCAGTGATTATTAATCACTTATTTCAGAAAACGGGTAACGCCATTCGAGCTCTGGGACGGATAACGACGCTTTATTCGTCTTCTAGAAGATCTTCGTCTGGCACGTCGAGTACAACGACCACGCCCACGACGTCTGTATCCTCCCCACTTGCAGCTGCATCCGCTGGTGGGAGGAGTGAGTCGGGGGAAGACCACGATTCCGTGTTTGTTGCTACTTCTGACGCCAATTTACAGAATAATCACAATGTAAATAGGAGTACAAGTTGTGGGGACGCGGTCCAGAAAAGGGAAGAATTTGCAGCAAAATCGACCTCGGGTGGGGGACGGTATGACGAAAGTTGTCGGAGTGATAGCGGAATTGGGGGCGATGGTCCGATCAGTGGGCATTTTAGTTTGTTAGAGTAACATATGTGTAAATATACATAAGTGGTAGAATAGAGAGTGACAGAACAAGTTAATGTACATACATACTTTTTTCGGTCTTGCATAACTTTTTAATTTTTATTTCTTCACCTTCAATTTACAGAAAGGTAAACAATTAATTACATATGATTTGAGATTAAATATGTACAATTTGAATAAACAAAAAGTTTAAAAAAGATAATTTGGCATACGATTTACAATTAAAATGTAAAGGGACGTCTCGAATTCTCATTTTTCAACTCAAGCCTGTCTCATTTTGCCTCCTCAGTGTAGACTGAGCACATTTCTCACCCTGCCTCCTCCACCAAATAGAATTCTACTCGCCACTCTGTTACATATTACGTGTCCTTCCCTCCCAGTTGCGCAATTGATTACACACCATCATCAATTGTGTCATGCCTAAAATTCCATCCATTATTAAGCACCCACCCAAAGGATACACACACATGCACTGGACACTGCAGAACAGCAAGGTTGACAGGAAATGGATGGATCAATTCAAAGAAATGTTGGTATTTCCCTTAAAAGAAAATCGAAGGATGTCCAATACCACTCACTCCGTAGGTAGCCCACCATCATCACCGACCACCCCACCCACCCACACATGAGGGGACATCGACATCATTATGGACGGGGAGAAAGACAAAGTTTTTCTCGCAGCAGCAGCTCCTCCAGGTTTCAGATCCGATCAGAACAAGCCGACATACTCCGATCCGATTTATTCATAGGATTCCTTCGCTCCGGGTGCTAAACCAAACCCGAATCCGGGCAACTCCGAACTTCTCTGTGAGTAATAAAGGAACACATTACAACATTTTCTCCTGCTTCATATACTTCTCTCCAGCCCTACGTATTACAGACAATAAAATAACTCTCTCTCACTCGCTCACCCTCCTCCTGGACAGGCCTGGAGAAAGTGTAACACGCCCCGAAAGAAATTATCGTTCCTTGTCCACCACCCAGTCCAGCAGGATTGGCAGAAGAGTGGCGTAAGAATAGAATGGATTTATTGATGCTAAGTCTGATCGTGATAAGTATTTTGGCTGGGCTCATGTTGGGCCTGTACTGGCTCGTGTTGAAGGAATATTGTCTCACCAAAACGCTCGAAAGTGCAGAAGACGTTGAAACGGATGAGGAAATACTTTCGTAATTTTTGAGAGGTGTGGTTCAGTGGTGGTGGAGGACGAAGTAAGTGACGTGGTGATAAGTGGTTACCAATAACTAACACTACTAACAGGAGTACGGGAACGTTGTGTGTATTAAAGACTAAAAATCCAAGATAGGTGTATGTACATAGGCAACTCTGAATACGTCATCCACCTGACATAATCATGTTGACAAGCTAAAACTCAATTTAACTAATCTTGCTCTACTGAAAAAAACGACTCCAACTCGGTACGGACCACACCCAGAGCATAGTTTGGTGGCCAAATCACCCCCTGAAACTAAATCAGGCTTGACACACCCTCTGCTTTTACGAAATGTCAGACGCGTACCTCTCATCGACTGGAAGGTAAATAAATTCAAACATGAATGTGACGCAAATTCATAAAAAATAGCAACTTATTTGCATTTCTACTCACCTCAGGGAGACCATGACCCACATGAACAACAATAAACTGGTCCGCGGACCCATTTCTGCCCCCAACACGCCGGAATCCCTTCGTCGCGGCATGCGGGACAAGAAGGACAAGATGGAGTACAATCAGATGATGATGCGCTCCCTGACTGAGCAGGGGAGCACGCGCCCCCTCTCGTACCACGGGCGGTCGGGGTCACTCTGCATCATGGATGGTCACCAGTACCCACCCCCACACCCACCCATCGTCAACAAGCGGCATATCGTGTCATCCGGGGCGAGAAGCAAGAATAAGGAGTCGCTCCTTCTCAATCGGAGATCAATGCCGATCCCGTACCAAAGTGGGGAGAACAATAGGTTGTTGTTGGGTCGGGAAAAAATCCAAGGTGGGTGGACAAACTAATTAATTATTACCCGGGTATTATAAGCAAATTCTTATTTTCAGACGTGCTAGAATTGGACACTAAATTACCTCGCATTGATCTCGAAAAGATTGAGACTCACTTACGGCAGGCCCGTGAGGAGGAACGCAAGGTACCAAATTTAAGAAGTTATGCATACTTTCGACAGATTGTGTATAACGAAGTTCTCTGCAGTATCGCTCCGACCGGGACGAGATACGGAGAAGGCTTGCACTTGAGGGAGACTGGGGCTGTGGTGGTTGTGGGGATGATAAGCCTCTGAGAAAACATAACCTTCAATCCAGACTACAGACGAGTACGGAGCTGCATAAATAATCTCTTTATGCCTCTAAAACTTAATAGTCAAATGAATTACGTGTGCTGTTATTTATTCAGGTATGAATTTGCAAGTGTGCTTCATGAATGAGACTACGTCAGATAACGAATCACCAAATTCGGATGATTCCGAAGGGAGATCGCAACAACAGCAGCAGCAGCAACCACAGAACCAAAGCCTTCCCAGTCTTAACAAGGTATATGCAATATCAAATACGTACATTTTTAACTATGTTGTAATCAAGTTCAACGTAATTTGAGTATAAAATTTCAATTCTTTTCAGAAACCTGGAAGTTCTTCCGGAGGAGAGCAAAACTTTATTGAGAAACATGACAAACTTCAAGCCGAAGTTCGCCACGCATTGGCACAAGCGAAAGACGTGGCAAGACTGCAACTGACCCAGGTGAAAGCTCGAAAAAATTTAAAGCAAAATGCAAAATATTATGTCACAACTCATAATTTTGTTAAAAAATGCAGGAACGAGAAGGTCGTGCTCACTCTCCAATCACGGAAATGGTACGAAACACACTGGAAAAAATAGGGGTGGGATTACCTCCCGATCGGAGACGAAGGATGAGTCGCCAATTATTAACGGAAATCAATGTGACCCAGCTTCAAGTTATTGTTAACGATTTACATTCACATATCGAGAGTAAGTGAATCTCTTATCATCTCCAGATTTCAAATCATTTGAAAAAGATTACATTTTTCGTTTTTTTTTCTAGAGCTAAACGAAAGCCTCGTCTCAATGTTGCTGGAGAGAGATGGTAATTAATATAAAATGTTGATTTTATAATTTATTCATGATCCACTTCCTCTGGTTTAACAGTAATAATGACTTTAACACGGTAGTCATTAGCAAACAGGCCGGTGAACCAATACGGGTGAAGTGATATTGTGCTGTTTGTTTATTGCAGATCTCCACATGGAGCAAGACTCGATGCTCGTAGATATTGAGGATTTGACAAGATACCTGTGAAGTCCTTGTCGCTAACCTTTTCACGACTTTTTTGCTGTGTTTTAACTCACTTCCTATAAAAAACCATCGCTTATCCATAATTAATTAAATAAAATTCAAACGAGCAGCAGCAGCAGCCTTTGATGTTTTTAATATGCGAAATAAGAAATAATATGCTCGCGGAGGCCAAAAAATTAAAAATATGACGACGACACACCTCAAAAATCTTCCTCCTTACACGTTGTTGCCATTGATTGTTGTTGTAATTGATCAATATTAATGTCGCTGGCTTATGGCATACATATGTATTATGCTGTTTGCAAATAAATGTGCAAAATTCGTGTGGCAAAAATTCATATGGAATGAAAATACAATAAACAAAAGAAGAATCTCGCAAAAAATAAAAAATGGAATGGATACATATACAGATAAAATAAATTCAGATTTTAAAATTTGTAATATATGTCAAAGTTAATTGAAGAGATCAATTGTGGAATAAAATACATACAAATGGCTTATTATTATGTAAGGAACAAATTTTGAGTATTTGGTATTTTCATGCATTTTAACGGTTCATATCTCGATTACAAAGAAAATCATAAATCAAATTAGACTTGAATTATTGTTAACTTTATAATATGTATTTCCTCCATTAATTAGATTACATATGTAATAAAGTTGATTTTTAACTAATTTTTATGTTGAATTGAAGGCACGTCAATTCTTATAGTTCAGAGTAAGAAATAGGAAGAGATTTAAATTGATAACAATTTTAACCGTTTTTCATAGTTTTTTATAAAGCACATACTTCTTTGATTATCAAGTGGAAGGGGCGTACAAACGATTTCAGTTTTCCTCTCTATATGTTGAAAATATGTTGAAAATTAGCAATGGCAATAATAAAATCCTAAAAATGAGAAGAAATGTGGAAAACAAGATTTATGCAAGAAAGCATGATAAAAGGTTGGAATGGGATGCCGGTTACCTGTTCTTATGACTGTATGAGTGTGTACAACTATTTATTACTTACATATAATATGCATTAAGGGATGCAAAAAACAGTAGTTGAGATAATTGTAAGTATTGATAAAAAATATTTACTGCATTTTATATGCATTACAAATTTCCAAGTGCTTTATGATTTCGCATTATCTTTCAGCTCTTTCAAACAATTGCATCCATCCTTCTTCATAATTGCATCCACGTCAAATGCATCTACCACTTTTTTGTATATGGAAATTCGACTATCAATCTGGCTCTTTGTCTCTTCTGTCGGATTAATTCGCTTGATAGAGCTGGGGAAACAACAAACGTGACGATTCACATTCTTCATCCAGAACCAAAAGGCCGTCTTCCAAGCGACGCTTTCATCCCGGGCAATAAGATCCGGATCTTTAACCAACTTTAATTTGTCGTTGGGAAATATTGCTTCAGATGCTTCGCGATAATTCCCAATCCACGAAAGTTGAAGGTAACCACGCCCAAAGTACTTGTTTTGTGGATATTGCTTCTGCAACTCCTTGTCAACCTGTTGAAACCAGGCTTGCACAGTGTTGTAGTCATGGGGTGGATTTTCCTCTCGCTTCGACTGAAGTCCTCTGCTTTCATGGAGGACATTTGCGAAAAACATGGCTAATAAGTCCTTGCTGTGTAGTTTCCAATTTCCTCGAAGCTCAGCTGCAAAGGAATTATACTGGTCCTCCGAAGGTTTAGGATAACCTGATTTGGTTACAGCGCTGTTAAACTCGTCCTTTGTTATGTTGATCATGTCTAATAAAGAATATTTAAAATGTTTAGGTTAATTACTCCACAAATTAATTTAAATAAGGTATTTTATGTATATCATACTTTATTCGCGATGTTAAATGGACACTCCACTTGACTGATTCTTTCCCGTGGCTTGTGGTAGAATATTAGCAGTGAGTATGTAGAGTGAGCTATTTATACAAGTTCGGAGCTGTCCAGTGCGAAAATGAGAACTTTTCATAACGGGGTTTGGATTGACTTGATGGATTTGAGTGAACCTCATGAAACCTCAGGTTGCGTTACGTATTGGATTAACGGAGGAGCGTTTTATTTGCGAAAATCTCATGAGTTTGTTCTCAACGATGTATGATTTTTATTCCTTTTTCACGGCCACTTCGGGCCAGTAAGGAGCAGGATAACTATGGATGTGATGATATGTGTCAATAAAAACAAGGACGAGGAAGGTGATAAAGTATGAACCCGGTACAAAACAATATGGTACCGTTCATGGGATTTGATTCCGAGTCATGTAGTGTGGACGTTTGGTGCGGATCGTTACATAAATATTTGTTCAGACACTTATAATGAAAGTTACATGAAACAAGTAGTGGAATTTTATGGAAAAGATGAATTGTGGTTTACTACTTGAAATAATTAAATAACACGAATTTAAGTCTTCGCTGTTATTTATTTCATAAAATTGAAACTCACGTGAGAGACTTCAAACCTGTGGGTAACTATGCCTGTGGACCGTATTTATTGAATGTACATCCCTAAAATAGATACAAGGTCGACTTATAGGTTTATTTGTTAAACCTAACAAAAGGAATACGTATACAAATAAATAACCATAAATAAATACCTCCATAAAAGCAATGCATCGAGTTAATAGTTGATAAGCCATGGTGGCACCTTTACCTATTTAGTTATTTCGGAAACATAAACTATTTTAACATGCAATGTTAAATACACTTTCAAACCCGGAACCATACCAGCTTGTCATCGATTTTTCTTTAAAGAGTTTGAAAATCCATATCATTTTTCGATATAAGGATTGTTTTAATTCGAGGTATGCAAAAAATTGCATGAAAAAAATATTTATTTTCCGGAATATGTATGTATGTACTGGATGGTGATTAATACCGATTAAAACTGATTAGCATGAGCCATACATATTTTTTCTAATTAACTAACCATAAAATAAAACAGGACACAATTTTCTCCAAAATTCATACTATTCATTGTTGAATATGGTATCATTATTATTGGCAGAGTTAAAAAAAAATGTCATTAAGCCCGCAGGAGAAATTATTGATTTTTTTATTATAAAATTTCCACAAATCACTGACACATTTTATTTCATTAAGAGATACAACAAACGTCGATACATACTTATCTATGCATGATCTGAAGATGTCCTTAACTTACCCATTCAGTAGTATATTTATGTAGTAATGACAGTGACAATGAAATGGTGACGGTACACGTAAAATTACTTAAGTTCTATTGTTCCTGTTTAAAATATAATAATAATAATAATAATAATGCATAAATGATAAATGACTCGACGAGATATGACGACATATTTTCATAACAAAATGTCAATAAGCTGTGTAGCACATACATAAACTCGTGAAAATTATTGGAGACGCTAATTGCAACTATTTGACGCCGTGGGAGTGGTTTTATAAAACCAGATAATTAGCCACTAATCGACAGATCAGTTACAAATACATGTAATAATTAATTATTTAATTTAATTTAAATTTAATTCTTACTTTCTAGTCTTACCTATTTGAACAGTTATTAAATTTACTTCCTATAAGACGGACTATGCCCAATAAAAAAAGTGAGACGAATTAATTAATTACACATTTACTTTACGATTAAGTATGTATGTTTCCTAGTAAAATCCCAGAGCATGAGTACCATACAATAATAATACGTATCATATTTAGTCGTTCATATTACTTTGTTCTTTGTTATTGACCCAGTTACTTTTCTCTTTTGGAATAAAAATTGATATGAAATTTGCCCTTTCTTGTTGTTGTTTTTTCGAAAAAAGCTCTAAAAAATTTGAAATTTTGTTACAGTTGAACAAGTTTTGGGTACATAAATACATCAAAATGGTTGGTATACAAAATTAAAGTAGGAAAGTACATACGTATGTAATAAAAATCACTTTTTTAAGTATTTACACTAAACAACTGTGAGGGGATTGGGGGATTGGGTAGAGTGATTGTGTTGGTGATGGTGTTGGGGGTGGTGGTGGGGGTGGTGTTGATCGTACTGTTCCAGGAAGTGAGTATATTGTTCGTAGGTGAGATCATCGTCGTGGCGTTGGATATTTTTGAGTGGTTCGTCATCCACATCATTGTTCTGATCCAGATCTCGTCGTCGTCGTCGGTAGTGGTGTTGACTAGCAATTTCGATACAGAGGACTATCAATTTATTGTTGCAACCAATCTTCTCCTGACCCATGAGAAGTTCGTGTTTCAAAATGTCCGAAGCCAATCCGACGTTAGAAGAGGAGTCTGAATGCCACGCTTCGCAGTAGGATTGACGCGCTCGAACGCCAGAGGGATCAGCCCCGTGCCAAACCATTTTTTGAGGCCTGACATTTAATAAAATTGGTAAAGGTTGTAATATTTTTTGCATATGTGTGAGTGCAAATTTTAGCAGTGTGCACGTACCAGTGGAAATCTTGCATAACGTTTTTACCCCCGAATGAAAATAGCTTGGGTGGTCTGGTCTGAATTTTTCCCCCGTTTTGGAATATTTCACCCCACGAGTTGAACAAGAGATCACCTTTGGTATTGACTACCTGTGAGGTTAATTAATTACTTTAGTTAGCTTTGGCAAACTTAGAAATTTAGGTGTGAAAATGAAAGTAAAGTCAAAGTCGTACGGGTAGGTTCCGATCGGAAAACTTGACGATGCTGTCTAAATTTTGTACCCACGAAGATAGAAACGCTCGGAATGTTCCTTGTAGATTGGCGTTGCGTGCTTCATAAAATAAATATGTATGTATTTTCAGTATGTTTTGGTTATACATATAGTAGCAATTATCTGGTAATAAAATTTTTTATTACCTTGACGGTAACAAGCGTAATCTGCACCGCGGACCTGTGATAAAAATTAGTGGTAAAAATAAATTGGTATTGAATCTATTTGATCATGTTAAATTGGAATCATACTCCGTGCATGTCACCGCTCCATGGGTCATTCAGGGCGGCGATGCGCAACTAAAAAATCAATCACTTTATTACTTACAGAAACTGGTTTTGATTTTAATAAAAATATTTAAATATATACGAGTTTTACAATTTTTGTGCGATAAAAGTTACAATTTGAAATTTACAAATCTACCATTTCTGAAAAACTTACTTGGGTTAATTCCTAATATTTTGCAAGCGTGTAAAAATGTGCACAAGATTTTGTGTAATGGATGTTATGAAAAATTCGAAAAATGGATATTTTAGCGTGACACTTACACTGGGTCCTTCAATTCTATTGATTAGACTGGACACTTCAAAGGGTGGACGAGCCACGGGTGGAGATTCCGTGGTCAAGTCGACATGCGCCATGATGGGTTCGGCTCGGACAAGGGCCCCCATCTACAAATTTATCACAATTATTATGCTAATTTCTATGATTAGAATTATGTTAGACATTTCTGCGAACCAAGAGCGGTTTCCATCCTTCGGAAACTCGGACAAATAAGGTTTCCTCGTCTTTGACGAAAGTAATGGTCCCGACCGGACTTAGCTGGGACATCTGACAAACACAAAAAATTAATTAGATATTCTCCAGATTAATTAGGATCAGACCCATGATTTGACACCTTTAGCATTGATTCTCTCGTGAGTACGACGACAGCACCTGGAACAACTTTGGAAGATGATTCTGACCCAGAAAATCGAGCGGAGGAGGAGTCTCCAGGTGGGCCTATGGAGAAGGATTTTGAATTTTGGTAGTTGCAAATTTTGTTTTTAATTATGATTTGATTCTACCTGGAGGTCCGGGCTCTCCCTTTTCTCCAACAATTGACAAACCGGGTGGTCCTACATAATTCGTGGAGAAAGTTTCGGTGAGATCAGGGATTTGAGCGATTTATAACAAGTTACATTAACCTTGCGGTCCTGGAACCGGGACATATTGAGGTGTTCTTTCAATGTACTCGACTTTTCCGGGTGGACCAGGGGGACCTATTTATAGTCAGACAATAGTACAAACAAGGCGTATGGTTTTGATTTACAGTGGTGGGAAGTACTTACCAGGAGGTCCCTGTGGTCCTGGTTTTCCTGCGGTACCGGATACTTCATATTTAAAGAAATTATCTGGCAGCACGGCAGGCTCTCCTTTGTCTCCTGTGAAAGTAAAAGTGGGCATTAGAGACACTATTACTTAAAAATTAGTACTGTTAAGACCCAAAAATGGTCATGTACCTTTTGGACCTTGAATTGCTAACCCTGGTCTTCCCTATAAAATTAAATAAATTTCTTACTCGTACATACATAAGATCGTTAAAAATATTGAAATAAACCAAATTAACAATCCAAATCTGCAAAATCATTTGCATAATAGAATCTCTTACATTAACATTCTGAATCCAGCAGCATTTTATTATGATTTTTTTCATTAATTCAATTACAGACGTACACATAAATTTTTGCCTCTTCACAAAAGTAATTAAACTTACGGGCCACCCTGGAATTCCAATTTCGCCAGACGGGCCACGTGGTCCAGGTAGACCAGGTCGGCCTCTTTTGCCTTAAGAAATGGAAAAATTAAAATTAAAAATTTTCATAAAAATATGAATTTATAAATGCCGTTTACAAATATTTCTCACCTCTCCGTCCAATGTCGCCTTTATCTCCCTGTTTTAAGTAAATTGACGTGTCACTATTTGGAAATTTATTATAATTTTAATTACGGACAACTCTAACCTTTACCACTTTCAGATCACCCTCGTAATCAAATGCAGCACCTGGACCAGGAGGTCCGGCAGGCCCAATGTCTCCCTTCATAAGTAGAGTTTTAGTTAATTTTATGATAACAACAAATCTTGCACGTCTAATTATGTGCATACCTTATCGCCCTTTAAACCAGGTAACCCTCGGTCACCCTGAACGCATAGGAAAATTCATTTAGAAAATTCATACATGATATTACACGTATTAATTTACATACCTGAGGTCCAGGTTCGCCTTTGACAGGCTCAACCACCGTGTTGGTGAGAATGCCAGTCATGTCGGAGGAGATTGGAGTGGCTGGACCGGGCAACCCCCTTTCGCCACGTTCACCTTTCCCACCCTGAACGAAAGTATACGTAAGAAATGCAGATTAATAAAGTTAAGAATTACGTTACGAATTAAGTTACGAGTATGATGTAAATTTCAACACATTTTTTTGCAAATACCTGAGATCCTTTGGCTCCGTCACGACCAGGATATCCTACAAAAATTAAATTGACAAATATTTAGAAATGTACAATTTCCATAAATCGTTTAAACATTTACCATCAACACCCGGCGGACCAGCCAAACCCCTTCAATTGTAAAATAATTATATAAGAAATCATTCTGTTTCACAATATTTGAAAAAAATTGAAAAACTTAATATATTACCTTTCACCGGAAGGCCCAGTGAGTCCTCTTTCACCCTAAGAAATTAGCATGTTGCGTTATTATTATTAATTTACCAGATAAATCTAACAGGTTTTTTGTAGTACTCACTTTTTCTCCCATGTAGCCCTAAATTTAGGCACGACATAAAAAGTTAAAGTCAATAAAAAGAAAGTCACTCATGAAAATGTTTGTGTTAACGTACCCTTTCTCCTTTTGCTCCCGATGGACCGGATTCACCAACTAATTAAATAAATTCATTATATTATACGAGACGAATTACGTATAAAAATGGTAAAATGTGCTTTTCTCAGTCTAGCCAAGATTACCTTCACCCTTCGGTCCCATAATTGACCTCGACATCAATGAGGGTCCACCAAGAGTGTCCTGTCAAAACGTAGTACATTAAAGTAAAACTGAGATTTTATAGAAAAAAATGCGAAATTTGGAAGTCTAAAGTAAATATTTTAATATGTATTAATATTGGAGATAGATATCAAAGGTTTGCAGTATGCATATCGCGAAGGGAAAGTTAGATGGGAATGTCCCATTATTTTTTGTGATACCTTAAGTAAATTTCGAGGTCTCCAATCCGGCTGCGTGTGTGAAAATTAGTTGGGAAATGTCAGCAGATTAATTTTATTAAAGCGAGTAGGAAATTAAAATGGAGAAAGTTGGAGAGAAAGTATTTACATGTGTCCGCATTACTTAGGACATTATGTGTTCTAAAAAAATGTCTTAAACACTTACGTCTGATCCAAGGAAGGATGGGGATGCTTGCATTCCTGGGGGTCCTTTAAAAATTTGAAAAATACAATTTTGGTCAATAAACATAATTTTTAAGCCATGGTCAATTTGAATTTATATCTGAGACCTTACCTGGAGGGCCAACCAATCCCTATAAAAAAAGAAAGTGGGGTTTTAATTAATTTGTTAAAATATATTGAAATGGAGGTAATAATTAATTCAATAATTTAATTGTGAAATGGTCAAGTAATATAAAATTAATTGGTCTCTCATACCTGGGGCCCAACTAATCCAGGCTCTCCTTTCTGCCCTTGAACCCCCTCTGGTCCAGTCATCCCTGAAAAATGTACATCAATTTACATACTCTGTGTATGTAAATATTTACGTTTCGTCGAGTTTGTAAATAATTCTTACCTATGTCGCCTCTATCACCTAAAAAATAAGAAATTGAGATTAATCGAGATAAAAATGAGTATAGACTTCAAACTGCACGGCCCAATTATCGTTTTTAAAAGTTCATTTGCATAATACTTACAACAAACTAAGGGGCTAGAAAAACATGCTCTTAAATATGTATGGCCAGACATAACGACATATTTAGTACTCACTCATTCTGCTAAATGATTCCAAATTTTTTGATAATTTTACTGTGTAAAATTAAAAGTTTTCTCTAAAATAACCTGGCACCTCGACTATCCCTTCGACTATCCCAAAAGTTCTCAAACCATTTTCATTAGTTACTTAATAGTTGGGGTTTTAAGGTAAAATCAAGACAAGTTTGTCTATAATTATTCCCGTACGCATTTTTTACCTTGTTGTCACACAACAAAAAAATGTCATTCAGAATAAGATAATTAGGCCAAGTAGTGATCTTCATCTAAAAATTTACCCTTCAAGCCCCTTTCTCCCTTCACCCCCATTGGACCAGCCTCCCCCTGGATTCCTGGTAATTACAGAGAAGATATCGTTACGGGACATACCCTTCAATAAATAATATTAGTTGTCACACACCCATTTCACCAATCGGGCCGGGTAATCCTCTTAGCGTTTCGGGAAGTTTGGAAACTATTTCCGTGTAGTTGCATAAACACACGCCGCCAACTCCGCCAGTGTCGAATGGCTCGTTCTGTCAAGAAGAGGGTTGATAAAAACTCAAAAAATAATAAGCCGGACATTTTCCGGTATCTTTACGACGCGGGGATGGCGGATGCAGTTTATTTAAGCGGTATGTTACATACGACATGCGTTCCCCGAAAAAAAATAGGGAAGTGACATTTTCATGCATGAAAATGGACATAATAACGCGAAGTTAGACCATAGTTAAGTAAATTGCATGCAGTCACATGATAAGGATTGGGATTAGGCTATTAAAAAAGCGATTTGTACAATTTTTGTTGCGTTTACCCGCTTACATAAAAATTAAGCAAGTAGTTAAAATGTTAAAATTTCACCGGTTAAAAGTTTAAATAAATGATTAGATTAATAATGACTAATCTAAATAATATTGGTCACAGAAATGATAAAATGATCACATGGAAAGTGAAACTGCGTTTAAAATTTGAAAGAAAAGTGTTACATGCGATAAAACAGAGTGAAAGTAGTATCGATGACGGACTGAGATTCACAAAAGCAAGCTCACAAACCTCGTAAAATGACGGGCTTTTGATTTCTGTACCCCAAAATGATTTAGTTTTTGGGTTATTATTATTAGATCCAACCAGTCTGGGGACATTATTATTTGGCTTATTCGGGTCGGGGGAAAACGCACGCACGCCACTTTTCGAACCCCCGCTTTCCTACGGTCACAAGCAAACCACACAAACCATACATAATTACCCAAACCATTTAATTTACTTAAACACCATCATTAACTAATTAATTAGGCATATTAAATATGTAGCTATCTATGTAACATGTTAATATACAACGCTTTCCATTTTAAGGAATACCGTTTAATCAGTCATATTGCATAACTCTGTTAATATTTCTGATCTTGCGTAGAATGTGTTTTCATGAACCACGGATTACACAATTTGAAGATTAGTTTTCATACTTACAAGTTCTTGCATGTACTCGTATTTTATGTGCTATTTCACCCTTTCAAACAGTACGGTCAAGCATTTTTGTGCAAAAATTAAAGCAAAATTATTGATTTTAATAAAGCCCAAAAAATAACTAAATAAAAATAAACGATAAGCATTTTGTCCTTGGCACGCACCTTGGCGTCTGACGACCCGAAGAGACCGGTCAGGTTGAAGTGGTCGGTTCCATTGGTGTCATGCGGCGATGGGGGTGGTCTCGGCGGTGGGGGTGGAATCGAGTCATCACCACTTCCAAGATGCCCATCCTCTCCAAAATCTCCGTAGTCGTCGTCATACGACTTTTACAAGTAAAATTATAAGAAACTTAACAAAAGAAAATTATTTAAATACAAAAATTAGCAACATAAAATAATTTTTTACCGGATAATCATAAAAACCCTCGGATTCTACACCATCAAAATCAACACCTCCTGCTGATCCTTCGGTAGATCCAAAGCTCTGTTTTTTTATATTTTGAAACAAAATTATGAAATAAAATACGTACATAAATTATTTTGAAAGTTGGCATAATAAAAATTGCATGGCGTCTGTGCAGATAATTAAGTTTAGCGCATAACACTAATTTGCATATGACGATAATGAACTGGACATTTATGAGATACATTTTTAGCGTATGTATTTATTCACATATTTGTGTATGTCACATTTATTTGCGTACGTAGGCGTGTGTCAGTTTGCGTGTCAGTTAGTTCAAAAGTGTTAATTAGGAATGATCTAAAGTGGATTTTTCTAATATTCGGGTGGGTGAGTGATGGGCATGGACAATTTTTGGCCTGACTGAACAACTTTGTGTTTCTTTTTTAATTATTGGCACAATAATTATTTGCATAAAATCACAATAACGATCCATACTTCTTCTGACATCAAACAAGTTGATTGATTTTGAGACGTCTGTTAATAAGTATTTTTTTTCTCCAAGTCTAGACTTTGGTATGTGCTAATTTTCAATCTTGTCTCCCGGTACAACTTCTCAATTCTACGATATTTGCCAGTTTGCCAATTATTTTTGCATGTTATATAAACATTCTAAAAGTTTAGCGTCAGTAAGTGAACTTTTGTTTAAGCTGGACCAGTCGAGTCTAAATAAATGGAGACTTGACCTGTTAACGAGCAGTGTTAACTAAATTATGGTAATTTCCCACTTGTCCCATCCTCTCTTTGTATTAACTGTCAAAAATCTTGAATCAATATTTCTCTTTCTAATTATCTAACAACAACTTAATAATTTTCGACAGGGTTTAGTCAGGCTGGGCAAACAATAAGCTAGCATTTTTGTTTTTATTGTCGAGTCTAAAGGCTTTTTGTCACGATCAGGCATGAAGTTTGGTCAGGTTGATTAAGTTGACAACCGAAAGTGCAAATTTTATTTTATTTTATTGCACGAGAGAAAAAAGATCAGATTATACGCCTCGATTTTTGTCATCTACTTATGGCTCATTTTTGATACGAATTTCCTGAAATATGCTCAAATATGTCTAAATAAATTATGTCCTAAAAATCTGTACTAAAAAAATAAGAAATGGATTACAGACCGATAAAGAATCATCACACTGCACTTCCGCGACTCCCGGCATTCCATACAGTTTGAGCTCTTGTATCGCACCCTTGAAAAACAAGAAGGCAACGATGCAATGGAAAAACTTGTTCGTCACGAGATGAACCAAATGGATGGTCGTCATTTTGATTTTTGGCATAAAACAAATTCTTCACCCGACCGACAATAACATTCGCAAATCTTTCGAATTGTTTTCTTTCTTCACATATTCAAACTTTGGACACACTTTATTTACATATTTTCGCATCCAAAGTTATTTAGTGGATCCGGAATGATCTCATTTATTGGATATTTATTCAATTCGATGTAATCCAATCCACCATTTAATTTAATGATACTTTTTCTCAGCTTTCTAAATTTCGTGTAAAGTTGTTGTCGAGCGTGGAGATCGGAATGGGAATTGGAATGGTTCTTTTACTTACGTAAGGAAAAGATCAGATTCGATAGATTGACTAAATAGTGGTACTCGTTTTTCACTTAATCGACCCATTTGTATGTAATGTGAGGAGATTTAAGATAAGAGCGGATATCTTGTGTAAGACTTGAAATCTTTATGGCGAGGGAATGAATCAGATTTAATTCACTGATTTATTTCACGGATGAAATGATGAGGAATGTGAGACGATAAGTTCGTCTCAAATTTTACACACTAATTGTCGATTTCGTATCAAATTTTGTCGTAATTTTACACAAGTTTCAACTAATTGCTGCTAAGTAGTTTGACGACATTAAGATTTTTGCTTATTTGCTTTCTATAATCACGGTTCAGTTATATGTAGGTTGGGATGTCGACTAATTGAAATTATGTAATTAAATATGATTCAATATGTCGCAAATATTTGTAATAAATGACGTAAGTGAAATATAATTTCTGCCAAATTTACACGGTTTTTCGGTCCTGCCACAAAATTCTCATGTGTTCCGTGCAGACTTTTGACCTCAACAAAACATCCAACACCCTCCCGAACGATTCCCCCACACATCTAACCGACCAAACCTATGTAACCCCATAAATAAGTCAGTACCACTCTTTGTCTTTTATTCACCGTCTCATCACCCGACCACAAGCAAAGGGCGGACAGATTTACCAAGTCTTACTTAAAAAATAATAATTGGGCAGGTGACAATGAACTCGAAGCAACAAGGTATCCCATTTTTTCTTACCTCCTCAACAACTGAATGAATGCTTACATTTATCATGAGGACGACACGCACCGACCGAATTTGACTGCGAAGAAGAAGAAGTGAGACATTTATTGGATGATTTCCAATCCAGTCAGAGACCGACTTGAATATCTCATCATGACATTATAACACCTTTCTGGGAAAGGTATGTAATCATTTTTCACCTTATAAGCAAAGTCTCCTTAATAATAATAATATTAGGACAAGTCTTCTTCGTCCATCCAACTAAAGTGTGCATTGTCTTTTGGCTACACATTTTTTATCAGGGATCAAAATTCCTTTAAATTCACCAAGATAAAATTTGTACCTTAAAGTTGAATTAGTTTGTTAATTTGCGACGGACAAATAAAAGAAGGAAGGAGAGTTGACATTGTTCAGAATTTATGGATTCGGACCTCTTTTCTTTGGCTTAATTATTTATGCAAACCTGGCCCATAGTAAATCTTGCCCAAAAGCTTTATGCAGTCACATTACAAAGAAATATATAGTCGCGTGTGTTTGTGATTATTATTTTTACGTAAGTTTACTTCGCATCCCACCCTAAAGACAAAACCTCACTTGCAAATCCAGAGTCTGGTTGTCTAGCCTGTTTATTACTTTTATGCATGAGATGCAGTCGGGCGGCTCGTTATTATTTATGTGCAAAAATATTATTGCATGCAAAATGACCTCATCTTTATGGCAGGAGGGAAAATACGTAAACTACTTAAGCGTGATACTGATTAATTCAGGGATGGACTTGGAGATATGCGAGGGAATAAAATCCTACGCATTTTCATTTATTATTAGCACTAGTAATTTTTTGGCCGGGTGCAATTTTCTAACCATTTTGGTTAATAAGTGAAGAAGCTAAATATTTTATTCAATTAACTTTATGTAAGAAATGAGACATTTTTAAAACGATTATTACGATTTTTGGTTCATTGGCATCTCGAAGGTCGGCATAAATTACGACCAAAACTACTGTTTCAGGACTTTTAAAAGGTGGATTTTCAAATTTAAAAGACTATTTGACTCTATTGATTAATCGTATTCAAATTGTACCCGAAAAACGTGAAATATATTAATCATTCGTTCATGTACAATCTTTAGTTTACCTGTCACCAGTGTTTCTGGTAACGAAAAGTATTGGAATATGTAAATGTAATTACGATTTACTTACTTTAATGGGGCAACATTTACTCATGTACATACAATATACTTCATAACAAGACGGAGAAACCTACGAAGGAAGGCAACCTGTTTCAGATCCCATTATGCTGGTGTACGTATGTAAAAGTTAAGTAAAGTAAACCACCCAACGAGTCAGTCAAATCAGGATTCTACTACGACGACGACTACTGCTTTCAATCGAGTTCTATTGTGATTGATTATCTCATCGCCTTCATTTTCATTCATTTATCACTCGATTGGATTGTTGTTACGATATCGGGATGGTCATCTCATTATTTTATGCTGTCCGACTACGTAGTGGGTTCAGGTTCAGTATTTCCTTTAGTCCACTTGATTAACGTGTAAGTAATGTAATGATTGACAGAAATTTCAATCTAGGAAAGTATGTAAAATGTTCTCCAGAATTGATTCTAATGAAATGTAGCGTCCTATTTTTTATGGAGACGACACACTGTTTCGATTTATTTAATGTATGTAATTCAATTCAGGAAGCACTTGAGACTTAGTTTTACCTGACAGTTCTTATGTGCTTTTGCTACTGACCTGACCTCACTCACGACTTAATAATGACATGGCCATCGATTCATGCTGATTGACAGTAGCCATCAATTCAATTTAAATATCTAGTTGAGTTGAGAAGAATGAAAATCTAAATAGAACTTGGATCCTCAATTAATATCCACTCAATCAATCGAACAAATAAAATTATTGTAATACTTTTGAGGCCACGAAATGATAGATTACCAACTTTTGTGCCACGATTATAAATGTGTAAAGATTTCAAAATAGTTATGCAAAAAAAATTCCATCGAGCCGAATGAAATTGCGCATTTCTATAAATTTCACGATATTCCACACCTTTCGTATTTATTCCCTTTTCCAGTAGTGATTTATAATTCGCCACCTTTAACATTATAATTTTTTTACCATGTTACACACACATGTGCATTCATCTCCTGGACAAAAATATTTATGAACCTGGGTCCACACCCCAATAAATCTCCAATCTCCACGACGCTCAACCAACTTTTCCTTCCTCATGAATCACGAAACTCAGCACATTCCACACTTCGACTAAAAACACCAAAAAGTTGTACACACACAAAATATAATTTACACCGTAGTCATCGTCTCAATTTCAATAAAACACTTTTCCTCCCTTAACAAAAGCGAATTATAGAACGGAACAGGATTATTATTAATCAAAATCCCGACCGCAATTGATCACAATCTGCACCATTATGGTATCTCATTACAGGAAAAGCATATCCCAAACCTGCATATGCACAATTCTCACTCTCACTCTAGAACCAATTTATTTACATCGGACTCCAATCTGAATCAGAATTAATTATAAATTAAATTTCACTTTTAACTGAGGAGGAGAGATGACAGGTAGGGCAGGAAGTAACCATGCATGCATGCACCACCCATGGACATGCTGGAATACTGACGGCACCACTATTTCACTCGTCGTGGTAAGTACTCGTACACAGTGCCAGGAACAATTTAGACCAAAAAGTGATTGGATTGGACCGATTTATCAAGCAGGTCCATTTAAGGGATGGAATTTCTACGCTCTGCTCCTTGATAAATTGCTGCGAGGTTGAGGAAATGAAATAAATGAGACATCATCATCAGATAGAGGATCCGACCGGGTTGTCCCTTCCACTGGGCCACTTAACAGCCTGGAGGAATCTTATTCACCAACTTCTTCCTCTCATCTGCTGAGATCCGACCCTTAAACGAAACCAAGACCTCGGATAACACGGGAAATAAATAACACAGCCACGAATCTCGCAGTAGTTGGTCTCCTCTCTCAATCTCGGAGGATTCGACGGGTCAAGAAGACAATCTTGTTGGTCGGCGATGCCTTCAAATTGGTGGATGTTGAGTGAAAAATTGTTTTTATTTTATAATTTCATCCCATTTTTAAATTAGCTAAGTACTAGTTTTGTAAAAGTTGAGATTCACACGGCACAAACAGCACAAGCTCACTGGGAAGGGTGGAAAGTGGAACTGAACAAGTTGGCTGGAAATGCAGCGATGAGGATGATCAAGATGTGAGAATGGATGGAATCATGGAAATTGTAGATGCAATACAGAAGAGTGAGGGTATTTTATACGATTTGGTTTAGGGTTGAAGTTTTTGGGATCGTCATCCTGGATAGGATGGACTGGACTCTTAAATCTTAAATACTATGTATGTAACAATGCAACAACTTTTTAAAACTTGACTCCCCAATAATGTGTACATACGAATATCGTGATGTATTTAACGTAGTAATATTTGTGTGAGAAAAACACATTTCATGCCTCATCACAAAAGAATAAAGAATCGTGGTGTGGTTTGGTAGGTTGTTGGTGGTGTGAAGAAGTGGTTATAAAGGTGGTGGTCGAGATGGTTCAAAAGGTGGACGTGGACATGGATTGGAATCTCGTATTGCAGTCGGATAATAATATTACATTTCACTTTCAACCTCTTAATATGCAACATCACACGGCGAGAGTCACCTTCTTTATGGATGCGGAAATGCTACATGAAACCCTAGATTGGAGGGACTAGACTGAATTTTTAGTTGTATGAAATCTCAACAATGTTTTCGTAATAGAAAATTTAATTACTGAATGTATTTATTAAGTTGGTTGTTAAGGATTAAATATAAAAAACATGTTGGCACATGCACATAA